CCCCCCCCGCCCCCCCCCCGCGCCCCCCCCCCCCCCCCCCCCCCCCCCCCCCCCACCCCCCCCCCCCCCCCCCCCGCGGGGGGGGGGGGGGGGGGGGGGGGGGGTCATGATAGCCGCTCGTAACCTTTTTCAAAACCCATACTACCTATGAGGCGAGGCAATACAGAGCAGAGCAGGGCCGTGTAAGGAAACACCCACTTGTGGGTAATATAATATAATAGATGCCTAACGCGTTTATAAGCTGGGGATCTGTGGGTGGAATCCGATATCACCTGATACCATTGCCGACGAGCATCGACATTTTGGGCTCGCTATATATGCCATAACAGGTCTTTGGCTGTTGCGCATTGCCCTCCTAAAAACCACCCTCAGGTGTTTGTTTGAGAAGCCAGGCCTTGCGATCACGTCGTACTCTTCCGGAGCCGGGGGGGGGGTGGTTAGGAGAGCTGGTTTGATCAGGTCTTCTTGTGATATTCCCTCTTCCCTCTTCCCTCTCCTCCTCCCCCTTGTCCCCCACCCCCTTTTTTTTCTCATTATGCGTTTACGCGGCTCTCTCCTACTGCTAACCACTATTAACGTACCCGAATCCGAACGGGGAACCCCTACACACTCGGAAAGCACAGAGCAAGCCAGCAAGCAGAAAGGGACTTGGTACGTGTGCATAACCTAACCTGAACGTAGCCTAATTTAAAACTATCTATGTTAGGTATGTATATAGATAGCCTATTGTAGTAGTCTACCTACCAGGTAGGTATATATGCAGTATGCAGTACTGTGTATGTAGAACTAAGTGCTGACAACCTAGATCTCCAGCAAGGATGGGTCTGTCTCTCTCGACCCGGAGAGGATATAATTTTGGGCTACCTATAACGGGGAGGCTTTATAATCTTTGCTTGGCTGCTGACGAATATCGGACGGCGGGCGTTATTTTGTTGTCGTTACTGTTGTTGCTATTGCTTTGCGTAGACTACCTACCAGGTAGGTAGGAGGTATGTAGAAACTAGGGTCCGTCTGGTTCTGGGCAAAGCAGATGAAAGCCGAAGTCTTAATTTTCCCTCCCCTTGTTCCCCCATGTCTTATTTTTTTTTATTTCTTTTTTCCTTAAATTCACGACTTAATATCCCCCCTTTTACACTACTCTCCTCTACTCTCCTGATCTCTCTTTTTTGCCCCTCCCCGCCTTTATCTACCTAGTAGTCCCCCCCTTCCTCTTCGAAGCCCACTCGCTCGTATCATGAGTAAACGGGGTCCTACGGTTCTGATTATCATCTCCATGGATTTGAGATTGCCAAGAGAATAAATAAACCGGGGCCGCGAACGAGTTGCATCTTCCTGCAACCGTGGGCCGGGGTATGTAGTATGTAGTATGTAGTTTGTGCTGGAGATTTCCTCTAGTGTATGCAGTGTATATACCTACATCCACAGCTACCGCAAGTATGGTATTAAGTTCCCCCCTGCATCCACGAGCTGAAAAGCAGGGGGAAACGCCATCGAAGAGAGAGAGGAAGGAGGAGGGTGAACTCTGCTCATCTAGGGTCAACAGGGCCGGCGATCCATCTGCACCTACATAGCAGCAGCAGTGGCGGTAGTCGGAGTAAAGTGTAGTGTGCGGTGACTAATAAACCTTGCTGGCAAGGCTGGTTTAGCCTTTACGAAATTGTTTTCTTCTTCTTTGGGTTGAAGGTTCTTTGGGTTGAAGGATCTTTGCTTGACATGCTTGATACCATACACGTGCATACACCCCCCCGGTTTTGCACTGCGATTTTTGGTCCCGAAATGCGAGGCCATCCTTCGCGCACTGCTTAGCTGCTGCCCCTTGACGCGGAAGAATCGTTCTAGAAACGGCGGAACTTAACTCTGCATTTCTTTCCCCTCTCCCAATCCCAACTTGCTCATTTGTCATGTTGTCAATGCGAGAGCGCTTGTTTTTAAGTCACTCGATCGTTTAGCGCCAAGCCCCCTCGGCTGGGATATATGGCGTGGGAGCGCATTGACGTTTAGGATGAATATGAGTGAATGGGTCCTTGGAGGCAAATATTCAAATCCATCATAACGTGTACACGCGAAGATGGGCGATTTTTTTTTTTAAAAAAAACCCTGTCCACTGACATGACAAACTCGAAGTTGCGAATGACGATCCAGGCCTTAGTCGAGCTGCTAAAGACGGCTAGGCGGACAGACGGGCGAGAACGGAACAGGACCGTTTGTTGAGTAGGGTCTACATAACGATCCTTCCTTTCTTGCCCTTGCATGATGCTCAACAGGAAGTACCTCAGGCAGTAGTAGTAAAATCTTCAGCAACGGACCTACCTACGTCATGTCATGTCATGTCTTCGCGCTTCCACTATCCGCGACCACTTGGCTCTTATCTTCATCGGCACAGAGCGCTGCAGAAACGGTCGCTGACCTCGGCATTAGGTGCAGGCGTATGTAATCCAGCTGAATCTGGGATTTGGGGGCTTCAAGGCTTCTGACGAGATCCCAAGGCCACCTAATCCGTATACTTACCGGGTAGGACAAAGCACAGCGAGGTAGGGCTCACGATCCTCTCGCCTAGGTAGGTAGGTAACTACAGTACTTTTACCAAGCAAGTACCTAATCATTACATATCAGGAAGCAACATCAACGCTTCTGTACGATCCTCTCGCATCTTGAACATGGCGTGATCTATGTCAGTTGCCACGCAATGTGGTTGCATTGCATCGCCGTGTCAGAATATAGCTCGTCGAATTCCCGTGGTGTCGGGCCCAGATGCTTTTTTTCAATTTTTGATATGACTGATTTCTGCGTCACGAGTTCCTTCTAAGAAGACGGTGCTTTTCGTGCATGTGAGGTGTAGATTACTTCAACCGGTTGGGGGGCCCCTTAATTCGGTGCATGGTTAATCTGACATAGGCTCATGTGAGCCGGCCGCTCTCAATCTAGAGGATGATGGGGTTGCTCGTTGGAGTGGTGGGTCGTATCTACATGGTAGGTAATTCGTCCGTTCTACCTCAGCATCGGACGAACATAAAAGTATGATATCAGGATCTTGTGGGCCAGAAGCTACCGTTATCGTTTCGAGCTTTATAGTTGCCTATTGATAACGATAATGGCCTTCTATTTTCGTTAAAACATAGGATTTGGATGTTAATCGAGTTATGTTGGATAGGCGGTTGCCGTTCCGGTCATAAGGGGAGGAATTACCAGCCGAATCAATATTATGACCTACATAAGGGTTCATAAAATCGGCTCTCATATCGCGGGGATGGTGAACAGATGAATCTCGGTAGAGATGTAGTCGTCATCGGCGCCAAGGGGTACAGATCTACACGTTGACAAGGAACGTAGATGTATGCTGCTTGCTTATTCGGTGCTCAAATGTTGGTACCGTGGTTTTCGGTGTGCTGCCTAGTACCAGTAAAGCTGCTCCTTGGCTTGAGATTGGCTCCTAAATTACCAGATTACCAACCGTATATGCACTGAGACAGAGCTTGTAGCCTGTAGGAAATGGCTCATAGTAAGAAGGAAAAAGACATCGGCTTTAGCACGGCAATAAATTTCATCTCAACTCTTTCAGTTGGTCGCCTTGCCTACCTGACTTAACGTAAGCAAGCAGACAATGTTGCTGCGACTGTAACCGTCGTGTCTGTTTCAAATAGTTGAAACCAGGACAGTCGTCGACAGCTGCATATAACGTACATGACACCGGCAAACCCCAGCCAACGGGGGAAATTCCAGCGTTTTGCTAGGTACACCGCAAGAACGACAGAGTCGCATGGGCATGGGTGCACAGCGGCGGGCTGCAGGTGGTGATCTCCACGTTGAACAGGGAATATGACTGGCTGAAGGGGTGCTGCAGGTTCAGCGGACGTCCTGGGGAGGGGGTCAGGGCCGGCGCTTAATACCAGCAATACACAGCAAGAACCGAAAGTCATAGGCTGACCGCCACTCCTATTCCAAACTGTCGGTTGTTAGTTAATATCACGTACCTAGGCAGGTAGATGCATGCGTCTTGTGAGTAGCATCGCGTGTGTGTATAGGGTAAGAACTTGCGAGCTGATGGGGATAGTAATAAAAAGGAAGAGTTGGATGAGATTCGTGCTGAAGAGATTCAATTCTAGATTTAGATACTGTGTGAACAGAACAGTCAGATATTAAATGACCATGATGTAGATGGCGGGATGGAGAGGTGACTCTTTGATTTTTAAAAGGGCAACGTTAGTAACGTTAGGCCTCTCTCGAGTACAGAGTAGGTAGATCTGGGGTACGCGAACGGAGTAAAGCACCCGTCCAAGTAAATGCTGGTCAATGTATAAGAGGTAAGCACTTGACTGTACGCGCATGCCAGTCATGCCGTTGTACACAGAACAGGCGACTTTCGGGTTACGATAAGGCTGAAAGCCCCCCTCTTCTTTGTCTCGTTAGAGTTACTTGGGGTTGTTTACCAGTCAGCACTCTCTCGCTCCCAACCAGACCGATCTAGCGAGCGAGGGCTCCTCGTGTCAAATGCGCCGACATTCGACCGACCCCAAGGCTTCTAGAAAGTAAGCACCTTCTTTTCTTCTCGGGTGCACAGTTTCCGCGCCACGGTGGCCGGCTCGTGGCAGGCCAGGTATATGTTGCATAGCATCGTATTGTATAATACTACAACGGACCTGAGTTGCTGGTTGCCAGGCGTTGAATGGACCGGTTTGTCCATTTGTTTACATGTTGGATCCGGGACTCCAAGTATGATGCCTACTTAACCTAACCTATGTGCTGACCCAGGTACATAGTAGTACTCTTATCAACCATACGATGCTGAATTAGGATGTTCCTGCGTCGAAAAGCTCCTCCCATGGGACCACAAAGTTATATGCCTACCACCTAGGGACGCTAAGCCCGGTAGATATTTTCGCTTTGACCTTTCTCGTGAGCTATATACCATGTTAGCGGTCATAGTCTCTTTAGCCATGCCTATCCTCTCTTAGCTAGTATATGTGTGTAAGTACTTGTCAAACCCAACCGCGCTTATCATTCGGGTAAAATTTTTTTTTTTGGTAAGGCTTGCCTTGTGTAAATTACCTACCCAGGTCCAACGACTCCACGGGTATCTTAGGTATCTTACCTATACTGTGATACGTTACGCGCATACCGACTCGTAACACTTGGAGCGTCAGCTCACCTGTGATATCGTAGTACCCAAGTGTCTTTCTTCTTGTTTCTCTTGTTCTTGTTTTCAACTTTAATGATGTTGCCGTACATCGTATAGCTTTGCGACGTTCCTTCATGTGCGACATGCTGAATATGTAGAAAAAGTTGTAGATGGTAACCTCTAAAAAGTGTTTCCTTGTTGTGCTGTAATCCACGGAAAACTATTGGCACAGTGTACGGGCCTTTACTTTAGTACTTGTCCAATCATATCTTGTCCCCGCGCCATTTAGCGTTATGAGCTAGTGGGCCAAGAACGAGAAGGAAAAAGAGGGGGTCCATATAAAGATAGCGCTATATCATATACGGTATAGAGCCGTATAGATATTGCTATACTTGGAAATATAGTCTAAAAAGGCGGTGCCACTATACAAGTGCATCATCCACTTACACTTACACTACATAGTACTCGCGCATTCTATACTCAATTGGTAGTCAATCCACGAGGCTGGGCTTGCGCGGGAGTATTTTAATATAACACAAGGCCGACGTTCTTATCTTTATTAATGGGCATTGCTGTTTCAGATCCAACCTGCGTTAAATTGTTGGGAAATAGTTTAGCTAAGTTAGCTACCTTAAGAGATCCTGTACGACCTAGGTATGTTATGTATGTGCTGATGATTGTAGCCTCAAGTCTTGGTGGGTACCTAGGAATGAAAAGATAACTTAAAAATAAATATTTCACGAGTCATGTATCGTCTGTGACATCCCCATCCTTGACAAAAAGGTTATTTTTTAATTGGCTACAACAGTTGGTCCCACTGTTAATTGAATTACCTTAGGTACTTAGTCACTTATCTTGCCAATCTGGGGCATCATGTACCTTTTTAAAGAAAACCTATTACGTTGTTTCGTACGATGTGCGTCTTGGCAAAATGTTAAGGGCTTACCTTAGGTTACCTAGGTCTAGGTACGCATTGTACCATGTACAGTACGGGTCGTCTGTTGGAGTAACCACGGATCGCGGCAGCAGCCATAGTACAGTTCGATGATACCCACAGCGCTGGTAGGCTAGGTAGGTGGGGTGCCTACATGATATAAGTCCCTGCATTGGATCACTATAGTTATGCAACTATGATTCCACGATACTACCTAACATAATGCTGTTTTCTGGTTGTTGGTCTTTTTTTTTCCCCTTCTTTGTTACTATCCAGGCTGGCCTGACTAAACTTTATTAGTAGTGTATTTAGTATTTGATTTTTTTTTAATGATATATCACGTAATAATACTCGAGTAGTAACGGTCGTACCGAGATCTTAGCTCATTACTTCGTTCTTCTACTACCAAATGCAGGTCAGGAAGATAGGCTGAGTCTTGTCCGCATCTCGTTCCTGTTGTGTCACCCAATAAGCAGCCGGCGTCTTATAATGAGACAGAGAGGGAAGATAGACAGAGTCAACTCTTTACAAGCTTTTTTTTGGTTGCGTTCGTTTAAAAATCAAATCAGGCAGCGTAAAAATAGATGAGGATTCCGAAGAAAAGAAAAAAAAAAAGATTCTAAACAGGCTGACGTGCACCAACGATGACAGGATTAATGATACGATTTGCCACGAAAAAAACTGGTATCTTATTGTTTTGCTGGGTTCTAGGCAACTAAAGGGCCATGGACCAAAAAGAAGTAACCCCAAAAGTATTCCTCTTCTAGGACATAACTATGCCCAGAAATTGTCCCCTGAACGCCTTGGTTTGTTTTTTTCCCAGCCTTATTAAACAGGCTTTGGGAATGAACCTCTCCATGATGCTAACTAGTAATACAAGAAAAATAAGACGATAAAAATAAAAGTAGAAGAAGAGAAAAGAAGAAGAAATTGTGAATGATGGAAAAAAAAAAGTTATAGCATGCTGGATATGATAGAAAAAGATTCCGCCCTGGGGGTAAAATAGTTCTATGGCCCGTTTTCCCCCGTAAGAACTGAACTCCGGTAACACCCAGGGATATGCGTACAAGTGAGTAGGTAGTAAGTAGTAAGAAATGAAGAAAGAATAATGTTGTTGTTGAATCTCCCGTCACACCTATTCCCCCTCCCGCGTTCGTCCAAACCCCGTTCGTAATCGTCATCATGGTCGAGTTAAGGTTATAAGGTACCTTAGGTTAGGTAGGTACCTAATATATCATCTCTTCGTAAAAGACATAGATGCTAGGAGGTTACTGTTACCGGCCTGGGACATCGTCATGGGCGGTAGTTGAGCGGCGGGAGCGACTAGGTGCCCCGGCGTGCTGCCGAGCGTCCGAGTCGGCGCCGGATAGGTGTCGTAGCCGTCGGCGCGCAAGTCTAATGTGCCCAAATCGAAGCGCTTGGAACAACCATCTTCCATGTGCCTTTTTATTGTATATGTTAGCTTTTTTGCTTTTCTTTTCTTTTTTTCGAACTCTTCATATTGAGATATATTGAGTAGGGGGAGAAAGTTGTAGATAACTGGGTTACTTACCTTCGAAGGGTATCTTTTCGCGCAAACATTCGACCGCAGTAATCACACCTGTGGTTCTTCTCCTTCATATGAACGCTCTGGTTGTGCCTTTGCAGATCCGTCTTCCGCACAAATTTCTTGTTGCAGTCCGGAACCGTGCAGGGGAAAGGATATTCTCTCTTCTCGTCGTGAGTTTCCATGTGCGCCTTAAAGTTGTAGCTCCTGCTGAACAGCTTGCCGCACCCTTTAACCTCGCATTGAAAGTTGGCCTCTTCCTTGGTCGTCAGTTTTCGAGGCTGCCTCCTCGTCGCCCTCGGCACACGTAGCTGCCGCCTGTCGTGGAAAGCTGCCGCCGCGGGCCCGTTAGGTCCGGCGTAGTACTGTTCTGTCTCGAGCGAAGGGTATTCGGCCCTAGGCCACGATCCTGAAGGGACATCAGATAAGTAGCCCGAACTACCGGCAGTCGACCCGTAGCTGTTATGTTCCAGAGGCAGCGAGTGAGCGGAACGAGGAGAAGGATACTGTGTTAGTTCAGCTCCAGAATAGTCGGGAGCGCCAGCACTCTCCATCTTGATCCGCGGTATCGGCGAGACGCTGTGGGAGTAGCTGAAAGCATGTCTCGATGACGGGTCTGGCGATCGAGAAGCTGAAGACATTGGAGGAGAAGTGCCGCTATTTGAAAGCACGGGTACCTGAGCAGGATGAGACGGGTATAATTCATGACTGTACGATGCGTGCATATTGCTAGGTTCGTAATGAGCGAAAGGATCATAGTCGGCCGACGACATGTGCGGCGCCGTTGACGTTGAGCTAGGGTGGTGCATCACGGTAGTCCCACTCCAGCCGGCCGAGGTCATAGCATCAAGGGGCGGGAGCGAGTGTTCGGAACCCATATGGGAAGACATGGTTGCGCAAGAGTGCTCAAACATGGAAGCGATCTTGTAGATTGGGTCGACAAATTCCGGTGAGGGATAATCCAGAGTAGGGCTGTCGGAGCAATTTGTACTTGGAGGTGATGCCGATGACCTGGTCAAGGATGGAGGTGATAGATCCATCGGGGCTGTAATCCAAACGCAAGATGCGTTCCAACAGACGGTAAGGTTGGTTGTATAAAAAGAGCTAAAGGGGAAACCTGGGCTATTGTGCAACAAGGCGTGCCCGGTGAGAAAAAGACGACACAGCAGCGACTTATGAGAAAGCTATGGGAGTGGTCTCTTTCTTCCAACTGCGTTGCGTGTATGACGGTGTCTAATTTGAGGCTTTGATTAAGTGATCAAGGTGTGTCGATACATAAAAAAAGACTAATGGAGACAGTCCGTGGGATGTAAGCATAGTTATACAGAAGACAGTCTGGTTCCTTTGGTTCCCCATGTAAGTACAAGGAGTTAGACCAGGAGTAGGAGCCTCGGCGCACACCCCTACTATATACGTATCGTATGTACCAACCAGCGTTGGCGTAACAATGCGAAATCTCCAGAGAGAGAGAGAGAGAGAGAGAAAGAGAGAGTAAAGTACTGTAGGAGTGAAACTGTACCGCATATGTCTGCCTGCATCAGGATAAACATAGCCAGGCATACAAGTCTCCCAGGAACGAACGACAAGCGCGCTATGTGAGGCAGACTCCGGAAAATTAATGTTAACCTATGTATACATGGAGCCGGGGGGGTGGGATAGCTCACGGCCCTCATAAGGCCAGACCCGTATTTTTACTGATCTGGTCGTCCTGTCATATCGGGTAAGAGTGGTAGTATATCAAAATTGAGGAGGATACAAGAACCACAAGGGTGAGCGTTGAGTGTGTGGTGTCAAATGAGATGTTCTCGCGGCAGTCTCAAGCGTAGTGGGTGCGATGTAGGGTAGGGGGGGCCATGAAGAGGACCATGTAGAGACCACCAAGTAATAGACACCATGGAATATACACAGCATATTAGTTCCATAACGTCAGACTATGCGTGGATACATTCAACGTAGCATAGCTTAGCTGCTAGTTACTATAGTAGTACACAAGGAAGGAATTTCCATACTTAGAAAGAAGAGTAAACCATAATAAGTAGATATAATGTGACTAATAATCACCGTACGACTTCGGCGGTTGGAACCGGGGGCGGGGAAAAAAATTGATTCAGGACTTGGAATCGCTCACCTAACATTGTAAATACTAACCTGCTTTCTTGTCTTTTCCGTTATTTTGTTATGTTATGTAGCCTACTGGCTAACCGTCCAGCCAGCAAGCGAGCCAGGTAGGTAGCAGTAATTCTTCAACGAAAGGAGCACCAGACTTTTTTCGGGGTAGTGTTATGTGTTAATATGTAGATGTACCCGCGCGCGCACAGGGTAGTGTACACGTGTTGGTAGTAGGTGGTAAGCAAAGCGAACGAATAAGTACGAAAAATGTACACCTAAGAGATCCAATCCGGCTTCTCGAAGGTCAGAATCCTTCAGGTGCTGCAGAACTGCATTGCCCTTTAGACCATCTTCGACCATACCCCTGCTCTCGACTTCCATAAAATAGACTTCTTATTGGTCAAAACCCGCGGGATTTCCAAAAAGATAGGTAGTTAGGCGAGTAGCGGTTTACAATTAATTTTTTTTATGGAATATGACCTGAAGGGTACATAGCCTAGTTACCTGTTATGCCATTTAGCTCGACAAGTCTATTCGCAAATTTCCGTTGATAGTAAATGCGGTTGAGAAAGATCGCTGGAAAGAAGCTCATAATACTATAATGGCCATACCTAATCGAGCATGGAAAGATGATTAGAAAAGACGATGTCAGCGGCTTGTATGCTGCGCTCATCGTCATGTTAAGGCTAGCGCGGACGTGTTCTTCGTAGCATTGGAGAGAATGGTGGTGATGGTGGTGGTGGTGGTGGTATGGTCTGATCCCGTTGTTGGTTCTCAGAATACCCGGGTAGGCAGTCGGGTAGGTAAGAATAGGTAAAGTATGGGGTTTCATCGCCTGGCTAACGTTAAAATCTACTTTAGGTAGGGTGGGACAATAGGGCGGAAAGGCTGTGGAACTCTTGTTACTTATTCCTCCATTCATCATCTAATCCGCCGTCTAATTTGTACTACGGCATTGTACTTTGTATGTTGGAGACCCCCAAAACCGGTATAGCATCTGTCGATAAGACACAGACAGCAGATGCCAAGGCAGGGGATGAGTACCTATCTAGTAACTGGTTCGAGCGTTCTCTACTCTAGAGCTCGCACAGGGATTCGTTAGCGCCACATTCCCTCTCTACTATTACATAGGAGGTATCCTAGGAGGTAGGTACACCAACTTTGCTCGCGAGCAGTGAGCACAGACTTTGCGGAACCCAATGCCGTCCGCCTTAACCTCCCAGGGGGGGGGTGTTATCGTCGACTTGTCTTCGCTAGTGCAAGTGGCAGCACGCTATGGTTGGAAGTGATGTTGTTGGTCCCTCATTACAACACATGAAAACCCTTCTCCCCAATCCCTAATAATATTCCTAAACTAAATCCAGAAGCTATAGGAACGAATAGCTATATCCTTAATAGTTGCAAAATAGCAGCAACAAAGTATCAGCATAGTATCAGCATTGAAAACCACCAGACGTTAATCTGTTTTTTTAGGCGATGTAACTCTTTTCATTTTTCTCTGTTCCAAGTTGAGCAAATGCTAAAATGATCGCTACCTATTCCTACGAGGCCTGGCCCCCCCTGACCAACGTTTCCCCGCTAGGCAATTGTCGGCTCGCTTTTTTTTTTTTTTTTTCTCTACCCATTCCCATTCCCAGTCCCTGGAGGCTGGGGGACGGGTTTATTTTCAGGTCACATGTATCCCGACGATACTTACCGCATACCCCCATGATCGTAAACTTGATCGCAAAATATTCGTTCTAAAGGCTGCGCCACAGCACGGTACACTTATCAACGAAAGCCAAGATCTCTCATCTGGAAATAGATACATTAGGTACACTAGCGTCTCAAAGAGCATATTTTAGGTATTTACATGGCCCTTAGCTTACCTAGATATTTTGATACTCGCGATGTATAAGCCCTGGTAGGACAAATATTGTAGCGGGTCGCCGTATGAAGTCATACACAGTAGAGCTAGTTGTACAATGTGAACTGAGAGAAACATACCCTCCAGCTGGCTGTACTGCCATTTGTCGATCCTCAGATAAGATTGATGTCATTCTGGTGTTGTCCTTGCAGATATCTGAGACCTATATCCTTGACCAAAACTGCAAGGTACCGTGAAGAGCATCGACCCTTCGAAAAACAGTAGGATCCAGGCATCCACTGCTATTATCTAGACCCCCCACTATCTTAGTAGCCTACTAACCCAGGACAAGGCGAGAAAATAACTCCCTAGGTAGGTTAACTACCTGGTTTAGGTAATCACCTAAGTTGGTGGTGAATACATAGTAAAACAGGTACATAGTAAGAATCTTTACTCGTATATAGGCGTACTATGTAGACGATACCGCTATCCAGCCCCCATCTCCCGCGCGCTAGACATGACCCACGTGTTTAGCCGGTCGCTTGGGGCTCATTCTTAAGCCCTCTCCAGGACTCGCCCAATAGCCGCGGATTTTAGACGAACGTAGAGCTCGAGGACCTTCCGCACACGGCAGTTATGCTTGCCCTGCCACGTTTCGGGAGATGTAGTGCTGAGAGGCTTAGCTGCCCGAAGGAGCCAAATTTACATAAATCTATCCCGTTTCAGGAGCTTTATGAACGATGAATTAAGACATAGCTCGCTCTCATTTTCTTAAAACGTTTCAAGAAGCGCGAGGCGACCAGTTTCTCACCCACCTTTGGGGGTTAAAACGCCCATTTCCAAATCAAAATAGCTAATTTAGCATTGTACTATCGCACTTCGCATCGCATAGTACAAACCTATTCACGGGGGGAGCGGGCCATGCAGAGCATACCGCTAGTCGGCAAAACAAGCCAGATGGGGCGGAACGATCCATGCATCTCATAGGTATCGTATCCGGTACTTCTCGCAACCTATTGCTTTGGAAATCCCATACTGTACTTTCTACCTAGAGATAGTGGATTAGCATCACAAAAAAAGAAAAAGAGATCCGAGCCTAAGGCACGTACGTACGTATGAATGAAGTGGACTCGATGAGCTACCCCACCGGCCAAATAATCTCAATACCTAATCCCTATCTCGCTCGGGATTTGATGATACAGAGAACCCACGTTACTTTGTGCTAATTTGATAAAAATATGGTCTTATTTTGGCGTCTCTCCACACATAAGTACGGGTTACCGTTAGGAGGATTCCTTCTGAAAATCGAAATCACAAATAGGGTTCGCCACAGAAGATCTGGCCACTCGTCTCGGTTATTAGAGGGAATTCGTAGACCAAGTTTTTAACTCAAGCGTCGGGGGCCGATAATGCACTCTACTTCGCATCTATGTTTGTTTTAGATGACCGCATTTGTTTCCAAGTGTGTATGAAGCGTCGCCAACTGGGTACGCCTTACCAAGCTTCAGCATGACCTGAAACAAGAGAATTGATTAACACGTACCGTTGGGTAGCATTTCGTGCAGCCTAGTTGGTCAGCCACCGATTCATGCAGTCGGGTGTGTTCTTAAAAAAAAATCCAAATTACCTATATCAAATCGCATCAGATCGCACCAAATCGGCCGTGTAACACGTCTCGAAATAGTAACACAGGTAGGGCTACAGCTGAGAAGCTGAGAAAGATGCGAAGCTGACGGCAGTTACCCGTGCTGCCGTAACCAACACGTAACATCGTGTAAGAGTAGCATAGCATCCGAGCATCCTTTCGGACTTGGATTACGTCGGACAAATACGGAAATGGACATATCGGGTTTATGCTAAATAAACTGTGCACCGAAAGCCGTAGCTGACCTCGGATATATTCGGACTGTATATTACTCCGATGTACTCCGAGCACCGAGGAGGCTATGCTGTAGATATTGGTGTTTACCTACATTAGCACCAGCGTCGACGTTAATTATCGTCAATATCGGTTTGACGTTGACGTTGGTGTTGGATATAGTGTTAGTTACGGCGTAGTAAAGTTGAGAAGCTACTACTGCGTACCTCCTTTGCCTTTTCATGGGGATGATAGGATACGATAACCATGATCTAAAATAATAAATAAGATTAATAATCATAATAAAAAGGAAATTCGATTAAGCTTAATAAACTACTGTGCCATATCCCGACAATCTGGGTTCCATCCGCAACGCCGCGAACCCAACTCCATGGATATGGTAGAAGGTTATCGGGAGCTTCTGCCCGCCATCGGAACGCTCGTCCCTATGCCTGATGCTTTACGCGATTCGGCAAAGCGTATGGGTTGTATGGATTGTAACCAGTGCCTCCCGTGCCGTCGAGATTCGGCTCATCCCGATGCCACAAAACCATTAGATCTCGATTTGAACATTATTCCCAGGGCTAACCTAGGTAGGCTGTAATAAAAAAAAATAAAGTTTATTACGACCGCGCGTTTACAAAGACCAATCGAAGCCTTTAATTAAATTATCGTCGTCACGGTAAGTATAGGGTTACCTATCAGCCATGTTCACCTGAGACCTCTTGGCCTAGTTGCAAGTAAAATGGGCAGTTAAAGAAAGGGTCAGTTAGCATACTACTCGCATTATCATTCCTTCTAAATATTAATATACACGATGCAGATGACGCAGATATCCGAGAAAATTGACTCAGATATATATAGATATATTGTAGGCGTATTTCTACGTCTTGTTTTGTTTTTTGTTTGTTTCTTGTAGGATGGCGGAGGAGTTGTGCATCATCTCCCCCTCTAAGAGGAGGTACTTTACTGAAGGTACCTTACAATTATTAGGATCAGTACCTAAGCATAAGCTACTGTGGCTGATAAGTGGGTTCAAATGTCTACATGTATGGCTTCGTACTTCAAAACGCCACTGAAACTCAATAAGGTGCGCAAGGCTGGCCGTTCTTCAATAGAACATGGAATGTATCAAATGCCAGTCAGAACTTCAGCCTAGCAACATTGAAACTGTTACATACAACTTGAACTTAACGTGCAAAAATCTAAAGCGAATCTGAAAATACAGGTGATAAAAGAAAGAATCCAACTCCGGGTTAGAGTTTATTCATTCCCGGCGTATCGGAAACATATGGAACATGCCCATTTGTAACGCTTCAACGCGTCTGCGACTGAAAAAGGCTCCACGAGAACAAACATCGCATTGGATTGGCATCGCATTAGCATCGCATTGACGCGCCAGCCGATGCACATATTTTTAAAGACCCCATCGGCAATTATCGAGCCTTCCACGAATTCATCTTTCATCTCAACATAAGGAAAGCATCTCATGCTTGAATTCTGCACACCCATCTCTATCTACATTGGGCTTAATTAGAATCCAACCAAGATGAAGTTCTTTATTGACGACCTTCCAGTTCTCTTTCCGTACCCACGGATATATCCAGAGCAATATGCATATATGTGTGACCTTAAGAGAACTCTCGATGCGGGCAGAACTTCCAGTGGAGGCGCGCACTGCGTCTTGGAGATGCCTTCGGGAACCGGGAAAACCGTCTCGCTGCTATCATTAATTATTGCATATCAACAACATTACCCAGAGCATCGGAAGCTCATCTACTGCTCTCGTACCATGTCAGAAATCGAAAAGGCCTTGGCCGAACTTAAGGCCCTGATGAAATTTAGGGCTGACGAACTCGGTTACGTAGAAGAATTCCGTGGGCTCGGCCTGACAAGTCGAAAGAATCTGTGTCTCCATCCTTCGGTCAAGAGGGAAAAGAGCGGCGCCATTGTCGACGCGAGATGTCGTAGCCTGACTGCTGGCTTCGTCAAAGAAAAGAAGGACAAGGGCGAAAGCGTGGAGACGTGCGTATATCACGACAATCTAGACCTCCTAGAACCGCATAACCTTATTCCTAATGGCGTTTGGACTCTGGATGGCCTTCTGAAGTATGGCGAGCAGCACAAGCAGTGCCCTTATTTCACTTCAAGGCGGATGGTAAGTTTCTCCAAGTTTATCCCAGTTTGTGTCTACATCGCTAGGGGTACAGAACTTACGCTGTCTACTATAGATGCAATATTGTAATGTTATAATCTACTCTTATCACTACCTGCTAGATCCCAAGATAGCAGAACGTGTATCCAAAGAGCTTTCTAAGGATTGCATCGTCGTTTTCGACGAGGCCCACAACATAGACAACGTGTGTATCGAGTCTCTAAGTACAGATATCACTGAAGACTCCTTGCGCAAGGCTACCAGGGGCGCTCAAAACCTAGAACGCAAGATCACGGAGATGAAAGAGACAGACCGAGAACAATTAGAAAACGAGTACCAGAAACTAGTGGAGGGCCTCCGGGACGCCGATGAGGCTCGGAAGGAGGATACCTTTATGGCAAATCCGGTTCTTCCTGACGACTTGTTAAAGGAGGCAGTTCCCGGAAATATCCGGAGAGCTGAGCATTTCACAGCTTTCCTGAAACGATTTATTGAATACCTCAAGACGCGTATGAAGGTCCGACAGGTCATATCGGAAACGCCGCCGTCATTCCTAGCACATCTCAAGGAGCACACGTTCATCGAGAAGAAGCCCTTGCGCTTTTGCGCTGAGAGATTAACCTCGCTCGTAAGGACGCTGGAACTTACCAGCATCGAGGATTACCAGCCTCTGCAGGAAGTAGCCACATTCGCAACTCTTGTCGCTACATATGAGAAGGGATTTTTACTCATCCTTGAGCCTTTCGAGTCAGATACCGCCGAAGTGCCAAACCCAGTTCTTCACTTCACGTGCTTGGATGCGGCAATCGCTATTAAACCCGTTTTCGATCGATTTAGCTCCGTTATTATCACTTCCGGTACCATCTCGCCTTTGGAGATGTACCCGAAGATGCTGGGCTTCACTGCGGTTGTTCAAGAGTCATACGCCATGACTCTGGCTCGGAGATCTTTCTTGCCGATGATCGTCACCCGCGGCAGCGATCAGGCAACAATCTCCACCAGTTTCACAATCAGAAACGAGCCGAGTGTGGTCCGCAATTACGGCAACCTCTTGACCGAATTCGCGAAGATTACTCCGGACGGCATGGTCGTCTTCTTCCCTTCTTATCTGTACATGGAATCCATCATTAGCATGTGGCAGGGCATGGGGATATTAGACGAGGTCTGGAAGTATAAGTTAATCTTAGTCGAAACACCCGACGCTCAAGAGACTTCTCTCGCACTCGAGACCTATCGCATGGCCTGCTGCAACGGCCGAGGTGCCGTTCTCCTTTGTGTGGCTCGTGGTAAGGTATCAGAAGGTATCGATTTCGACCACCAGTACGGTCGAACCGTGTTGTGCATCGGCGTCCCGTTCCAATACACGGAGTCGCGGATCCTCAAAGCCAGACTACAGTTCCTTCGAGAAACCTACCGCATCCGAGAGAACGACTTCCTATCCTTCGACGCCATGCGCCACGCCGCGCAGTGTCTGGGTCGCGTGCTCCGAGGCAAAGACGACTACGGAATCATGGTGCTGGCCGACCGCCGGTTCCAGAAGAAGAGGCTCCAGCTCCCCAAGTGGATTAACCAGGCCATGCAAGAAGTCGACGGGAACCTCAGCACGGACATGGCGGTCATCACGGCGAAGCGCTTCTTGCGGGACATGGCGCGGCCCTTCAAAGCTAAGGACCAAGAAGGGATCAGCATGTGGAGCCTGGAGGACTTGCAGGAGCACCAGAAGAAGGTGGACGAGGAGCGGATCAAGGAGCTGCAAGAGGAGGACGCGGCTGTCGAGGCTATGCGTAGGGCACAGGCCTTGCAGGCTATGCAGAGCTATAATGACGACTTCGATATGGATGACGATGATCTCGACGAGGGCATGATGGAGCTTGATGCCGCGTGAGCACGTCTGGGATAGACAGATGATCTGTTACTACCTAGTTTTGATGTTCTGTATAACACTCATATCGCATTGGAGACCTCTGGTTTCATAGGCGTTAAAAATAAGTAGGTAGCCAGTAGTACTGCAAGGCACTAATAGATATCTAATACAAAATTGCTAAAGGTTTAGCCTACTTTACTGTTAAGCCAACAACGCAATGATATTCCTTATTCGCGATCTTAATTTAATCTTTCGTGGCATTTTCTTACAACCCCCCCTTAGCCTAACCGTGTGATTATCTAGGTATGTATTATATATAGGAGGTACCTCTAACCTTCTCAGAAAAATTAGGTACCTATCTACCTACCTAACCTAAGGTAGTTCTTCTACTTAGTGTGTAGACTTGGCGAGATTCCAAAAGTTCTCCAACTTCGACTTGGACAGGACCTCTCTGGCCTCGGCATCCGTCTCGCAGACCTTGGAACCCCACTTCCTGAAGGCGCGGGACTTGACCTCGCCCTCGAAGATCAGCCTGCACCGGTTCTCCGCGAGGTCCTTGAGGTCGCCGCCCTCGTTCTCGGCCCGCAGCCACTGCTTCAGGGCGTCGTTCTGGGCGTCCTTGTCGCGCGACGGCAGGTTCTCCGTCCAGTTGATGCGGTGGAGCATCAGCTTCTTGTAGTGCTTGGCGGACCACTCGCCGCCCTCGGCGACGACCAGGTTCTGCTTCGGGTGCATGATGACCAGGCCCGTGAGCGCCAACTGGTCGGCGTTCACGCTGACCTTGTACCGGTGCTGCCCGTTGGCCAGGCTGTCGATCTTGAACACGAGCATGCGCAGGCCCTTGGCCGCGTCCTTCTCCTGGTTCGCGGCTAGCTTCTCGTGCTTCTGCTCCTTGGTGAGCTTCCGCTCCTCGTTCGTCTGCACGTGCTTGTCGTGCCGCTCCGCGATCTCCCGGTTCACGCGCGCCTCCACGGCCGTCGGGTCCTTGACGGCCTCCTCGCCCAGCACGCGCATCAGGTTGCCCTTCTTGACCTTGGGCGGGGGCGCGGGGACCAGGCCGAGCCTGATCTTGGCCTGCTCCTCCTTGAGGTCGGCCATGCGGCGCTGGCGGCGGAGCTTCGCCTGCTCGGTGGGGGTGAGGTACATGGGTTTGGGCGGGGGCACGTTCTTGTCCTGGGGCGGCTCGATGGGGACGGGGTGCTGGATGTACCGGGTGACGATGGAGTCCTCGGTGTCGATCTTGAGCGCCTGGGGGTTTTCTATGTCGTCGTAGTTCTTGCCGTCTATCAGCCCTTCGTCCCACCACTCGACGTCCGGCGGGGCCTCGACCGCGAAGTTCTTCTCGACGTCCTTGTCCTCGTCTATGCCGACCTTGCGCGTGCCCGCCGCGATCTTCTTCTTCAGGGCTTCGAGCGCCGCTTGCCTGCGCAGCGCATTGGCTTGCTGGATGTATTTTCCCTTCTGGTTGAATATAAGCTGACGTGTCTGTCTCGGCTTTGCGCCGGGAGCGCCTAGGTTCGCGTCGAAATAAGGGTTGTTCTTTATCTCTTCTTGCGAGGGACCGGACAGATCGAGGGGTTTGTGCTTCGGCTGGGCCTTGCTGGCATCGTTACGTGATCGTGAGCCGGACGCGGATTTGGGGTCGCCGGGCTTCCATTGTCCGATATCTTCCAACGCCGGATGAAGGCCGACATTCAGACCACCCTTCGCCTTGGTTGTTCCTATAGCAGCCGAAACGCGGGCTTTCAACGCTGCTAGCTTGGCTGCTTTGTCGGTAGCAGATTCCGGTTTCTGCACTCGGGACGCCGTATCGTTGCGCGGGCCGAGGCCTGGCGAGCCGTGCCGTTCCATGGAATATGATTAGAAGCTTTGGTCCTATCAAGGGAACGGGCGAAGTTGAAGTTGGTAAACGAGGTGGATGGATATTGACCTCAGAGGGAATAATGTCGATGTCGGACAAAGAAAGGGCTACCTCAGACTTGTGTCTGCTGTGTCTGATCTCGTTGGTACCGATCGGCATGCATGCATTTGGCAGTTCCGTGGAATAAATGAAAGAAGAACTTGGTATGTTTAGGTAGGTACCTAGGGTAGGTACCTAAGGTATTGATTGTTAAACTCGCGCTTGTCTCACGACACCAAGCCACAGGTACTTTGGGACTTTGAACCTCGGAGAAAGAGTGGAGCTGCGGGAATGATTACGTAAGTACGTGTTTGCTCAGCTGGTCGAACATTAACACTCATTGAATAACACTTCATAAAAAAGCTATTATATAATTTAACCTTTCGAAAATGAAAGTACTCTGTAGGTAGTTGCCCATGAAGAGGTTTGGAAGGCATATCAGGATCATCTTACGAAAGAAAGACCGTCTCCATTGTGCTTGGCAAGGAGATCGTTACTCACCTATTAATTCAAACGAGCTCAACATCTAAGAGATACCCGTACGAATATGCAAGATAGCTAGGTTTTGTTAGGCACCTATGAATAGGTATAGGGCTGCTTTTAATGGTAGCCGTTAGTAATCGATAGCATCTAAGCTCCCTGAGATAATAGCTACCTAGTACACGTATACGGGAATTTAGGTTCAAGTTCGAGCTCTTATGTTACCCAAAAGGTCTTTCCATTCTTCTTAAACTTAGATGCCTAGACTTTGATCAAGAGAACTAAGTTAATATGGCCTCAGGCCTTCCAGCCACATGACCGCCTAACAGGTGCCTATTTATACCTCCTACGAGGTCGACCTTTTTCAGAAACCTTTATCTTTTACAACATCACCATAATTCCACAATACTCTCCAGCTCTAACGATGCCTCGAATTAAGCCGGTATTACCTCCTCCTATACCTGCAACGGTTGGGTTGATGGAAGAAACAGGTGGCATGTCAATCCTACACCCTGGGTATAGTAACGGGTACACCCCTTTATTACGCTTCCTTACTTTTCGCGACGAGGGTGTTGATTACGACATGGTCTATTATGCTGCCTGTATCGTAGCAGGCAATGTATGGTCCGATATTCCTGCTCCTTTCTTAACCAAAGAAGCCGATCCTGGTTCGCCGCATGTCACCCGTCCTGATGATGGTATTCTTCGCGATAACCAATATTACTTCCACGTACCTAAATGTGAAGATCGTAAGTATTTATTGACAGGTATTTACCGATGTTTGTTGATTTTTATTAGCCAAATACCCTATCACACCTTCTTTTGGTGACTGGGTATTTCCCCACGATAACGTTCCTCAAATATGGCGCGAACTGGTTATCAACCAGATTCCTCTCGCGGTACGAAGTCGTCTTCCAGCAGTACGACATCGTTTTCCAGCGGTAATTCGCGACGGTTCTTGCCGAATAACACAAGCTGTCTCTGCGCTCGTAGCAGCCCACGTCGTACCTATTTTTGAGACCAACTGGTTCATTCAGAATGGCATGAGCCGATACAACATAGATCTCACAGTTGTATCGATGATTGACGACGCTGCTAATCTTTTCGCATTGCGCGGGGATGTTCGTTGGCAGTTTGATCAGAAACACTTTACTGCGATGCCGAAGTTGGTCGATAATCAATATCAGTTAGTAGGCCATATGCTCCAGTCGAGCATGTCCTATATGCACGAGGAAGAATACCTATACCACGATCGGCCATTCCTACAGTTGAATGATGTCGCTAGAGAGTTCCTATTTGCTCGTTTCGCATGGTCAATCTTCAACGACACTACCATACCATTCTTTGAGGTGAAAGGGCAGCCTTTTACTGTAAGGGTCCGCAAGGAGGCGGATTCTGGACCATCGGTTGAACTTGCTGTTCATACAGTATCGTCTATGACTTCCCTTCCTAGTTTACGCCAAGGGTCGTCATCCAAGAAACGTACTCGTGATGAACCAGCAAAAGAGCAACATGACGATTCAGATCTGTTTTGGTCCATTGAAGAAGGCAAGATGGTAAACATCAACCAAATAGATTACCCATTTGGTGACCCCGATTTCAACAGTCCTAAGTTCTACGATTCCGAATCTGACAGGCCCGACAAATGTGAACGTCTTGAATAATCACCGACCCCATCCCCGTCTAAGGGTGAAGGTACGTAGTCGCTTGGGGGAGAAAGAAGAGTAGGTATAACGGTTATTTGGGAGGTAAAGAAGACTGCTATAAAAGGGATAAAAGGGGAAATGGTAAGGTGAACTCCTAGCATATTACGATTGTAAGGTTTAAGGAATTTTTAAGATAACTCTCGATAGAAAGTAGGTACACAGATTGGCGGGTTTCGTCCTAGGCCCATTATTTTAACTGGTTAAAAATGATTTATTAGTATTTAATTCTCGATTCCGCTAAACTATATAGTGAAAAGCTAGATAGTTTACATGGTAATGAAGATGTGGGTAATTTGATGTATTAGGAAATGTTTTCTAGTTCGGTTAGGTAGTGGTCCTTGCCCAGCAAAACTCAGTACCTAATACCCACAGCTTACCTAACCACCCTACAAGTACATAGTAGATAAGATATGTCACCTGATCTTTTGTTTTCTGCCGCCCATCACCGCTAAAAAGTTCAAGCTCCAAAATTTTGGCTGATCCGCCGAACCCCACTAAAAAAACAACAATTCTCAACTTACAACCAGTCTTTCCCTTATACTACTACAAAAGCGCAAACGCCATGAGTTGATAGAGTTTACAGAGATCGCATTAACTCTCTGCAAACTCTAACAACTATATTGGTTCCAATTTAAAGTTCTAAACGGATTGGTAAAAGTTGCGCCGAGCTATGAGGTTATAAAAACCGTCAGCCATGAATATTTCACAGCCAATCTCGTCGGCTATCGACAGCGTCGACTTCGACTTCCTGACTCCTACCGAGATCAAAGCTATTTCGGTCAAGAGGATTGAGAACCCGACCACATTTGATAGTCTCCTGAATCCCATACCTGGTGGACTTTACGACCCAGCTCTTGGAGCTTGGGGAGATTCAGTGTAAGTAGAATCCGAAGTCCGAAGTGAATCGCGTGTATCGCCTGTTAATATGGAAGTTAACTTTGCCAGATGCACAACATGTAATCTCTCTCAGCCGAATTGTCCAGGCCACGTTGGCCATATTGACCTCCCGGTCCCTGTATATCACCCTGTTTTTATGGACCAAGTCTTAAGATTGCTTCGTGCGCAATGCCAATACTGTTTTCGCTTTCGAATGCGACGGGCCGACTTGAGCCTTGTCGCTTGTAAGCTACGTCTTCTCCAATTCGGTCTTATAGACGCAGCCAACCACCTCGACGATATCACGGCCGAGACTACCGATATAGAAGTCGAAGATGAAAATCTTTCCGACGGCGAAGAAACCTCGGCGCTTGATAAGATCACTCGAATGAGAGAAGCTTATACCCAAACAACTCTCAAGAATCACAGAATAGGAACCGCTGATATCCGCAAGGGCAAGCATGAAGGTGCATCTGAAGCAAGGAGAGAAGTGCTCAAGAATTTTTTAAGAGATATGACCAAGGGCAGAGCGTGCGCTACGTGCCAAGCGATATCACCAAGCTTCCGAAAGGATCGGTTTGTCAAAATTTTCGAGAAGCCACTTAGCGCCAAGGACCAGGCCAAAATGGCGCAGCGAAACTTCGAACATAGAGATGCATTAGCGATAAAAAGGACGACCAAAGCAAATGTCGCGAAGAAGCGTAGCTACGAGACAGATGAAGGTATCGCCGACATTGATCTACCATCAAGCGAGGGAGAGCCCGACCAGGACAATGACGAAGAAGAAGAAGAAGGAGAGGGAGAAGAGCTTGACGAAAATGGCGATGTGATAATGTCGGAAGGTGGTGATGCTGCTGTCAGAGCCCCCAAGGCAAAGAAGGGCACATCGGCCAAACCTCAGCAACGCTATGTCAACTCGATGGAGGTACAAGCTCGTTTGCAACTATTGTTTGAAAAAGAGCAAGAAATCATGAGCTTGGTTTACAACTCGAGGCCCTCGGGCAAAAAACTCCCCGCCGACAACTTCTTCATACAAACCGTCCTCGTTCCGCCAAACAGGTACCGTCCCGAGGCACGACAGGGTGATGGAGGCATTGCAGAAGCCCAGCAAAACTCCTTATACAAGCAGATTCTCACATCCTGCGCCCGCATTGCTCAAATACATAAGGAAATCACTCAGCAGGCAAAAGATCCCAATTCTACGGCACGGCGGCGAGACATGTCCGAAATGCACGAAGCTTGTGTTCAACTGCAAGACAGCGTAAACTCTCTGATTGATCGCGATAGAAATCCTATTCGTGGAGCCGCTGGGAAGAGGAATGAGGATGGTATTAAGCAGAAGCTCGAGAAGAAAGAAGGTCTCTTCAGAAAAAACATGATGGGCAAGCGTGTCAACTATGCCGCACGAAGTGTTATTTCTCCAGATCCCAATATCGAGACCAGCGAAATAGGTGTTCCTCCTGTCTTTGCCAAAAAGCTAACGTATCCGGAGCCCGTTACTAGTCATAACTTTAGAGAAATGCAACAAGCAGTTATCAATGGTGTCGACAAGTGGCCTGGTGCCGCCGCGATTGAGAATGAGAACGGTCAAATTATCAACCTGAAGAACAAATCCGTCGAAGACCGTGTCGCCTTAGCCAACCAACTCCTTGCGCCGACGAGCCAAGAATATGCCGGCGTAAAAGGCAAAAAGGTCCATCGCCACCTTGGAAACGGCGATGTGGTGCTAATGAATCGTCAACCCACACTTCACAAACCCTCCATCATGGGTCATCGAGCCCGAGTCCTACCTGGTGAAAAGACCATTCGTATGCACTACGCGAACTGTAACACGTACAACGCAGATTTCGATGGTGACGAGATGAATATGCACTTTCCTCAGAACGAACTTGCTCGAGCCGAAGCGTTAAAGATTGCCGACACCGATCACCAATATCTATCCGCCACTGCTGGAAAGCCCCTTCGAGGTCTAATCCAAGATCACTTGTCCGTGTCCGTTGCGCTCTGCAATAAAGACACGTTTTTCGATAAAGGCGCCTATCAGCAGCTGGTATATGGTGCTCTGCGACCTGAGAGTGGTCATATCACAGCTGAGAGGTTGGAGCTTGTCCCGCCAGCCATCTTCAAGCCTGCCAAGCGATGGACAGGAAAACAGGTCATCACAACCATATTGAAGAACATGAAGCCTGCTGGCTGCGGTGACCTCTGGCTCACCGGCAAATCCCAATTAAAGCCTCCTTCTTGGGGCAATTTCCTCGAGGAGAGTAATGTGTTGTTTAGCGACGGCGAGTTTATCACGGGTATCCTCGATAAGTCACAACTTGGTCCTAGTGCTGGTGGGCTCATCCACTCGATTCACGAGATTTGGGGTCCCGAGGTTGCTGCCAAGCTGCTCAGTTGTCTAGGCCGTCTTCTTACCCGATATCTTAATATGCGCGCTTTCACTTGCGGTATGGATGATTTACGACTTACGCCAGAGGGCGAGAAGAGCCGCAAAGAAAAGCTAAAAGCCGCCGACCATATCGGACTCGAAGTTGCTGCCAAATTTGTCAGTCTTGCTGATCGCCCCGATATTACTGGTACAGATGAGCTGTTACTGGAACGATTGGAAGAGGTTATGCGCGACGATACGAAGCAAGAGGGCTTGGATCGCATGATGAACTCCCGATCGCAGGAACTCTCTAGCGAAGTCAATAAGACTCTTCCCGGAGGACTTGTGAAGCAATTCCCGAAAAATCAAATGCAGTCGATGACAACTTCTGGTGCAAAGGGAAGTAGCGTCAACGCGAACCTGATTTCTTGCAACCTTGGCCAGCAAGTTCTTGAAGGTCGAAGGGTACCTCTGATGGTCAGCGGCAAGTCGTTACCATGCTTCCGTCCGTTCGAAACCAGTGTACGTGCGGGTGGTTACATCGTAAATCGTTTCTTGACTGGAATCCGACCTCAGGAATACTATTTCCATCACATGGCTGGACGAGAAGGTTTGATTGATACCGCTGTGAAAACGTCACGTTCCGGTTATCTACAAAGATGTATAATCAAGGGAATGGAGGGTCTCAAAGTTGCTTACGACACATCTGTGCGAGATGCCGATGGATCGATGGTTCAGTTCTTATACGGAGAAGATGGTATTGATATCACCAAGCAGAAATACTTGACCGACTTCGGGTTTATCCTTCGTAACCAAATTTCTCAGGTCAATTTACTTGGCATTGGAGAGAGGGGATGGGATCAAGAAATCTACGAATCCAAAGACTACGCTCAGAAGTACCAAAAGAAAGCCATTAAACAGGCCAAAGCGAACGATCCGAAGGCCCTTGACCCTATTCACACTGAGCTCAACCCCAACCGCCATGCGTTCTCCACGTCGGAGAAATTCTACGAGAAGGTCAACGAGTACATCAAGAAAAATCAAGATGGCTTAATAAAGGAGAAGGGTGAAAAGAAATCAGACGCTATGCTCATCCCCCGCAAGTATGCCGAGAAGATATTCCATTCCAAGTATCTTCACTCGCTAGTAGAGCCTGGCGAGGCTGTAGGCATTGTTGCTGGCCAATCCATCGGTGAGCCTTCGACTCAGATGACGTTGAACACGTTCCATTTGGCTGGTCACTCGGCAAAGAACGTCACACTTGGTATCCCCCGTCTGCGAGAAATTCTCATGACAGCTAGCGACCATATCTCCACACCTTCCATGACACTAGTACTGAACGAAGAACTGTCAGAGGCAGACGGAGAGACGTTCGCAAAGGCCATCAGCATCCTTCCACTCTCGCACGTCGTTGACAAGGTCACGGTAAAGGAGCGTGTTGGAAAAGGTGTCGGCTACCGCTTGGCAAAGATGTTCGATATTCACCTTCAGTTCTTCCCGTCTGCTGAATACACGAAAACATACGCCATCAGCATTTCCGATGTGCTTAATACCCTCGAGATCAAGTTCTTGCCTGTGCTGGAGAAATTGATCAAGAAGGAAATTAAGGCAAAGGTCGACCGAGAAGGCGGGTCGGTACCTGAGGTTGGTGTTAAATCTGGTGTAGTCGAAGTAGCGTCAGGCAACCCCGATGCTGTAGCTCGCGATGAGGATGATGATGACGAGGACGAGGACGAGGATGACGCAACGAATGCCAAGCAACGTGCAAACCGATCACAGGCAGTATCTTATGGTGCGAACGACGAGGAAGATGACGAAATCCAGCAGCGAATGGAACGAGAGGCGTCGCCTGAGGATGATGAGGAGCCCGAAGATGAAGGATTTGGCGGCAGCCCACCTCCACCCAGCGATGACGAGGATGAAGAAGGTAATGTTAGCAAACGAGCGGGCGCCCGTGAGGGTCGCGTCAAGGAGAAGACGCATGCCGTATCTCGTTTTGCATGCGATGAAAAGAAGGGCGAGTGGTGCGATTTCACGCTCGAATACGATTCCAACATCCCTAAGATCCTCATGCTGAGCATTGTCCAAGATGCGGTCAAGAAAGCTCTTATACAGCAAATTGACGGGATTAAGTCGTGCACATTCGTGGCCGACGAGAAGATAGTCGATCCGCGAACTGGTGAGGAAGAGAAGAGAGCTGTGGTGCACACGACCGGTGTCAACCTCCGAGCCATGCAGAAGTATGGCGACTTTATCAACCCTAATAAAATCCAAACGAACGATATTGCTTCAGTGCTCCAGGTGTATGGCGTCGAGGCAGCACGCAACAGTATCATTCGGGAACTCGGGGGCGTTTTCGAAGGTCACGGTATCGCGGTCGATAAGCGACATCTCAACCTCATCGGAGACTACATGACGAGGAACGGAGGGTTCACGCCGTTCAACCGCAACGGTCTGAAGGGCAACGTCAGTCCGTTCACCAAGATGAGTTTCGAAACGACGTTGTCCTTCTTGAAGGACGCCGTTCTCGACGGAGACTGGGACGATCTCACCACGCCGAGCGGCCGAATCGTCATGGGAAGGCTCGGCAAGATCGGTACCGGAGCCTTCGATGTTCTTCTCAAGACGCACCCGAAGAATGGAAAGAACCACTTGGGTTGAGGAACCATCATCATAGTTAATGGAGTATTTAAAAAAGATAGGCGCAATGGATTTTTTTGATTTTTTTTTTTCCCTGTCTTTCTCGTTCGAACATTGGTTAGGAGTACAGTTGTATTCTTAGTGTTTAGATATAGGAAAATACCAGCTATTTCGTTTTAATTATGCCTCTTAGTATGATGAAATGCCGTGATGTAATCTGATGATGAGAAACTGCCTAAACCCCGTCCTTTGGTAAATATTAATTTGGTACGAAACATCCTAGACGTTCAATAGGTAACAGGTACCTGAGATATTAGTTAAATAGGTCGTTTTGCAACACGCCGAATTCTCGTGCGTGGAATATCGCCAAGTTATCGAAAATCAATAGTCCATCCACCATCACCACCACCACCATCGTCCTACGAACTATTCTCACGCCGACTGCGTCCGTTTATATATATCCACACTCACTCTCCCTATTCTCTAATCGTATACGATAGGTAGAAGTCATATATTCCAAGCTCGTAGCTCAGACGTACAATAGTCCCTTCCTGGAAGAGCACCTCACTAACTCAAGGACACATGTTCAAATAGTTATATCAGACAACCGAACTCCCCACCATAGGTATCTCCCTCTCCCCCTCCCCTTCCCCGCCCCTTTCTATTTCCATTCCTCATCTGTCTAGGTAGGTTAGGTACCTACCTTATCCCAATAAAGTTTCCCCTCCCCTCCCCCGAGAGAAGGCCGCGTGTATACGAGCTAAGAGGTATCTACCTTAGGTATCTATCTACCTATAGGTAGGTAGATACCTATCTAAAGTAACCGAGTACCTAGGTAAAAAAACGAACAACTTTGCCGCCGATGGACTTCGTCATAGGTACCTACCTAACCTAAGGTGTAAGTAAATACCTAACCAAAAGCATGTGCGAATGCTAGGAATATTTAATTCATACCTATCATATTACAGACGTGTGCAAGAGGGGATTATTAAAACAGATAGTTTTCATTTCCTCGATAGAAACATTAGTTACCTACCTTAGGTACTTACCTAGGTAGTTACAACTATGTTAGGTGAAGTGACTTGGGTTGAGGTGCTACATTGCAGTAGGTAAGGTAATGTTCAGGTACATACACCACGCATTCAATAGGGCGCGAATCAGTATTACAGAATACCTACAACACAATGCTCCAGTTAGAGTAGGTGTGCTATCAGCACTAGGTGGTAACTACCACCTAATCACGAGTATTAGGCAGAAACATTTCAAGGCATAAGGCATACGCGGTATGATTTCGTAAACTAGTACGTAGCGATAGTTACATTTGGGGAAAAGTCACTCGCGGGCAATGGAAAGGACACAAGAAATGTGGTTTTGTTTGTTCATGTTATTTTCAGATTTCTCTGTTCAGTATGGGCGGCAGCGGAAGAACAAAAACAGAGCCGACTGCCTTTATCACTGATGGTACAATCCATATCTGTAGTAGCAGATAAAAAAGCAACGTATTCGCAAACGCCGTAATGATTACCATTCCCTGTAAACCGAATTCATCATGCCATCCCTGTGGGGAATCATAAAAAGTGCTGCATTCCCGAACCAAACCCCATGTGTCACAAATGTGTTATCACCAAGACCGTAAGTTGGCAGCTTAGTTGCGCTCACCACGGAGGCGGCGGGCAAGCTGGATATCCTTCTGCAGAGGTTGTTAGCAATGTGTAAAGTAGTAACAGTATGAGTGATGGATGTACTGACCGATTGGATGGTGACACGCTTGGCGTGGATGGCGCACAGGTTGGTGTCCTCGAAGAGGGAGACGAGGTAAGACTCGACGGACTCCTGAAGAGCACCGATGGCGGAAGACTGGAAGCGGAGGTCGGACTTGAAATCCTGGGCGATTTCACGAACCTATTAAGCGACGCGTTAGTTTTAAATATTTGATCGATGATCGCGTTGCGGGGTAATCGCGTTGTTTAAGTAGGAAGAACACGGTCGCGATGTATGCATATCGTCAAATGACGCGTAGATAAGATGCGACCGCGAGGTGATGTTGAAATGAGTATGTGTATCAGTAATAACTTACCAGACGCTGGAAGGGGAGCTTGCGGATCAAAAGCTCGGTCGACTTCTGGTAGCGACGAATCTCACGAAGAGCGACGGTACCAGGCTTGTAGCGGTGAGGCTTCTTGACACCACCGGTTGACGGGGCGGACTTGCGGGCAGCCTTGGAGGCGAGCTGCTTACGGGGAGCCTTGCCACCGGTGGACTTACGGGCGGTCTGCTTAGTGCGGGCCATTGTAGATGGTGATTGTTGGGGATTGGTTTGGTGATGAAAAAGTTGATGGAAGTGGTGGTTTTGTGGATGGTTTAATTAGATGATGATGATGGTGATGATGGTGATGAAGGCGAATGCGGATTGATGTTGTAATGTGGAAAAGAGAAAACGGATTGGAGGGGGTGGGGGGAGACTTGATTAAATATGTGAGAGAGTGGGTTCCTTCTTTGGCTGATTGTGTGCGAAAGTAAGAAAAAGTCCGGGGGGCAACTACCTAATCGGATGGTCAATGCGCTAAGGTGTACGTTGCAGGATCAGGAAAAAATAAAAATGAAAAATGAAAAAAGGTGCGGTAACTCGGGGGGTTGCGTTGTTGATTATTTTTTCGGGGGGGAGACAGGGATGCGTTTTGCTATTCAAAGTGTTTGAATTTTAGGTGGGAATTTTGAGACTTGGTTGGCATTCGGGACTTGTCTAATTTCTGATTGGGTGCATCGAAGCGCGCCTCTCCACAATTATAGTGACTTTACTACTTTTGTAACTTTTTAAATCTCCTAGCACCTGTACCTAGGTAGCAATTGCCATTTTCCTGATTTTATTCGATAAACGGTTGTACACATCACAAATGTAGTGTATCACAATATATTAAAAACTGATAACACATTTGATAAGGCGAAATGTTACTCAGCTGAAAGGACGACACAGAGGTACAGTACCTACATACTTGCACATCTTCCTTGATACGTCATATATAGGTACCTATCTAAGATACCATGTTATTCAAGCACTTTTTTCATTATTCTATTTGCAACCAGCACTATTCAGCCCAAATGTTTTAGGGGTGGCAAATCAAGCATGTTCGATGTACTCATGTCAATATATTGTGTGTGAAGGGCGGCAGTTACTATGTAGCTACGTATTTCTTTAAGGTGACAGACATTCTAGATCTAAAAGCTTCTCCGTGGAATAGGTTAGGATCTTCTATGCAAGGTACCTAAATTAGAGCAGTAGATAAAATGGTATTTAACTATTCCTAGCATGGTAACTATTAAAATAAAAAGTGCATAGGAGGTAAGGTTCAGTTTTTAGTTATCACCTTTAGAGTTTGCGTCTGTAACACATCTATCAGGTACCTTTAGGTATTAATGAACATGCAGGTTATAAGTGTGCGTAGGTGAATGAATAATGAAGAACACGGTACGATTGATAAAAGCCGAAAAGACGATAAGAGAAATGCGAATTAATGATTGGCTCAAAGCCGATTTAAACTCTTGCATATGGAATCCGTCCTAAACGGGAATAGCGGAGCCGGTGTAAAAAATCCAGCGCAGCATTAGAAAACGCGTTGGAACGCAAAGTTCTCTCCTCTCTTTTTTTTCTATTGGTCAGAATCCGTTCTATTATTTTGCGACCTGTGGGGCTGATCAGGCACGAGTTCGCGTCAAATCCTGGGCTGATCTGATTTCGAGCTACCGGACCCGCCCCGTTCATATTTAAAACTGTCACTTTTCCCCACGTTGACCTCAACCTTTTCCCATCTCCCCCCTCAAAACATACCGCCTGCATATCAGCCTCATCTGTAAAACCAACTTGCACCAGCAAACACCCTAATATACCAACCACTACTCTTTTATAAACCCTCATTTCAATATGACTGGACGTAAGTAGATAAATCCCCCATTTTAGCTTTTCAGCTTCAGCCTTACCCGCATCGTCGTTGCTAACGTACCTCGAAATAGGCGGCAAAGGTGGCAAGGGCCTTGGAAAGGGCGGCGCCAAGCGTCATCGCAAGATTCTTCGTGACAACATCCAGGGTATTACCAAGCCCGCTATCCGACGTCTCGCCCGTCGTGGTGGTGTCAAGCGTATCTCAGCCAGTAAGTTGCCAGTTGCCTTTACTACTCTCAAGTCACGTCTACGACGCGTCAGTTGACTAACATGTTTCCCCCTCGCGCAGTGATCTACGAGGAGACCCGAAGTGTCCTGAAGTCCTTCCTTGAGGGTGTCATCCGTGACGCCGTCACTTACACCGAGCACGCCAAGCGCAAGACCGTCACGTCTCTGGACGTCGTCTACGCCCTGAAGCGACAGGGCCGCACCCTGTACGGTTTCGGTGGTTAAGCTTTTTTCGAGTCTTGGTCTTTGCGGAAGGGGTTTGGTCATGTTTGTTATGAAGTCTTTTTCTCGCGCGGTTGCCACATACACACTATTTGCATTGTGGTTGGTCATGATGATCATGGGATTCGGTTCTGCGTTTAGGGTGTTCACTGTATCATAAAGGGATTAAGGGAGTCCACTACCATGGATTTGTCCATCGAGGCATAATCAATTGACGAACACATAAGAACACTCATCCTCTCTTCATCGCCCGTGATTGTACTGTATTGCCTGTGTTCTCTTATCTGCTCTGACTCTATGCTGTGACTCATCGCGTCTAGTGACATGTCCGACTTGCAGCCTAGATGCTACTTGGGGTCCAAAGGCCCCCGTTCAACGATAGTCGTAATTGTTCTAGTGTGATACCCTCCGTGCATGATTAGCAGTTCCGAAATATGTTAAGTACCTAACCTACCTAAGTGCATGCGACCGAAAATATTTATACGTAATGACAGGTAGTTTGATGTGTAGGTGCCTGAGGTAGTCATCACAATGAACCAGTTACTATCACTTCAAGCTCATGCATTAGGTACATTCGCAATATTTTCACCACCAACACGCCGAGACAGCCTTTGAACTTGAGCCTATATATTTGTGACTACACTAGGAATAATCTATCAGATGCACGTTTGCCTTCTTGGATAAGACGTTCATTTGTGTATGCTTACATCCGATTTGTTTGGTACCTATCTATATTGCTAGGAAATCCAAAATAAGATAGAATTGAGAACCAACTAGCGTACAGTTTCAGTATCATTAAAGTTTGTAAATTTATGAATTTATTGCTGTTACTTTATGATTCGATGTTAAGCTATATATACCTGGTATTTAATACAGCCTAGTTAAAAGTGAACATAAGTAGTTCATATTCATGATTATTCTATTGTAGGTAGGTATTGTTACTTGCTCATGCTTGTTTTGAGCAATTTATGTGAACCTAATATGCATCATATATTTTAATCACTAGGATCTATCCTATCTTCGCAAGTCATTATTCAATTATACTTGATGATAAATACATCCCATCGTGCAATATACCCGAACAGAATTGAAACATACGGAATGACAGACTTGTTAGTCTCAAGACGAAGCCTACGCAAAGAATATAAATCGACAATAGGTACCTACCCATGCATTAAGGATGGAGTAATTATATTCCTTATCCTAGATGTCTCCGTTGAAAGTGTAGTGTTTTAACTAACCGACACCGTAAACCATAGGTAAACACAATATAACCTAGTATACGAATCTATGCCAAATATTCCAATAAAAGTAAATATGATCTCATTTTCCTCGAAATGCCATATGTGTTGTATTAAGTTAGGAGGTACATATGATAAACTTTAAAGTCCTCCATCCTATGATTCGAAGCATTGGATATCATCTACTGACAAATTTCATAGGTGATACCTATATATGTACCTCTAATGTAAATGTACGAATACTACTTAAGGTAAACCGAATTTAGATTAAACATCAGGACCTTGCTTCCCTTGGAGATATTGATTGCCTAGTTGTAATGCGAATAACGGCTGTTATGAGAAATGCAAGCCTGATTTACATCTATATACCCATATAATTGAGGCTTGTAATTGCAGCCAATAGGTATGCATCGTGATAGTGAGTAGCATAATGCGAAGAAGCACCAATTTAGACATAGTAGTGAATATTTCAGGCTTCGTCCATGAGTTAACCAGTTGATAATATCTCACTCCTTATATTAAGTACCTACCTACCTATGTTTATTATCCTACAAGGGTGCAGTTTGACGCCGTGGAGGGAATATAGGACTTGGAAACAACACCTGGAAGCTCCCCGATACTTATATATACCTAGGTATATATATATATATATATATGATTGGGTGAGTGTATTTTCTGTTATTTGATAATTACTATGCTTTTGTATAATTCCATCTGCCTTGCCCCCCTTACAGGTACATACATTTAATCGATGAGCAAATCTAAAATGGTTAAATGTACCTAATGTAAGCCATGTCGTCAAAGGTACATATATCCTGTATCAATCTCCTTTCTGGGTTCTGCCAGGCCGCACCGCCCTTGTCCCCCCAAGCACCGTTTTGTAGTGGGACTGGACGACCGTTTCTCTTAAACGGAATCTTGGGCCTACCCCTGAGAACCCGGAACATCTACTCATGCCGCTCCGAACGATGTCAGGTCTTATCCGTTCACACCCCTTTTACATTTTTACTTACCCCATCCCCTTTCTACATCACCTACGTGATAGTTACCTCAGCCAAGATTCGCGTGTACCACGGAATCAGGTATAAAGTGCGCGCCCCCGGTGCAGCGATAGCCATTGCCATCCCTAACGTATGGAAATCCATACACACATTTGTTGGCTGTTTCGAGAGCCTGCTGGATTTTCTCCTCATCCTGCATTTGCTTCTCGATATCCATCACCTCTTTTCGAAGGCCGTTGCATGTAGCCTCCAAGCCGGTAGTGCCACCGCCACTACCCGTGTTACCACCATGTCTCAATGCCTCTTCCTTCTCGTGCAGTTCGCGGCGGAGGTGCTGGAGCCGCGCGTCTCTATGGTTGCGTCTAGTGCTCTCAGCCTGCTGGGCCACGAGTAGTCGGTTCCACACGGCGATGGATACGCCGTTCTCGGGACCCGCGCTATGGTGGTGGTGGTGGTGGTGACCTTGATCGCCACCGGTGCCCACATCATAGGGCCGGATAATATCGACTGCCGTGGCTATATCTACTGGCTGTAGCGATGGATATTGAGAGTCGACATGTATACTGGAATCTACTGCGCGGGTCTCTCCAGCCCCAGGAGTGAGTATTTCCGTATCAACCCCGGCAGGCGGCGGCGCTAGTTGAGGGTTCGCCATCCCTAGAGTTGGGTCAGGCGCTCCCATGGGCGGCTCCAAGAGTGGCTGTTGTGTGTTGTTCCTCGATCCCAGGTGCTGGTAGCGACCACGCTGCTGCACTATCATTTCCTTCATGCAGTCGATCACCTGCTCTGCTGCGAGGAATCCGCGCTCGTTGGATGAAGTGCCGTCATTTCGGGACGCAAGATACCTTCCTGTAATTTTCCTAGCAATATGCTTGATATCTCGAGCATTGCTCCAGCTGGGGATTACCTGCAAAGCGCGAAATAACCTCTGGACTTTCTTGTAGTCTTCTGCCTCCGGGTCCGTGAGGAAGCTCTGCCCGTCGAATGCTCTGCTGACTTTGCTGAGCTCTCGAGCAAGAAGTGCCATGCATTGATGGGGCGGGATGTGGTTGAAAACAATTTCATCTCTGAAGAGACCTGCGAGAATGTGCCGTGTTAACAAGAGCAAGTTCATGTCTTCGGTATACCCTGCAAGGATCACAATCGTTTTTCCTTGGTTCGCGGGCTTGGTGAGAAAATTGATCAATTCGTCCAGAGCCTCTGCCGCGTACTTCGAGCCGATGAATCGGTAGGCCTCGTCAATGAAAAGGACTCGGCCCATAGCCTCTTGAAGTTTCTGACTCGTTTTGGGAGCGGTGTGACCGATGTATTGGCCAAGCAGATCACCCGCAGAGCATTCGATGACCTCGTTTGTGGATAGGAACCCCATTCCGTAGAAAAGCTTTCCCATCTGTTGCGCAGTAATGGTCTTGCCTGTACCTGTTTACGAAACATTGTAAGTCTCGATCATCCTGCACATACTTTGGTTGTCTTTCCAAGAAGAGGGATTCTACATACCGGGTGGTCCTTTGAAGATGAAGTTTGTTGGAATCAGGTCTCTAGGATTGATACCACAGCTTCTTGCCCCAATGCAATTTTTGTGGAGTGTTGTAAGTGCAGCAACGATATCTGGGTCAACTCGCCCCTCTAGAGCCGTCCGACAGTCGAGCTCCCCTGCCTGCCAGCCGCGCTTCCAATCCGGGTCAAAGTCTTCAGGCTCGAAGACAGCGTCGGAATCTTGTAAGTTAGGAGGTTGCCTTGAAATCCTTGCCTCATAGTTAAGATTAGCTGTAGCGACGCAACTTTCGACCTCGCCTGCGTTTGAGAAGTTGGGACGCATGAGCGCCCGCTCAAACATCGCTTCGGCCGTCTTGATAGCATCGGGTGAAGACTCAATGTCACTCTCGGCCAGCTTCTTGCGTAGAATCTGTACTAGCTGCGAAACATTGAAATTTTCGAAACGGAAAGGTCGTTCGATGGGGAACCGGCGTGACAGACCGGGGTTCACATGGCGAAACATCGTTTTGATCTTGTCTTCGTAACCGACGAGAATGATGCACCGGTCCTCTCCGGGAACCCCTTGTATCATGGAGACGAGGGTGTCAATTACGCCAGTTTTGAACTTATCTTGCTCTTTGCCAGGATCTCCCGCATCAAGCATATACGCTTCGTCGATTACGAGTACCTTGCCAATCGTAGCTTCAAGGACCCTCTTCGTTTTGGCTTCCGACTTGCCAAGACACTCCCCGATGAAATCCGCCGGGGTTTTTAGCACAACTGGGAAAATGTTAGCAATTTGCGTTTCTTGTATGAGATATCGACCCGAATGGACCTCTTGCGTTTTTGTGAAGGGAAGGAGACATGGTTACTTACCATCCCCTCGGCTCAAGTAACCTAGATCAGCCAATATCTGACCATAGAGCTTTGCTACGGTGGTTTTTCCCGTGCCAGGTGCACCGACGAAAATCTGATTCAACGACAGCTTCAATGGCTTCCTCTCTTTGAGTTCACGTCTGTAATTCGTGGAGATCATTCCAATAGTCCTTTTCACACAATCTTTGACCTGGTCAAGCCCGATAAGCTTTTGCAACTCATCCCAGGCTGGGCATCTTGTTGCAGACTTGGAGGGATCTGGTCCGATTATGTCCGCCTGGGTGAGAAATAAGTGATCGGGTCTGAGGCCTCGTCGTTCTTCTTCCCCCAAGCGTTTCGTCTGTCGCTTGGATATGGTTTCAAAAAGATTTTCCACGGCTCGTGCGTTTCCGAAGGCCCTGCTACCTCGACTCTGAGAAAGGCGGCGGATGGCAATGCGCATGTATAGCCCTTTCATACCCTTCTCGACGACCATGCGTCCTTGGTATTGGTCGACAATAAGGTTATGCATAATCTTCCATAGTTCCCAGTCAGTGAAGTCAGCGAAATTGAGGGTATAGGGAATCCGGCTCGACAGTCCTGGGTTATGCTCAAAAAAGGGTTCCAACTCAGTCTTGTATCCCACGAAAATGACCACAAGCTTGCCGATGTTATTTTCCATTTCAGTGAGAATGATGTCCAGAGCTCTCCGACCCAGTCCATCCATATACTCGGCTGTCAACAGGTAGGCCTCATCCACGAAGAGCACCCCGCCATCGTTTCGGATCATAATTTTGATCTTATTCTTGATTCTTCTGGCACCTTTTGCAGCAATCTCCATGCCTGTGGTCTCCTTTACAGTGCTAGAGTCCAGGATACCAGTGGCGTGGAGGAACTTCGCGTACAGACGAGCAACGGTGGTTTTGCCTAAGATGGAGGATGTGGTCAGTTTCACGTGAAACCAGGAGATAGCGGTTATTCTCGTACCTGTCCCGGGGTTTCCCTGAAATACTATGTTGAATCGCTCTTTCTTGAGGTCTCTTCCCTGTTTCTTGCAGATTTCGACCTTGGTGAGAATGTCTAAAAACATCTGCTTGACTTCCTCAAGACCCTCAAGCTTCATCAACTCATCTAATATGGCTATACAATCAGGTCTAAGCGAATCATCATCATCACTCGATTCCCCATCATCACTCGATCCCTCATCATCGCTTGTGGGTTCTTCGGGAGGCTTCGTAGTATCTTGCTCATTCTTTAACACCAACATCCATTTTCTTCTTGTCTCCCATTCGTCATATGCTCTTGATGGTGTACGTCGAAAATGTTTGTCATCGTGGTCGAATAGAGGAGCTGTACTAGGGCGAAGGAAGGGGGCTGAATCGACTAGATCCGGGGATGCAGGGCAAGAATTAAAAGGTCGAGAATGTTCAGGAGTATTGACTAGGCGCATCACGGAACTCGGGCGTTCTCTTCTTGGTATAGGCTGTTGGAAAGGAGGAGCATGAGGATGTCCTTGAGCGTCCTCAATCTGTATTGCCGGAGATGGCGTCGGTGACGGAAGCGGGGATGCTGACGGGGATGCTGACGGAGACGGTGGTGTGGACTGGGATTCAGGAGTGTCTTCAGGATGAATCTCAGAGGTACACACAGGCTTCTGGATTGACTCTGACTTCCATAGGCTTGGTTCCTCGTCCGAGTAGACAGATGGGGGGGAAGAGGTACCGCTCCTAGTTGAGGGGACGGAGCTGTTGGCTGTTGACGGTCGAGTGATTTCTTCCAGTGGTACATATATCAACGCCTCATCTGGGCGGTTCGTGCCCCCGGCATTCTCCGGTAGGGGCGCGAGACCTACTTCGGGCTCCTGGATCCTGATACTTGGTATGCCTCCAGTAACAAACTCGGCGGGGGCATCTTCTGATTGAGAAGGATCCATTGGTGGCAGACAGTCAATAACAAGAAAATAAGACGGCTTAGTACAAGAAAATGCGAAAAGGGCGAAGAATAGCTTGGTGTGGTGAGATGGGCATGCTTTGCGAAGTAAGCGCTTTTTATGTTCATTGAACTCATTCGATGCTGGTACTGTGCTGTACCGACACATAGTGTAGACGCAGAGCAGACAGATCTGTAACGCATAGCCGCAATGTACCTAGGCGGCAGAGCTCCGATAACAGCATCTGTTGGCAAGTCCAGCATATCAATACCGATATCTCAGCCTGTAGGTTGCATTATACCGACGCCATCAAGAAAATTTTGGAAACATTTGTGACCACGTATTCCCACAGCCTCAGTAAACGTTTCTAGAATCTCGGCGATGCCTTGAGTATAGCCCAACCATTTCTCATCCAGCCTGTGCCTTGCAATACCGTGTGATTGTTTCTCTCAAATAGTGGGTAGTTAACAGGTATGTGCGATAATAGCAAGCTCCAAGACCCGGCGGGGTAAATTGGGCTCTATATGATAGAGATCGCCATCATGTTGTTTCGGCCAACCAGAAAATCTTTTCACAATATGTAATTCAAACTGTTCTCTGTTGAGATCAGTATCAATGTGCTGTCGGGCTATTTGCTAGGCAGTGACAGTGTCGAGGCTTGGTAGTTCGGTGCATAAGTGTACATACTTACATATATCATGTCTAGTATCTGTTTTGCGTACCTAGGTAGTCTCAGATGCACGTAATGTAAAGAAAATATATTGTCATACTTGGATCCAATCGGAAATAAACGCGTCGCTTCGGCTGATTTGAAGAATTTCCTCAGGCAGACTGGCAGCCTCAGCCTGCTTTGTAGTTGCATATGTCCGAGATAGTAAGTAACATAGTGAACTTTTCGAGTGTATATAGCTGAACTAACCTTAACCGTTGAATGCCAGGGGCGTACTAAGACACTTCGATATTCCGCATTATCTCCTTGAATAGCAAACCTCCCTCCTTTGTTCTGAGCGATCTCGAGTTTATCCATCATGTCTGGAAACGGGTCAGGGGGGGTGTCCGATTGGATATCAGCTGTATCATCCGTTGCTGCTGCCATCGTTGGCCTCATGACTTTAGTTACCGTCTACACTGGAGCTATCCAAATCCTCTCACAGAATCGGATGTACAAACTTGGCCTGTCACCCGAATCTCTCGGCCCATGGACTGCCAAGGTTGCACAATCAACACTCTTGGGCTTCCAATGGCGCATATCGACCCCATCTGTCAGCCTCAAGTCCCTAGTTAAGAACAAGTGGCAACCGAATATCGTCTTCCCAGTCGGTTTCCCGCGACGAGGCTGCGTCGAAAGGGGGGACAATGTCATGGCTAAGGCAAGCTGGGTCAACTTCATGCAAGGTCTAGGCCTATCCCCCACTGATGATACTTTCTATGAAATGTGGGGCGTCTCCGGGCTTGTAAACTGCATCGTTCCCATGCGATGGACGGGGCAAGATCTCGTGGGGATATGCTCCATACTGGGATTCCAGTCGTTTGAGAAGGAACCTAGCTTTAAATCCCCGATGATCCTTCCCATGCAGTGGTCCGGCCCACTTGGCTGGGTGCAGTTCCGATCCAGTGAAAATGGGTGCGTCGCTGAGTTCCGGAACAGGATAGACTTGTATAACCAGATACCCCTCGATTTCCATAAATATTATAACGACTGGAGTTCCGACCTACCTCGCGAGCCCTATTACCTAGAGTCACGTCTCTGGAATTCTATCAATGGCTTATATCTTAAAGAAGGGGGAGGTACGTCCCTGTACCTCGGCGGAGCGATTAAGTGCAATGTAGACCAAGACCCAGGTGACGAGGAAGACATTCCCCAAGACCAGGTACTCGATGATCTCATGTCAGCAGACCTTCCCAATGAAGACATTCTACGGATGCTCTTTGGTAGAAGAAAGGATCGGCCAGCGGCGCTGCAGCGAGAATTCGAGAGAGCACGGGGAGGTGGTCGACCCTTCGCTGGAAAGCGCCGCGAGGATGACACGGACGACTTCCTCAATTCTATGCTCCGGGATACCATGGAATCCAGCAATAAGAAGCAGGTCTTCTTGCCCTGCCCGGGATTACTGTCAGTGTCTTTCCACGGCGAGCTAGCCCACAACCGGGGCTTGAGTATCAAAGATTCGAAGGAATATCGTCGCATTTACATTGACAACAAGGATGTGGACAAAATCCGATACCCCTACAAGCTTGGCGACCTTTATATGGATAAGAAGCTCCTCAAGTATGTCAAAGAAGCAATACTTCTCCTCAGACCTGACGGCTTCTATTTTTCTCCCACGCCACGCCTGTATGGCGACCTCTGTGAAGCCTACCAGCATATTGAGGACCAAATAAAGAAGAAGATCTTTGCTATCGACGATAAACCACGTGCACAAGGGTCAAAAGTCCCAAACGGATCCCCAACTGTTCCCCCACTTACAGGGAAATATGCATATCTTGATTATGGAATGCGACTCTGTAACGAGCTTCAGGTCACACGGAAGACAGCGAAGGCGTGCTTCTCGGTCGATGATATGCGCCTATTTTCCAAGGCGGCGTGTGCTTTAAAGGAGATTTTGAGCCCTACCGGCCGCAGTGACGGGGAGGGTTTGGTGTGGGCTATGCTCTACTGCACGGATCTCTCCACGAATGTTCGGAGATGGTTTGAAGCCGCTGGCAACGACAAGGAAGCCTTCTTCTCCGCCAAGATCACAAGTAAACATGGCCAACTGGACTGTGCGAGCTTGCTTTCCTTGGCTGACCCGGCTGAACAAGAGAAGCTGACGCTAAAAACGGCAACCACGTTCACGGTGCCCCTCCTCGACGACGGTGAGTTCACAGGAGCGCAGATCCTGGCCGCCCTAACGATTGTTTTCATCACGTACTTTTGGATTTCGAAGAAGTGGATCACGGACGTTGCTGCGTACGACTTGACGATGCCACAAAACGTTTTGATGTACTGATTTTGATCTATGTGGGAGGGAGGTATGTGGACATAAGGTGGTTAAAGTGAGATAGTGGTATAATGTTGTTCTGATGATGGTGTGGGTGGGTCGGGCCTTTTACCCAGTTTTATTTTAAACCCTCATTAGATTTACTCCAGGAGTGTGGACCTTACCTACCTCTTCCTACCTAACGAGTCCGTTTTATTAAACGGGACCACTAATTTGTTCCGTTACAAAAACCGTATGTCTATTGGCATCCGTTTCCTTCCAGTCTTGGAGCTTTCTATAGGTATGTCGCGTAGACATCATTTATGTGTAATATTTATATTCCGATGGAACATTTCAACCTCGTATATGTCTCACGCCTATGTCTTCAAAACTAGAATTTAGGTAGTAACATAACATCCTCATCATCGCTCACTAAGCATATCTAATTATTCATCTCTTCTATCATAGCCTATCTACGGCTAAGGTGAGTCAGGCTACAATGTAGCATGGCCTCTTGAGAATATGAGTGCATGAGGCTCTTTGCCTGTTACAAGCTCAATGTGCCCCAAGTACCTAAGGTACCGCGCGGAACACTTTAATATCTTATGCAAGATCGTCCCGACTCAGCACGAGCCTCAAGGCTCAAGTTCTCACCTCATCTCTCAAGAGAAAATCCGTGATAGTAGCAATACTTTATTCCTAGACGCCGTGTAAAGTACATCATCAACTAACGCCATAGGCATAGGTAGTCATAATATAAGCATCCAAGTAGAAACGCCCTCCTCATTATAGTCAGATGTTGCCATGTAGATAGTCACATTTCAAGTAGTCATTTCTCTTACTGACTCTTACCAGAATTTGCTAATATGACTCTTGTTCCTAATAGGGACATGTTACGAGATTGCCGGAAGTAGGTAGATTAGGCGACCTCATGCGGCAGGCAGAAAATCTCAAAATGACAAACGCATTCTTTCGTGACACTTATACGGGATGGACTGTATTTTACGTACGATAAACAGTCCACAGTCAGCTTTTTTCACTAGACTTTGCCGATTAGACTCGGCGATGTTGGGGGTATCAGTATCAGCTGAGCTCAATTCCTGTCACGCGATCAACAGACCGGAACATACTGTAGAGGCCGATCGATTCTAGCCCCGGGCTCGGGGTATCGTCCATAAACCATCTTTTACTAGGACGCATCGAGATCTCCATCCCGTAGCCAGTACCCAAGTTAGTGTATTTATGAGTTTGGATGGTGGAGAAGGGAAGTTGTAGGTTGTAGGGCTATAAGTGACATGATACCTCTCTCATCATGTTTAGCACCGTACATACACAGTGCAAGACTTCTTGGTTCCACAAAGAAAGAAAGAAAGGCACCGTACTGGAGTGGTAATTAATATGTTTGGAAGCATGAGCACGTGGGAAAATATCGAGGGGCTGATTAAGAAGTTGGCGGGGATTCTCGAACGCGAAAACACGCGTGTAACACTCACTTACAGGGACCAGGCGCGTCTCATATCCCACCAATTTCGTCCGATTTTAGACTAGCACAAGCTCTAAATCACCTAAACTTCGCCCTACCTCTACTAACTACCTCGGTACCCAATATAAATATTTCCTCCCTACATTAGGTATATTTCATCTCCTCGGTATACGAGTGTTTTGTCGAACTTCTCCGAGGATATGCGTAATGGATCCTTCCGACGCGACGTGCATACCGAGTTTCTGAATCACGATGGGTAGGTCGTTGGCCTGGACGGAAACTTGTCGTCTACTCGAGACGGAGAAGCCGTTGTTGCTATATCTGGAACATGACCTTGATGCAAGATCTCCATGCGTTCACCAGCATGATGCGCTGCTGACAGCGCTCGGTGAAACCAACCAAGATGGAATTGACAGATGGATGGATGCGTGTAACCGCTGGGCGTATTTCACGACAGGACATCTAGAAGTAGCTACCGTTGGGTACATAATGTATTCCTCGAGACCGAGCCCTATCTATCCGCACTAGGATGAGAGGTTGTGCAAGTGCTCTATTTCAGGTGGTCTCGACTTTTTAGGGGTTGTTGCACCATGTCAGCACTCAAAGACGAGGTTCACGTAACCAGCCATCCGACCAGGAACCAGCGAGACATAAAGGCATCGCCTTCTAGACCCTTTGGTAACGATGCATGGCATTGTTTCAAGTGGATAATATGGCGTTGCGAATTACCCACGTTTACAAGTTCAAGACATGCATGCGAGTATAAGGGGAGTCTAGATGAAATTTTTTCAAGTACCTACCTAAGTAAGGTATGACATGAAAACTGCGGCAGATAGGCAGTGATATGTTACATTCAAATTGTCTTACAATTTTTTTTTGGATTACAATATGGAGAACTGGGCTGCTAACCTTGACGCTGGCGCCGCATTCGGGTGCGTGCACGAGGAACTTTGCGGGGGAAAAGGAACAAGAAAAAAAAAATAGAAGTCTAGATTGTACACATCAACCTAGATTGAGTGTTGTACATAAGAGCTTGCGTTTGCGCTAGTCAGTAAGGGGTTACGACTTACAGAAGCCACCCGAGCCGGGGCCGACCGATCCCGTGGTATATCGTCGTGATACGGAATAATACGGCTTTGTATGTATGTAAGGTGAAAGAAAGAAAGAAAGAAAGAATCTGTTTCGTGAGCTGCAACGTAACTTGTCTTTGTCTAAGACTTCGTGTTCTCGAGTTGGGCATCCCTCGTTCCTGCAGTAGCTCAGTAGTTTAGTAGTAGTTCTAGCCAGCTTGGTATACTCGTGTCGGTCGAAGCGAGGAGCAGTTCCATGTGGGAGAGATCAGTTCGCACAAGCTGAATGCAACTTCAGCCGCAGCAGACCGGATTACACAGCATCAAAGCATGGGGAATGTGTAATCGTATTCTAAACTTTCCCATGTTTTTGAATCCCATGTGCTCAGATTCGTGTTATCGTCAGCACTATAGGTCGGGAAGCGGAAAAGGCTGTGTACTCGCTTGTACGCAACCCCTAATCCCTGATCTCCTGTGCCGTTGACGCTTGCTCTGGTTCCTGACCTAGCTGACGCCTTGGCTGATGGGAAAAGAGTAGTAACACAAGCGCATGGGTGACAGACAAATGGCGATTGTAACCGAAATCCACAGGTTACAACGATGACGATGTAAGTACCAGATGTAAGTAACGATGTGGGTTCATGTGGTCACAATCGATGGTTATGCCGCATCTTTGCGCCGTTCAGGTTTTTTGCCGAACTGCACGGGCTGCCTCCCGATCCCCGCGGGATATGCGGGCGGATGGATATCCAGGGCGCCGATCAGATAACACCAATCGATCGAGAGATACGTTTAATACATAATTACAACGCTTCTCATTGGATGGTTTGAACCTGTCATGTATACCTTAGGTAACCTTTGGTTCGCTACTGACACTGCATGCAGTTAGATTAGGTATAATTTGGTAGTATGAATCAACCGAAACAACTATACTACTCGTCGGGGCTCTAGACGCCGTAAGAGTCGGAACTGGCATCTAGACTCCCGACAAGTACTAGAGGGAAAAAGTAAAAAAGAATGAACATCCAATACCTCATGAAGTAGAGCAACAAGCGCCCGGGACAACCGACATGTAAGGTACATTGGGCATACATAACACATAGCACAGCCACGCACCATGTACTCGGTAGAATGTTCCACAATCTTTTTTTCTTCTTTCCTTTCCCTTACCAATTAAAGGTCCAGATTTTCGGTTCCAGATCTCCGGGATTTTATTCTGCCAACCGTAAGCCGCGAACAGCATTTGGAATACGATTTGAAATACTGAAATGCCGTTGTCGGGTAATAATAATAATAATAATAATAATAATAATAATAATAATAATAATGCAGAGCAAAATTTTTTTTCTTGCATTACAATCTGAGCCTACCGAGGGAGTATGCACTCGGCCTCAGCAAAGCCAGACGGCGTTCGCCGTTGTTTGGTAATCTGAGGTATCGCAAGCCATCCCACAGTTGCGGTTGCGAACGGGGTTTGGGTGTATCACGTGTGATGTTAATACTGCGCTCAACCGGGTTCGGGGTCTGCGTGTGAGACCGTCTGTTACTCAAAGTGGCAGATGGAGTAGGGAGATAGGGCTTCCTTAGTCATCTCCGGGCTTATAGTACTGCAGGATTTTGCGGGAGTTAAGCATGTCGGAGTCATCGGAATACCTACGCTGAGACTCAGGCCGGCGCTCCGATTCTTATCTTCTATTAGGTATGTACTATTTCCATGGTGGCCCATGTAGGGCTGAATAACGCCAGGAGACAAAAGCGAATGCCGAGATTTCTTAAGGTTCTTTTTTTTTGTTAGAACTACTAATTCGCCGTAGCACATAGAACCTTACTGCATGTTTTTAGTCTTTTTATTTTTATATTTCTATATAGTACTAGTATGTGTATTTCTCTAGAGCGGGAAGCTAAAAAAAGAAAGTAATCGCATTTGTTGCATTAATACTGCATTAGGTACATAGTAATACCCCAAATTGCAAATCAGGACTCCGAAACTCCCGTCGCGTCCTTACTCTGTAAGCTTTTCTACGCCGATGTGTCGTCAACCCAGCCAACCCCACCGCATCCGAAGCGTACACTAAACGAAATACATAGTAATTCAAGACGATGCCTCGGGATATACTATGTACTACTCATCATCTCCAGCGCATGACTAACTTATCCATGCGACATTGCCGAAGATGCTTGAACATGATACTTTGAGTATATTTCGTGATTAAATGTTGTTGTTTATGACCATGGAACGATGGTGACTCGACTAACACGAGAGATGATCTGACTGGTACCTGACATGTGACCAATTCTCCGCGTCCGGTTCTAGATCTCACACGTGTTAGTAGATGCATCTATTCCATGTCCGTAATTCGTTCTAGGCTCGAGCTTTGTGCTTAAACTATATGTAAAGATGCCCATAGTAACATCTGTTGTTACCTACTGTACGTAGTAACGATTTTCCATATCAAAATTTTTGATCTTCTCTACCTTAGGTTCCTATTGAATTAAGTTTTTTTTGCGGCCTCACGGCACGGTCTTCGCGGGTCGGAAGTACTTACCTTTATCGGAGATACTCATTTGAGGACTGAGAGCCTCGAACTTTGTTTTATCTGCTGAAATATTTGTGGCTTGTAAATCTGGCCGTGGCAGTGCAGCCGGTGCAGATACCCAGGTGGCCCTCCGCGGATAGCCGGAAATACATCGGAATTCAGAGAAGTAACCTAGGTAGGTACCTGTGTCTACCTAAGGTACACCTCACTTTTACGCATTATCTATCAAAAAATACAGAATGGGTAAATGGTATTATAATGGATGTATCGGATAGGTATCGGGCTTAGGCATACCAACCAAATGGGGAAACCATGATGCAAGTTTGTTTAAGGGAGGTTAGTTTTTGGGGGGGGGGGGGGGGTTCAATAAAAAAAGACAGAGAATAGAACAAAGGGAAAAAAAAAAAGGCAGAAGGGTCTCATCGATGTTGTACAACCCACATATGGATGTATCTTGAATCATAACAGGGCCACCCTCACCACCCCTGCTGAACGACATGCAAACTGCATATAAAGTTACGTCATGTCAGTAGCCAGAATTAAGGGACCCTTGTATTCGTAGACCCGCACCACATTGGTACCACAGCACCACATTGCATTAGTATTCTCCAAGTACCTCCACCAAATGTATCTATTTTTCTACAGGTACGCTCTACTTCCAATCTTGTCTTGGGGCAGCTAACTTTTACACTACTACACCTTAACCGTTGAGGCATCGAATCAGCACCTGCGTGCGTATATTCCAACGAGCTGGGGACGAATAATGCCCCTTCAAGACGTATACTCCTGCACGCACTAAGCCATGTTTTATTTTTATTTTTTTTTACCTCCGGTCGAACAATAAATATCAACATCAAATACCGTTCCTATTTTGCAATCCTACCCTCATTTCCAAATAAAACAAACACAGACAGAATAACACATAAAACACATAAACCGACCAAACTCCGACATATAATCGACATTGACTTGGACTAGGAACCAGCTACGGGAAATAGGCCAAAAGCCGATCCGGGAAAACAGATCGAGAACAAAGAGGTGCGATCCTAAACCGATAGCCTGGTTGGACCACCTGACCTAGCGCTTCATTATCAAGCCATCATCATTACTATTACTCTCCCACCTGACTATTACTCATCAAATTTTATTATTATTTTTTTTTTTTGAAGAGAAAGAAAGAGAACAGAGAGATAGGACTATCGATTTATCATTAAAAGAATAATCTCTTTTTTTCGACTAAAGTGACTTGGACCAGCGGAATCCTAGCTCCGAGTCACTACGGTTCCCCATAAGGTTGGTTACCTGTAGGTACCTAACTGCCTAGGCGGAAGGACCCTCTCTGTCAAGGTTCACTTGTTCACTTTGTCATAGTTTTCCTCGGAGGGAAAAGAAAGGAATTAGGAAAGAGAGGAGAAGGAGAAAACAAGCCAAGGAAACTACGGTTTTCCTTGTACCTCCGGTATTTTGGTACTTTTCCTATACTTACCTTAGGTGGGTAATCGAACCCCTCTCATCCCTGTACTCCATTTAAATCTGGGATGTCAGGTCAATTGGGACCCCTCCGTTATTTAAGTCATTATCTTCGCCACATCTCTGCTTTCCACCCCACACTCTATGATTCTACCCGAACTAATACACAACATTACAGCATTACATACACACATACACATACATCTTTACATCTAAACTACCTACCTAACCCTTAACCAATTTACTTGGATCTTACTCTTAATTTTCCTTCCACCTTCACCACGAATTATATACGGACTCAAACTCAAACATTATTCGACGACTTTTCGTTCGCTCGACCCATCGCATCGTCGCACAATATGATGCAGATTGATCGCAATACCTACTCACCGAGTAATCACCACCCTTTCCAGCTCTTCCCTCAGCAATCTCTCGACGGCAATTCGAACACGAATAACACCTTCAGCCAGTCCACGTCGCTCTCGACCTTAGATACTGCCGCCGCCGCTATCGCCGCTACTCAGCGATACAGGACGCCCGCGACGCCCTCGACACAACAAAGCTTTGACGGGGGAAACAATAGCCAGAGCCTAAGCCAGGTTCCAGACTTGATGCCGTCAGATGCGTGGATGCTTCATAGCAGTCAACCAACTCCGAGGCCAACACATCGCTTCAACCACCAACGCGAATCCTCGCTATCGTCGCTTGGATCTAACGGTCCGGCATCGCCATATAATGGCAACACGTCAAATCCACATATTGCCGTGCAAGATTCAGGTAACGACGGGTACCACGACATAGGAGGTGGCGAGAACACCTACACATACAGCATGGGAAAACCGATGTCCATGTCCGACAACTTCTATGCCAACGCCATGTTCAACAACAACAGCAACGACCGCGATAGCAGTATTACTAATAACAGTAACAACTACCGCAATGGCCGTAATATAGTCAGCGGTCAGCACATGCCGCGCGATGTATCCTCGGTTGATGGCTTGTCAAACCTAGCGAATCAGCAGCAACAGAAGCAAAGGGGTGACCGAGGCTTAGCTCCGGCTCCTGAATTGTCGATTGGCGGTGGAAATTCTTCAGCCAGATCTCACCCCGTCTCGGTGGCGAGTTCAGTTGCAGGTGACTCACCCGCGACACCGTCGTTCCACGAATCCGAAGACGATTGCCGAAGAGCAAGGAATGGTGAGGCCTCCGTTTTTATGTCGCCCTTCGTGTGCGATTCTGACTTTGACTTTGACAACTACTTACATCTTTCCGATGATACAGTTTTTCATACCCAACAAGTTCCTAAACTAGATCGCACTATGACCGACATCTATAGCGACGAGCTATACAGCCCTAACTTCACTATAACGTCAGCTTCTCCACCGCCTCAGACCCAAATGGCGATGTCACCTAGTAACGACTTGTTCGCTCAGAGGCTCCAGGCTGCCAACAGTCAACATCTGAGCGCAGTGCAATCACCCGTCTCAAGCACATCGCGAGATGACCAGTCTCCATTCCGACAAGGTTCGCCTTACGCCTCTGTTCTCGGCGAATTTCCCCAAGTGGGCGTAGAACAAATGCAGCATATCGGATCGGCTCGACAAATCAACCAGCGGTTGAAGGCTGAAAGAGACGACAAGGAACTACAACAACATATGGCGCGCAACTCTGCGCAGCAACAAGGTACACCAAACACGATCTCGCCAAAGGATGCGTTGCTCGACTTCAACGAGTCGGATGACGGTTCTAGCATCCCTCTGTTTCAACCGCATGAGATCAATAGTTACAACATGGAGCCTACCAAGAACGGCACCACAAACGCAGCGCCTAGGACTATCTCACAACAGTCGAGCCCGTCCTTCCAGTCGATGGCATCGACACCAATACAGGCTGCATTTAATTTCTCCATGCCTAGCAATATTCAATTACCGCAGCAGTATCCTTTCCTAGGACACCGACATCAGCAGCAGCAGCATCAGCAGCAATCTTCGACCCCTGCGCCCTCAACATATTCACGGGTAAGCTCGGCTGAAGCCAGCAACTCAGAGGGCGGCGATGTTCCGAGTCAGAAACCAGCGGGAGCCAGCGCAGACGGAGGCACCTACACGTGCACATATCACGGCTGTACGCTACGATTCGAGACACCACAATTACTACAGAGACACAAGCGCGAGGGACATCGACAAGCCAACGCCCTAAGCCACATTAGGTCCCCGATCAATACGAGTGGACTTCCCGGTAGTATGCTTAACAGTCAGGCTGGACCGCATAAATGCGAGAGGACAAACCCGAGCACGGGAAAGCCATGCAATACGATCTTTTCCAGGCCCTACGATCTTACGAGACACGAAGACACGATTCACAACGCACGCAAGCAAAAAGTCCGGTGTGATCTCTGCACAGAAGAGAAGACGTTTAGTCGGGCAGATGCGCTCACAAGGCATTACCGCGTCTGCCACCCTGATGTAGAGTTCCCGGGGAAGCACCGGAGGCGCGGTGGTGGCGCCGCATGAGTTGGGGCATAGCGAAGCCTGAACGCTCTCTCTCTAATTGCAACGTATGCGACATGCACTGCCAAGACGTGCCTAAGGCAATTTCAAGGCTGTGCGATTTGCGAGCGAGAATGTTCCTGATGGAGGGTATTGGAATGGTGCTTGAATGGTGCTCGAATGGTCTGGAAGCAGGGCGGACCCAATGCAATGCAATGCCGAGGTGTAGCGAGTGGGGCTTCCATTGACGTTGGAAGACAGGATCGATATCAAGGGTCCAACGTCAATCTGCAGGGTCCTGCGGGCTAACGATGCACTTGACTGTTTACGGCATGGGTCGCGCATAGCGGTGGTCCGGCTTCTATCTTGGGCCACAAACCATGCTGATCAATCAGGACCCTTGAGTTGGGACCCGACCGATGTCCCCGCAGTGCCCGCAGTGCCCGCAGTTCCCACAGCGCTCATGACTGGCTGGTGATTCGCTGCAGGCTGTATGACGTCTCGCAATGACGTAACAATTGGAAAGTGTAGGGTTTTTGAGCGTAGTCCGCCCACTACTACAGCATCACCACCTACATCATACTCCATTTCGCTTATCGTGAGTTTTGCATCATTAACAAAGCTTTTTTCTGGTACATTCTACCGGAACGATTTACCCTCGATTCCGTCTCCGTTTCTGACGAACTCCCATGTAACCATCATGGCTGTCATCAGATCGGTTTGGCTCCTGTGGGACATGCATCACTTCGCATCGATTCAAGCTATTTGGGTAGCTCGCAGGTAAATCTAAAGCGTCACTATCTACACGGGAGCGAAAGCCTAAACATGCTCAAAGATGAAAATTTGCAGGTTCCTTGTCATATTTTCTTTTCCTTTTTTTTTATAACGGGGTTACGGGGCTACGGGTCTGGGTACCTTATAGACTTGGGAGGGAAAGAAAATTGCCGGAATCGGATCAGCGATGATTTTTATTTCTTCTCTATTCAGCCCTACACTTATTTCTTAATGGTCTTTGTTTTCTTCGTGTGTATAATTTTCGTCTTCTGCCGCTAATGGGGCAGTTACCTATTCATCTTACACCCATTGCATTTACTGGGTGCTGTACGATTCTGGTTGGGAAGTAAAAAGCATCTGAAAGAGAATTTAAATGGGTTTCACTATAACTTGTTGAATTGGGGAAAAGAAGAGAAGCATGACGAGACGAATATTGTTAATTACGACTGTATGAACAGCGGATGTATTTTTTTTTCCTTGGTTTTTCCTATGTTCACTTCATTATTTACAGCAACACACAGCATTGGGGTGGGTTAGTGCCTACAAGCGGGATCATGAGGGAAAAAAGAAAAGAAAAGGGAGACAAGAGGACATGTCGGCAGACAGGAATGGAAAAGAAATGACTGTATTATTGATATGATCGGTGAATGACGGCATGTTCGGCATGTTTAAAGAAGAAGAAAAGAAGAAAAGAAGAAAAGGAGGCATGAAGAAGCCGACAGGAAACTTTGTCAACCTTTTTATTATAGAATTAATGACCCTGCGAAGGTATACTCTTTACATATCAATATTACCTTGGGTACCCACCTACCTTATATTATTTCTTGCGCGCTTGTGGTGATATATCTAAAATGTTAGGTACCTTAATGTGAGGTTAAAGCTGGTTTACAAAGCGCATGCGGGGGGGGAGCTTCGATTTACACCTGCTGATCTGCTATCTAGTATACGTATACCTACTTGGTCTGCACTCTAATAAAGCTGACTTCCAATACATGCAGGTGCTTGAGGTTACACCAGGTACACAGGTAGATAGGAGGTAAATACCTAAGTTATAGAGAATAGATACCTGATACCCCAATGCTGGGTGACTGGTAGCCGATGTCTCCACGTAATTTTTATCGAGGTTTACACCGAATGAATGCTGCCGCTGCTGAGGTTAGTTTGTGATTGGACGGATACGATGCGATGCGCTGCGATTGTCATGTACTTTAGCATCGGACTTTTGGTTTTCATTTAGGAAGCTAGGAAGTAAGTAAGCAAAGCAAGCAAGCAATCGGCAGTGGAGAGTAAGGTTAATTGTAACAGGGCAAGCTAGAACGAAAGCTTGATAAGGCATGGGATAGGATGCATGTACTATGTATGAGGTAGGTGAAAAGAGTATAGATAGTGTATAGTATACTTTGGGTAGGTACTTACCAGTTACCTCTTACCTTAAGTGCAGGGCCGGATGTACAAGATAAGCACAAGCTTAAAAAAATGATAGATGCAAGGTCCGTCGGGTATCTAATGCGCCCCGTACTTACATAGTAGGTATTGGGCATATCAGGGTTAAAAAAGCAAAAATAGAACCAAGACTCATAAAGCGAAATGATTACATCGTACATTACTTACATGCCTTCCTCATGCACCCCGTAAACAAGTTTAGTATTATCATTCCAGGTAGGCATCTTTTTCTTCCTGCAAAGCTTTATTCTGAGATACGATCACTAGGATGCATACTACCTAACCTACATACATACATTATATCGTAGCATTTTAGGCTATGTTAACAGGTGCTCCAAATTCGTAATGTATACTTTTACCTTGTTTACCAGCTACCTCTTACATCTTACATAGTAAGTACCTACCTCTCTCCTTCGTCACACAAGGATAGGATCATAAGCCCATCAAGGCTACTACTGCACGACATGCATATTTTGTTCGTTACATTAAGCCCGAAGGGCACCATCCATACCTTAGCCTTTAGGTACAAGTAGGTAAGTACCCATCATCGTACGCACTCCCAACGACGTCATTCCGCATGCAGAAGAAAAGCTTAGGTAGGGGGTCCAAACTTAGAAATTGTTTCGTATAGTTACGGTAGCTATACCGCTTTATACTTTACTTACTTGGTACGCTTCATAAATTAAAAAAAAAAGAATCTTTATACTACTTACAGTACTTAGCGTATATGCGCGCATCTCTTCCGCTTCACTTTACAAGATGTAATGTACCTAATAACGTATCTATATAAAATTTAAAAGGCAGCTAGCTTATCGGAGCGCGGTTTTCGGCCTCTCGGCTCCCCTCGGTATTGTACAACCAGCACAGCACCTCTAGGCAGGTTAAGTATATCGTGTACCTATCCACCACCAGTTACATAAAAGGTACTTAGCTTACAATACGATAGACCAGAGTAGGTAATTAATTTAGTACCTAGGTAGGTAAAGTACGTCCCTCATAATTCGAATATTATTCGTATTAGACCTGGCCAATTAATTATTAATCAGTCAGTTAGTCAGTTAGTCAAAGTTGTGTGTTCTGGACTTTGTTTTTGTCAGCCAGTAGAATCGAATTGAATCCCTTTGCTTTTGCTTTTGCCTTTTTCCTTTCCATTCTGGAATCTCCTCGGCATTAACCGAAGCCCCCCGAAAGCCAAGCCAAGCCAAGCCAACCAAAAAGGGGGACCCACAACTGCCCGCCCCGGCCGCCTCGCTTTGAGGGGAAAAACGTTTCAACTGGCCAATTAAAGCCAAATGTGGGATGGTTCGAAAAGAAGGCGTTTTTTTCCCAGGGGAAATGTGGCTTGTCCGACCTGCCGGTTGCACTGGATGGGTGACATATGTGGCGGTGCTTTATATTACTTCCCTCGTCCATACATACCAGGTACCTAACCTAACATAACTCGTACTTGCAGACGCGCAGAATTGTACATACATAGACTTGTAAGTGTAGTATAATGTAATATAGTATACTCGTCATCATCATCACCACCACCACCAAGGCCGTCGCCTCGCATCAAAAACCCAAATAAACCTGCTTTGCCGCCTCGCCCTTATTATTTTATTTTCTGCTGTTATCAAGCCCTATAATTAATACGTAAATAGCACACGCGTCTACCTATAACGCCCCCCAAACACATATGTATCTTGCTTCGCCGCAATACCCTACCACTACTATTAACTACCTAACCTACTTACCTACCTACCTACCCAAAATCTATCACTACCTCCTACCATATGCTTCCAAGGGGCAAGGGGGTCGGCTATACACTACACCACACCACACCACACCACACTAGATCTTGACAACCCATCCCCTCGGGTGGGTAGATCTCGCCCTGCGCCTGCGCCTGCGCCTAGCTACATGTACATAACCAGTCACATGACCAGTCAGCCGGTCCAGTAAACCGGTATACGGGGTTCGTTCGGAGGGAAAGAAAAGGTTTTTTTTTTTTTTAATGACTACACTTTTTTTTTTCTGTTGAGGCAACCCATTCGGATCACGCGGGCTTTCCGTACCAGTGCCACTATCTTTATTGACATCCCGGTGTAGCCAGGAGGTAGCAAAGCATAGGTGGGTAGGTAAAGTCTTGCCTTGCCTCAACTCCGGGGAGGACGACGAAAATGTTCCTTGTATTTATTGGGTAGTATAGAAAGAAGCAAAGTTTGATCCATACGCAGTAGTATACATATACATCTAGCTAGAAAGCTAAGCTATGTGCGTCGTGGCAACATCATGTAGGTAAAGTATTCAGCTGGACGCGGCGGGCTCATCACCTAGCACAGCCGCGCGTACATCAGAGAATAGAGGTACAATGCCTGTCCAGAGTTGGAACTATATGCAGACAAACTTGGTTAATATCTAGCGTAGGTGGGGGAATCACGGTTGACAATGTAGGATATTACATTACGTACCTGGTAGTAGCCTTGAGATGCGAGAACCTCCAGCCCCGGAATAGTGGTCCATCCCGAGTTCTCGGCTAGCTCCATCAAGGGGGTGCGGCGAGGCTTGTAGGCCATCTCCAGCAGAACCCGTGGCCCTTCGATATTTTTAGTTTGGTGCAACAGGGTTGTGAGCAACGCCCACATCGAATCATCGATCGGCTTGTCTGCGGGTACCGTGCTGATGATCACGTTCGGTAGCTTCTGTACCTGGCTGGCTTCGGTTACCTGATGGATCTTGATGTTGTCGCGGAACGACGAGGACGAACGAAGAGAATCTGCAGCACTAGGATTTCGTGCCACAACGTAGATAGGGCTGTATCCGAGGGAGTGCAAAGCGTAGATGGCCGCCCGACTGGTGCCGCCAGAGCCAACTACCATTGCCCCGCCTGTCGTTGCTTCGGTTGGTGGCACCAGCCCAGCCGAGCGTAGCGAATAGACCATGCCACGCCAGTCCGTATTGTCGCCAAGCAGCCGTGGTTTAGATCCATCCTGCGAAGGTATAGGTATCACTGTGTTCACCGCACCGATAGCCGTCGCCGATTCCGATACCTCGTCAAGTAGTGACACAATGTCAAGCTTCAGCGGAATTGTGACCGATGCTCCACCGAAGTCGGGCGAAGAGATTATTTTTGTCACATCTGCCGCAGATGAAGTCTCAAACAACGAGTATTGATGAGGCAATCCGGTCTGGCGGAATAGGCTATTGTGCAAAGCTGGTGACCGCGACGCAGAAATAGGATTCCCAATCAGGTAGAACTGCTTAGGCTCAAGTTCCCCAACCAAAGCTAGACCGCTACGGATCTCGGCGGCTGATAGCTGACCAGGCGCCGCTTTGAATGGAAGGTCGGGATGCGACACAGGTGTCAAGAAGCCATTCAATACCCGAGAGAGCTTCCCAACCGTGCCCATGTTCAGAGCTATGATCGGCTTGCCGTGCGCAGCAAACATCCTGGCCTTAAAAGTAGCTAACGCGAAATTGTCTTCCATCTTTTTCGCGACACCTACTAGCTTAATGATATCACCGTATTGCAGAGCCCGGTTGTACCACGCTTGCCAGCCGCCATTCTTCCAGGACAACTTACCTTCAGGGTCATGGTGTGACGCGATGACCCGCGTAGAGTTACCTAGAGACCGGATGACTTCATCTAGGGTTTCGTCTGAAAGGGTCATTTCGAGGTCGACATATTCTACACCTGTGCGCGCTGCTACCCGGTATAGGGGAAGCAATTCGCTTTCGGATGTATATTCAAACCGACCACCCTGGGACTTGGATCGGACCGTGAATATGATAGGTATTTTCGCAGCAGAGCGCAAAAGCGCAATCTGCTTTCCTACCGATTCCGGAGAGATGTCGTCAAGCAGATCAACCCGTAATTCCACGGCGTCCGCACCAACTACAACCCGCGGGATCACATCGATCGCTGAAGACACGTTAGGCACGGTGAGCGACACGAAGAAGGAGTGTCGCTTCTTCTTGGCATCCTCGAGATGATTGCCTCTTCCAGTAATCGCTAACACAAATCGGGAAAAGTCTGCAGGAATGTCTTGGAGACCCCCGGGTGGATCAAGGTAAGGGCTGTGGTATTCGTAGTTACTGCATTCTTGGAAGAATGGCTTGCGTCGCTCATATACGCCTCTTATATTTTCGGTGTAAGCAGGACGTGTCTTGTCGCGTGTCAGGTATTCTACCATTTGCTCGACGTCGCGGTTGACGAGGAGAACCACGCCACCATTGCGATGGTACGAAACGAGCAGCTCCCGAGCCTCGGGGGTCTCAACAATGCCACCACCGCAAGAAAAGACGTGACCGCGACCTTGGTTCTTGATGACATCCTTTAGAAGCTCGAGCTCGTCGTTCCTGAAGCCTTCCCATCCTCGACCGCTTTCTTGTATAATCTGAGGAATTGTCATGCCAGCTCGACGTTCTAATTCATGGTCAAGGTCGATGAAAGGACGTCCTAGTATGATGGCGACCCAGCGACCTGTTGTAGTCTTTCCAGCACCTCGCATGCCAATGATAAAGATAGATGAGCCGGCCTCAGCTTGTTTTGCCTTCTTGTGAGACGTAGGCACAGCATCCACGCCCTCTAGACTGGTTCCGAACGATTGCGCTAGTACATCCCACCAGCCGGGCCACGTTTTGCCAGTGCATTCACGTTCCAGAATGAGGACGGGTCCCGGTGCTACTAAGGAGATGACGCTAAAGCTCATTGCCACACGGTGGTCGTCGTAACAGTAAATGCCTTCGCTCGGCTTCGAAAGTTCGGTAAGCTTTTTACCGGCAATAACGATGCCGTCCTCAAGCTCGCTACAGTGTACGCCGAATTTGGCGAGCTGCTCCCTCATCGCTGCAATACGATTGCACTCCTTGACACGCTGATTAGCAATTCCGGTGATCCGCGTCTCGCCTGATGCTACGGCAGCAAGGACGGATGCGGTTAGGAATGCGTCAGTCATGGGCTCCATGTCAACTTCAATACCCTTCAAACTGCCTGGGGTAGGTCCAGTTACCGTCGTTGATGTAGCAGTCTGTTCAACAGTACATCCCATTGGACGTAGCACATCCGTCGCGAAACGGGCGTCACCCTGCAGTGAACTTGCGCCGATGTTTGGGATTGTACAAGTAGTTCCAGTTATGGCCGCAACCGCGAGGGGGTAGGTGGCTGAGCTCGCGTCACTTTCCACGACGTATTCCTCTGGGTTTTTGTACACCCCTTGAGGAATATGATACGTGTGCGGCTCGTCGGCTGATTTTGTAACAGTAATACCAAACGACTTCATCATGGCAATAGTCATATCGATATAAAGTTGTGAGATAGGTTTGCCGCCTACCAAGCGAAGAGTCACAGGTTTCTTAGCATAAGGTGCGCACATTAGAAGCGACGAAACGTATTGGGACGAAATCGTAGCAGCTAGCTCGATCACACCGCCATCTAGCCCACCGGCGGCATCAACCTGTACTGGAAGACTGTGTTCCTGTCCAAGGTATTTGATATTGATGCCATTCGATCGCAGGGCATCAACAAGGGGACCGATAGGTCTGACTTTCATTCTAGCATTTCCAGTTAGGACAGTCGAGTTTGCACTTGACGGTGAGCATAGGGCGACCACTGTTGTTAAGAAGCGAGAAGCCGTGCCCGCATTCCCAAGATAGAGAGGCTCTTCGCTCGCTTTGAGCTGGCCGCCTCGACCAGTAACCACGAGAACCTCGCCGGCGTCCTCCCATGAGTAAGAGGCCCCATTGAGGTTGGCGATCGCTGATAACATGTACTCAGTATCATCTGAGTGGAGGAGATTCTTGACACGGCAAGTTCCCTGGCCAAGTGCAGCAAGTACCAAAGCCCGGTTAGAGATACTCTTGGATCCAGGAGGGGTGACCTGCACGTTTAGTCCCTGAGGCACCCCTGGCGTGACGCGAATAGCAGGGGTGAGGACAACCCTGATAGCGCGATCGTCGACTACGCTGGCTCGGGGTTCATGAGTTCGACCTATGGCTGATAGAAGTACAATTTTCTTCTTTTTTCCTTCGTTCTTCTTATCCACGGCCATTTTTTGAAGAAGTACGTCAACGGGACATTTCTTTCCCGCCGTCAACTTCACAATGCGCTTATCATGTAGGGAGGTCGGCAAGTCGTAGCTTGCAATGCACTTGACTAATCGAGCTACTGCTCCAGGTCGCAAGACGCCAAGGTAACGAGCTAGTTCGGCCTCCTTGACCATTCCGATTGCGACGGCTTCACCGTGCAAAACCTGGGGAGTCAGAATGGCCTCGTAAGCGTGGCCAATGGAGTGACCAAAGTTGAGGAGGTTCCGTAGGCCGCCCTCTTTTTCATCCTTAGAAACGACCTCTGCCTTAACGCGAGCCGAAGCGAGAACGATACGCTTAAGTATGGCACGAATTGGGAGCAATCTATCACTCGGGTCGGCAGTCTTGGACCGGATAGTGCCCAATATCAAGGCAGCATTTTCTTCTAAGGCCGTAAACTCGGTCTCATTCCATATAGCAGCTGTCTTAACCACCTCGGCCATGCCGTTGATGAACTCGCGAACCGGGAGGGTTTCGAGGAAAGCGAGATCAATGTAGATACGCTGAGGCTGCCAGAATGAGCCAATTAGATTCTTTCCCATGGGGGTATCGATGGCCGTCTTGCCGCCGATAGACGAGTCGACCATAGCAAGCAGAGTGGTGGGAACCTGAACAAAGCGAACGCCGCGCATGAAAGTGGCAGCAACATAACCGATCATGTCACCAATGACTCCGCCACCCAGGGCAATGATAACAGTATCTCTGGTGCATTGTTCGGAGAGCATCCAGTCTTCTATTTCTGCCTTTGTCTCACGGCTCTTGGAAGTCTCGCCAGGAGGGATGGTATAGGTAAGAAGTCGAGACTGCAGGCCACGGGCCTCAACGGCTTTGTTGAAGACTTCCACGAAAGGAGGGACATAACGATCCTGGAGGTTAGTATCGGTAATAAGAATATAGGTAGAAGATTTGATGTTATCGAGGAGATCATCAGAGACGAAAGTTCGCCAGATTCCATGATCGACAATGATAGAGTCGGATCCAAGGATGGATATTCGGGTTGGACCCGACGCAGTGCTGCTGGCCTGGTCAGTCATTGTGCTGCCGTAACACTAATGACGACCCAAGTGTAGCGTAATCCGAACCAGAACGATATCTGTAACAGATGAGCCTCGTTGGCTGCAAGCTGTAAGCTGTAAGGCTGAAAATAGCGTTTTATATCTGTATACCTACCTAGGTAGGTAGGTGTCTGTATATCTTATATCTGATATCTGTACCATACAAGGTAACAAGGATCAGGGCAAGGGGATCCCGAAAAAAGGAGCCAATCCACCACTACCTTTACCTTTAGGTATTAGATTAGGTAGATGTCTGGTGGAAATTTAGAAAGAATTGGAGGTCATTTACAGCATGAATAACTTTTCGTACCCTTTTCTCATAGGTGCGTTTTCCACCTCTTTAAATCTTAAGAAGACATAAGAATGAAATGAAATGCAAGAGAATTGGGCACCTAAGAAAAGAAAAAGTGCATCAATTCCGAACAATGAAGTTTGCTTATCGTATGAGTCGACGCTTTGAGCTAGAGTCCGAAGCGGTTGCTCAACCAGAAAAATTTAGTTGTTCCTGGGTAGAATCTTTTCTTTGTGGTTAAACAAAAAAAGCCGACCAATAGGAGTTTACGTACGCGCATGGGAGATGGTCTTTGCAATCAAGACCCAACTCCGATATGCGGGGCCAGGCGTCGAGGGGCTGAAGAGCTTGATAAATGATTATACTTGATTAATTCATAGAAACGTTATATACCATTATACTCAACTAAGCATGATAAGCATAACAGGTAAAAGATAAAATGAGAATTGCTTCATGATAGCTACCTCCTAAACTACCTAAGCAAGAGGGAAATCATTCAAAGTTATTCTTACCTACCTGGTATTCTTGTTACAAATATTTTCTATAGCAAGATAGAAGGTATATTAGAAGATAGGTAATTAATAACTCTTTGTTACGATGGAATCTTGGGAATAGTAACAAAAGCTTGCCATGCGAAGGGCGGTATGTCTTATTATATACCTACTACATAGTATGTTAGGTAGGTAGGAAACGGTTCGTTTCTGGCCGTATTTATAACCCCGATTCCCAAGGAAAAGCGCGTTGTACTCGGCGATACTATATCCGAATATTAGGTATTACCAAAATTCCATGTTGATTACTCACGCCCCCGGGACAAATATCTAAAGTCCGTCAAGATATAGCCAGTTAAAGTCAAATTCATCCCATAGCCATATCGCCGTTGACTAATTGACTAATTTACAATTGTACATTTAGGTACGAAGTAGATCGAGGTAGTTTAGCGGAGTTACCTACCTATACAAAGGTATGACAGGCAACTAACTACCTATGACGGAAGGATCAAGGGGGGTGGTATACACTACTAGATTAATAATAATAGTGTAAATGTCACTTAGTCGAGCCTAACCTGCTTTCGTATGTAGAAAGCGCTCAAGGGTCATCTTTCCGCCTAGAGTGGGTGACAAATGGATCCCGGGAAACCTCGCCGCTTCGCCGCCTTTTTTCCCATTAGGTAGGGGAAACTACCTAACCTAACCTACCTACCTCCTAATTATCAATGATAATTATATTCCATGCAAGTGGGTCTCTATCTGTTTAAATGACTAAAGGATGAGGTCGGCGAAAATAAATAAATAGATAGATAAATAGATAGATATGGACTTGTCTTTACTCTACTCTCTTTGTTGGTCTTTTACTTGTCTCTTTTATTATTATTTCTGTTAGCTGATAATATACGAAGTAGACCCACAGCCCAATAAAGACTTTCTCACGATCAGACGTTTGTTTTGTTTTGTTTTGTTTTTGCCAAGTTAGCTAGCTATTTTGTTCCGAACCCGGAATTGCCACTACCGTAGAACCCGGGGAAAAACGCCCTTCTTCGGCGCCGGCTCGTCCCGTAAGTTCGGTGTAACAAAAGGGGAAAAGGGGGGGTTACCTTAGGTACATAACCTAAACTATGTCTTCCGGCGTGGACAAACTTCCCATCGACTCGGAGAAGCCCGAGACCGATTCGCAGCCGGACACGGCCTCCGTCGGCACACAAGAGTCTGTCGCGGAGGAGGAGGAGGAGGACCAGCGCCAGCCCGACGTAGCTCGTATACGCTCCTCCTCGCTGGCGCGTATACGGTCGAACAATGGACACGGGTGCGCCGACTTAGACGAAGAAGCGGGCGACGCGACGGACGACACAACCGCGTCTGCGCAGCAGCGTCATCAGGTTGCCGAAAAGGACCCCTTCGAGGTATCGTGGGATGGCGACGACGACCCCCTATGTCCTCGGAGCATGGCCACCGCCCGCAAGTGGCTTGCCGTGATAACGGTTGGCGTGGGAAGTTTATGCGTGTAAGTGTAGTACCATTAAGCGTCCCTGTGAATGAACTCGAAACATAAGGTACCTACCTACCTACCTGATATTCTAATATTTAATCCATACCTATAGGACTTGTACGAGTTCTATATACGCGTCGACGTATAGCCAGATGAACCCAGAGTTCCACATATCGAGTATTGTCGGCACCCTCGGGTTATCGCTTTTCGTCCTCGGGAGTATGTTGTTACCCGCTGGCTGGCTGGCTGGCGCCCCCGAGTCAACTTTTGCTAACTGCCCAACTCTAGTTGCTCTTGGTCCCCTTCTCATGAGTCCGCTGAGCGAGTTTATTGGGAGGCGGCCGATTTACCTAGCTTCCTGGGCCATGTTTTTGATATGGTTGATACCGAGTGCCCTGGCTCGCAACATTGCGACTATGTTGGTTGTATGTTCACCCACTTGATCTAGAAGCAAAATCGACGCGTATCAATTTTCTTTATCGCGATGGGAGACTGACCTTACCGATAGGCGCGATTTATCGACGGGTTTGCCGGAAGTTCGTTTCTCAGCGTCGCTGGTGGTACCGTCAGTGACATGTTCAGACGCGACCAGATCCAGGCACCGATGGTTATAGTATCGCTGAGCCCCTTTATTGGTTAGTGAATACCCGTCAGTATAGGTTCATGTGAGGTAAAACTAACGAACTACAGGACCTAGTCTAGGTCCTCTCCTCGGTGGCTTTATTAATTACAATACGAGCTGGAGGTGGACGCACTACGTACGTTGTTAAATACCCCTTCGCTCCTGTCGATTTGGCAGGGGTCACGTTGCTAATTTCCAATTGCGATAGACAATGATCATCTGGGCTTTTGCTGAGTTTATCATGATTCTTATCTTCGCTCCGGAAACATACCGTAGGTGGTGGTTATGATTCAATAATGCTATCTGGTAGACATATGCTGACAGCGATGTAGATCCCATTAAGCTCCGTGAGAAAGCCAGAAAACTAAGGAAAGAAACCGGCGACGAGAGGTGGAAGTCGCCTATGGAGAAGTCGTCCAAGTCTGTCGCATTGACTGTTGGATACTCCCTCCTTCGACCATTCGAACTCCTAATCTTTGAGCCCATGTGCTTATTGCTTTGTCTTTTCTCTGCTATTTTGCTGGGCGTCCTGTACCTGTTTTTCGGGGCGTTCCCCCTAGTCTTTGGTAACACCTACGGCTTCAACCTCTGGCAAACGGGTCTATGCTTCCTCGGTATTTTTTTCGGAATGCTTGTCGCCGCGGCGACTGACCCCATATGGCGCCGCATCAACTACCGACTTCTCGAACAACACAATGGCGTCCCCGAACCGGAATTCCGACTGCCATCAGCGATTGCAGGTGCGGTTTTAGTCCCCATTGGGCTCTTTATATTCGCGTGGACGGCGTACCCGTGGATCCATTGGATAGGACCTATTATCGGCTCAGGTATATTTGGCTCCGGCACGCTCTTGGTGTTCACCGGAATATTCACCTTCCTCGGTAAGTTAGAGAGAATGCCGCAGACCAGAAAAACTTTTAGCTTTCATAACTAACGGGTTGCCGTCGTAGTGGATGCATACCCACACTACGCTGCTTCAGCACTTGCTGCCAATAGCTTCGTCCGGTGTACTTTTGCTGGTAAGTCCGGACTTTGGAGACGAAGTGCCCGTTATCATCTGCCGAGCTGACTCCCCTTCCGTAGCTGCGTTCCCCCTTTTCGGAATACAGATGTACGATAAACTCGGTTATCAATGGGGATCTAGCGTGCTGGCATTCCTGACGGTAGCGATGATGCCTTTCCCGTACCTATTTTTCCGATATGGAAAGCAAATCCGGAAGAAGAGTAGATTTGCTAATTAAGAGAGGCGGGATACGTATTATGTTACGAGCTGTATTGATACAAAAGATGGCACGAGTTGTTTAATGTAATGAAGATTTAGAACGCAGCCAAAAGTAAATACGGTTGTGAATGATGGACCACATTATTAATACATAGGTACCAGGTAGTATATACAGTTTTTCCATGGGAATATGATCTGGACATAAAATACATGAGAAATGGTACTGTAGGAGATGGTTAGCCGCAACTCCAAGAATTAAAGTGAGTAAAGGGGATTGATTAGGTATTACTACAGCTTCATTCAGCATTTCGTGTTGTCCAAAATGAAATTGAGCGTCTAGGCAACGATTCCCCCACAATATTAAGGATACTTTATAAGCGTCAACCGAGTGAATAAATAGGTAGCTATTGTTTGACGTATTGAATTGTAGCTAGGCTATGAATAATGAGCTTGTCGCAGGGGTCATATGTAAATGCCGCCTTAATCAATGACTGGTATCATGGTATCTTAGGTACATATTTCCTAGCCTGCTGCGGAGCTGCAGGTTAACTGTCGTCTATGAGACCGGAACGATAGTCAGGGAGGGAGGTGCATTCTGCATGGGTTCTGATCTGGAGCTAAGTTGGACGGCTGGAAATAGGTATTGCGCCTTTGCTGGGCACGAACTCATCAGTGATAACCTTATGATGGCTGTCTTGGCAACACTTGAGCAGTAGTCAGTCAAAACATCAGAACAAATAACCTCTTCCCTGACTCATTTGTTGCGGTTTCCGCACGTCCCATGGGATTGTTGCATAGCAACACAACATTTTGCCAAACCTCCGTCTCCCAACGTACGTTCCTTAATAGGCCGCTGATATATTTCTTTCTGGCTTTACACCCCAGGTCCTGACACAGACTGTGCTTCTTCTCGTTGCATCTCAACCCGGCTTTAGAAAAGGTCCTATTACAAAGGAAAATCTCATACCAAGCGAATCATGTCAGGTTTGGTTTTCCCAACGCCCGTTCGTGGTAGCACAGTTGATGTGCTGGGTCTCCGATGGCCTCCTCCAGTCCGGCGCCCGTCGGAACAAGAAATTTCCTTGGAAATCGAGTGCTTGTGTAGCAAGGTTCGTAAAACATCGAAAGAGAACTTCATCATCAAGGGGAAATTATGCTGACGACATGGATTTGTAGGTTTCTGCTACGATCCACGGCCCTGTCCCCGTTCACGTAAGTTGCTATCGTTACGATTCCATGCGCCAGTAACTTTAGGGCTGACTTGGAATCAGCGCATCTGTCATTGCCACCAATGCAAGCAAATCACCGGTGGCACATACGGCCAGTTCTTGCTTGTTCGTAACAACAGCATGCTTACCTGGAGGTGTAACACCGGTAAGTAGAAGCCATCCACACCCGCCCCTTAGGCCACAGTAGCATCAGAGCCAGTACTGATGCCCCTTCAGCTGAATTGAAGGCTTTCTCTTACTATGTCGGAGAAGACGAATCGGAGAATAACGTCAAGAACGTCTTTCGCTGCCCCAAGTGTTTCACTCCGATTTTCATCGGCCAGGGAAACCCAAATTCCAACAGAATGCTGTTCTTCGTCGGCTGTCTGGCTGATCCTACATGGTTGAACAACCACAAGCCCGAATATGAGCTCTCCACGGAAGACAGATGCGCTTGGGTGCCGTTTATAGCTCAGCCCTTAGCTTCATCTCCCAAGCCAGAACCCAAGTCGAAATAGAAGGGCACTGAGTTGGCGTCTCTAGGCGGAGAAAGAGTTAATGGGATATTTCGTTGCTCCGATTCATAGGCCTGGATGACGATGTGCCCCGGCTCGTGATGTACACGATAAGAATAATTTATGATATTCTCCTTTCTTCGTAAGCTCTCGGCTTTATCTGCATGCAGTAGAATCGACTTCGGTTCGGGTTTATCGTTCGATTTAGCCGTATGCGGCCCGCGAGGGATACAATATGTGATGCGATAGCAATACGAGTAGGTAGCACGACCAAAATTCATAATGCATGACACACCGTCGCCGATCTTCACCTTGACGGCAATATCTTCCTTGCGTATTCGCGGCCCAGCTTCAATACCGCTCTGACGTGATCCTCAAGTCGCCTGTCTTTGCGCCTTCGCATCCAGAGTAAGACGATACCTAGAACCACCATATCTATTGCAAGATGCTTCGAGATGATCCATATTGCCCAACTAATCCATGCTTTGAAGCTCCTCTCCTTCTTGGATCTCCACTCGCGCCCGACCGTGATTTGTTCCCGTAGGGCGGCGACCTCGGCAGATAACCTCACCACGGCACGTTCTACTTTTCGCGACCACCTATCGCCTTTCTTCACGTATTCTCCGTCGTCCTCGTCGCTTTCTCTTTGGCGATACTCGTGCTCCGCAGCATCGTCTTCGCTCATTGGGCTTAGCACCTTCATAGGTCCCTCCGTTCCACTTAATGGTTCCTGAAAACGTCGGGGTTCAGCAGACGTGCCGTCATTTGGTGATGCGTGTGATGACGAGGGACTATTATTCTTGATTTGATCCCAGACGAACTCGAGTTCTGCGACAAGTCCCTTCCCGTCTCTAGAAACACTTTATATCAGCTCACCTTCTAACCAACTGCCACTATCCCCACTACCACTACCAAGATACCATGACCCACTGTACAGTTACTGCGGGGGTAGTCTAAGAGAAACTTACGGTGTGTTGGCATAGTGATGCATAGTCTCGATTAATGCCTCGATGTATCGGCGTTTAGCCTCCGTCCTGCTGAGCCCATTTTGTGCGCTCCACGCGTCCCATTTGTCCCGTTCGCGTTGTAGTTCATCTGCATCGACGCCTGGCCGCTGTTCAGGCCGCTCCATCACACCATCTACGTCACCTTCCATGGCCTGCTTGTACAGACCATATAGCCGTAGCCGGTCGCTCGGTGGGGGACGCGATGCCCCTGTCTTCGGGATCTTCTTGACCGTGTTCAGGGCGTGAACGAACACGCGGTCTAGTTCGGGTGGGGACTCGATTAGCGAAGGGATGATGGATTGGGAAGTTGAAGGCAACGCAGGGAGAGGAACAGGACGAGTTGTTGAATCGGTTGGCTGGCTCGGTGATAGTGGACCATGGCTCTTGGGGAACATACCAACTGAGTCTGCCATTTTGAACCGCTCATCTGTATTGTCAACAACGTTGGGCCCTCTACTACTCTACTATAGTAGCTCCTTTCTCGTTCTATCTATATACCCCTAATCCATACATGGACTGATACTGATACGCGCTTGATAGATGTGGCACGTTAGAGGCGTGGCAAGTGGAATACCGTAGGTATGTGTAACAAACCCGGTATTGTTCTCTTGGGGGGAGTAGCGTCGACGCGGCGCTGAGACAAGATGAAGGATCACCGCCTAATGCGTTGGTTCCTGCGTTGCGTTGTTTCCTCGGCTGCCAATGGGAAACCAAGGTCAAGAACACGTCATCTATACAGGTGGAAAATGCAAGAAAATGGATAGAAAAAAATTAACTAGGTAGGGAATTATAATTCAGATCCTGTAGTTATATAGCTCTGAGCTGGTTCGATATAGCACGAGGAGGTAGTTATGTTAATTTTTAAACCAATTAGAATTGTAAGTAAAATAGGAGGTAGTTCACAGGTAAGGTGAGTAAGTATTTAATTGTATAGGTAAATTCTTAGCTTTAAATGAAGATCGATCGTGGAGTTTGGAGCTGGAGTTTGGAGCTGGGGAAACTTAAACTTTTCAATATTTTCGGGTGTTGAGGGAATGCAATTGCCTCGGTGCAAAAGTTGGATCCATTTCTTTTACTAGGGGTAGGTACCTAAGGCAAGGGCCAAGGTAAGGTTCTTTTCTGTATGCAATGCGTATGTACCTAACTGTACGATTTCGGTGGTGGCCGTTCGCGTGCCAATGTTGACCTGATACGCTTTGGGGTTTATTGGTGGGGATTTGTTTAAATTAGCGCTAAGCTTTCTGTTTTCCGTATTCCGATGGATTGCACGTGAAGAAGACGACTTCAGATGGAACGACAGGTACCTCCTATACTACATCGTATGTAACCTAACATTAGGTCAGTTTCACACTGTTATAAAAAAATAAAAGTAAAAATAAAAGTACAAAAATTATCTATGTAGATAGTTGGAATGTTTCGACACCTACATGATTATCATGATAATAAAATTGGTTTCATTCGCAGATAACAAGATATCACGTACTTCCAAGGTGTAGTTTCCGCCGTCTGGGTGTGGCACTTGAACTCCGCGGACAGATAGTTTATCCATGCGTTTTAGGTACCTGTACCTATGTAGACATCGTGAAACTCGATTTCCATATGTGCGATACGGAGTAGGTAGGTAGGTAGGTACAGTATTTGCAATCATGGACGAATAATTTGTTGCCCCGAAACTCAAAAGTCAATAATATTTCAGTTACGACCAGTTATCATACTCTTGTTGCGCTCCCGGCTCGGCCAAGCTTTTCTCTCTGGCTATTAAATACTCTTGCTTCTTCTGCCGAAACCGTTCAATGAGTTTCTTATTGTCCAATGCCGCACGCGCTGCGTTATTTCCTGCTTCTTTCTTTGATAACGCGCTCCCGATACCCAACTGTAGGTTGCTTTCTCCCCATCCGTTGAGGAACACGCCTACGGTATGTAATGGAAGACCCAAATGTTTGTCTTTCTTCGGCTCACCCACATCGTTGTATGAAAGTTTAACCCCGCTGACGACGATAGCTGTGTTTAATAGGACTTTAGGGGGCAAGTCTTGTTTCGCACTTCTGTTATCTCCATCTTTATCAACTTTTCCGTTTAGATCCCCTTGTCTGGAACTTAACTTGCTCCTGAATTCCGCTTGAATCTCATGCGCCAGTTCCGTGCTCCAAAGCGACTTCATCCAGGATGATACGCGTGACAGGTTATCCGAGTCTGCCAAAATGATAGCTGCGACGTAAGATTCGAAAAGATCGCCAAGCGCCTTTTTTCTTGCCGCCTCAGATGCCCCTTGCCGAGCCTCGGGCTTTTGGGGGGCTCCAAACTCTGCAGGAAATACCGCGCGCTTGTCGATGCCGTACTTTATGGTATAATTTAGTAAAGTCTCGTTCCTGACAAGCCTCTCCCGCAGCTGAGCGCATCTTCCGACAGATAGGTTAGGGAAGGTTTGGAAGATGAAAGCTGTAGACATGAGGTAGAGATAGGCGTCGCCAACCCATTCGAGCCTCTCATAACTCATATTTTGATCTGTTGCCATTCCCTGATGAGTAAGTGCTGCCCGCTCGAAAGCTGGGTTTACAATAGCGGGTAAGGGGGGCAGGCCAGAACTTGGTATATCATCCGGTGTCCATCGAGTCAATGACACTGGATTTGGCATGGGGATTTTTTCAACTTCGAGCGAAGTTTTGGAATCCTTTTCATCTCCAAGCTTGCGGGCTTTGGAAGGTCGAGGGCTATCTTGGCCAAGAGCATTTTTCTATTGGTGTGAGAATCAGTAGTGGGAATTACACAAGGCCTTCGAATACTTACCTCATCTTGTTCGAGTAGTTGCGCGACAGGTAATATCTTCTTATTGTGGCATTTTAGTACTGAAGCTATTGCATCATTTGTACTAGGAACATCACGAAATTGTTGAAGCTCTTCATTCAAAGCCTTGGCTGATTTTAGCAAATCTTCAGCATGCTTTAAAATTTCAGAGATTGATGTCGCGTTCTGAGAGCTATCATTAGACTCGACGTTCGCGAACAAACGCTTCGACATGGCGTCAATTTTTTAATTTTTTTTTTTTTTTTTGAAAAAAAAAGTAGCACGATGAGAATTTACGACAACATGTAGAATTTATTGTATTGTATTGTAGAGTCGCTTGATTTATTAGGTAGTTGAAGAGGTAAAGTTGTTCCAACCTTTAATTAAATCTTAGGTAACATGTACCTTAGGTGGGTACAGTAAAACCTGTCCATAATGAATCTACGATATAACGAATACACTCTATAACGAATTTCTACACCTGATTCCTGAATTTTGTATGTAATTTAACGAATTTTTTTGTTAACGAAATTTGTTAGGTTTAATGCTTAGTCACCACCAAATTCGTTATGGAGTATACGAAAAATAAGGGGGTTAAGGACTTAATATGTTTAAAATAAGCTAAATCATAAGGCTTGACCCACAATGACTAACCCAATTAGGCTAAGATAACGATGTAAATTCGTACTCACGCCTATTACATATCACGTGTTAAAAGTGGAGAATATCCTTGATAACGAATATACTCCATAACGAATTTAGACCCTTGATTTTTCCAATTCGTTATGGACAGGTTTTACTGTACATATATGTAAATACGTACCTAGGTACCTACATTAGGTAGGTACGTTGCGACTGAAGGTGTGCGCCACCTGAAAGGATCTAAGATTATTTACCGATTCTTTTCCGACAGACGCGCCCCACGTTCCCTTGTTCAATCGTAATAACTGCGACAAATTCGTCTTCGGTTCTGCGACAAGCAAGAATTGCTGCATAAAACGTCGTAATGTCAGCTGTTCCTCGTGCGAGGCTGCTGAGCCTCATGAAGGTATAAGGACTACCTTCATTTCCTCTATTAGGCTTGGTTCTGATCGTCATTCTAGGCCCAATGCGAAGTCTTCTCCACGACGTACAATCCTGATGGGATACGGATGGGCAACAAAATCCTGCGACAACGATTAAGAGGACCGACACTTGCTAAGTACTACCCCCCGAGAGGACCGACAATTAATACCCTGGAGAGGGTGTTCAAGCGTTGGAACCTAGAGACCATCAACGAGGAAGAAGAGGACAGACAGGAGCACTTGGCAGGGTGAGCTATATCGATCTTGCAAATATATCACATATCGGAGTCTAACCAAAACGCAGTGTGAGGTCGCGTGGAAAAGGTGCACCCAGGAAGAAGAGGGGTCCTCCTAATGGTATGATCTGTTCCTTCTAGTATGCTCGGAATAGCACTAACTTTCAATATAGCCAAACACAAGTAGAAGCAGAGTTGGTCTTCATTGCACTTGTACATATATACAAAAGTAACGGCGTTTATGGATATAAATCAGCAATTTATTACTACGAGACACATATATCCCGAATATGGAGAAAACCACCACTTCCCAGTAATCGATCGATGCTTGTTGGGGTCCCCTGCTATCCCAACAATCGCCTGCAGCGTCTCGTGACTTTCAATTAGTCTACGGGCATTGATCTACGCTAGCAAGCTGCTAACCTAGTATATAAGAGTTCTTCCCATTGAACTTGAAAGGGAAGCATTCTGCCGTGGCTATTATAAACTAATGAGCATGTCAGGTGTTAGTATTACTTGGTATGATTCTAAAGCGGAGGTCGTTGGAATGTGGACTACGAGGGACAGAAGTGAATTAGATATACGACAATGCCGACTCTCTAAGTGCGCTGTCAGTTTCAGCGATGCCGGGAAAACTACATATACTTGTATGGTCATGCGCCTCTGTGCAAAAGACCAGTAGCAGATGCCGAGCGAGCGTGGGCGTATATATGAAGCTTGATAAGAGATTGTGCTTATAAATCTTCATCACACCGACGTGCTCATATGTCGTCTACATACAGATAGGATTATCCTGCGATGACGAATTCAAGTATGTATTCAGTATGGTAACATAGCTGCCGACGCAACTGGGAAATTGTTGAGAAGAGATAAAGTGGCGTTCACAAGCGGTCTACGTTATTGAAGCTTGTATTAGTGTGCAAAGTATCTACTGGCGCCTGAAGGGGGAAAATAAGGATAGTACCAGTTTGTTGAAGCCGGTTACTCGGCATCCAGGGGAGATGAGCAGGCAAGAGGGTAAAGGGTATCTAAGGTAAGAAGGTAGGTAGGAAGGCAGTCGAGACCACCTCTTATCTTTAACCAATGCACTCATAATGCAGCAACACAATAATGCGCAACTTCCATCTCCTCTAGGAAAGACGCATACCTAATTTTACTTATCTTACCTAACATCAGGTCCTACCTTACATCCTGCCCTTAGGTACGGATTCTATTTTACCTGTTCAGGCATCGACCTGGCTAGAGAATCTTTCCTCTTTCAACTTTTATCATTACCTAAAGATATATCCCTTAGATATTCAACTTTCCTGGAACACCTTTACACTTTACACACCTGTGTTGAGCACATCTTGCAGGTACATTCGCAAACACACCCAACACTTGTTTCGAAGATAATTTCGAAAGTCACATGACTATCTAGGTCTAGGTATTTGACACCTCTTGGCCGTCTTGCATTGCAATCGTGCCAGTTTACAGAAAGGGTTGCTTCGGTACCTACTGCCTCTTTTGTCAACGACTTATATGAGTGTACATTGGTAAGTTCGTCTTAGCGCTGTTTCCTCGAAGGGGGTGACTTCCGCAATATAAACCTGCCTATTTCGATGCCTCTGTATTTTTTTTATTTTTTTTAAGCATGGGTACTTCGCACCTGCCATGCTTCTCTCACGCTGAGGCCGTTACTCCCACAATACCTTCCAAGATAACACAATTATCAGCTATTTCTTTTTTCTTTTTTACTTAATTCCTTCCCTCCTCTAGCACATATTTATTTCCCTCCCTTGCACTTCAACAACCTTTCTACCACTCAACTTCTCTAATCCATCATCTCCCCTTAACTCATCCCACTAATCTCCTCCCACTTCACCTTCACTATACCATCTAATCTTTTTGTTGCAATCGAGGCATATATGCCATTTGTCAACTTCTGTTTTGGGCACTTAAAAACAAATCCCCTCTCCGCCGGCGACACTCTCTGCTTTCTCTGCTGACTAGGACAGAAGCTATGTCTGCTATTCCGGCCCTTTCGACCGGATCTCCGACCCCTCGTCGAACTCCCGCCTCCAACAAGCCTTTGAAGGAGGAGAATATTAAGGTTGGCAAAGAGGATACCTCTACTGCCAATGTAAGTGACGTCCTCACGCGTCTCCTCCGATATGTGAGTGATTGCTCTGACTTGATCAGAAACACACTGATCTTTTTGTAATCGTGTCTATCTATTTGATCATATTCATCTCATGTCCCCTCTCATCTGATATGTTGCTCTTGTTATCTCCAACCTAACATTATTCGGATGATTCGGCCAATACTAACGGCTACATACAGCAGGAATCGGACGCCCCTATGTCTCAGAAGAAGTCTGTTTCTGCTCTTTCGACCTCTTCCTTAGCCAACCAGAGCTATCCTAAGGTTAGTGGCCCTCCTTTATAAAACCCGTTTAGCCCGTTTAAAATTTGCTAACCATAATAGAAGATGAAGCTTAGCCACGACTCATCAGGCCCTCCTAGCTCTCCGGATCCTAGCCCTATGGATCACCTCCTAGAGAAACTCTCCCAACAGCAAACTGCACTGCACAAGCAGGGTGACGCTTTGAAGACCTCTGAAGGCAACTGCATGTACCCTCCTGCCTTAGACCACGCGTCGTTGAGCAACTCTGTGCCAATTACGCCGGCAACCGAGAATTTCATCAACACTGCCCCGGCTACTCGACCGGCTAGCGCCGCTTTGAATGATGGAAGCCCCAGCGGCGAGGAAGTACTTCGCTTGAAGTTGGAACTTGCCCAGGCTCAGAATAAGATCACCCGACTCGACCAGGAGCTTTCTCAAAGCCGTCACACCCGACCTGGACTAGAGAACGTCATGGCTGGCTCTCCATTGGATGCAGACTTTCCTCCTGCGTTCCAGGCTCCTCCTAACCCAGCACGAATTCCGGGCCCTACGACTCTTGGTGCAGGTACTCAGCAGGCAATGGGTAGGGATGGTGCTCATTCCTGGTCTACTTTTGATGACTCTAGGTCTGACACCAGTGATGCGTTATCAGCTACAGGCTTCAACCGCTCTCGTAACATTTGGGGACCAAGTAAGAGTGCTGGAGGCTCTTTCCAAGGCGGCTTCCCAGGACCCGAACTGCATCAAAACAGCCAGTGGAATGGACGTGGTGCTAGCCAGGGATACATGGATCACAGCTTGACCTATGAGCCCGCGGCTTCTAGTGGCTATCGTGGAGATCGCCTGACGCCTGACTACGACATGACTATTCGGCCCTCCGGCAACCGACGAAACAACCGAATTGGAATGCCTGCTTTCGGTGCACAGACTGGATTCGGAGGTGGCTATAACTATGGCAGTGGCCCGTCGTATGGATCTGATCATGGCATCACTGGACCAACCCCGGCACCGACTGGTTCGGGAATTTACTCTCCTTACCAACCTACCGCTGTTGGTACACCCCTTTCGCCCCTAGCGAGCGAGTTCACATCGGTCACCGGTGGTGGACCTTGGAAGTCAGAGGTAAGCATCCAGTTACTTTCAATTTGAGCTAATCACTAATGTAGACTGCATCACAGCCTGGGACTTCTGAAGGCCAGACCTATTTACCCACCACAGAGCCTCTGAACTACCGCCGCCTCCTTGATCGCAATGTCAACTGCAATTGGAAGTACATCGTTGACAAAATTGTCTGCAACAATGACCAGCAAGCATCGATTTTCCTGCAGCAGAAGCTTAAGGTTGGAACGCCGGATCAGAAGTATGAGATCGTAGAAGCAATTGTTGCTCAAGCATATCCACTGATGGTTAATCGCTTTGGCAACTTCTTGGTACAGCGATGCTTCGAGCATGGAACTCCAGAACAGGTGGTCAAGATCGCAGAGGCTATCAGAGGGTGCACACTCAACCTCTCGATGGATCCCTTCGGCTGTCATGTAGTCCAGAAGGCCTTCGATTCAGTCCCGGAAGACTACAAAGCTATCATGGTCCATGAACTACTTCGACGCATCCCGGAAACTGTTATCCATCGATATGCATGCCACGTCTGGCAGAAGCTCTTTGAACTGAGATGGACCGAGTCTCCACCTCAGATCATGAAATACGTGAACGATGCGCTCCGCGGCATGTGGCACGAGGTTGCTCTCGGAGAAACGGGAAGTCTAGTCGTTCAGAACATCTTCGAGAATTGCCTCGAAGAAGACAAGGTATGTCACAGGGACTATGGAATTTCCGATGATGGTGCTAACTATACTGTACCTACAGCGTCCTTGTATCGAAGAGGTTCTCGCCAACATTGATATCGTTGCCCACGGCCAGTTTGGAAACTGGTGCATCCAGCACATCTGCGAGCATGGCGCGCCAGCTGACCGAAGCAGAGCAATTGACCACGTTATTCGCTACGCAGCAGAGTACAGTATGGACCAATACGCATCCAAAGTAGTTGAGAAGTGTCTGAAAATTGGCGGAGCTGAGTTTCTGGCACGGTACCTTGACCGAGTCTGCGAAGGTCGCGTGGATCGTCCCCGAATCCCTCTGATTGATATTGCCAGTGACCAGTATGGTAACTATCTCATTCAGTGGGTCTTGACCCATGCCTCTCCTCAGCATCGCGAGATCGTTGCTGCGCATATCAGAAAGCACATGGTGTCTCTTCGTGGATCCAAATTTGGATCTCGTGTCGGAATGCTCTGCACTAACCCAGCCGTAGCCACTCGACCGGGCCCTGGAGTCAGCACTGGCCTGGGACGCATGCCTGCAGGTCCTCGATTCAATGGCCGTGCTTACCAATAATGGCACTCGCTCGATTGATTTCGTGAAGGATCTGGGCTTCATTCAACTGATGAAGGATCTTATTATCTTTCGCCTCAAAAAGTGTTTTTCGGTGTCGCATCTTGCCTCGGGTCTTTACTTCGGCGGTTGCTTTTGCGTCTACTATTTTTCTTTCTTTTCTTATGTCTTGCTTTCGGACAATTCCGAGGCTACTAATTGATTTTAATTCGGTTCTCGGATGAATCGATTCGCATATGGCACGTCTCACAGAAAGCATCATCTCAAGCAGAAAATTTACGGAATCATACGTCTACGACATCCTACACCCAGCAGGCTACTGCCCCGCTTGGGTGCCTTGGACACATCATGGTTATGGATTTTGCGATATGAAATCAAAACATCCACTCCATTAGTCCATTATTTCATTATTCCAACTCGGTCACTCACTCGCCACATTAAATTGGATGGAGGACAAACCTTCTACCGATCAAACGAAGAACATAATGTCTCACCTTACCTTCTAATATAGTTGCGCGGATGGTTTTCCTGATCTCAGCTAAGGTGGACGTTCTGCAGAGGATAGATACTTTGTGTTGGGAACCGAGTATTCAGGTTTTGTAAGGCATTTTAAGACTGACTCAAAACCGGTAGGCGGCGGAGGTTTAATCAATGGTATGAGGGCGAAAGTCAACAATGTTAGTTCTGTTTTTGTGCTACCGGAAAAGTCTTACATATGCTCCTTGTATTACGAAGAGTTCACTTATTTATAATCGCTCGCTCGATTCTTACCAAATTTGATGTCTTTGCGAGTCTATTCCTGTGCAAGTCTTGTGTGTAAAATAGGCGGTGAGATATGGTACTTGATGTTTTTGCGTGACTGCTATGTCGCCAGCCAACTGTAATGATAATGCGAATGCTCTTTTACTAGGCCCTAGTTTCGAATATCAGTTCCCAGAACCTCTTCCTGATATGTCGTTTACCTGCTCGACTTGCAGATATTGGTGATAGAGAGTGGAATTCACATATGACCCCTGAATCTATCTACCTTAGGTATCTCTCTATATTAAAGTCACTTTAAAATCATTCTGGCAAACGAGATTAGGTTAGGTACCTAGCTACCTACCTCATATGTACCTACTTAAGGTTGGTTAGACGAATCAAGTTAACCTGGGGGTTGAATTCGTTATCAAGGTTTTTTTTTTTTTTTTTTCAGCTACTCAAGTCCAGCTCGTCCCGTCTACTGTATCGTACTGATGATGAGTTCCATGCAGCGGACTTGGGGCACAGGAGAAAGGATGGGGTATTCTCGGTGCGCTTTATGTACTTTCTTCTACCTACTTCCGTGAACCTGTACTAATACCTACCTACCTAACCTTAGGTAGGTATCTAAGGTAGGTAGTTAGGTTAAATAGTAACTATGTGTGTGTATTGTATGTACATGTTTGCGATGCCGGCGATTGGATTTGCGCGCCCAGGGGACAAGGAACAAAAAAAAAAAACAATCGAGGAAGACCAATTCCCAGCCAGCGCGGATAAGTTAGCAGTCAGTCAGTTAGTTAGTCAAAGATAGACTCTGCCAGCCCAGCCAGCTAGCTCTTCCCCCTTCTTTCTTTTTCCAGGTTCACGTCTCTATTAAATCCCGTTCATCACCGCCCGGGATAGCCGTAGCGTTACACACGCTCCCCCCCTCTCACGCGCCGTAGGCGACCTGACCCATCGGCCTGTCGTCCGTCATACCGGGGGCCATGAGGTTGTTGTTGGGGTTGCCGGTTGCCTTTGCAACTGAACACCGCGCCATAGTCGGCGAGCTGTATTGATTGTTAGCGGAATTCAACGAAGAATGGAGAATACAAAATGAGAAAGGGGGGAAGAAAATAAAAATGCTAACCTTCTGGAGATAACGTCTGTGAAGTAGAAGTCTTGGATAACCTTCTTCAAGGGTTCGTTAGTAGACTTGGCGCCCTTGTTCTGGTCTACTAATTGCACCTTGCTGAGGTGCTTCATGGATGTGGGTTCGACAACGTCGTACGAAGCGAGTGCCGGGCTGATCTCGAATAACCTCTCGCGCAACTGGGCGACATCGTCATATGGTAGAGGTGCTCCAAGGAACTCGCTTACTGCTCGAATGATCTTCCAGTCCGTTCGGGCCGCACCGGGTAATGATGTGGCAGCACGAGTCATCTGCGCGCGACCCTCGGTGTTGACGTAAGTACCGGCCTTTTCGGTGTAGGCGGCACCGGGTAGAACGATGTCGGCGATCTGGGCACCTCGGTCACCGTGGTGGCCTTGGTAGACGACGAAGGCGTCCTTGGGGATATCGGCATCAGTAATTTCATCGGCACCGAGGAGCCAGATGAATTTAGGCTTCGTTTCAGCAACCTGAGGAGAAGGTGTTGTGAAGCCAACCTCAAAAGCACCTGCTCTTGAAGCTGCCCTTTGTAAAATGTTGAAACCGTTGTGTTCCTCAGTCAGAAAGTTTGCGGCGTTCTTCTCGACGAAAGACCCGATAACCTCGTAGAAAGCCTTAGCATCGGGGTGATCAGTCACACCAGAGCCGACTACAATCATCGGCTTCTTAGCGGACTGAAGCTTCTTGCCGAAAGGACCGGATAGAGCCTTCTTCAACGCCGCGAGATCATTACCGAGGTGCTCAAACTCGAAAGTCGACTCCCACGGCTCACCCACGACACCGATCTCCAGATCCGATCTTAGCCATTGCTTTCGGATACGGGCGTTTAAGCCAGCAGCTTCGTGTCTGGGGTTGGTACCGACGAGCAGTAAGTAGTCAACGTCCTCGACAGCGGTGATCTTGGAGTTGAAGAGGTAGTTGGATCGGACATCAATACCGTGAGGAAGGGGCTGACTTCCCGAAGGCATATCGAGAGCAAGGTTGTCCGACCCAAGCTTGTTGGCAAGGTCCTTCATGGCAACCAAAGACTCAACCTCAGTGAGCTCACCAGCGATCGCCTTGAACTCATTGCCCAGGGGCGCGAGCTGTTGGTATGCTGCCGCGATCTCTGTTAAGGCCTGCTCCCAAGAAGCAGGCTCGAATTTGCCTTCTCGTCGTACCAGAGGCATAGTTAGACGCTGCGTCTTTAAGCCATCACACGCGAAACGGGTCTTATCGTTAATCCACTCCTCATTGATATCGTCGTTGAGTCGAGGGAGAACTCGCATAACCTCGAGGCCTCGAGAGTCTACACGGATAGCAGAACCTAAGGCATCGTGCACATCGATCGACTCGGTCTTCTTTAATTCCCAGGGACGGGCTCGGAAGGCATAGGGCTTAGATGTGAGAGCGCCGACGGGGCAAAGGTCGATTACATTACCGGACATCTCCGAATCTAGGTTCTGTTCTAAGTATGTGCCGATCTGAATGTCGTTTCCTCGTCCAAAGGAGCCCATCTCGGGGGCACCGGCTATATCGTTCGCGAATCGAATACATCTCGTGCAGTGAATACATCGGTTCATAGAGGTTTTAATTAGAGGTCCTATATTCTTGTCCTCCACCGCTCGCTTGCCACCGATCTCGTGGAACCGGCCTCTGTCGGCTCCGTATCGCATGGACTGGTCCTGAAGGTCGCATTCACCACCCTGGTCGCAGATAGGGCAGTCTAACGGATGATTCGCTAGGAGGAATTCCATTACACCCTCGCGGGCTTTATGTGTGAGAGGCGAGTTCGTCTTTACAACCATTCCGGGCTGGACCGGCCAGGCGCAAGAAGCAACAGGCTTCGGTGCACGTTCGACTTCGACTAAGCACATACGGCAATTTCCCGCGATCATTAATTTCCTGATTCGTGTTGTTAGCAAGGTAGGCTATGGTGGGGGTAGTCGACAAGGTGGCGATCGTACTCGTGATAACAATATCTGTAAGATTGTTAGCGGTAAACTTCTCAGTTTATTCGGACATGTCATAAACTGACCTGGGGACTGTGACACCGGCCTTCTCGCAGGCCTGAATTAAAGCTGATCCAGCTGCGGGCTTAATTAGTAAGAGACTTAACAGAAACCTCGAAAAGGCAATTTTATAGATTTATACCTTCGATAGATACCTTCTTTCCGTCTGAGAACAACGTCAGTAGCCATCCTAAGCGCTCCGATCGTAGATATAATGCGAGTGCTTACCAATGGTAAGCTCCACCTCTGCCGGCCGCCGAGGCGTCACTGAAAAAGATCTCGAGGATTTGGCGACATGGCTGCCAGTCCGCCAAGCCGAACGAGCCAGAGATTGTCGAAGCATCGTGTCGTCTCGACGGAATCAAGGGACGAAGGGGGTGGAGGGGAGAGGGGAGAGAAGTAGGGACAAGATGGGTTCGTTGGGTAGACAATTAAGAAAGTAAGTCCCTTTTCGAAACGGGTTGACGTCTCTTTTTGGAGTTTGGAGAATTGCTCGTCGGGAATTATTGGATGCTTCTTCGAATCGAAGAGTGGCGCTAAAACCCATTTGCGATTATTTCGGACTTGCTTTGATTGGCCACAGGCTAAGAAAAACTTAAAGCCTGAATTCCAAGGTGCGAAAAGGTACCTAGGTACACATTACGTATAGTACTTGAGTATATGTACCTAACCCAGCTAACCTAAATTTACCTAGTGAACTTACCTAGTTACGTAAGTAACGCCAAGCCCCTGGTCCAGTATCATCTTTAAAATCAAAATTTTTACAACCGATTTGACCTTTTTTTTTCTTTTTCTTTTCCTCATCAATTGTACATGGGCACATTTTATTGTAGGTGAGCTTGAGTGAGGCTCCTGGTATTCCAGGTTACTTGCTATAGTCGAGTCTTCCTCTATCTTGTGCTCTAGAGCAATATTGTACGCCGTTTATGGAAGCACTTGAGAGCTGCTAAATCTCGAAGATTGTTGCCTCTTACCGCCGGTCGTCACATTTGCACTTTCAATTCTGGGGTTTCTGTCATTTTTCATTATATACCTAGGTACCTAACCTATATATAAAGCAAGGCTAGGAAGCGAGAAGAAGCAACCTTATCAGTTAATCAATAACCAGCGCTTAAGTACCTCAATTCTAGGCATCAACGCACGTCCCGTTTACACTCTGCACTTCCTTTGTGATTAACCTGAATTAAATATTGTGTTCAAAATCTCGCCTCTTCTAATGACTTATTCTAATGTCACGCTTCTACAACACCAGGTTTCCGAAACAGTATATCGTATATCTTCGCCGAAATACCTTCTAACTAATATGTCTAGACAGAGCCACGTTACGCGAGACAGCACTAGCGATGTAATCTATCAGCTTGCACGCGTGGCCGATACTTTGCACGATAATTCACTTGGCAGGGTAGACCTTCTAGAGAAATACGTTGACCATGAACTCGAAAAGCGATCTGCCGACTTGAAGGCATCTCTGGAGAAAGTAAACACCACTATCCAGTCCCTCCAAGGGACTGCGAACCATGCCGGCGGATGCTGTGAAGGCGGGGACGGAATGATCGACCGTCTTAATCTTCTCCAAGCCCAAATCCAGACCCTTCATGCCGACCAAAACTCGTTTTGGGCCGGATTCGAAGATCTTAGATGCAAAATGGCAGGGATCCGAAGCAACCAACACGACCTTCGCGATGTTCTTCGTATGATGCGTGCAGATGCCCAGGTCTTGCGTGAGCCTACCGACACTTTTGGATTTCCTCAGTTTAAGAGGCTCCCACTGGAAGTTCGAACCATGATATGGGACTTGGCCATTCCTAACCGAATACTAGGTCTCGCCGGGAAATTCGGGAATCAAAATAAACCTGAGACATTTTCTTTTAATCCGCATTTATCTCCTCCTTCGGTTGCTCATGTCTGTCGGGAAGCTCGATCAATAGCTTGCCGTAGCGGTAGACTTGTGAACACCATCAAGAAGGACAGTGTTAGATATTCAAGGTACAACGGTAGGGGTCGAAAGGATGACGTTAATGGCACATTACGATTGTCCTGGTATGACCCAAGCCGAGATTCTCTTCGCCTGTATGTGAACTATTTGAAATGGTTGCTAGATGTCGATGTCGATATATGTCAAATTACAGAATGTATCCAATTTGACATAGGTAGCACTGATTCACGTCATATAGCCTGTCACTGGCTCCTATCTTACCTCTCCGACACGCATTACTTTCCACGATTAAAAGTAGTTGACTTCATATCGGGTGTCTATTTATATCGGCCGTATAAGGACCATGTCCTCGACACGCAACTCTTCTTCGGTCCAGATCGTCAGAACCTTCTTTCTCTCGATATTACTGACAAGACCGCGAAAAAGGCTCTAATCGACAGAATCAAAATGAATCATTCTGTGGAAGCTAACCGGTTAGTAAGCTGGCTAGAGAAGGATGCAAATGATTCCTGGGGCGATCGTGGACGTGATGGTCCCAACTTGAAAATGAAGTGGCCTCAGTTCTTAGATCACTTGCAAAAGAAATGGATATTTCTTCAGTCACAACGGGGTTATTCGGATGAGGTTAATCATACCGAACAAGCCGACGGATCTAGCGGCAAACTGTCACAGAGCTGCCCTGTGTTCGGATGAGTAAAGCTAATTTGGCAAGTATGTTAAAAGTAGGTAGATCATGAGGATTTCCTGTCTTCGTCGGAATGGTGACCGGAATAGAATTACCCAAAGGCATAGTTGGGCGGGTAGTTAGCAAGCCGCAGTGGTTCTCCTAATGTCTATGGGTGGTGGTATGTGGTAATTATCATATTCGACCTGTCTTTCCTTCAAGCTTTTTGCGTGTTGGCAGACATCGGCTTGAGCAGCCTCAGAAGACTACACTCGTTCGGCTGAATAGGTAGATTGACTCAGACATGGCCCCTTCTATTTGTTAGACCTTTTTTAATGTTGACATTCCTTAGACTGCTTTTCAACCCTCCTTAGCATCATGAAGTTTTACTATGTACCTAAAGATGAAAGGATTGTCTTGCGTTATCACGGATTTTTAGAAATGAAATGTAAGTACGATCGAGGTTGGCGGTCTGATAGCTTTACCCACAAAAGCTTCTTTGTATGGGCAGAAAATATATATATAACCTAATAGCTAACCAAAATCTCACCGCCCAGATTCTACGATCTGGCAAAATCTTGTGAATGCACCAAGATTTGGTTTGGTGGTCTAGTGGTATGATTCTCGCTTAGGGAAAACCCTATGAATAATATGCGAGAGGTCCCGGGTTCAATCCCCGGCCAAACCCTTCTCTTTTGCCAAACAAGCATGTGAAAGAAAAGCTTGTTTCTTTTTTGCGTATAATTGTATATTATTAATTATATATTATCTCTTCTCTCTATCGCAATTATCGTTATTATGATAGTCTAATTAATATCTTTTTCTCCGCTTGGGTTTTTGCGTACCTAAAAAGGTATTTCTCTAACCGAGGTCTCCAAGCTGATATTGTTACGGAGATTACAAACTTCTCACCTTATGTTGTCTTTCCCCAATCCATCTCCGCTCCTAGGTAAGAGGTGCCTGAATCAATGCAAGGTCACGGACCACGGCACGCGACCCCAAGGATGATGAGAACTCCGCATAAGCTGCCTAAATGTGACAGAAAATTATTGCAAGGGGTTGCCGACGATAGTGACACTTTAATTTCAGTACAACTATTGATCGATTCGCGGCAGCCCAGGTGGGACGACTTTCTTAAGCTTAAAATGACCAGGATCCGGCTCGCCCGGAAGTTGGGACAATGCAATTAAGACCGTTAAGACCGTAGGCGCGTACCTAAGATAAAAAGCAAGAAGCTGGGGTAAGCAGGTTCGTTATTTATTTATTTTATTTTATTTTTCCAGAGAAGTTATTAGGTATCTTTGTGTATGACATATGCAGCTAATAATCAATAGATAAGATTAAGCATTTATGTAAGGTACCGCATAACATGATGTAAGGTATACCATTATTAATAACCTAATTCTCCTTCATCACCTCTCTTTAATATCAACCTCGGCACCCATTAGGAAATTGAATACGGTTACCTCGCATCCATGATTCTCAGCTAAGGAGAAAAGATCCAGGCAAAAGGCCCAGGCTAGGCCCTGCTGCAGCCTGGACCTTGGCGCTAACAACGTTTTTTTTTTTTTTTTTCCTCTTGGTCCCGGCCACCCCTACATAATAATACCTCATGTGCTATATCCCGATGCATCATAGCGTGTACCGTCGACGGGACCGCATTAAGGGGTGTCCTTCTTATTACATAGTACATGGCTGACTTATAAAAAGGGAAGCGGGAGCCTTTTGCGCGCTGGATGGGCCGATCCTCTTTTGATCTACCTTACCCACGCGAGTAAAGAGACGACGATCAATAGATACCCCCAAGTCATTCATTTCATTCATTCGTTCGTTCTTTAATTCGCGATCCGCTCGTTTATATAAAATAATAAGGTCGGTCGACTAATAAGCCAACTAATCATACGCTCTTTTATATATATATATTTGCTTTTTTTCGTCGCTACGACCTTTGAAAAAAAGTAATCACATACAAGTCCTATCGACCTAACAGTCAAATTACCTACCCTACGGTTACAGATATGTATACTAATAACGCCATCGTCTTCGCGGCCCTCGCCGCTTGCGCTTCCGCTCAAATCCCGAACCTTCTCCCGCGCCAGACCCTCGACAGTCCCGACCCGGAAGAGACCTCATCCTCGCCGGAGTGCGTCTCTCGTGTTGAATCCTGGTCTGGTGCCTTTCCCACCCCGGCCCCGGCTCTAGAGACGGCGATGGAAAGCGCCACCGAGAAGGGTGGCATGGCCGAGTCCGGCCTGTCGGGTCTGTGCCATTACGGCACGGCTCTGGGAGACGGGCTTGCTTCCGCCTACACCTCCTACTGCCTCGAGATGTACTCGTACCTGTCCTCGCAGTCGTCTAACTTGGTCGCCCTGGCTACCACCTGCTCCAACGACATGGGCGCGCCCCCCGAGGTCATCACCAGCCAGCTCAGCGAGCTCCTCGGCGTGTACTCCCAGTTCTCGGCCGGCGGCTGCAAGGCCGTCTCCGCGACGACCACGGCGGACTCCTCCGACGCGAAGACCGCCACGTCCTCTTCCGGCAGCTCTTCTGCTCCCGCGACGAATGCCAGCGGCTTCACCACGGCTACCGCGTCCGCGTCTTCGGGCGCCGCGTCCACGACGGTGTCCGGAAACGCCGGTCCCCGGGAGACCGGAATGATGGCTGCGGTCGCCCTGGCTGCCGGCTTCATCGGCGCCGCCGTGGCCCTGTAAGGGGGGCGGCGCGGCATACTGTAGAAGTTAAAAATAATTAACTAACGAGAAAAGAATTACGTCTTTTTTCTTTTAACGTCTCATGTCCCCCCCTTTCCTCCCGTAGGATTCTCTGATGTTTCTCTTCTGGATGAGTGTATGTGTGTTTTGTGGTTTTTACCTTGGCGCTTGTGGTTTTGAAAAACCACCTTTTTCAACCATCATCATCATCATCATACCCCCCTCGATCTGCTTCGTGTATAAATCCGATAAGCGTATAGCTGGTCTCTCCGACCTGCCTGGTCTGGCCTGTTGGAGGCGCGAGCTCGATAGGCTGTTGTAGCGTCAATATATTAGTATACCCTAAACATGTTTTGATCTTTAAGTTCGCTGCTGTCTGTATATGTCTGGTTAAGGTAAGTATATTTTCACTATGAGGCTTAACGTCCAACGATCATCTAACCATCAACGCCGCTATATGTGGTCTATTCTCTCTTCTCTCTTGTAATGCAGGCGGTTAAGTCGTGGTTAGCTGGACTTAGTAAAAGCTTTAGGATAAGATACTGTATTGTGTTTTATTTAGCGGTGGCTCTAGAAGCTGTCTTTTCTTGGTTCTGGCCTTTGGGGAAATATTCGAATAGGTACTGATAAGATGCAATATTACATACCTTACAAAGACATTGTCGGGGAAGTCAGGTGCTTTGTATGCTCAACTCTTGGCTTTCCAACTTACATCATGGGATCGACAATATAAAGTAGTATGGATGTTCGATTCTCGATCGATCATCCCTCAGTCGGTGGAGTAGTTTGGGCTCCACATGGAGCCAGCGCTCTGGATCAGGAAGCTTGCGATAGGGCAGTAGGGCTTACACTAGAGTTGCGCACGCGGCTCCCGATGCCCATCTGCACACCCACAAGTACCCCCGTCCGAACGCCGTTGATCCCGTCCACAAAATCTAACTTAAGCAAAAGTTTCCCGGCAAGTCTAAAGTTTAATCCCTATTTTGTACGATGCCCTAGGCATCATCGATGTCGATCATCAATAGCTTAGGAGGTACCTAGGGTCCAACGGCTTGTTCACATGCATACCAGGTATAAAGGAGGTTTCTCAGCGTCTGTCTTTGCGAACGCAAAACTTCTTGATATCTGCATATTATGGCTCGAAGAGGTGATCCTTACAGAGGTACTAGGTAGGCAGATTTGGGGGCTCTTTTTTTTATAGCTTTATTGTTCCACAAATACGCCCTACTGGCAGCTATTTATTTATTCATTTGCGTGTTATATGCAAGGTTCTTGGTATACACTACATCAACACTTATTGGACAACAAATTGCTGCTTGTGCGACTTATGCAAGACCGAAGTATCCAACACTTCGCCCGTAGCCGACCTAATGAAGTCGACTTGGAGGTTATTCGTATCCAAGAAGTTTATCTTGGCGTAGCTGAAATCATCGGCGTACGCGAAGGCGTTGAACGACACGTTGCTCCCCACCGCGCTGAGGCCCTCGATGTTCCCCGCGCCGCCCGCCACGATGTACATGGGCGCCGCGGGGTCGTTCATCCCCTTCGGGTCGGCGGTGTTCTTGTAGGTCGGCTGGAAGCGCTGCGAGTTGTGCACGTGCCCGAATATCGCCAGGTCGACGCCGTACTTGTAGAACAGCGGCTCGAACGCCTTTTGGCATGCCGTGCAGCCGTCGCCGCCGGTGGTGTACCACGGCCGATGGCCGCCGACCACGAGCCAAGGCGTTACCGTGCGGTCTACGGAGGCCAGGTCCGCCTCGAGGAATTGCAGCTGCTGGTCGGGGGCGCCGAAGGGGCCGCTGTTGAGGCCCGCGGACCCACCCTGTCCGTCCGGCGCATCGTCGAAATCCGTCTCCGTGTTGATCATGACGAAGTGAAGCATGCCGTACTCGAACGAGTACCAGAAAGGCGGGTTCGCCAACACCTGCGCCTTGTTGGCGTTGATCTTGGCAGCGTCGGCGGCGGAGGTCGACGGGAAAGCGGTTGACATGGTGTCGCCGAACCGGTTCATGAAGTCGGTGAAGTTCTTCTGTCCCGCGGGGCACAGTCCCGACGTATGGGGGATTTCTTGGCAGGAGGCTTCGTGATTGCCCGGGCTAGCCATGTAGGCTTTACGGCCGGATATAGGTGATAGCTGGTCGTAGAACTGCTCCAGGATAGCCTGGAAGGCGTTCTCGCCGTCGAGGAGATTCTTAGGCTTCAATATCCAGTCATCAGCATACGCGAAGTCTCCGGGATGTACGATGAATTCGTAGTCGTCGACCGTGTTGGCCAGCTGGTTGATGGTTGTGTGATTTAGCGACGGGTCAATGTGCGGGATTGTATCCCTTTTGGTTTCGTCCATTTTGATGGTATATCCGTCAGCGCCATAGACACCCAGATCGATGACGGCATTCATGGCGAAAGGGGTCGTATCGCCGGCTGTCCGCGGGCTAAAGAAATGCTCAACGGTAGAATTCGTCGATTCTATCTTATAATAATATGTGGTAGCGGGTGACAGGCCCGTGAGTACGACCACGTTGGCGTAAGTGCGTGAGCTTGGATAAGTGACCGAGTTAGTGGAGCAAACCTGAGAAGTGAGCGCGTTGCTGGATGTGCCATATTGGACGCAAGGCTTGTCTATCTTTTTGTATGTATTCCAGCCCACGGAGATGGCTAGAAGATATAGTGTTAATTGCTGGTAGAACGCAAAGGGATTTTTTTTTTTGAAGGATAGCGCGCAGCTTATGCTGTCACAGACTCACCATTAGGGCCGTTGATAGCAAGCCGCTGCTGGAACGGAGTTGTCAAGTCAACAGGTATAGACGGAAAGCTAGCTCCGGCTATAACACAGGAGGCCAGGAGAGGTAGCCTCTGTGCTAGCGTAAGTAGGTTCACCATCATGTGAAGCTCTTCGAAGCTCTTTGCGGTCTTAACAATGCTCACGACCAAAACGTCTTGACCAAGAAATTCAACAACCTATAGGGATTATAAGTATTTATAATGTGTGCGCTCTATATGGTTGACCGACATGGGCCCGCCTGCAAAGTTAGCTGCATCTTAAGATGGCGCCGTGGAAGGGGTTACGTCCGCAGCTCGTGGGGTCGACGATTGGTCAAGAATGGATCTCAGTCGTTCGGATATGAGCGCCGCGGTGGCTCCGGAGACAAGGTCAATGCTGCTTCCGGCATAAGGGAACCGGGATTGATTACCTGGATAAGAAGGTTGTTTTCTTCGTAGAACTGAGCTTACGAATTATATCGACCGTAGATCTTTGTGGCTTGTATTACTTGGTTAGTTGATGAATTGCCAAGGTCTAGGATGGAGCATTGCTGAGAAGCATCAAATGCGACGCTAGAGAGAGACATTGCGCCTCACTTGAGAATTTCGAGTATTAGTCCGACGGAGCATTAAGACAACTTGTGCTAGTTAATTCTTGATTTTCACTTTGAAGTACATACATCTATAAAGTCTAAGAGGTAATATTGAAGCTACCTAATACTTGGTGGTCGAGGTAGGGCACAAGTTGTAGAGAAACACAAAACTGAGCGTGAACATGACACTGAAATGATCTAAGAAAATTTGGTTTAATTGGTAAAGCCCGACTACTAAGTATTTCAAACTAGATGTCCTTGTCTCTTCAAATTTAACTTGTCTTTTAATTCCCACTCAAGGTAACCAAGCGTACTATGTAATGTGAAGCATCACTTTGGAGGTTAAAGAGAGCAAGTTTCTCAAGAATCTTCAGGTGAGGGTAAGCTACCTATGTCAGAACTGTGCTCCGCAAAAATTTACAAGTGAAGAAACGAGATACTATCATAGGTATACGAGCTGAAAAGTAGGCGATTGGGTAATCCTTATGATCGGTACTATGTCGATCCAGGCGCGTGGCACAAGGTACCTACAGATAGTGCTGAGAAGCATACCAAACCATCGCTAAAGGTAGTAATCAGTTCATCGTCCGGAATAACAAAATAACAAAACCTTTGCTAGAAAAGGGATTGTGGGTCCAGATTCATGGATAGATGATGGTTCACCCATCTGCCCCCATTCACTTAGGTACCTAATTACCGGATCAGGACTCTTACCGAATATAGTGGACTCAACTGATACGCCCCTGGTTTTGGATGATGGACGAATCACCGGGCTTATTATAAATCGGGAGAGGTCCCGAACCAAGAAGACTATGGCGAAACAAGCATAGGAAATTTTGATATCAGCTCACTATCTGCAACTATCACTACTACAGTTACAGCAACACGTATACCGAGCCACTCCTAACCTAACAACGCACCACCCGCACTGCTACTCGACTAGACATAACGACTAGACATAAATGTAGCAGAAGTGGCCGTCATATCCGCCGAGCTGATCGTGCGTCTCCCTAAGCTTGATCGGGGGCCCAAGCCACTCCATATCGACCACAGTCTCCATCGGGTCCATCGGGTCCGCTCGCCGATTCTTGACCATAGGCATCGACATGTTACCGGATGGGACGACGTTAAGCCGCGCATCCGGGTCCTGCATCTGCCAGATCCACCATAGGCGGTCGAGCGCGGTGTGGTGGAAGTAGAAGAGCGGGTCGCCGGGCGAGGTCATGGGATCACCGCCTGGATCTACAGCTGCGATGTAGTGGCCGGCGGTGTGAATCTGATTTTTTTTTAAAAAGTTAGTTCTGGTCGATCTTTGTGGATCTAGCAACACAGCAGTAGACGAAGAAAAAAAAAAAATACTCACTCCCCATGGGTAAGGGTCGTTCCTAGGTGGTGGCATTCCCAATAGTTCGTTATAAAATCCGTCCATCTCCTTGTTTTCGGTGATGAGGTGGAACGCACGGTCGGCTTTGGCTCCCATTGCCGCATTGGGATTTACGTCGCGGCGTAGGCAGCGCGGGTTCGAACCGGTGCCGTCGCGCCTTGGGTTCTTGGCTACACCGGTAGCCGTCGACATCGAGGTGGGACCAAGACTGACGACCATGCTGTTGCTGTGTTAACTACCTCATATATATGACTCTGGGTATGGAGACGTCACTGACTCCGAGAAAGGCCCCGTGGTGACGCAGCCTCCGCCACCACCAGACTTGATGATGTTAGGATTACGTCCGGGCTGCGCGACGCCCTTGTACGTAGGTTCCAGGACGCCGTTGCCTCCTAGACTCGATGCGTTGCCATTGAGTAGAGGGGAATTGAACGGGTCTTCCGAATAACGGTCGTAGTTCATGTACTAGTATGGTTAGCAACCGTCCCCCGATAATTCTGCTTGCTAGAGCTGGCTTACAGGCTGATAGCCGGTATAGTTACACTCCTCCCGAAGGGCTTTTTCAAAGAGCCAGACGTAGTACTTGTGCGCTCCGAACAGATGAAGGTTGTCGTGAAGCTGCATGGCGTGCGTCATATGATACGCGACGAAGTCATCGTATCGGCTCAGAGCTCCAGGGAATCTGGTCTTGTCCGACTTAGGGGGTAACTTCATCAAACACTTGACGGCGGCGACATATTCCTGTCTTGAAGCCTCGCTAAGGTCGCTCCTGTTAACCGTGTTAATATTATAACAGCTTCAGCGTGACTTAGAATCGAATACGGACCATTCTCTTCGTACGACCGCGTTTTCTAGCGTACAGTTGTTGTTCGTCTCGGTAGCGACCTTCTTAGCCAGCCATGCCTCAACCTTAGGTATAGTGGCCTCTTCTAGCTTATCAACCAGATCGAGCGGATAGTTGGGGTTGCGAATACTAGAAGAAGCCGCTCTGTTAGTCTAACTGCCATAAGGGGCTGGCACGTAAGAACAGATCTTACATTTCTATGTTCGGTGGGTATCCGCTGCGAGGCACCTTTACTGCTGCTCCCTGAGCTCCAGTAAGGAGGGAGGGCAGCAAGAGAGTACTCCAGACAGTCCGCATGTCGAAGTAGTTATCGGTTCCAAGCTGGAGTTGAAGCTGGAAACGAGATACCAGAATTGACCTGCAAAGAGTTCTGGAACTGGGACCATTCCCAAGAGAAATATATATATGAAGCCCACAATTTCCCCCGGCGGCTCAATCAAAAGAACCTGGGGTTGAACCTTGCACCTCCGCACGGCACTTGTAGCAAAGCCGCAATGAGGCAAATTTCATTTACTCGACCAATGACAATTATACTCAATACTATACTCAATATATTTAGGCTTTGATTAATGTTCGGCAGAAGATGCTACCTATTCTATTACAGATTATTTCCTATACCTAGTACATTCACGAAGGCGATATAGGATATTCGCACCCATAACTTTATCCGCCAGAAAAGGGGTTACCTGCGATAGGTACCTTACCAAATAAAGCTATGATTAACAAAATACATCAACAACCTCTGATAACGATATATCTTTGAGGTAATGGACAATAGAAAACAGTGTCAACGTTGGTTTGAAATGTATATAGGAGTATTGAGTGGACTTTGAGTACTACCAGATTATTATTGGTATGCAATGCTGACATTATACCGTAAGAGAAGAATGAGCGGCTCTATTATCAACTCGTTCCCGATCTTGACGGGGAAACAGCCATGGTGTTAATAGTATTATGTCGTATACATTCGGGTGCCACCGTGAGTGATCACCTTCACACAAGCTTAAAAAGGAGGGTTCAAGGACGTATTCGCATAATGTATATGTTACCCTCCCTCTCTTAAACCAGCTCGTATTTCGTGCCGCCAAAAACAGGGACCATGCACCCCGGCATATCTTTCTCGATGGCAACTTTGAACCGCCAACCCGTGCAATGACCAGGCATAAGGACTTTCGGCCCCAGAGCCTTCAAGTCCTCGAGCGACCTCTGCAGCTTCTCCGCGCTGCCGTCGGCCAAGTGGTATCCGCCTACGACGGTATACAAAGGAACACCGCCTCCGAGCTCGATCGCGTGCCGCGAGACGTTGACCACACCCGCGTGACTGCACCCCGTGAAGACGACGAGCCCCCTGCCCTTCAGGTGGCACATGACCAGCCGCTCGTCCGTGATAAGCTCGTCCTTCTCCCACCGCCCCTCCGAATTCAAGCGGATGCCGTTAGGAATGCCGTCCTCGTAAGACGTCAGCCTCGGGATCGGCCCGGAGATCAAGAACATGTCGTCCAGCGCGGTGTGGACTTCGTCGCTTCTAGACACCGTCGCGCCCGCCTCCTCGATCTCCGCGAAACTCGGGTCGGGCTCGAGCGAAATCGGCTCGTGGGCCATGACGCCTCGAAACTCGGGCCGGTCGGGGTGCACGTCTACGACGACCTTGGGCGCGCGTTCCGACGTTCTCTTCGCGGCTTCGACCGTCCGGATCGCGGCCGCCATGCCGCCCGAGTGGTCGCGGTGCCAGTGCGACAGCACGATGCGCTCGATCGCGCCGGGGTCCAGGCCCAGCCTCGCCGCGTTGCTCTCCCACACGGCCTCCTCGGGCCCCGCGTCGAACAGGAGGCTGTGCGACGTGCCGGCCCTGGTCGCGGTTATCAGGAGCGACAGGCCGTGGGCGCCGCAGCACAGCGTGTCCATTCTCATCTGGAGCTTGGCGCCGCCGCGCTGCGCGTCCGTGGGGAGAGGCCGCAATGGGGCGCCCATGAATGATTGGGGGTGCTTGACGGCTGGGTGGGGCGAGGGGGAGATCGGGTCGATCTCGTCGTTGATGATGACGTGTATCGTTAGGCTGTCTACCGCGGCGAGCTGTGGGATCGTGGGTGTAGACATATTGAGAGATGCGATTGTCTGTTGTTTCCAGGATTATACATGAGCTAATAAAAAGAATGATCAACTGAATATGCTGTATTGCGATGAGAAACTCTCCATGGCTTTCAAGAACCAGGTAGTCAGACTGCCTTATATACCTTTTTGACGCTGCGGTCACTACTCGTTTATTTGAGTGTGAATCGTGGGGCACGATGTTCGCCGATTAGCCAAGGGATCGTAAGGATGGAAGAACCGGGGATAGACACTTATTAACAGTGTTAAGTAGTATATGTAAGCCGTATAATTTTATCGGGGCGGCGCCGGTAGGATCGGCTGGCGTCAGACAATGTAATGTAGTCGCCGTTTACATGGTGTATATGAGCGAGGAGTCTCCGTCTATAGCTCGGGCATGCGAATGAGTTCAATCCTTCCGGCGTTTTCTAAGCTTCAAACAGCATCGCCTCCACGATTATCTCCCAACAAGTAGAGTTTCACTAGGCCGTGATCCGATTTTATTCACTTTTATATAGTACCTCCTATATGCGAAGAGATGGGCTTTTATTCTTATGAAGACTACCTTGGGTACCGAATTTATCTACTTGTCAATTGCTAAGTACCTATGCCAGAACTCGCGTCAAGCAGACCCCGAATATTTTAACTTGCCACTAACACTGGGTTGACAGAACAACTTGCTGCCCATCATTAGGGAACGTCGTGTTGGTCGTCTGATTGACTATTCCCAATGACAAGACATAGCCGTACTTCCAACTATCCGCTCCGGCTACGACGGGAGGGTGTGGGATATCGCCGCGCGCCTCCCTGATCTCAGTAGTGTTGAGACCGAACATTTCGTCTCGCTTGGTAACGAAGTCAGGGGTAATTTGGTCATCTCCGGTGTAACCCATTACGAGCTCAGGGATACCAATAGGGTATGTAGAGTTCTGTTGGTCGTATCTCCAGGTGTGGAACGTCTTTCCGTAAGTCCCAACCACTGTATGGCTAATAGTTAGCGATTTCGGTATTCGGTACGGGATACATGTTGGATAAGCGGTAGAGCTTGAGAGCGAGAGCCGGGGGTGCACATACAGACATCCTTCATGATGGTATGATCCACAGACGCTGGTAATCCTGGTTGGGTCAGGAAACCGCTGGTCACTTCGTAGACATGGCTATGCCAGAGTTGACGTTCTTGGAGTGTATTAATTATAGACCTCTTTTACTTTATCTGATCGACATTCTCACCTTCATAATCCAACGTCTCGAAAGCGTCAGACGAGATAATATACTCGATACCAGCCAGGTGTGCAGGGGTGGTCGCAGTATTGTAGATAGCGCATTGCAACATATCATCGCGAACGATCACGCAGTAGTGGTTTGCGGAAATCTCCCAATCGCTGTGTCCCGAAACGAAGTGGAAGCCATTCAGGAATAGCACGGCACCTTCAGGGCCATAATGGCCGAAAGGTTGCGGAGTTGACATGCCTAGGGGCAAGAAAGCTAGCACTGCAGAGAGCGCAGGAACGAGCTGTTGGTAATACATGGCTGAAATTGAAGATTCGGGATAACTGGATGGATCTTGACACTGCAAAACTCTGTTGATTCGAATATGATTGATATCGAGAAAACGGCGGCGAGAATCGTCCTTATATACCTCTAAACCACCAGATAATTACCGCATCGCCATGAATGTTAGCAACTAAGGCACTTCACTCCTAGCCGGGAACAAGGAGAAAGCGCCCCTTGGCATCGTCTCTTCAAGCCCATCAATATCACCGAGCGGTGATTAAAGATTTCCAATGACCTCGTCGATTCGGCATCTTGTATCGCCGTTCTCCATCGTCTCTGCATCCTTGCTTTTTTTTTCTCCCTCATTTTGATCTCGATCCTGGCCACGAGCGCAATGGCACTGGAGAAAAATGCAGCCTCCTCAACTCTAAAAACAGGCCATAATAGTCCCGTAATAACAGCATGAAGCAAGACTATCGCGAGCAACGACGACAGCCGAATTAATGCCCCGCAGCGATTGCGTATAATTCGTTCAAGTGGCGGGTTCTCAATCTAGCAAAGAGGTCGCCGATTACATTTTGCATAGACCCCGAGCTTTTTAGCCTCGGTTACGGATCGCCGTCTTATCTCGAATCAAACCAAACCCAAGTCTTCCATGACCGCGCACCAATCACGAGCGGACGTGGGAATTTCGAAGACCGACATCCTTATGGATCCTGCGGATGGGATGACTCAAGAATAATCGTCCGTCCCGCACATGAGCAAGTTTGCAAGTGGGTGCCCGAAAACTGTTCGCAAGACTTCCTTCGTCCCCTGTTTCCGCGGCAGGGCGGGCTCTATGTAGAGACTCTAGCCGGGGAGGACAGGGGGCGGCATCGCGGTACGTTATCTCAAGTACATCGCTCCTAGTCAAACGAAAAAAGAAGAAAACGGCGAAAAAGTCGAGGGGAAAAGCTGAAAAAATCGGGCGAATTCGTGCTGTCGAGCAGCGTCTTAAAAGTTCGAAAAGAAGCAAATAGCAACTTGACTACGGGATGGGAAGAACATCCGTACATATAGTAGGCCGCAAAGGTTGATGGCGTCGAGCACGCCATTGCCCCTGTTCTTCTGCCAAAGTGAGAAATTTCCCATTTGAGCCTTGAGGAATCCGGCATTGCTCCACGGATCTCGGGTCAGACGCGGATGTGTGGCGGATGTTAAAGGTAAGATCCGCTTCCGTTGAAACGCTGCGGGAACCTCCACAACATATAGTACGAGACTAATACGTATAGGAAAGACGGTTGTTATTAATAGGTATCAGGAGATAATACGTAATGGTTTTGATTGTCAAGGCCGTAGTGATTTATATCAAACTATCACGGCTTAGGTGATAGTATGTAGCGGTGTTTATTTCTCATTCATTCATAGGTGATCCTATGATGGGAGCAGCTCATGTTCAGCAAAGGTAGGTGTTCTTAGCAAATTCATATTCCGATTTAAACACACTATAACACTATGTTGCTCTCTGATCTAGCTTATGATCCAATAACGAAAGCCGTCCTCCCCGTGATGACAAGTAAACGAAAGCGTCATTAAGTCGTAAACGGAAAACGTTCTTAACACTTACCTCAACCGAGCTTGCGGACATGCAAACCTAGTTCCACTATGAGCTTAATTTCGAACCCTTATTTCTCTTATTGATACGACTGTCGGATTATGGCTGTCGATATCTCCTTAAGCGAAGCTAGAGGAAGAACAACAAAACTGTTTCCAGATATACTTAGCGAATGCCAGCCATTCGCAGTTCTCGCAGCAGTCGACCTTGCACGCCATGCACAGAGCCCAAATATCGTCCTGCGAACCAACCGCATTTAACTGGCCGATAGATAACGGTGTCGAGTTGGTAACCTCAAGAGAGGTTAACAGCTTTTGCAATTCTTGAGGGTTGTCTGCCTGCTGCGACAACCGATGAACATCTGAAATCCACTCGGCGGCATCTGGTAGGAAGTCATTTGAATCACGAACTGGTGCCGTACAATCCGTACAAGTATCGGCGCGGTTAGCCTTCCACGCAGACTCCCGCTGGCGCTGGCGTTCCAAGCACGCAGCCAGCAGATCCGGACAGAGCGTAGGCTCAGCCCCGGCCTTCTGTCCACCCTCACGGTTGCTCACCAGCTGGCGCAAGCGAAAGAGACCATCCAGTCGCGCATCAGTTGGGTCGTCGCCATAAATGCTACGTATAGCATTGGCCATGGCCCGGTGGATCGGGATCCGGTAGCCCAAGCTACGCTCCCAGTACCGGTGAACCAGCTGCACGCCGAGGAAAGTCCCGGCGACGTGCAGCAGGAGCTCTGGGCAGCCAGCGTCGACCAGGTCGTCCATCATGTCCAGATACACGGAATGATACCCGACTTTGCGCCTCCTCTCACCAGGAGTCGGCTGCTCCTGCTCCTGCTGCTGCTGCGTACTTTTGTCTTTACCCTGCCCCCCGAAGCTGAGCGTCGGCTGGTGGTTGTCCACGTGGTAGATCCGCGCGGCCGACTTAGCCAAGTCCATGGCGACGCAGGAATTCGCCGAGCTGCCGAGGACCCAGCGCTCGTCCAGCGGGCCCAGGCCAGCCATCCGGGAGACGATGATCATGCACGCGTAGGTGCCGGCCGTGTGCGTGCGGAGCACGACGCTGTCCCACACCGAGTCCGCATCCCGGCCCGTCTGGGCGTGGATGCCAGCCGCGCCGTTCACCGTGCCTTCGAACTCGGCCTTTTCGACGTACTGGAAGAGCAGCTGCCGGACGAACCCCAGCAGGACGTGGGTTGCGTCCCGGCCCCAGTTCGCGCCGACCATCGCCTGCACGAGGTCGCGGAGAGAACGTCCGTATAACCGGAACTTGCCGTGGACGACGTCGAGGGGGGGTATGCAAAAGTCGTCGGGAGAGGTGATCATGGCTGTAAGCCACATCTCGAGAGGGGAAGTCTTGAGATCGATGCCGGTCCAGATGGCCATCCACTGGATGATATCCCGGCACAGGCATTGGGCTACCTGCCTAGCCGAGACATTCTGCTTCTTCGTCCAGTCCGTATAGTCGCAAAACAGGAACTTGTCGCCTTGCTCACGGGTTCCGTCAATTCGACGCAGGGCGGATTCCAGAGCAAGCCAAAAGTTCACTCGATGCTCCTGCGGGAAGCCCGGCTCATAACCCTCGCCGCCCATGAGAGTAAAGTATTTAGCTGTGCACTTGTTATAGCGATGGTTCAAGAACGGATCTGGCTCCTTAGGGGCCTTGGGCTTCGTCATCTTATAATGAAGGAATTTGCATTCGATGTCTCGGGAGCATGAACTACCACACCATAAAGAATGCGTCACATGGAGTAGCTCAACGTAGGTTTTTGCTTTGGCTAACTCTTCGAGGGCGTCTAACGCCGTGCCCTCGTAGGCGAGCGTGTTTGGAGAGATTGGGAGCATATTTGGATGGGTTGACACTGCGGTTCAGACAATTGAAAACTCTCACTACCTCTGCCTAAGGCTGGGCGGAATACTTATATAAATACAGTTACTTGTGTTACACCCTTTACCATCTAAAATATAGCTGTGATGTAGTATAAATGGGATTACTTTGTTACACACTAGGTTAGATAGGCTATTCAGACATTTAATAGATACTGTACAATGATCGCTTCGTATGGGTGTGTTTATATAGTGTATAGGCCGTATGGAATCGTAGCTATGCGTCCCGTGTGATGTGCGACTGCGGACTAAGGTTATGATCCCTCCCACCAGTGAAAGTGAAAGCTAGAAAGCCATAAGCTTACAACACATGAGTGATTCTCATTCCCAAATATTAGTTGCAACTCCCATGCCTCTATTTGCTATCGAAGGCTGGCCTGCCCTAGCTGAACCCTCTTCCCCGCCTGTTAATCGCCTATCTGTACATCTTGAAATCATAAAACGTAGCAAGTCATTAGAGCTTTAATATCATGTCTTATCCATCGTAAACCAATGACCATGCCTTTTTTTTCTCTCCGAAGCATAGCTCGGCTCCGTCTCCAAGTCGGAGATATCCCAGACCGTCAGAATCATCATTAATGTGGATGCGTTAGTGTTTGCCGTAATCTCATTTCGTAATGCGGGTTGGCCCGTCTCATCAATGTTGTACATTTTTCGTCGATATGTAGGAAAGTCGTAAAAATAAAAAAGGGTATGGGGTGTGCCCCCTTGTTTTCTAGATTAAGGTGCGTTTACTCCCTGAAACGCCGCGAAAATGCACCATATGTAGGACGTGACCATACCTATCACGTGCTCATTTCGTATGGGATCGCTGTTCGCGAGTATCTCATCATCAGAGCCGGTGTTAGCCATGTCTAATTGCTTAGTGGCGTTTATTACTGCTCCATGATCATCTTTCTTAGCGCCCATCGCAAGTCAACCCGGCTCCGATTACCAGGGTTGCTCCAAGGACCACACTTTCGGCGCCATCGTGACTCCTCTTCGTGTTGACGCCTAATAAACTCTGGACCGACGTCGAATTCTTCACCCACTAGCCAATCATCCCTAAGGTCGCTCCCTCGGCCGTGGCTCACGGAGTCTTTATCCTTGTCATCAAGGTCAGGAATATCCTTGAAAGGATCATCGTCGTCCATTGCATTAAAGCCTCCCATGGGGTCATTAGACGCAGAAGGGGTTACGTCCGCCTTTAGCCAGCACATATTCTGCGGATCGAAAATCATGTCACCAACCCGCTTAACACCTTTAGTGGCAGTCATGTTAGTAATAAGTACAGGTCTCGAAGTAGAGCCCTCTCTATCGCGCGTTACATGTGGCGGTAGAGACGTTGTGGGTGACGGGGCGGGAGCATCAAAAGCACTGAGCGCATTGTCGTTGCCCTCCCAGCGGAATGTTGATGGGTTGTATGTCATGCCGTTAACAACTGGTATCTGTGAGTTAGCATTGCGTATCTGAGAAAGTGCGTATCTCGGCGGGGTGAAAGATGTTTGGGGTTTCTGAGACTTCACAGATATTTGGGCTTTACAGAGTATTGCGTCGGTCTTAGCTGGTGACACTTCCTGATTTACCATCAATCTTTGAGCTCTAGCTTTGAGAAGCGCTCGAGTTTTGAGAGGAGTTGATGGCTTTCTACGGGTGGGAGACTTCCCAGACACCGGTGATCCCTTTTCTGTATTGAGATCTCGAGGTTTTCGGAGCCTCTTGGGGGATTGGGGGATTCGAAATATTGGTTTTTGTATTTCTAGCTTGTGCTGCTTCCGAATACGCTCGGGAGTTTTGGGGGGTTGGGACACTATATGTACTCGTGCTATCTGATGCTGCTGGCGTGTATCAGGTTGCTGTGGTTTGTGGGGTGTAGTAGGCCTACCTTTGGTTTCCTTCGCAGAGTTTAGGTTGGAAATTAAGTGCGGCTTTAGCTGTTGCGTCTTTTGAGGCCTCTTGGCCCTAGGTGTGTTGTAGCTATGTAGCCCAAAACTTCCCCTGGAAGACAGTTGGGCAACTCTCTGGTTAGTAACAGGTGCAAATGGCCCCGAGGCAGGTGCTCGCTGTGCCAAAATTGTCTCCCTGGCGATGCGGCTGGCAGTTGTGTCTCGAGCAAAGTGAGGTAAGGAGTCGGGTTTTCCTGGCATGAAAGGAGATACGGGACTTGGCGTATGCCGCTCTGGCAGCACGTTCTGGTAGATCTTGTTTCGGATATTCGTCCTATTACCGCACGCAACTGGCTGCTTAACGAACTTGGATTCGGCCTGTGCCGAGGTCGGAAGATCGTCAAACGAGTCAAGTTCGTGGCCATCGCCGAAGCGGCGTACCCGTCTCGGCTTGCTGATCTGCTGCCATATAGGTTCGGTTGACATCTTCTCATTACGTGCCCTTCTTGGGCTCGGCGATCTAATCGCGGTTCGAGAGAAGGTGCGAGATAAGGGTCGAATTTCAGGGCCGTGATCAGAATCGTGACGTCGAAATGGCCGTGTACCTTGCGTACTCTTGGCACTTACGTGCTGGGACTGGGAGTGAGATGCACCAGCGGGCAGGAAAGGGTTTCTCCTTGCCTGCGCTGCACTGCTTTCATAGATGGGGCGAGCGCGGTCAACTGGAGTCTTCGGTCGTAGGAAGGACTGGGATCTAGCATCAACGCGTGAATCGGTGCGTGAGGGTGGACGATCAACCCGCGAAGACGCAGACTTCATTGGTGTAGGAGCATGACGCAGAGCTGGTAATGAGCGCTTTAGTCTAAGTAGCTGTGCGCTCGTCGTAGTGGGCTCGTTACGCAAGCCGTTAGTTGAAGCCTTCTGACTGAGCTCTTTTCTTCGAGGTGTAGGAAATTGACCAGATTGCACTGAAGAGGGCGTAGTAGGCGTGTGAATGCTTGACACAGAAGATTGCGAGGAGTGACCAAGGCGCGATTGAGATCTACGAGAGGGTCTTGGCAATATAGGACCACCGCTTTCGGATACCGGCTCAAGCGAAGGCTGAGTCTGTGCACGATCATGACCACCCATAGGTCGAGGGAGACGGGAAATGGGTGTTGACGAAATAGGCTTATTAGTGAAGGTTACGGAGACCGATGTTTTTGGCCGTGTAGGACTGGCTGGTCGAGCTTCTTTGACCTTGACGTTGCGATGGAGCGTGGACTTGTCGGAGCGCAGCACATCTCCATCACCAAAGTCAAGGCCATCCAAGAGGTCTTCATTGTCTGCCGCGGGTTTAATTGTGTTTTTAGGCAACGAAGTTGGCTTTTCCAAAATGGAATGCTCGGGCTGTGCCCCCGGGAACTGATCCTGCTTGCGTCGTTTTAGTCGTTCGTTTAGGTCCAAAGGACCGTTTGGCAAAAGTAGGCCATCGAAAATTTCGTCTTCACTCTCGGCCGTGATAGAACTAGCAAGACTTGGACTGAGGGCCGACACCGATGAGCTACGGGTTGAGAAGGCATCTCGCTTTGTACCGCCAAATCGAGTTCCTATGCTCCCTTCTCCCCAGTCGAAGTCGTCGTTTGTATTTAATGCCGGCGTCTTAGGGATATCCATCCTTCTGGAAAGCTTCAACAGCCCATCTGTTGGCAGCTCTAAATCTCCTTCAATATCGTCATCACCTCGCTTCTTCTGAGGTGAAGGTGTAGGTGGGGTTATCAATGATATAGGACGAAGCTTTGATGCTCTGATGGTTGCAGTTCCATCCAAAATATCATCCTCATCGTCATCTTGGTCTCGAAACTTTTCCAAATTGATAGGTGCTGCTAAGGTCTTTGGCAAGATCCGCCCATGTGGCTCCTGGACAGTGATAGGAGCTTGCTGTTTCGTGGGGCTCGACATGCTTAGTTGTCTCAAGGACTCGGGATACGCTTTGCCGTCCTGGGGCTTTAAACGGAGCGGGCCAGTAACAAGAAGCTCCAGATCATCATCATAATCCTCCTGAAAAATCTTTTTTGTTTTTCTTCCTCCTCCGAGCCGCTTAATAGTGCCGCCCATCAAAGCAGACGGCGGGACGTTCGAAGGTATCGGAATTCCCGCATGAGCAGCCGCAGCAATCGCATCCATGGTTGATTTCTCATCGTTTCCGGGTAAATGCAACTGCCTTTCGTCGTTTCCAGGTAGAGACTCTCGGTCGGAGCGGAAGGAAGAGAGGCTATCACGGTGATGGGACTGTGTATTTGTAGTAGAATTACTTGGGAAAGTGAGATCCTCATTGTCAATCACGAAATCATTGTCATTATCCCAATCTTCAATCCAGCTCTTTCTCTCGCGAGTTCGTGGCTCCCCAGTTCGTTTTTCCTCCGCTTTCTCGACCGCGTGGAGTTTATCGAGAAGATCCATATTCTCCCAATTTGGAGGATACTCCATCTTGAATATCAGGTTGGTGGACGAAGTCGATATATGATGCGCATCTAGAAGTAAAGTAAAATAATTGTTTGAGGGGGCGGTGGCTAAATTAGAGTGGCCACGGATAAGAGGTCAATGTCCGAAAACAATGCTCTTGGTTAGTTGTACTCTGCGGCTGGTCGCATCGTTCCGATGTTCTAAAGGTTGGGTCTTTCACGTCATCCAAAACCGCGTGGTAGGGGACAGAAGCGATCGATCGAATTTGGAATTTGCGCGACCGTGATAACCACGCGCAAAAAGAGAAGGGTGGATAAGTAAGACCGATTTGAACTGGTATGAGCGACACGATATGCGACGAAAGTAAAGGATGAGGGGGTTGGGCAAGTTGTCGCAAGTTAATAATAAAGTCTAGTTAGATGCGCCAAGTTTAGGTTAAGGTTGTAGTTAGGTTGAGTATTAACTGCAACAATAAAACCTTCCATTCCCCTTCGGTGAAGAGAAGGGGGGGGGGGGGGAATCTGTAAATTTGATGTTTTCGATTTTTTTTTTTTTAATAGGTCTATGACAAAATAGAGTATAGGGCAGGGCAACTTGAGTGAGCGACTGAAAATGATCGTGAGCATCAATATCGAGATGGGTTTGAGAAAGAATGACTTTGGTTCAATTCTCATACCAAAACAAGGTGTGGATTCAGGTGTGGATGCGATTTTGTTGGAAGAGAGATGAAAGAGAAAGTGGGCGAGATATTGAAATGGGGTCAGGTCAGTGCGCCCCAATCAGACCTTGAAAATCTTGAATGGCTCTTGGTAGGTACCTAAGGCACCTAACGTCAGGTACATAGCTCAGGTACATAGTCAGGTACATCTTACGCTAAAGCTCTGGTGGCTGGGATTAACCTTAGAATGCACAGACCATATTTAGGGCTACACTGATCTAGCAACCCCTCCAACCAATCAAGCTTGTATTTTTGAACGCGAGAGCGACGCGCCTTCCATTGAAGCATCGAAGTACCTACCAAAGGTACCTCCTGAAGTAGGTACTTCGTACCTGCGTAGTACATACCTAGTACAGTTTCATTATGTCCGATTGTAGGCAGCAAAGGCAACCTTGAACCTGGAACTAGGTGACTGCCTGATTCCCGAGTTGCTGGGTCGCTTCACCAACTCAACTCAACTCATCATCTCATCTCATTTATTCCCAGACATTCCTACCTAAGGCATAATAAGTCTTCATGGAATAATTCTCCTTCTCTTCTTTCTCAGTACCCGGTGAGATGGTAATACCTAATTGCACCTCTAATATATAACAAACAAGGGGTTCAGATACCGTACCCTGTCATATTTGCAGGTGATACGCCAATGCTTTTTCATTAAATCCAGTTTCGTGAAAGGCATTTTTTAAATCGCTTTGTGTAGGTGCACATAAACAAAATCATTTTTGAATTATACGACCACATACCTGGCTAACCTGTCACATCGTACAGCTTTTAAGATGGCAGAAGCATTGGTATTACGCTTTCCCATCTCGGGAACAGAAAAGGATTACTTTCTCCTGAATGTGTGCTCGAATGGATCGCGGCCGCTGGACCTCAAGCTAGTTGGGTCGGAAAGTACAGCTGTGTTCACGATGAAATGTGAGTCTTTATTTACTTAAATAGGTTGGCCCCCTATAGGCCCTTTGGATCATGAAACCCTGTTCAAGAATCTCATATATTATCAAATGTCAATGGGACTAGAAGCTAAAATGTTTCCACAGTACGCCATAAGAGGACCACTGACTACAAAGCCTCCAGTGGGCTTTGCTCTAATGAAGAGTGGGAAGGGATTCTGACTTCAACATTTGTCGACCAGAAGCCTACACCGGATATTGAGATCAGAGCTGATATTCCTCCGGATCGCTCTTCGGTTTCTATCTCTTTCCGAAAAAATATTCAGGGTATTACGGTATGTGTACTCTTCAAGAATCCTACCCGGGATTTATCGCTGACTGTGAGTAATAGCAACGTCTTGGGTCCATAAAGCTAGAAGATGATGATAAGACCGAGATTTCGCCCTTCGATTGGTGTATTTCAGCCATAGGGGCTCGAGAGAAAGTAGAAGAGGATCTCCTCGCTGCTAATCACAAAATCCAATCCCTGGAAAATTCCCTTGGCGAGCTCAAAGATCAATTAGATGAACTTATCAAGGCAAAAGATGATGACGAGACGCAGTTACTGGAGAAGTTCAGAGATCTTATAAATGAGAAGAAGGTCAAGATCCGGCAGCAGCAGCGCTTACTAGCATCCGCTAGCGTCGACCCTGAAAAACTTGCAAATGTTCATGCCAACCAGAGCACACGAAAGCACGTACCAAAGCCATCCCGTGCTTCAAAGCGGAAAGTTAAGGAAGAAGAAAGCAGTGATGACGAGTTTGAGAAGATGGATGTCAAAGAGGATGGGAACGGTAGTGCACAACCGGACATGGAGGAAGATCAAGGGGATACCACAGCAGGCGAGACGGCAAGTGGAGCAGACACAGATGAGGACCCAGCACCTCCGCCTATAAAATCTCAGAGAAACCAGGCTGCTGTACCGACGCGCAATACTCGGGCATCGGCATCAGTAGAAGAAGACTCTGGGTCTGAGGGTTCGCAAGAGAAGAGTAAGCCTCTTCCACCGCCACGAAGGCTGCCCTTTATGAAAAACCGGGGCCTTGCAGCTCCAACATCTGAACGGATTGATGAAGACGAAACGGAGTCTGATGATGAGTTATGAACATGCAATGCATTAGGATAATAAGATCACGCATTCACAAGCGATTTCGCTGGTGTTACTGAGTGGCCAATTACTTAGTCCATGTTGTTTCTTGTATATCCCCTATTGATAGCGAGGAGCAGCTAAAGCAGTATATTTGCGGGATTGATCCAGCATTGACTACACTAAAGCCGATGTAGTGGGAAGAATGCCTGTTGTGGCTAAGCTAATGTCCCTGTCGAGATCGAACGACGTTACGCGGTCATATTGAAAACCCCCTATCCCAACCTCGAAATACTAGACGCCTTCTGTCGTGCCATTGATACCATTGGTGGCACTTTTATCATATGGAAACCAAAGAAAGAAGAGAAGAAAAAAACCCCCCCGAGAACCGAGACCCAAAATACCCAAAGACTTAACGCCTATCCTCCGGGGCAAAAATATCGTTGAAAAATCCTCGGAAGTGTTTCCTCCTTCCAAGTTCAGTAATCTCCGCGACCTCACTGGCCGTGAGCTGGAATGAGGGCAGCTTTCTTCTTAAGCTGTACAGGCGCTCCTCACTGGCGCTGGTCGTGACGACAGCAATACCCTGGTCGATGGCCCATCGAAGCGCGATTTCCGCCTCTGAGACGCCGTACTTCCTGGCAAGCGAAGCGTAGATTCCGTCAACGGGACCAGGTCGCGCCTTTGTGAGGGCGGTAAGTGGCGAGTACGCCGCGGTCGCGATGCTGTTCTGGCGGTGGAAGTCGATGAGGTTTCCGTGCTGCAGGTACGGGTGGTACTCGATCTGGTTGACGGCAGGCTTGATCTTGGCCGTCTTCAGGATCGTCTGCAAGTGATCTTGCAGGAAGTTGGAAACGCCGATGGACTTGGCCTTGCCGCTCTGCTTGATGGCTTCGACTTCGGCCCAGATCTGCTGCAGGCGATCTGGGGTATCCGCAATTTGGGGCCAGCCCACTAGATACATGTCCACATAGTCGACGCCAAGTCGCTCAAGCGAAGCATCGAAGGCGGCTTTTACGGTCGTGGCTACGGTCCACACCTTGGTAGTGATGTAGAGCTGCGAACGCGGTACTCCGGAATTTCTGATGGCTATTCCGAGTCCCTTCTCATTGCCGTACGCTACGAACCTTGTTAGGAACTGTTGAATAAGTATAGAACTGGGGAAGTTCATGCAGCCTTACCTTCTGCGGCATCTAAGTGGTTGAAACCACCCCGGATTCCCCTGAGTGCGGAGGTCACAATGTGTTCGGTGTCGGCCTCGCTGAAGGACATGCCTAGGCCATAGGCAACCTACGTACCCGAAATATTAGTCTGATGCGATGCACTCGAAGGTCTGAATGCGAAACTTACCATAGGCATCTCATTTCCGTCGTTCAACTTCAGGGTCGGGATGGGCGAGACAGAAGAGGTCGAAGTTTGCTTAGGTCCAACGCCAGAAGCATCCGACCGGAACTTCGAGTCGTTGGAGTCGATTTGCGTGTACATGATCATGATGATGTGATCTTACAATACCAGACAAAGTGTAATGTGGGAATAATCCTTCGACAGTTTTTGCGGGCGGCCATGAAGCCATTTATAGAAGATGGATCGCTGTTAGCTACACCTCGAGTGTTGAGCAAAAGTCCTTGATATTCGTATAGCTCCTGAGTGGCTAAGTCGGATCAGATGTTGTGGAGGAACATAATGGGATGAGTCTCCATCGCAGCGCCGTAGCGAGTGGAGCGGACCCTGCAGCGGAATTGACAGTCGCATCCTATTTGAACAATGATAGAGCCCAGACACGTAAGTGCGAGATTGAGTTCCGATTGTACGAATTTCACACGTTGCCAGCGAATTACATGCCCAAACCCCAGTTATTGGGCATCTAAGGCTGTAGCGAATTCCACTCTTGGACGTACTTAAAAAATAATAAGGCTAACATCAACAGTCTAAGTATGCAATCTAGACAACCTATTGGCTAACCAATGTCACCATCTGGGCTACGAACCATGGAAGAGCTTACTGCAGCTAAAGATCTGAACTCGCCAATGATGCACTTCAGCGCTCAGCTTAGTCCAGGGCTAGACTATCCAGTTCCCTCCAACAAGACTTCGTTGTCCGCACTACTGCAGGTTCTATTAGTTGACAACAAAGCACGAGAGCCCTGAAATGAGACTCATTGGCAACTGATTTACATACGTGGATGCTCTGCGGATTCTGGAAACGCTTTATTTATATGGAGAAAGCTTGAATATCGGGTTAAGATAGATTGATATACTGTCCATTACCTTGTTTTGATCGACTACTTGGTTTCATACATACCGGAACTGGTAGAAGAGTGGAGGCTGCACAACTTGCCGATCTGCTCGTCTAGACTTGACAACTCCAGATGTTCACTCACAGTATTATTCATAGAATTAGATAACTTGCCACGGGATCACCAGTTGCTATTATCCACGTGAGAATGCACCAAGGGTATCGATAATGCTCAGGAGGAGAATCATGGTAGTAAATGCAGACCAGCCCTCGTTATAGCAAGCGCAGATAATGATAACAGCTGCGGAGATAGTCCTGTAAAATGTAACGTACATGTTTTCCTCACAAAATGGACTCAAACGAACTCTTGTCTTCGGGAAAGGGGTTATTCTCAACCTCTTGTTCACATCCCTTGGGAGTGCCTAGACGACATGCTATGCATTTTTACAAGACAAAGAGTGGAAGTCTGAAAACAACCAGGATACAAATATGAGCCAGTTTTTGAGACTAGCATATACGAATACACGGCCCAAGGCGTATAGCTCAAGTTAGGGGCCAATACTGTACTTCCATAGTTCCAGATTTATCTAGGAGGCAACAGGCATCTCGCAGATATTATGACGCTCCGCTCGCTAATCTGCTGGTTGTCTTGTCCATATGACCCGAAGATCGTATCTGGTTTCTCGAGAAAACAACAATTCTGTTGCGGTAGCAATTTACTATATTGCTATCATTGGTTTGATCATGCCACGAGGCGCGGTAGAAGCATCGCAATACAAGGTTGATGATTTTACGAAGGGTCGAGGATGATAAAGGGCCGCCATGGTGACCGTCGATTTTCTGGAGGCAAACGCGCGAAAAGACGCGGGAGTGGTGAGAAACCGGCAACCGGGAAACCAATAGTAGACGCGATGTGTCTGCAAGAGAGAGTCTCGGCAGCATCTAGTGAAATATCTGGGAATAGTACCTAGGTTAGGTATGCACGAAGATTATTGCCAACATCCTACCGTATCCTATCGTTGCAGGCTTGGCGGCTAATCCTGGGTATATAATGACCGAAAGCATTGAATATATTATTTATCGCAGGAGGTACCTAACCTATTCTCGTTTCTCTCGCAGCATACGTTCGCCACTACTGCTTTTAGATCATCAAAAGAGATGTATGTTGAAGGTTGGTTCACCCTTATTGCCTACCAGTAAAGAGCCAGAGTCTTCTGGTTGTCAAGGATGATCGACTTGGTATCAAGGTACTTGGCTCCATAGGGGAGGTAGATATTGAATTTTTAGATGTACACTTCAATAAACTTCTAAATAGGACACACACTGTTATTAAACATGCTGTCTCCTGGGAGTCATCAAGAGGTGGTAATGTTAGTGTACATGGTGAACAACATGCGATCACGTGTACTTCGTACCCAGATTTTAGAGATAAGATCTTCGAGATAATTACCTAGGTTAGGTACATATACTGCTTAAGATAAGGCCTTCCAAGATTAATTCAGCTATAGGAATTGACGTAATACCTTCTTGTCGAGCATCATCGAAATCGCCATTGTATTACCGTATTACCACATTACCGCATTAATGCTTCATCGCCCCTGCGCCCTTTCACTGTTCCAGCTCTCTAGTTACCTACATAATTTTAAATGAAATGTAAATTTCCCTTTGACTTTATATATACTATTTCGTTTTTTTATATATCTCCCAAGTCATAGGTAACATAATCAACCCGGCCCGGAGAAAGTCTTCTCTCTATATGTTTTTGCATCGCATCGTTCATCGAAGCCTACCAGACTTGCGACTGGCGCAGATGGCGTCCCAGTTCTCGACGAGCGGTGCGACGACGCAGGCCGCGAACGCTACGTCGACAGCGTCTATAAACGATATCCCGAAGTCGTGGACTTTCACTTCGAAGCTTCCGCCCGACTCCCTGTTCCCCACCCCGGCCGATTCTCATAAGACCCCCCGCGATCATATCGTTCCGAGGCAGGTTCGCGACGCCCTGTTCACGTGGGTGCGCCCGCAACATGTCGAGAGGCCGGAGCTCCTGGCGGTTAGCCCCGCGGCTATGCGCGATCTCGGCATCGGAGAAGGGGATGAGAAAACAGAGGATTTCGTGCAGACCGTTGCGGGCAACAAATTGCAGGGATGGGACGAGGAGAAGCTTGAAGGAGGCTACCCGTGGGCGCAGTGCTACGGTGGTTTTCAGTTTGGTCAATGGGCTGGCCAGCTCGGCGATGGGCGAGCTATATCGCTATTTGAGACGACAAATCCGAAGACGGGAGTGCGCTACGAGTTGCAATTGAAGGGGGCGGGGTTGACGCCATACAGTCGCTTCGCAGATGGGAAAGCTGTCCTCCGGAGTAGCATACGCGAGTTCGTCGTGAGCGAGGCACTGAATGCGCTCGGTATACCCTCTACGAGGGCTCTGAGCTTGACGCTACTCCCGGAAGTCAAGGTGCGACGAGAAACAATCGAGCCCGGCGCCATTGTCGCGAGGTTCACGCAGTCTTGGCTGCGGATTGGTAACTTCGACATCCTAAGGGCGCGGGGCGATAGAGGTCTCATTCGTAAGCTTGCGACGTACGTCGCCGAGGACGTATTCGGCGGCTGGGAGACATTACCCGGCCGTCTTGAGGATCCGGATAAGCCGAAGGAATCGCCTCCTCCTAAACGTAACATTCCAGCGGATGCGATTGAGGGGCCGCCGGAATCTGCGGAGAACCGGTTCACGCGCTTGTACCGAGAAATCGTGCGACGCAACGCGCTCACCGTCGCCAAGTGGCAAGCTTACGGGTTTATGAATGGCGTATTGAACACGGACAATACTTCTCTATATGGGCTGAGTATCGACTTTGGTCCTTTTGCGTTTATGGACAACTTTGATCCTAACTACACTCCTAACCATGACGACTTCATGCTGCGGTATAGCTACCGCAATCAGCCAAGTATAATATGGTGGAACTTGGTACGCCTAGGCGAAGCGCTTGGCGAGTCGATCGGTGCTGGATCGCAAGTAGACGACCCAAAGTTCATCGAAGATGGCGTAAAGGAAGAAGATGCGAACGGCATCATCGAAAGAGCCGAAAAGATCATCATGCAAGTTGGTGAAGAGTACAAGGCCGTGTTCCTCGACGAGTACAAGAAGGCGATGACGGCTCGGTTTGGGTTGAAGACTTACAAGGATAGCGACTTTGACGATTTGTTTAGTAGCATTCTTGATACTATGGAATCTTTAGAACTGGATTTCAATCTTTTCTTCCGCCGCTTAAGCTCAGTCAAAGTGGACGAGCTAGAGACCGAGGGGGCTCGGCAGGACAGAGCGAGCGTTTTCTTTTATAGCGACGGCGTCACGGGGGCCGGCGGAGAAGCTGAGGGCCGCAAGAAGGTCGGCGAGTGGCTGGATAAGTGGCGGCAACGGATCCTCGAAGACTGGGGAGATGGACAGACCATCTCGAACGAGCAGGACGAAGAAAGAATGCGAGCTATGAAGAAGGTTAACCCGAACTTTGTCCCGCGAGGCTGGATCCTCGATGAGGTTATCAAGCGCGTCGAGAAGAACAACGAAAGGGACGTTCTAGACAGAATTATGACTATGGCTCTGCACCCGTTTGAGGAGAGCTGGGCCGGTCGCACGTTCGACGGAAAGGAATATAAGGGCGATATAGACGAGGAGACTAGATGGACGAGTGATGTGCCAAGGTTGGGACGGGCTATGCAGTGTAGCTGCAGTTCTTAGTATCGACGCGTACGATATGATGAGTCAAATCGAAACGTGCACTTTGCGCAATCCTGTCAGAAACAGTGAATCCTCTACCTGATTCGGAGTTGTCTGAACCATAAGCAAGTCTATTGCTACCGACGTTGTTCCAATGGTAAAAACAGCCATTATAGATACCTTGGTTCTGGCCCCGTTGGTATAGGAGGCTTTCCTAGGCTCGAGGCGAATGTTTCATCATTTTTTGACACCATTTATGTTCAATCGTTGGTATGTTACGTTGGGCAAGTTGACCTCTCCAGCTGAAGCAAAGAAAGACATGATACATTTCAGGAGCTTACGTCTTTATACTAGTCGTGGTATATTAATGGTAAAGTCCTACCTAAGGCAGTAGGTTTCACCACTGTCTTCCGCTCACGTATAAAACGAATTAACGGCTCCCCCGCCTCAGAGCCTCTCTATTCGATCGTGTTGATTTAATATGTCCTTCATTCGATAGACCATCCTATTTTCGAGGTTGTCTTTTGAACGACTAACATTATGCGCACTACTCACGCCTTATGTGTTCGGTGCCTCGTCCCTTTCCAAACGGTCTTTTGAGACCCTAATATCTCGAGCCGAAGAACTTAGCGAGGGAAAATTGATCGCCTTCAAAGTTGTTGCAGGCGTTCAGATCCTCGTAGTTATTCTACTTGTCCTTTCAGTACGTAACTTCTGTAATGTCCTTCGTACATCATTTCTTACCATTTGTCGCAGTTTTCCTATACTACGGGACGTGTCTTTCCGACCCTGGCCGCTGTCGAAAGCGATACCCCCGAATCTTATACTGAACTGTCAGGTGATGTGGTTGATGAGGAGGCTGGGAACTCCAAGAGCCTGTCTGATGAAGAGCCTTCTCGGGCCTCGTTTCCACTTATCGTCGCCTAGTCTCCATCGGCGGCAAGAAATCCCTCTCGAGAATTTGGCTGTTTCGCGGTCTACGCCCTCATCGGCACCCCACTCGAACTTCTTCTCCGCTTGATCCCGTTTATGCCCGAAATAGTATCTTCCATCATTGCGTCCCTGCTCCTCGTCCAGCTCAACACCGCGTGGACGCACGCCGTCATCTCGAAACCTAGCGCGAAGCCGTTCTGCCGCCGCCTACTCCCGTTCCGTCTCGTGTTCCGCGCTACTGCTCTCCCCACGCTGATCTTCGGCGCGGCCGCGGAAGTATCGGGAAAGATAACCAAGATATTTGCTGCAAGCATCTTTAGCGATGTGACGGGGGCGGCTGACCCCCGCCCTGCTACGGACAATATCCTGTCTTTCTCGCTCCTCCTGGTCTCCCAGTTGGCCTCGAAGTTCCTCGTTATCATCCCCGCCGACGCCGTCTTGGTCCGCGTGCAGGCTTCCCTTCTCCCCGAGGAAGACCGCCCGATTGTCTCGCTCGACCCGGTGTTCGTGCTACGGGAATTCGAGGGCAAGGGGTATATCTCTGCGCCTGAAGCGTGTAGGTCTACGACGCGCGCTTCTTGGGGTAGATTGTATACCTATGTTGAATGTCAAGGTCTTCCTGCTCTGCATCCTGGGCGCTAATGTCATAGGTTTCCTCGGATTTGTGGAAGTCGTTATTGCGCGTCAATTCATGTAGCTTAAGGGAAGAGAAGTCTCGACAAGCTCCAATATTGGAATATATCGTATAGGTCGCGGAGTGTTACGGACCTTGATGGCCTTTGACAAAAGGGCTATTTCACTCGTTTGAGGGTTTGTAGCTCAGTCTGAGAAGCTAGCATATAATTTAAGATTGTATGAGGTACCTAGGGAGCTAAAGTTAGGTAGGATATGAGGCTTATTAGGTCGTGGCTATTCCTTCTCTTTACTTGCTTTAATACACCTATTTCAAGTACTTCTAGTATTTACTAAGCTGCCAATCGAGTCCAAGGTCTGTGTTTTCTGGTTAGTTAGTGTGATACATTAGCCGTCAACTTCCCAACCCCCTTTCCACGCCACCCCGCTCCCGTTCCTCCTTTTTCTTAACAGATAGGTAGAACTGTTGGCACGGGTATACCTAATTTGATATGCCTCTCTTTATTTTCTTCGTCAAATGCTTTCTATACTCCCACCATATTTATAGACCTATTAGGTACCTGGTATCTTGGGTATTCCGAACATGATAAACCAAGACCAAGACAAATCACGTACATAGCACCCCAGTTTGTAGGTACCTACCTCTAACCTTAGTTGTAGAACCTTTCCAATTGGGTACCTAGCTAGGTATGGTCCGTTGACGTGGCATTTAGTTACAATTCCCTCGTCCGAGACTTTTCCGGCGTCGGGTTCGCGCCCTCCCAGTCCGTCAGATTCAATACCTGCACCCCCCAGCCCTGCAGCTCCCTGACGGCCGCGGCCTTGTCCTCGGCGCTGACGGACTCGGTGGCGTCTTCGATCAGCACGACCTCGTAGCCGAGCTTGATGCCGTCGATGCTCGTGCCCCGGACGCACGCGCTGGTCACCAGCCCCGTCACGACCAGGGTCTCGATGCCGTGCAGGGCCAGCTCGGAATGCAGCGTCGTGAAGCGGTGGTACTGGTTGTCGGCGAACGCCGAGTACGAGTCTACCGAGTGGTCCTGCGCCTTCTTGATGTAATGGACGGGCGCGCGGTAGCCCTCGAGCAAGTGCAGCCGCGTCCGGACGCCGCGCTCGATCTCGGCGCCCCAGGTCTCCGGGATGCAGTGGTCCGCGTATAGCGTCTGCGTCTCGGTCTTGGTGGGAGTGTCCACGAAGCTGTCGTTCACGGTGTCCCCGGAGACCTTCCCCGAGTGGCTTGAGAAGAACGAGACGTGCCCCTTAGGATGCCAATCTATCGAACTGTCAGAATAGGAACATCGGTTTTATGAATGGTAGGTACCTATATAGGTAGTTACCTTGAGAAGCGACAATGAAAGGCCACTCGTGATCATCCAAGAGCTGATAGATTTTGGGGAGGATAAGAGGAGCTCGCGGATTAGCCAAGGAGCCGTTGATGAAATCATTCTGCACGTCGATGATAACAAGCGCCGTTTTCTTATGTAGTTTGCCGGAATACTATATATATGAGGTATGCACTTGTGGTTAATACAAACGGGGGTTGTTTTATATGTATTATACCTCAGGTACCTAAGTAAGATCAAGGAACTTACGGGAACAGCGTATGCTAAGCTGCTAAGAGCCAGTATGCAAGATATGCTGCGAGACCACATTTTGACAACTCGATAATGAAATTATGGCCACAAAAAAATACCAACGTACAGCTCACTCCAATTCATGAATAAGTTGAAGCTATTGGATAGTTACTTATGAGTCAAGAATCCGACAGGATCTATATGTACCTCCTACATAATCGGAGATATGAAAAAGTAACTAAAATTGTTATCTCATCGGATTTAATAGCAAGTGGCTGGACTGGGTCCTGATATCGCGCATCATCTATTTACCCCCGTTACGACTAACCTAGGTACATACCATACGAAGATAAGAGCTGAATAATGGTATAAAGATTGCGAAGATGTTATTACCGAACAACAACTAGGGAATCATGGAATCTACTGATAATGACTTTTGGTAAAGTAGTTCTTTAGTTACAAGAGGAACTTCCCGTCCCCTACAATTGACGATAGTTAGGTACCTGCCTGGTATGCACTTATACAATAAACAAATATGCAGTAAATGGATATTTCAGTAATGGAAGCGGAGCTTGAATACCAGTTGGATAGGGGTAAGCTTAACATTTTGAAAGGACGTAGGTTCAATAACCTGTACTTGGGAAGTAGTATGTTGTTGAAGCTATCACCTATGGAAAGTGCTATGGCGCTGATAATTACAAGACGGATGACTTTAGTCAATGGCGATAGTAATTCATTAGCAGTAGCTCCGTAAAGCAGAAGCAACCAACTCTACAACTGACCATTCGTGTATCTTAATTAATTAATTATTTCAACTATGCGGCCGAAACAATCAAACGACAGCGTTATTTACTTGCAGACTTGACTTTTCTTACGAGGCTGGTTTTCCGGGCGCCAACCCTTCGGTCTGTTGTCTGGGCTTTATATAATTTCGTACCCTTACCCTTAGGACCTTTCCTCAATGGATCCGTACGTAGGAGGCAGAAGAATCTCTCGCAGTCGGCGTACTCGAAAACCATCGAAGCTGAGGGTACTCTGGGGCTGGTGGAACTCGCCGCCCGAACAATACTCTATCGAAAAGCGACCTTCGTTTGCCCTGTAGTTGAGGGTTACTTGGCCCGACATCGTAACTATGCTTGTTCTCGGCGTAGTAGCTTTTGGAGTAAGTCCGAATCGCCCCTTTCTGTGCCCAATATAGCGTTTTGAAATCGTATAGGTCTACATTCTTCGCCCCGTTAATATACGAACATTTCCCCTGACGGTCATTAATCCGCGTACCTACGAAGACACCGGCGAGGTCGTCTACCCCGAACTCGCATACCCATCTCGCCCTCAGCTTGTTTCCTCGGAAGCCGATACGGCTATCGTAATCGTATTTCCTATCTTCACAATCTTGCTTTTTCAGATTCGCATCCAGAATTTCTGGGATCTCAATAATGCTATCATCGGCAGCATATATGCCCTCGAAATCTCAGCCGCGTTCCAGGTCATGATCAAGTGGCTTATCGGCGGTTTCAGGCCAAACTTCTACGACGTCTGCCAGCCCGATCCGAGCCTGGCAGACGACCCGGAATTCAATGTGACAGGACTGAACGGGGTTGGCTATAGACAATACATGTTTACCTCGGAGATCTGCACAAGTGGCCAAGGCCGGCCTTTATGGAACGCGATGCAGAGCTTTCCGAGCGGTCACTCAACCGCCTCAACGGCAAGTGGCGTCTACCTCTTCTTATACCTGAACGCGAAGCTCAAAGTGTTTGCGAATTATCATCCTTCTATGTGGAAGCTCATCCTGGTCTATTGCCCAATCCTTGGGGCAGCCCTCATCTGCGGGTCGTTATCAGTTGACGGAACTCACAACTGGTACGATATTCTCGCCGGTATGACTATAGGTATTATTTTCGCAATCTCGTCGTATCGTACGGTCTACGCGAGTGTTTGGGATTGGCGCACCAATCACATCCCTCTGAATCGAGGGGCTGCGTTGGTATTGAAAGAGGACTGGGAAAGCTCAGATCTAGTCTTTACGAGCAGAGCCGGCTGGAGGAAAGGGCACTCGAATAATGAGAAAGAAACACTGCCAGAACCTGTTACGAGAAGCGGAGTTATGGACAGCTCTCTTAGTATACATTCCGCAGCTGTAGCACGGCCTCAACATAGTGGTGTTCTCTCTAGTGATTGAGAACAAACGGGTAGATATGGTATAGTGCCAGGGTCCAGATGACGAATATGAGTTACCTAGAATTGGTATTTTAATATGTACGCTTTACTCGTCGCTCTCATTCGTGTGGACATAACACAGCACAGTGGAAAGAAGCCCCTTTAACTTTATCTATTCTATTTAGGATATGGTAATGTTACGGAGAGCTTGCGTAAACTTCCAGTATTAAACGATGCTGAGTGGTACTAGTTAAAGTTAAGATTTCATCAAAGAGTAATACTCTGTCAGTAATTATTCTCCTTTATACAGACATTCTCTTTCCTCGTTTTTATTTTGAATAGTGAAATTGTATGTATAGGTAAGGTATTGTCAACCTGTTACTGTAAGTCTTGCCCCACCTAACATACTCCTTAGAAGGATATAGGAGGTAGCTGCCTATGAATATACTTTGGCTTAATGATATATCTGAATCTATTTAGAAGTGCACCTGAAATAAAAATAGTTTTTCTTCCTTTCCATATAGTTTAGGTGCACTCCTCTGCACCTGCTGAGACCAAACCACCTGCAGATATTTCTCTTAAGCAAACTGTTTACTATCAATCTTCAGTGTCGCTACCCCGCCAATCGGCCTTTGCGAATACGACCGTATATTTGAGCAAGTATATGCACTTGCGCTTGTCATCCTAGATAACAAAGAAACTGTCAAAGATGGGGTGCTTAGGTATTGAATGGACTGACTACCTACCTAAGGTACCTACTTTATCCGCATTTACTTTTACTTAGACACCTGACGCCTCTACTGTACGCACGATAATTTGAACTTATAACTTTGATCAATGCTACTATAAAAACACTTGGAAATTTAGCATCTACCTAACCTTTGTATGGCTGAGCATACTGATACGGGAGTTAAAACATTGCTAAGGAGAACGGAGGCCCATGCGAGAGGTTTGTTGGCAGCGGTTTTGTTTCCCTAGCGGCCGTGTTGCTACGCGCTGGGGCAACTTTTATTTCTGATAGGATATTTAAAGACAGCACGCTCGTTTGAAGGGCAGGCAAGCAGCCATAAATACCACAACATATTAAATATCACAACCAACTGCAGCCTCAAGAACATTTGGTAACGCGAACGTCTCACGACCGGAATGGCACCTATCATCGACATCATCCGCCACGCCCAGGCTCTACACAACCTCCAGGGCGGTCATATCAAGGACCCCGAATTAACTAGTCGGGGCCTTATAGAATGCCAACAATTAAGAGCTGACTACCAATTCGGACCTAAGGTCACTCATATCCTTTCTTCGCCGTTAAAACGGGCCACCACCACCGCGCTCGTCGGGATTCTCCCAACGGTAGATCCACGCATCAAGGTCCAGCTGCTCCCCGAGCTGCAGGAGGTCAACGCCTCGCTGAGCAGCACGGGAATACCTAAAAGCGAGCTCGCCGTACACTATACCCGCGACAAGAACCGCTTGGATATGAGCCTCCTCGACGAGGACTGGTACCGCAAGGGTTCGAACACCTTCTTCGCGCCTGTCGTGAGTAAAGTCTATGCGCGGGCACGGGCCGCACGCATGTGCCTCTGGCGTCTGGCGAGATACGCCATGGAGGCCGGGGACGACGACGCGCACATCGTGGCCGTGACGCACGGGGAGTTCGCGCACTGGCTCACGGGCGACTTCCGAGGCGTGTCGATGTCTCGGAACACGGACTGGCGCAACGCGGAGCTGCGGTCTTATCGGTTCCAAAACATCATTGCGGCCGAGCCTCACGACCCGCAGCTAGTTGAGACCATGGACAGCGCTGCGAAACGGGGCGGTTTCGCCGTGCATAGCTTGATGAACATGGGCACCATGCAGGTCTTCCGGAGGATCGCTGAGGAGCGGGTGATGGCGTACCATCAGATACTTAAGACGCAAGAGGTACCCGAAAAGATACCGCCATCCCACAAGTCGCCTGGAGGATTAGACGGCTTGGATAAGTTCGAGGAAGTCCACCGATCTGATGGGTCTGACGAATGGGTTGATGTCGAGGACGAGTCCGACTTCTGAGCTTTAGGACCAGTAGGTGGTCTACCAGTACCAAGCGACAGATCAAGTGAGACGAAACAAGGTTGCTGTCTTATCAAGTATTTCTATAAGCGGCGCTAGGGAGCGCATCGCAGGTATTGGTTGGGATATTGGCATCATGAATACTGAAGCATGTGATCTCACTTTAGGGAGGTGTATATTAGCACAAACCCCCTGGATGACGTTCCGTAAAGGGATTATGGGGGAATGGAAGCGCATAACGGTACCTAAACTAGATGTTAAGATTCTAGATAAGACAACCCGGGGGGAAGAATACTGCTGGCGTGTACAGCTACTGGCCACCAGAAGTTCTTAGTTATCTAGATTAGAGTCCATTACAGAACAAGCGAGTCGTTTCCACATTCTTCCAGTTTCGCCTCGTAATACAAGATCCTCGTTGTCAGAAATCAAAATATTACCACCCCATATGCCCACCTCAAGGACCAGGAAGCGCGGCAGAAACTAAATCCTAGATTGCGCCAGCGTAACTAATGTTCACTCCCGTTCTTCCCCAAGCCTAGCCCAAGCTTCCTCTTCGACATCGCCTGCCCAAATCCATGAAGCAACATGCTTAACCGGGTCATCCCACTCGACAACTAGGACGTTGAGTTTCCTCTCCGCCTTAAAAACCTTTAGATTATTATCGTTATGCTTACGCGATACTACTATGACCGAATGCTTCCCGGATAGCTTAGGTGCTTGGTAGGGAACAAACGGGGCCAGTTAGCCAATTCCCTCCTTTTTATTGCTATATATCTTGTCGTCTTCTACTTCCAGCACCGCGTGGCTCGTCCAGAAGAGCAAACATCCCGAATCCTTAAAATCTCCGTCTCCCTTGTCCCGGTGTAGTAAACTCGGATCAACCGTAGTACTGCCCTCCCAACCCGCCGAGGTCGTGCGTCTTGTCAGTACCACACATATCAATCTTCAACGCAGATTCAAATATCCCCTCATCCGAAGAGCGCAGCTCAGCGGCTTTCCCATCCACGCTACGCTTCGTAATGTTCACCTCCGGCTCCACTCCAGCACAACCTGTCGCGGCGCAGTGCGGTTCACCCACCCCCAATATGTGATTCCGTCCGAGCCAAGACTAGCGCGGGAACTTCTACCCTATCAACGGCCCCGTCACCCGATATCACACGGCGCAGCTCCCTCCGCCGTTCCGGCAGCTCGTGTGACCGCCACTCGCGGCCCGGGTACCAGACGACGTTGTTCCCAGCCAGGCTCTCGTTGAACCGCGTCGACACCCAGTGGCCCCAGTAAAACTCGCGCCCCGTGTTAACGCGCACCCTTCCTCAGCACGCCCGAGAACGCGTCCAGCACGTCCGCCGCGAGCACAGGCCTTCTCGTAATGTTCACCCTCGTGTTTTCTACCGGGTCGTCCTGGCACGCTCGGTCGAGACGGAAGACGTCTAGACATCAGGCTGAGATCTTTGGCCACGCGCGCTGTGCGGTGCGCTTCTTGATAGGGCGAGAAGGCCCGTTGATCCCCGCTAGGCCGTCGATCGCCGTGCCGCATGCGGCGACTACTGTCCCGTCCGCGCTGCTCTCGAGGATAGCAGATCCATCTGTGCAATTTGAACTGCTTTATCGACGGGCAGAGTCGCTTGTAAAAAGTCCATCTCATCGCTCCCATACGTAGGTAGCTGAGCGCAAAAAGTAGGGGCACGGCTCTGATACCTCAGCTAGACGGGAGCGCCGCACATCGATCAACCGAAGGTTTGCGGGCCACCAGGTGTCAAGTGTTAGCTAGGGAGGTTGGCTGTGTTTATTCCCGTGCGAGGGAACGCACGTCTCATACCACGTCCTAAGTAATTCAACATTAACCTCATCTTCTATGTACAATCCTCCCCGACGGAAACATCGCAAACGGCTCTTCTTCTCCCTCCTCCTCTCCTACCACATAATCACCCCGCCTCGGCACGGGGTACAAGCACGGATGCAACTGCAAGAACGTCTGCGCCGTCCACTTGGCGGGGCTAACCCCCGCGAGCACCACCACTTCATTCAAGCTACTGATGTTGCTGACGACGCTGCTGTTGCGAGTATGGTGCCGAGGTTGAGCTCGCCACTTTACAGTTGTCCGTTTTAGAGCGGGGATTCGGATTTGGAAGCGTTGAAGAGGCCTGTTGTCAGTTGGACCTGGTCTATTGAGCGGCAGAAGGCGCAGAGGTTGACTACCTTAGGTACCTAGGTAGGTACCTAACCTAAGGTTGTCTGGTTGTGCGCCGGTCATGGTGGTGACCGAGGGGTGGGGTGGGGTAAGGTAGTGATCACGACGGATAACCTTAGGTACCTATGTCACATATTGAATAACAGGTAGGTACAGCTTACTTACTATCATAGATAGAACCGACGCCTTCGGTTCCAGCATTATTTGCCTTAGGTTAGGTACCTACCTGGTAAAGTTGAATCTTAGGATCTGCGTGTAAGCAAACCTGTGATGGCTCGATAAACATCGCCGCCTTCAAGCACAACTAATTGCATTGCCATTTGATTCTTCTAAGAGACGTAGCTGAAGTCTCCAGAGAAAGTATACACTTACGCAGAACAACAACTCGATTATAAACATAAGGTTACCTAGGTAGCTTGGACTCGAAGGGAACCTTGCAGGAGGTAGAGAATAGTCACTATTCACATTCCATCAACCACAGCACGAAACTCGAACAAATGCCATGATTTTCCCCGATACCCAACGAGAATAACATTACGCCTTTAAGCTTCTAGCTACGTCTTCTTTTTGCTCTTCGTCTTGCCGTCGCTCTTGGCCTCAACTTTGCTCTTGCTCTTCTCCTGGCTCTTGCTTTTCTCGTTCTTGTCCTTCTTAGCCTCGCTCTTCTCCTCCCCCTTCTTCTCGTTCTGAGCCTCCTCCTTAGCCCCGTTCCTAGCCTCGCTCTTCTCGCTCTTCTCGCTCTTCTCCGCACTACCATTTGTAGTAGGCTTCTTCAGCGCCTTAGGATCAAGACCGCGCTTCCGCATAGCGTTGCGCTTCGCCCTCTCCATGTACTTCTGATCCTCCTCGTCGTCGAAGCCGCCAAAGTCGTCGTCCTGTCCGGGGACCTTGTCATCCGCCGCGATGGGCGTCTTGTCGATGACCTCCTCTTCCTCCGCGCGCGGCGCCGCCGAGGCGCCCTGGACGGGCTTGTCCTTGACGAGGTTGGCCGGCGTCGGGCCGACCTTCTGGAACTTGGCGACGAAGAAACCGTCCACGTTGTACGTGTGCGGGTAGTATCTTCGCGTCAGGCGCAGGCTGGGGTCGAACTTCTTGCCCATGTAGCTGGTGAAACCTTCTTTGCCGAAGGGGAGCTCGGTAGAGACCAACTTGACGTTAGGTCGCTTGTTGAGCGCATACTGGACTACTTGTTCGTTCTCCTCGACCGTGACCGAACATGTGGAGTAGACTAGATAACCGCCGGTCTTGCTCGCGTGATTAACCGAGTCGATTGCAGCTAGCAAGAGCTGCTTTTGGGTATGGGGTAAGACCATGAAGTCCTTTTCATCCTTGTTCGTCTTAACCGAGGGGTCCTTGGCGATAACTCCCGTACCTGAGCAAGGAGCATCAAGGAGTACTCGGTCGAAGCCACCGATGACTCTCGGGAACTCTCGGGCATCATAGTTGCAGACAATTACGTTGCGACAACCAAGACGATGAATGTTACCAATCAAACCCTTCGCACGGGACTTGCTGGGATCGTTGGCAAATATACAACCGGTGTTCTTCATCATAGCAGCCATATGTGTCGTTTTACCACCAGGAGCAGAGGCCATATCGAGCACTCGCTCGCCTTCTTGCGGGCTTAGAGCCATGACGGGCAAAAATGAAGATGCAGCCTGGAGAATGTAGTGACCAGCAAGGTATTCGGGAGTAGCACCAAGAGGGACGTTGCTTTCGAAGATCTGTAGTCCGACTTTAGACCACTTGCCAACAGGCTCAAGAGTAACGCCACGATTTATAAGGGCTTGGGCTAAGTCCCGGCGATGTGTTCGTAGAGTATTGGTTCGGATGACGACGGGTCTCGCCGTCTCGTTAGCCTCGAAAAATGCGAAAGCCTCTTTTGGTGGGAATAGGTTCATGAGCTTCTCGGCAAGATATTCCGAGTAGCCGTAATAGGCGCAAATGTCTTTCAGCAATTGCGTCGTGTATTCAGCTCTGGATCTACCCTCCTCCGCTGCGTTCGCAAAGTCGTCCAAGACACGTATCGTATCCGTAATTCTCGTCCTTAACAATTGTAGGTCGGGAGCTAAGAGCGCTTTCGTTTTCCGTGCCAAGTCGCCCTCTTCCTCGTCGTCGAGGATATGTGGTCGCTCAATGTTAGTTTGGAGTGCTGCTTCTTCTAATTCTGCCTGCGCCTCAGCTTCCTCTTGCGCCTTTTGCCTATCTAACTTATTCGATAGACCGACGATGTTGGCCGCCGTCAACTTCTCTTCGGCGTCCGACTCGTCTTCGTCTTCTGAGAACATGGCTTTTCGCTCCCTCTGGTCCTCTGCATCAGAGTCAAAGACGGAATCGTCCGAACCTATGAAGTCATCCCCTAGACCACCCATCTCCTCATCTTTCTCAAGATCGGAGAATTCATCGTCGTCCAGCTCGGAGCCGCTGAATCCATCGCCAAGGCCGTCGCTTAGCTCTTCATCGGACTCTGGCGCAGGGGCAGCCTTCTTCTTAGCTTTCGATTTATTATTCTTCCCATTTTGTTTAGGTGCCGGGGCGGCTTTTACACCGTTAGGCTTCACATTGGATTTGGTAGCGGCCTTCTTCGCACCAGCACCAGCACCATTGGTCTTGGACGTTAATTCGGTTGCGGTTTTCCGCTTCTTCTTATTCGGCGCCTCGGTGGGAACATCGTCTACAGGTAAACCAGCCTTTCGCTTTAATTTCGCAAAATGTTCTTCTGACAGTGGCTCAGGAGGACCCTGCTTCCTCATGCGACGACCGACACCCATTTTCTTTTTACTAGCGAAATTTATTGTAAAAAGTTGGGGGGGGGAGAATGTGGTGAATGGTGAGTGTTGTCGCTGTATCGTTAAGCTTGGGCGCTCTAAAATTTCCAAAGTCTCCCGCGCTTCGACCTCGAACTTTTTTTCTTGCGATAAGTTGATAAGCTACTGGGTCCATTTTTATTTTTAATCTTGTGCAAGATTGGATGGTCTGAATTAGTGCAATGAGCTAAAGAAAAATACATCGATGTTGTTATGTACGTACCCAAGTACATTCACGCATTGAGGTACAACTAAGCTTCAGCCACAAAGTGGGATACTTTCGGGGCGCATGCAAGGCGGGACACCGTGATCGTCACTAAAGAAGTTCAAGACCGCCTTGACATCAATTTGTTTGCGACGTAACTCCTCCTACATAACACCTCGTGTAACACTCAACAAACAAATATGACCGAAGTATCATTTGCAAGATCTTTCCTCGCAGCTCTGGACGCTCGTCCGGTCAAGCTGTCAGCCGACCATGTCGAGGATCCCAAGTCCTACGCCCCGCGCGGCGCCGTAAGTTGCATCATCCCGCGACTTGTCTATCTTGCTTGCAGGTTCTAAGCTAATAACAAGTCTCACTGATATAGTATATCCTACCCAAAATGCCGAAGCCAATGAGCAAGCGCAAAGCCACCGCCGTAGCACCGGGCCAGGAGCGTAGCCTCACTGTCCTCGTCAAGTCCCTTCGAAACCCACCGCTAGACATCAAGCTCTCGTCCCAGACGCCCAATACGTCCGTCTTGGACATCAAGACTGCCGTATCGCAGGACACGGGGATCCCCGTCGATAAGATGAAGCTACTACACAAGAAGAAGCCGATAGCGGATAGCAAAGTGTTAAAGGACCTTGCGGGCGAGGGGGAGACGAGCGTCGAGTTCTCCGTTATGGTTATGGGAGGGGCTGCCGTTATCAAGACGACACCTGCGCAGGGCGAAGTTGCACAAGGGCAAAGCGGTAGCGAAGTACTAGATACCAAAGAGTTTTGGGACGACCTTAAGGGATTCTTATTACAACGAGTACGAGACGAAAAGGCGGCCGAAGAACTAACAAATACGTTCCAAAGCGCGTGGAAGGCCAAGGCGTAGTAGAATTAGAAGATACAAGTAGAGAGCCAGGCCGATATGATTAATGAATGAAACTCAGACCAAACCGGAAAACAGGGGGGTTATTGAGAGGCTGCAAAAATGATAATTATTAATGGCGTAGACATCTGGCCAAGGAGCACAATAGGAACGATCTACATTCATATATGGCCTTTTTGTGTTGTGCGGTATACCGATGGCTAACATCACATTTTGACAATTCATGTCTGCCGTCTAAAGGGTGAAAAAAATGATAAACAGCGACCAAAGCGGCCCCTACTCCATTCGTAATGGCAGGGAGAAAGTTTTATGTCCATCCTGCAGCTTTTCGTAGACGTCGTGGATCCTTGGCACGCAAGTGCCCCTCCTCAAGTAATTGATCCTCAGCAACCTTTGCCTTCCCCCCCAGCTGCTCTCAGGGCTTCCCGGGGGGTTGGTGGTCGGGAAGGGGGGCGCTTAACCGGCCAGACCCTTGCTGACCACCTTTAGTACTGTGTCGTATTCGATGTCGTCCTGGTCGTTGGCCTGCAGTTCGATGGCAATACCGGTAAGGGAACGCTTCAGGGCCTCCTTCGACGAGGCGTACACCATCTTAGCCTTTGAAGGGGTTAGTGGCTATTACTATATACATAGGATATGTGAATTTCTCAAAGGTTATTGTATATACTTACCATAACGTTGGCATCATCGGGCGACCATGCGATGAAGGTGATCTTGTTTCTAAATTATAATGTTAGTAAGCCAAGTTTGTTGTTGCTGTTGTTGTTTTAGTTGGCTGATGCTACTAACCGCGAGCCTTCTCCACTGGAAAGGCTGTACTCGAAGTCGTAGACGGCGTATCGGGGACCCTTGCTGGTAGCGCCCTAGGGGTAAAATAATTAGAACAGAGCTTTAGAAACATAAGGCTACCCAGAGTAAATATGATTACTTACAGACTTGGTCTTGGTGGTAGCGTTGATGAGCTTCTCGCGGAAGGTTTCCCAGTCCTTATCCGAAGAAGCCTCCTCGACGACGATCTCCCGGTTGTTGTCCGACAGCTTGAAGATGACGTACTTGTGCTTCTTCGCAAGCTTAAGGTCGTTGTATGCAGTGATGCACTCCTGCGAGACTGTCGCTCTAAATTACCACCGATATTAGCTACCTTGTTCACCCTCTTGTCCTAGTCCTAAGAACGCGCCGGAAAGAGCGGTGCACCGTGAAGGCGCATAATGACGCGCGGATAAAGGGGGAGTCAAGTAGAAGAAATCACGAACCCTGATTGAGACTACCAAAATTTAATATTAGCAGGGCGTCCTAAAATTTGTTGATTGGGCTCAACTCTCACCATTTTGGCGATATGCTTGAACTACACCGGTACCAAATGAGATTCCGAAGACAAGCTACACGATGTGGGCTGTTAGCGGGGTTCAAGGGAGGTCCTAGGAAAGTCAAAGACCAGAGAATGCAAAAAGTTGATTTTTTTTTCTTTTTCTTTAGTTTTTTGCGGGAGGAAAAAAGATGCTGCTGGGGTCAAATCTGCAAACTAACATGAATCGCTGAATGTGACTTAATCCACCTAGGGAGGGTCTCGGATGAGGGAGGGTCAGGTTTTTGTAAATAAATGCGATGGATGTTTAGGACAACAATAGAAAGAAAGAGTCGGATGTAAGTAGTGTTTTTAGTGTGGGTCCTATCGCAATGGAGGGGAAGGTCGGACTGATGAAAAGAGGCACGTAAGATGAGAGAGAACGAAGAGAGTGAGAGAAATCAACACAAAGCCCACAAAGCCTTTGGTGCTTTGGTGCCTTGGTGCTTCAGTGCTTGGTGCCAGTGGTGGGTTGGTGGGGTCGAAATTGTTTTGGGAGGGGATTAGGGGGGACAGTAGAACAGGGATTTTTAGTGGAGGAAAGGAAGGGATGGGCAGTTTGGCTATGACCTACCTGTAACAGAAGAGGTATACCTTACCTAAGCGTAAGTACCTAACCTAACGATTGCTTACCTTGGAACTACCTAACCTGTGACGTTTTAACGGGTACCTAGTACCTACAACTGCAATTTGCATTTTATTACTACAATACAACTAGGCACCTCTAAAAAATTATCAGGTATACTGACACCACCTAGGTACTACTACTAGGTAGCCTACTAGCTGACACTGACAGGCTACAGCTAATAGTGTAATGTTATTATTTCTTGGCGGCAACTGGTTCGACTTTACAGTGATCCGGTAATGAAATTTCACAACAACTAACCTAAGGTACACGTGACACCCTTTAATTTCATCGAATTGGGCTATTTCACTATTTCAGGGGTTATCACGACGGAACAATAATGTACTTGCGTTATCACTCGTTTGTCACTACATTTCTACCTGTAATATCAACGAGCTACATGGGATTCGTCATTCGTCATCGCGTATCACCATACAGCATAATGTCATCCTAATTTCTAGGCAGAACTTAACTTAACGCAATCACAATTGTCAAATTTTTGGTGCCTAGGTGAATAAAACAAAAAAAGGGGCAAAGTATTTATCATCAGATCAATTAAGATCACCTACACCAGCTGTAGGTTGCCATTTTTTTCAGTTCATAGCTCTAATATACAACACTTCATAACGCCGCTCGGGATATCAAGGTAGGAATAATGCACAGGGGGGGGTGGTTGGGGGGTGAGAGATGGAGGTAGAGACGTAGAGGGGAGATATAGAGGAAGACATGACAGAGACAACGTTAATCCGTCCCCATAACGCCGAGGTCAATGTTCCCAACCCAAACTTTTGATACATGACAGGACAAAGGTTCATTCAAAACCATGAACTCATTACATCATTCCTCCCATGCCACCCATTCCTCCCATACCACCCATGCCGCCGCCCATGCCACCAGCAGGCTTCTCTTCGGGAGCCTCAACGATGGCAACCTCGGTGGTACCTAGTAGCGAGGCAACACCGCTAGCATCAACTAGACCAGTTCGGACAACCTTGAGCGGGTCAAGGATACCTGCCTGGATCATGTCCACATACTCTCCCTTGGCACTGTCGAAGCCCTTGTTGAAGTCGTTGCCGAACTCGTCCATGAGCTTGCCGACGACGACGGAGCCCTCCAGACCAGCGTTCTCAACGATCGTCCTGGCCGGTCGAGTGATAGCGTTCTTGACAATGCTGACACCGAGTTGCTGATCGAAGTTGGCAGCCTTGATATCCTTCAGGGCGTTGCTAGCAGCCTTGAGGAGAGCGGTACCGCCACCGGGCAGGATACCCTCCTCAACGGCAGCTCGGGTGGCGTTAAGGGCATCAACAAAGCGGTCCTTCTTCTCACCGACCTCAACCTCGGAAGAACCACCGACCTTGATGACAGCAACACCGCCAGAAAGCTTGGCAAGTCGTTCTTGAAGCTTCTCCTTCTCATATTCGGATGTGTTGGGATCGTTCATGACACCACGGATCTGCTCGCATCGTTGGGCAATGGCGTCCTTGCTACCCTCTCCGTTAAGGATAATAGTATCCTCCTTGGTGATGGTAATGGAGCCGGTGGAGCCAAGCATGTCAGGGGTAGCCTTCTCCAGCTTGATGTCTAGCTCATCAGTGAAGACGGTACCGTTGGTGAGAACAGCGATATCACCGAGGATCGACTTTCGGTTGTCACCGAAGCCAGGGGCCTTGACGGCAGCAACCTGGAGCTGGCCACGGAGCTTGTTCAAGATGCAGACAGCTAGAGCCTCACCATCAATGTCTTCGGCAATGATGACAAGAGGTCGTCGGGCCTGAGTAGAGGCCTCGAGAGCGGGGATGATATCTTGTACGGCACTGATCTTCTTCTCGGAAAGGAGAATGAGAGGGTTCTCAAACTCGACCTTGTGCGACTTGGGATCAGTGATGAAGTAGGGCGACACGTAACCGCGGTCGAATCGCATACCCTCGGTAACTTCCAGCTCGTCGCTCATGGTCTTTCCCTCCTTGACGGTGATAACACCCTCCTTGCCGACCTTCTCCATGGCATTGGCAATCATCTTACCAATGTGGGTATCTCCGTTAGCGCTGATGGTGGCGACCTGAGCAATCTCCTCGCTGGTGGTGATATCCTTCTTGTTCTTCTGGATATATTCAACAACAGCGTCAACAGCGGCTTGGGTACCCCTCCGCAGATCCATAGGGTTGCAGCCGGCGGCGACGTTCTTGACAGTTTCCGAGAAGATAGCACGGGCTAAAACCGTAGCGCTAGTGGTTCCATCACCGGCAGATTCGTTTGTCTTGGATGCGACGTCTTGTAATAACTTAGCGCCGAGGTTCTCGAACTTGTCTTGCAAGCTGATAGCTCTTGCGACAGTAACACCATCTATAGTCACGGATCAGTAACCTGGCCGATTTGAAGTATAAAAAAAGAGCCTAAGGTGAATTCATATCATACATACCCTTTGTGATCTTAGGAGAGCCGTAGCTCGACTCGATTAAAACATTTCGACCCTTGGGACCGAGTGTGGTAGCAACAGCCTTGGCGAGGGTCTCGACACCGGCAAGGAGAGCAGCTCTACCCTCGACGCCGAACTTGAGCTCCTATACGATATGTATACGTCAGCCATTTTTGTAATGATATGATATATTGGGTATGATATGCCAAGGTCTGCTTTCTACTAAAGCTCGTAGGTTTTATTTATATTACTAACCTTGTGTGCGAATCGAACCTGTTGCGAGAGGCCAGCACCAGCTCGGTACTTGGTGGCAGCCGAAGATAGGACCGAAGCTCGCGCTCGGGACGACAGAGCACGCTGCATTGTGGATGATAGATGTGGTATAGACGATTTAAGTTGAGGAAAGACGGGAATAAAAAGTCACCACCAATTATCACGTCGTGAGAGAGCGGAAAGAAGAACAAAAACCTCGCCGGCGTTGTTGAAATGTAGGCGTTGAAGAATTGAGTTTTCGAGGTCGCCGGGGAATAAAAGCTTCAAAAAATTTAATCGATTGAATGACGGAGGAACCGGCCAGAAGCCGAAGCTTCTTCTACGCTAACCCGGACTGGTATAGCGTTGCTATAAGCGCATTCGACCAACGACTTCATGGAATTTCATAGAATATGATTTGTTGCAATTCTATATTTTTATGTTGTGACTTATTCTGATAATTCTAATACTATTAAAGAGGTAGACTTTTACTTTGTACGATGAATACATTTTACCTGTCCTCATACTTTGCATACTATTGTAAAGGTGTTATTTACTTTAGGTACCTCATAAGGTTACCAATAGGTACCTGCCATATCCGTTTATTCAAGGAGGGGTTACCTTAGGTACCTAGGTATCTGATGTATTGGAAATCTTCGAATGAGGGGCTACCATTAAGTAATGATCTCAAGTACCCAGGTACCTAACTCACAAAGTGCATGTAACCTCTTGCAAGGGTATTCATATTCAGTATAAGTCAACACCTCCATGTAGATTTCATATCTACCTCTAATTAAGGTAAGTTAGGTACCAATGTAATTTCAGAGATCCAACTACATTTGTCAGCACCAGCTTCGTTTGAAATAGATACACACCTTTATGTTAAGTGAAACAGACGGACTTCTTGCGGTGTTAGGAGCTTATTGCCGTCTGTGATCTGAATATAAAAATAACTTAGAGACAGTTAAATCAATACAATTAATACAACAATCTCTTCAACCTCTCAACCCCTCCAACCCCCCTTAAACCACCTTATAGTACTCCACCCCCCCTATCATGGCAACTATCGCAAAGACAATCGTGGCCACCGGTGCCACTTCGGGCTTGGTAGGCAGTATCTTATTATTCCAAGTTAAAAAAACAAAGTCATCCTAATCTCTCGAGTTATTGTCTAGGGGTTTGAGCTAGTCAAGCAACTTCTTGCGCAAACACAGCCGTACAAATTCATCCTTGGAGCCAGAGACACAAAAACGGCTCAGGCCGCCTTCGATAAGCTCAACTATGACAGCAGCAAGCATAGCTTAACCCTCTTTCCTTTAGAGTTATCCAATCTCAAGACCGTCAAGGCTTTCTCGCAGCAGGTCTTGGATAAACTCGGACAGGACAAGATCGACTACCTTCTGCTCAACGCAGCAATAGGCAAAAATGCCGAACAGCCTGGCCCTTTTGGATCTAAATGGAGCGAGCCATATATTGTAAACCATCTTTGTAAGATCCTATGGTCTCGTTGAAAGTTTGGCAATTCGTGCTGATAAGCGTATCAGCTCAGCATTACCTTGTCCATCTACTTCGAGAGAAGTTGGAAGCATCGCAGTCGCGCATCGTAGTCGTCTCTTCCGGCGCTGTTCGTCTCGTGGATGACCCTAGTATGTTAAGCCTGTCACTTTCTTGACCCATGACCGATGCTAATCTCGCAATTCCACGCAGAATACCTCGAGGATGACCTCAAGGGCGGCTCGAAGACGGAACGTAGTGTATACCCTGCCACCAAGTTCGTCCAGCTGCTCGGAGCGCACTGGTGGCGCCGTCAGCTCAAGGGCAAATGCACAGTCGTTGCCGTCTCTCCTGGCCTCATTCCTCATACCAACCTCTCAAGAAACAGCGACCAGTTCCAACTGCATGCGAACCATCCGGATGCAAAGACCGTCCCAGAAGGTATGTTCGATCCGTGACCCTATTGAATGACGAGTCAGACGTAACTTACGCTATTGACAGGGGCTCAAAGCATTTACCGCGCATTCGTAAGAGATGATCTCCCCGAGGACCCTGACCAAATCTTCTTGACAAGCTGGGGCGAATGGTGGCCTAAAGATGTCTACGGACTTAGTCTTGATAAGACCCTTCAGGACAAGTGGTCTCCTAGTAAAGACGAAATTGAGAGGGAAGAAGGTTTGACAGCTTGAGTCGACTGTAATTAAGAGCGAAAGAGTTGTTTCCTTGTTTTGAGTTATGCAACACCACATTGTAGCATAGAGCTTTAAGTGGCCATGGATTAGATAACGTACTAAAGGGATGGCATTATAATATATTGCCTTGGTCTTTCAGATGCTCGAACTTGCGTTCTATTATATTCTCTATACCATAGGTAGATATGACACTGCTGTTGTGCTCTGAATACGGAAATAAGAGGTATAGGGGTATGGAAAATATGGGACAGAGAATTAATCGTTAGCGCGAAGGGACCAGAAGCCATCTACGGCTCTATACTATCCCGCAGCAGTTGCCTCGTCTGGTTCATATACCTTCGCAGCGCATTGGCGCCACCTTTTACGAGATCCGGTTTGCATATATTAAGTTCCTCCTGAGCTAAAATCGGCCTCGGCACCTTCGCGAATTCCGGCTCACTTAATAGGGCGCCGTGGTTCGTAGTCCTGCTCGTACTAGGTTAGTATTCTAGAGGTATTCCGAGCAGATTCTCAATCTTCTCGAAGAGATTGATGATGACTTGTATGAACAGCGAAGCTTGTAAGTTTCTGGATTCTGCGAGCAGGTTAGTATCACTTTTCTTCACACAGTGTTGGGGATAGGAACTACGTATGAAGAGGAAAACTTCCAAACTCTACCCCGGGAAGTTCGTGCAGCGAAGGTACATCGCTTTTAGAGATCTCTAGTAGAGCTTCGTAGCAATGATGGTGAGGTGGAGTTGTATACCTAATATGTATATAGGATATGAGAATATGCATGAGTGTCGTCGAACCGAGATAAAGGTATTCGGAGGAGTGTGGGGAACTACGTCCTTGTTAAACTATCTACGCCGCTATCAGATCTTGATTCCGGCGTCCTCGGGGAGGAACCATGCGACGGCACCTGGGTTCGCTTTCTTATTCGCATTCGAAAGCCCGCATATAACGTCGACAAGCTCGCGGCTACTTCTCAGTATACTGTGAATTGGAGTTCCGGAAAAGTCGTCTGACGTGTCGATAAGCGTAACAAGTGTGTTAAGACTAATTTCGGGAGACCCTCGTCCAATCTGGCCAACATGGTTAACTGAATCGAGGTTAATCTTGGCAAGCCGTTGCGTATCGCTCTCGGATATCCCGCGATCGACTTCAAACATCGGATCCTGACTAGTGCCGGCATCTCCTAGAGAAGCCGGTGTGCTACTGTTTATGGCGGTCTCCTGTCTCCCAGATGAGGAAAAGGCTCCGGCTGGTGAAGCGGCTACCGAAAAGTTGGAGAAAGACGCCATCTCTGATTGATAATCTACAGGAGGTATATAAGCCTTGTTGGCTGTGCCATCTAAAGACGCGAAATTCCCGTCGAAGCCATTGCCGAACATGGATTCGTAGAGAGTCCGGTCCCAAGACTCGGCTATTTCAGGAGGGTAAGTTACTGTGTTTTGCACATTATTGGAATCTCCAAAGAACACAAGTAAAGGTGTATTAATTAGATGATTCACATCTGTAGTCGGGGGAGTCTGTTGTTCGCCATTCTGCCGCATTCGTTTCTGTCGTGAGTGAGTCTCGGGGATCTTGATGCGACGAACATGAAAAACGCTACTGTCGCGATCGGAAATATCATCTTTACCAGCTGATATTATCTAACTTAATTGATATCTGCTTCGTCCCTGAAAAAGCTCCGTCACATTTAGACTTTTGCGCACACAATATCTATTTATAGACCATGCTTAGATTTTCAGGCACCCCTTTATTTGATCCAACTTAACTATTGTATAACTCACTTTTCAAAAGCTTTGCATTGGCGATATCCTGATTACTTGTTAGATAATAGATAATATTGTAGTAATTACCTGGCAAATGCAACCTTCTTATAACATAGAAAATGCAGTGTCAAATTTGGTTATGTTCTGAGTAATGTTATCGGCCCGGACAATTCACGAAACCCGTTTGCCGAGGTCCGTAAATACGCATTTGAATATCCCTGTTTCTCCGTGATATCTCGGAATGCTTTCGGGGTGGGGCCCTAAGAAATCCATGTATCGAATAAGAGAATGATTCGGGCGGTGCAGGTCCCACTTGGTCACCCGATACCCCTACCGAAAACTTCGATACATTGTCCGGGCATAGCACTGCTTGGACCTGTATTGGTAATATTAAACCATTTCAATTATTAAAGGGGTCACCTACGAAATAAAATCCTTCAGGATCAGAAGCCTTAAAGTTATACACTTTGAAGAAACATTAGGTCTATGTTCTACAGATTTCCCAAGTATTACCATATACAAACTTGTATGAGGATATACTTCCTAAGTCAGCTCTCCAGGTTGTATTTAATGTTATACTCAACAACGAATTAAAACCCCCACACATACCACTTTTGATGGCATTGACATGTACGGACATATAAAGGAGTTAAGCAAGCTTTCTAAATCCTCTAGATTTCAAGGGATTAGAGGTTAACCCCGAAAGAATAAGAGAATATTATTATGTAATTCATGGTTGAAAGTCCTACCCCTGAATATCGAACGCGAGTAGCCACACCTGTACTCCCGTCACGCACTGTAGGAACTAATAAACAACAGAGTGCTGATAAGTATTTAAAGGACTTCTCTACCTTCCCTGACATTTGAAAAACAGGTACCTAATCACTCATAACTACCTAGAAAAGCAACACCAAGCCCTCCTTTGCTATGTGCAGTCCCGCCCACATCGCGTATCCGGATTTGCCCGGCGTGCAATTCACCTCCCTAAGCACTTCGCTAGTATCCAACCTGACAGTCCAAGTCCCTGAGAGCACATACGTAAACCATGGGGCTCTATATGCCGGAGGTGTTAGCTTCTGCAACCTCACCACCACCTACACGCATATAGGAACGTCTGACACTGTCACCATCAGCATGTATCTTCCCGAAGAGTGGAATGGCAGAATGCAGGGTATTGGAGGAGGAGCTTGGTCCGCCGGAGGGATCAACTTTTTGCATAGTAGTTACTCCATGCTAGGCGCCGTGTCAGAGGGCTATGCTGCCGTGACTACCAACGCCGGTCACGCTTCACTCAACCCTGACGACTGGATGTTGAAGAGTCCCGGACACGTCGAACTTCACCTCCTCGAAGAATTCGGATCCAACTCGCTTAACGAGTTATCCATTATTGGCAAAGCGATCACGGAGAGTTACTACGGCAAACCGCCGGCTTACTCTTATTGGAACGGGTGCTCGCAGGGCGGACGGCAAGGTTTCAAGATCGCCGAGAAGTACCCCAACGCATTCGATGGGATAGCTGCTTCGGCCCCGGCAACCGACCTTGCCGGTATGGGAGTGGCGAATCATTGGCCTCAAGTGGTGATGAAAGCGCTGGGCCAGTATCCGAAGAACTGCGAGTTTGTTGCCATAACGGAAGCTTTTATCAACCACTGCGATGGTGACGACGGCCTACTTGATGGAATCGTCACCGACCCGGACTCATGCGAATTTGATCCCTATTCAATGGTAAATAAGTCTATTGATTGTCAAGATATCGACGCCGGAACTGTGCAGGTCTCGGAAGCTGCGGTCAAGGTCGCGATTGCAACATGGACTGGTGCCAGGAAATTGGATGGCTCGTTCCTCTGGTGGGGCCTCAAAAAGGGGGCCGACCTAGTGGACAAGGTGATCAGCCTTGGAGGAGCTAACCCAGGACTTGCGACAACTACTTGTTCGGGAAATGGCACATGTACGGGACACACAATGGATATTGTTAATGTGTGGGTACGGCTTCTTATCAAGAAAGACCCTACTTTCGACGTCAAGACCGTAACGATGGAGGACCTTCAGGATTTGTTTAAACAATCAATAGACGAGTACGCTCCGATATTTAACGTAAAGCCTAACCTGGACGCCTTCCGGGAAGCGGGCGGGAAGATAATATCCTACCACGGTTTGGCCGATGCGAATCTTCCCCCGGCGTCTTCGACAAACTTCTACGACAGCGTTGCCGCTCACGATACGCAGATAAAAGATTACTATCGCCTCTTTGAAGCACCGGGACTTGCTCACTGCTGGGCAGGTTCTGGGGGATATTACCCTGCCGGGTTATTCGAAGCCCTGGTATCATGGGTTGAAACTGGTGTTGCCCCTGACAGTGTTGCTGCAGCTACTTCCGTTCAGAGCGGCCCCGTTCGTCAGAGTATCCTGTGTCCTTACCCCCAGAAGGCACACTATAACGGAACAAGCGCAAATGCTACTGTAGATGATTTTTATTGTGGTAATTGAAGAATTAACGGGAGGTTCAAGTGCATAAAGACTGGAGTGGGCAACAATGATTGCAGCGTGTATATATAACAGGTATCAGCGAATCCATATATACATTAGGTACCTACCTACCTGATACTAATTGGGCTTATTTAATAAAGTTGAAAGAATATCGCTATTCCAAATACCTACCTGTTTCACTTGTTCCCAAGCTTTCAGTGAAGGATAGGGCGATAACATCCAAGTACTCTTCTACTACCCATAACTTGATCTTTCTCCTCCCTGCTAAGTATTCCGTGTTAAACAGTGCTAGATTACCTGGAAGTGAAATCTCGGTGAGCCGCAAGCATCAAGATAGCAAAGCTTTGCGCTTCCGGAGACTCTTTGCGTGGCGTTCTGTCCCCCCAATTCAACGGGTTTACGACAGGAGACAGCAACCCATCGCTGCTTATCTTCTTCATAATGACCTCTCTCTTACTATCCGCCCATTCCGTGTACCTTGGGCCAAATTCCCTCGGCTCTAGTCGTGCCATGCGATACGCGGTTGCTGTCAGCAGTGTTGTACCAGATAGTTCCCCAAACCAGGTTGTATCGTTGAGGTAGTTGCCCAGTAGCGGCTCGCCGGGCTCAGCATTATCGCGCGCGATCGCGCCGTCTAGGATCGCCTTGACAATGTCCTTAACCTGTGCTATTCCGGATTTCACTTTAGTGTCTCCTGAATGCCGGGACTTCGTCGCTGTCGCTAACACGCGGCTCATCCCGGCAGCAGCCCACGCATTCCCGGTGCTCCAGATCCCCAAGTCCTGGCTCTGCGGGCCTACGATGTGATGCCAGAGCCCGGCTGCGCTTTTGGCATTCGCCGGTACACCCAACACGTCTCGATACAGGATGCACTGCTGGAGCGCTGTGGCGAGCAGGCCTGCATCGTCTGTTTGGATTGCCCAGTACGCCAGGGTCGGAGGCGCCATGTAGATGAAGTCGGCCCATAGCTCGGCCACTGATTCTCGGTGACTGATAGCTCCGTTGGTGTATCTCGGCACGGCTGTGAGCAGGTAGTTGACTTGAGGTTCCGCTGCTGATAGGTAGTCGTCTTGGGTCTGGCCGATCAAAATGGCATAGACACCGAGAGAGGCTGGACCGCCGGCGGCGCCTGCTAACGAGCTAGTTTGATGGAAAGGGGGAAATATGCCAGTAACGGGGTCTTCTTTTCGAAGTAGCATACCATCTCCATCAATGAGAGTATCAGAATTGGTCGAAATGTGCCGCTTCACATATGAAAGTGAGGGAGTTGTGTCTACTTGTATAACGGGTATTCTTCCATCTGGGAACGGGTTGCCGCCAAAAACTGACGCATTCGGTGTGTACCATTCTAGGAGGACCTCGGCAAGGGCACCATACTCCCAGCTATGTGTAGCTAGGCGTTGTTTTTGTAAGATGATGTTGTTAATGAGAGTAGAAGACATTTTCACCCTTTATGTTGTGGGTCATTATTATAAAAAGGGCGTGGCCCGGCGTTGAATCTAGTATTTAAAGACCTACACGGCCATGAGAGCGGTGAAATCGCTGACGCGAGGCCAAGCTCTAGTTCGCAACATCCTCCCCTGCCTTTAACAACAGTAAAGCGTCACTATTGAGATAACGACCAGATCTAGAACCCAGATCTTAAAATAGATCTTGGGCATCGATTCAGGGGCCGAGATACTAATCCCGCCAATCCAGTTAAACATCGTAAATAGTTGCTGGACTGTACAACGCTGACGCCAGTCACATAAGGTGAACCTAACCCAAAGCATGACTCGAACTCAGTTCTTGGAGCTGACTACTGCTTTTGAGTAAGTGTGTTATATCTTTTTATTGAACGTCCCGTTAGTATCTCTTATCTGGAATAGAATAACCGTGATAAATTTGCCCCAACTTGAACTTGACAGGCACTTAAGGTATACTTTTATATGCCATAGTACGTGTAATGTCAGAAATTCCACCTCCATTCATAACATCTTCCTGGACAAAGATATATCGTGTATATGCATGGGACGGTCATGTATTTCTTCGTTATATACATGTAGGCTCCAAGCTACCGGAATGTGAGCTTAGTTTGTGACGGCTTTAAGAACAAAAATTATGAGAACAGTCGAATACATGAAACGAATTAGCCAGTCCCCCTTTATTGATACATGAATAAGCCAAAACTAATGTACCTCTTGCGAAGGTCAACTTCGTAGCCTTCGAGTTCGTCAAGTAGCTCGGTATGAAGATAGAAAATTGTGGATAACATAATGATGATCAATAAGACTGAAATGGTGCTGATGCGATTGCATACCACAACTAGAACCATCAAAAGAAGAGTTGCTAGTATTGATGCCTGCTTATATAGCCAAACCACTTGATGGAGGCAACCACGCCGCTCGAAGCACCGTAGTATTTACCGTACCGATGTGCGAAAACATGACTTCTAATTCTATAAACACCACCAGTTCCCCCCTTTTCTAGCTACCCAGGTTGGAGCCATGCTTTGATTAGTCCAAACGCTCGACTGAAAACCTGGGTGGGGTTTTCCCCCTCTCAATGGGACTGATCGTAGACAGACACTTTTATGTGGTCCATGTAAGGGTTCCGTGTACGGGTTCGGAAGAGAGCTATCAAACCGCTACACCAGGACATTGATTGTCGCTCCCGTCTTACGTTTCTATTCCCCCCAAGCGTTTATTGTAATAGTTAACGCATGGTTTAATATGGAGTGATGTTGTAGATTACATTACCAGGCTGTAAATGTAGATGAAAGCACGGGGCTCATAATAGTATCGAGACTAGTGGTATCCCATTTCCCCGAATAATACCATTGTGGAATCCTAGAACAAAATGTCGCCTCAAACCGAGCCAGTTGCCAGGGGTGATACGCCGTAAGACATGTCTAGAAGTAGGCGGGCTCACCCTAGACAATAAAGACCCTAAAGGATACAACATCTGCGACGGGACTAGGCAATGTCTGAGCTACAGCCGAGAAAATACAGAAAATGGTAACACTTGGACATGAAGGTGGGATCGTATAGGCGGAGAAACGCTTTGCTAGATTCCAAACAAATGAAAACTCGCTACCTACGTAGACCTAGGTACTCTACAACAAGGGGCCCTGTTCCCAAATAGTTATTGAAATATCTAATACTCTTGCAAAGCATGAACTCTAAATTTATAAACGATGTCTAGGGCTGAAAACGTCGAACTTGCCCGGTCCGCCATGCCTTTAATCCTGAGTGTTCACCCTACCTTAGTATCAGACCTTACTGTCAACTAGGGCATTTAACTTTATGATATATCCACGCACCGCGCTGATTGCCTACCTAGGTAGGTACCTAGGTAACCCAAGGAAAGCTGAGAACTTGAAAGCATGCAGATGCCCTTGATTACTTCTAAATACCTATCGAAGACCCATAAGCAACTCGAGATTTAGGAATATGCGCCTTAAGGAATAAGGGTCTGGTATTCCATTTTGAGTCGAGGTAGCGAGGCTGAGCGAGTAACTAAGGTAAGATCCTCTAAGTCACTGATTACCTCTTATGTTATTATGCCTTGTTATAGCCATGAGTAGTGGAGCTGTGCTATGATTTGTGCCTTGTGGGCATCCGAGCGACATGCTCTAATACAAGGCTGGCTTAAATAGGTAGTTGTGAAGTTATTCGGTGGTTGGTAGTGGCTGAGTTTTGAATCAACCGGGATAAATCTCCGAGTAGACAATGCCACAACGACAAAAGCCTCACCTATAGTAGGACTTTGAGTGGAGGTTAAAAAAAAAGGACCTATGAGTACCAAAGGCATATTTGATGTTACTTATACCTTGGTGTCATTTCCATTTCAGCTTGACGTCATGCTCAAAGAGGTAGAGTTCTAGAAATATTCGTTACAGAATCTCGATGGGGCTCTTGAGTCCTGGAACTTGGAAGGATTTCGGCTAGTCATTTGACGATGTTCGTGCACCCCCAAGCTTTATAGACCGTCAAAATCGATTCGATTGCGGTCCGATCTGGGATTAATAATAAATACTACGTCAAAATGCTGTCCTAAAGGATCCCATGAGCGAGTTACCGAATCGAGTAATCCTTTCATCTTTTGCCTCTTTGAGTTTGGTCATTGGTCATAGTAATTGGGCGCCACAAATGGCAAGATTGGGTTTGAGGTATTGAGGCAGTGCTGGGTCACGCTCACTAACTCGCATTCCCCAGATGTTGTAAATCCTACCCCATCGGTACTTTTGTCCGCTGGGTGGAGAGCACCATCTGTGTGCGGCAGCAACTTGGAAGCATGGAAGGTAGTGTGAAACATGGTTTTTGATTCACTACGAAAACGAAGTATCACGAATTAAATGTGCTATTATCGAGACAGGTTATCTACTTGTAAAATAAGGTTAGGCACACGCTTAAGAACTAGGCTAGTTAGGTACTATTTAACATACCTACCTTTAGTAAAGAGTCCCGAAGTCGTCGCTTGCAAATTCCAAATACCATTACCAACTTACATAACAGGTGATACGTTGATGCGGAATGCGGAATACGGAATACGGCACAACTGGGTCAGAAGGTTGTTAGCGCACCGCTAAGTGAGTTAGGCATACGGCTGAATACCAGTACCAAATTTGATTGGTCGAGCTTCGCTTTACTATTCCTATAACGGTATGTCTTAGAGGTTTTGATTTTGACAAACTCGGGCATAAAGTTTTGTTGTAGCATTTTGGGATCAGCCCGCCAAGAGGTTCTTACCTGCTTCGCCTCGAAGCCGATCTTACGATATTGGGTTGCCGGTTTTAACGAATATGTGTTTTCTAGATTTTATTTGATTTTAGACTTACATACCTTGCAGCAGCCGTGTACGAAGTAGATACTCGGATATATAAGTTGGAGGTGCCCGTTGTGCACTCGAAGATTTAGGTTAGGCTAGAAGAATTGTTAGATATTTCGTTTATTCGTTTCATTCAATTCAAGGTTTCTACTGTAGCCACCACCTCAAGTATTGATTGTTTATACCACTGCTACCTAAGGTACCCTGCAGGTGGCGCTAGGTAACAGTTGCGCGACGCTCAACGCGAACCTAAACTCTATTTAAATCAATCCGAATCATAGAGGAAGCTTCCCTCTAAGCTACAGGTAGGTACCATTTCATGTACGTCGCACAGCGTTTTACTAGGGTGGAATCACCCCTCCTACCCCAACTCCAACGAACGATTAATAAATCCATATAAGCGGATGAACTTTACTATTTAAAAAGACTTACAGTTTGCATTTCCTACATTTCCTTTTACCATTACTACAAGTCTCTTTTTCCAATTCTCTCTCTATCCCACCAACACTTTCATCCAAACCAGTAACCCTCCGATGAACAAATAATACTTGAGGCTAGACTTGATCTAATCTCCCCAATAGACAAGACAAAAACAAAACAAGAACAAAAGAACCAGATTAAAAACTACCTACACCATGTCCGATTCCAGGAACAAGGGTGTCGAGCAGACCAATGGAGCCAGCTCAAATCAAGCTGGTTTCCAACCACAGGGAAATATGACAATGGAACCCCCCAGAGAACAAGACCTACAGCAGAGCTATGCGTCCATCGTCGGTACTGACGCTAACCCCAAGGGCTGGTATGGATCCATGAGTATGATTATTCCACCACACCCTAAATAATAGCATCAGCTAGGTACTGATTTTTGATCATAGTTAATGCGATCGGCTCTTGCATGGGAACTCTCGGAGCTATTCCCTGTGTTATTTGCTGCCCCAACCCCTACAAGCAAGTCAGCCAGGGCAATGTGGGACTTGTCACCAAATTCGGAAAGTTCTACAAGGCAGTTGACCCCGGTCTTGTCAAGATCAACCCCCTCAGCGAGAGGCTTATCCAGGTCGATGTCAAGATCCAGATCGTTGGTATGTTAACCCCCTCATTGCCTTTCATTTGCTGTTTGCTAACCGGAGCTGCGAACGTATAGAGGTCCCCAAGCAAGTTTGCATGACTAAAGACAACGTCAATGTGGAACTGACATCCGTGATTTACTATCACGTCACTTCGCCGCACAAGGCCGCCTTTGGAATTACCAATCTCCGCCAGGCCCTTGTCGAGCGGACGCAAACAACCCTGCGACACGTCGTTGGTGCGCGCGTCCTACAAGACATCATCGAGCGACGAGAGGAGATCGCGACGAGCATCAGTGAAATAGTCGAGGACCTGGCGAGGAGCTGGGGATGCGAAATTTCGGCCATCTTGATCAAGGATCTTTACTTCTCCACTGATCTTCAGAATGTAAGCGTTGAAATCCCAAGAATCACTAGTCGGAAATATTGCTGCTGACACGATATTACCTAGTCCCTATCCATGGCAGCGCAAAGCAAGCGCATAGGAGAAAGCAAGATCATCGCGGCCAAGGCCGAAGTCGAATCGGCGCGCTTGATGCGCCAAGCAGCAGACATCTTGTCCTCCGCGCCGGCCATGCAGATCAGATACCTCGAGGCGATGCAGGCCATGGCGAAGACGGCGAACTCCAAGGTCATCTTCTTGCCGGCCGCAAACCAGACGATGCCTAACCTCAACAATCTCGCCTCTCAGGATCCCGCCAAGCAATACGAGATTGCCGAGTCCAGCGGGAGCCAGGATGACGACGGCTTTGCGCAGGCGGTGAATGCCCACGTCATTGAGAACATCTAACGGGGACTTTTAATTACCCCTTGATTTCGAGACTGCCGACGTTTTTATGTTTTTTTATGTTTTCAACGCGCGGAGGTTTCATGACCGAAAATGAGGCCGTAATGATGAATGGTGGAGTACCCATTGTTGGGTGGGTGAGGGCATACCTAACAGGAGAGAGATGCAATAATTATACCCGGAAAATTGAACTGTCATGTTGAAATGACCATCGAGGGAGTCGAATGAATGGAATGGACACTGGTTGTTTGAAGGGAAGGCGTATGTCGTGTCGATACCCGTTATGGATACCCATCGTTCGCTTTGAGAAAGGAGTCTCGCTGTATGCTTCTAATGTTACCTATCTTATTGTCTGTATGTAGGAGGCGGAGGAGAGGGGTTTGTTATGTCGGCTCGGATTGTCAACATGGAGAATATCGTAAGCTAAGTAGTTTAGTTTACTCCTCGACTAGCTAGCTAGCTAGCCTGGCTTAGTATAGTTCATATTATTAATCATCAATTGTTGATATATATCGTACCAATCGCTTCAAGTAGCATCGTGGTGTACTCGCGACTTTTGTCATCCAATCCATTAGCCATATCTGTAAGGTACTCTAGGGGTATCAACATTCACCATCCTTTTTTCTAACTTTGTTGTAGGTTTACCTTAGTCAAAGCCTTGAAATTCATCATCGTCCCCGTTCCCAGCAGCATCTCCTAGCCCCTTAGCCTCCGAAGCGTACTTCTCCTTATTCCTCCGCCGCACCTCCTCCAGCAGGCGCTCGAGCTCCATCTCCTTCGCCCTCTCCTCCTCCGTAAGACCCAGCCTCCGCCCCGCCTCGCGCTTCCGCCTCTTCTTCTCGCGCCGCTCGGCCCGCTCGTCCTCTTTCTCGTGCTTCGCGCTCCAGGCCTCGGCGTTCCGCTTCCGCCGCTCCTTCTGCCCCTCGGCCTCGGCCGTCTTCCCCGCCGCCGCGTCTTGCTCGGCGCTCTTTTGCAGGGCCGCCAGGCGCTGCTTCTCGCGGTCCTTCTTGGCGTACGCGTACGCGTTCCAGTCCATCTCCACCCCGAGGAACTTGTCCCCTTCGAACTTGCGCAGCTCCGGCATCTTGGGCAGGCGCAGGAGCCCCCAGGCGTGGCCCAGGTCCGTCCAGTCGAGGTCCGCGACGCGGAAGATGGACGATGCCGTGTGCTTGCTGTAGCTGCGCACCCAGCTGACGAAGGCCTTCTGCGCCTTGTCGTGCAGCGCGCGGTCGCGCCTGACCGTCTCGCGGATGCGCGAGGTCGTCGTGTCCGCGTCGGCGTCGCTTGTGGAGATGGGCGGGTACTCGAGCGGCGTGATGGGCGTCTTGCGCACTTCCAGGAACGGCACGTAGTCCATCTCCGTCGGCTGCAAGAAAATGACGCTGAGGCCCCGGCGCCCCGCCCGCCCGGCGCGACCGCAACGATGCAGGAACGATTTCGGATCCGAAGGCGGGTCGATCTGAACGACGAGGTCGACCTGTGGGAAGTCGAGACCGCGGGCGGCTACGTCGGTGGTGAGCAGGATCGAGGGCTGGATCGCGTTGAGGAACTTGGCGAAGTTCTTTTCCCGCACCTTGGCTTCGTATTTTCCGTGGAGAGAAACTAGATCGAAGCCCTCGGGGAGAAGCGCGGGGAGGACGTGCGTGAAGTAATCGACGGCGGCGCATGTAGAGAGGAATACGATGCTTTTCTGTGGTCGCGGGTCTAGCTTCTCTAGGAGCTGGACTAGACTTGGTAATTTGTGGCTAGCAGGTGTAGTTAGGTAACTCATCTGAAGGCTTGCGGGTGTTCGCCGCTCCTCAATAATACCGCCCGTCTTTAGACTCTTCACTTTGACTGCAACCTTGACAGGATTTCTCAGACCGACTCTGATAATCTCGCCTACTGCCTCGCTAACGCTGGCGCTAAAGAGACCCGTTCTTCTCTGTTTCGGTAGCCGCGAAAGGATCTTCTGCAGATCTGCTTTGAAGCCCAGGTCAAGAAGCCTGTCCGCCTCGTCGAGGATCAGAAGCTCGAAAGAGGATTGTGGGCAGTGGACGTGAGGAGAGGAGAGGAGCTCGACTAATCGACCAGGAGTCGATATTAAGACGTTCGGCGACGCGCGCAGGAAAAAGCTAAGATCTTGCGCAGGGGTTGTGGTATTGCCGCCGGAGAGGAGCTGCGGCACGATAACCGGCGAGCTCGTCTCTGGTCTCTTCTCCTCGCCATTGAGATGGGGCAGCAACACGGAAGATTCGGGGTGGAAGGCTAGGAGCGAAGATAGCGTGCCGTGGATCTGACCTGCAAGCTCTTTGGTGGGCGCGACAATGATGGCGGCTACATGATGTCGTTTCGTAGGTTCGTCCAGTCGCAAAATTCTGTGGACGAGAGGTAGAAGAAACGAAAGAGTCTTTCCGCTACCGGTAACCGCCTAACGTATTCTTCGTAAGTGGATGATCATATCAGTTAAGAAGAGACCTCCAAAGAAAAACCAACCTCTACAACGACATCCTTATTTCCCCCTCCAAAAAGAGGCCATACGCTGGCCTGAACGGGTGTAGCCCGCGCAAAACCCATACTTGACACGGCATCCAGGATCCATTCTGCCAACGGGGGTGTTAAAGCATCCCAAGCTCGAGGGTCCTTTTTCACGGTCTTTGCTTCCGGCGCCATCGCTCAATGAGTAGGCGCATATGGGATTTGTGGATATAGGCACTTTTGATGATGAGGTTGTCTAGGAAATTTTTGGAGTTGAACATAGAATTATTATCTTATCCAGTATCTTATCAATACCTTGTCTTATCTAAACGCCGAAGCTTCTGTTAATACATATGTACATAATAAATGTACCTAGATTTCATTATCCACAGTGGACATCATCTCCGAGCTTTCTTCCCAGCTTTCTTCCTTGCTTTCTTCCTTTATGGTCGGCATCCATTGATATTTCCTATAAATGTAATTCTTACACATTACGTCCACCCAAGATACCACTATATCGATCAATGATGTACTCCGGCAGTGGTGAACCCTTTCCATCTTTATCGAACTTCTATAGCCGCACGTTTTTGGCTTCGGCGCTCCATAGGGATGTCCGCAAATCGTCGAGTAATATTGAAACTTGCAGCACCCACATCCGGCTCTAGCATTGAGGGTCATGTTTCTGAAATGGTGGTGAGTATTACTTGCTGAAACCATCTCGTAACTATAGAGAACTTTTGGGTTTAATGGCTGATGTTTAAGGCCTAGTCCAAGTGAGAGATTGTTATGAAAATGTTTTGTTTAGTCTTATTATGGGACAGAAGATATTTTTTGAGCAGTTCTTATTGCTGGCTAGCCATATCCCGCTGAGATGCCATTGGATCTTATATTGTAAGGTTACCTTCTGACCACTAATCTATGTCACGATTCGTTCTCAGGGAACAAAAGAGTATGATGTAATACCAGTTATAAATAAGTAAGAATGCAATTGCTCAGCCAATCAAAAGGGAACTAGGATCAGTTTCAAAGAAGTAATATGAACAACAAGGATATACCAAGCGGGCTAGGTAGGTTAAGTACCTTACATCTATATTAGGCACTTGAAACGTCTTATTCTAGATATTTCATTGTTTATGAGAGGGTACATAGTCATATCTCAACAGATACTATCAACGAGGTAGCACCTATTGATAGTTCTAATAGTTATTATCGCTTCTAGAAGGGACTTGGTAAATAGGACCGCTATATGCTAACGTCGGGTACGACACCGCCTAGGGATGAAAAATTGGGCAGCAGCCTTCGTCATCAAATGGGATAGTGATCGTCTGACCAAATTCATCTCCCCATTTCTAGTGAGGATGGTTCCGTGTCTTCCTATATGAGGTACTTTAAATAGGGGTATACTTCTTCCAGTGTTCCGGATTACGGTAACGGACGACGTCGGGGCCGGAGCTATATTGCCTTATATTGTACCAGATTCTATGTACATCCCGGGGTTGTATCGACCCAACCTCATCCGGATTAAAAAGGTCGTCGTCTGTGCGTAACACTCTATAAGCGTTTTTATTGGGTGCATCGTTGAGGAAGAAATGTTTTATTGGATGTATTCTTAGCGTTACGGGTCTAGAAGATCTTTCCCAATCTCTATCTAAATAACCACTACGGAGAGTTGAAGTTCGGGCTCTTATCATCCTAACACAATTCACGATATGTCACTCCTTATTTCTAGGTCTACCTTAACAACCTCGTCCTCAATCAGACTCTCAACCTGAATTCCATTAATCGACATCACCTTGCCATCGAAGTTGTATCCCACCTGCCCTGGCGCTTTGCGATCGGTGGTGAACTGGAACCATACCAAGTTCCGTTAATTAACCGTCTTTTCACCATTTAAAAAAAATTCATTAATGAAATTCCAACTTCTTGAACGTTGAATAACTTCGGCAAGCGTTTAAGAACATCTTAAATATTCGAAGTGCTTTCAAATGTTTATATTTTTTAAATTATTAGAATTTAACGAATAATTTAATCTTTTAATCGTTCGAACCGACTTCGAACGTTTACGCGTTTACGAAAAAGGGGTACAAAAGCCTACGGGAGAGCTAACGGGAGTTACGGGAGCTAACGGGAAGGGATATAAGGTACGTATACGTACAAACGAGCGTACGAATAAGCGTACAAACGCAATTAGAAGCAGTAGGATTGCACAGCTATTGAAGATTTTACAGTTCTACGATACTACGATGCTACGTGATGAGGCTACGAGGCTACGGGGCAGCGATGACTCCTGGGTCCTAGGTCCTGGCTACAGTGGCTGGCTGGCTGGCTGGCTGGCTGAGGTTTGAAGACTTAGAAGGAAAAGAAAGAAGAATCGCTTTCGAAAGGGAGAGAGGCTTATATGGACGATTCCGAAGACTTAATCAGCCAGGCCTCTTGCCAGGCCTCTTGCTACCTTACGGTACGTATCAAGATGTATTGGACCAAGATACCCGTTGTGAGTGTACCCCTCATGAACCACGTCACGTGGCTCCCATGCTCTTCTTAAGTGATGAGTGATTGTTTGTAAATGTTTGTAAACAAAAATAAATAAATAATAATAATCTCTTTTTTAACATACCTGACAATACACACACTTGTTAATAGTCACCTTAGTTTCGTGATAAGGTCTTTTCTGACACTTTGATTTATCACGGTGCATTATCTGCCAGGCCCGGATTCTTACAATCCAGATCAACTTTCTATCCTTGGCTGATCACGGATAATCAAATGCAGATTCGCAATCAGTCACATGGCCACACGCCTGGCGGCGGGGCCTTTGAATTTCTAAACCCTGAAGATGCGAGTCGGGTCATTTCGCTCCAGGTCTGGACACACCCAGAAGGTGGCCATGAGGTTCTTCGGGGCATTAAAGTCTCGTGGGACTCCGGTCTGTCTATGTCGTGCGGCACAACAAGCGGGGATTTTCAGAGTGAAGCAAAATTCACCAAACATGAGCGCATCATTGAGATGATTATCTGGGCCGGTGACTGGGTCGATGGCATTTCTTACAAGTCGACCCGGAACTTACAAGGAAAGAGGCTTGGCGGTCCAGGAGGAAGTCCCCATGTGCAACACTGCGGCAACGGGATACTACTCGGGTTCCACGGGATGTCCGGCTCCATGGTCGATGCGTTGGGTAGCATCTTCGAGATTCAGCGGAACCTCCTGCTGCCTTCTCCTGAGCCCAAGAATAATCACGGCGGCATTGAATTTATTGCACAGCATACCGACCACCGTTCCCGCGTAAAGTCAATTCATGTATGGACGGAGTGGGACGGTGCCGACCATCTGGTGCTAAGAGGAATTGAAGTTCAATGGAGCAGCGGACACCTTTACGAATGCGGAAGCTGCGTTGGCACGGCATATGACAGTGCTGAGTTTCAAGAGTCCGAGCGAATCACTGAGTTTGCTATCTGGGCCGGCTCCTGGGTTGATGCGATATCTTATAAGTCTAACCTTGTGCGTGACGGCAAGAAACTCGGGGGGCCGGGAGGTGCAAAGCACCAACAGAATGTCGGCAGTGGTATACTTGTCGGGCTAAAGGGAAGAGCTGGGAACAGGATTGACTCACTTGGGCCTATATTCGTCAGCTGAAGGAATGTCCAAACTTGTTCGGGATGATATTGTATTCACCCAGCTCATCCGGATTTTCATTGGACGCATTCCTAATGTTGTGGATTTAGAAGATCTTCCCCGCTTCCACAGCTTTTTCGAAAATACGTACACCGCATCTCGCTTCCAAGGCTATCTCTGATATAAGAGCTGTAAGCTAAATGACCCGTTCGGTATATAGGTATTATGGTTCGAGGAGCTTGCCGTAAACCTAGGGCAAGTTGAAGTTCCGGCTCTTGTGCTATCCGAAGGGTGGCCTCATATTTAAATATTAGTTTAAGGCAAAAATTACCATAATGACTTTTATGTTATACTTTCATTATCACTAAACACGAGGTTCAAAATTTCTTCAGATCCATATCCAACTTGAACAACTTTACGGCATTTCCAAATGCAAACATATCCAAATCTTCCTTCGAGAGCGAGCTATCCGTCGCTAGCTTCTGCAGATAATTCCATCCATCAATGCTCTTACCAAAAGGCGTGTCAATGCTATACAGAATCCGGTCCTTCTTCGTTATCTTTAGGACCATTTCGAGAGTTCTGACACTGAAAATTCCGCCCGCAGTCACCCATATGTTCCTATCCCAGACATCACGGAACGGTTCTGACACCCCCTGCTTAAAGAAAGGGGTTGAATCCACTCTGTCGATCATGATCGGGAGTAGCTCTCCCATATGTCCGATTATAATCTTTAGCCGTGGATACCGGGCGAATAAACCTGCGGAGTAGAGCTTAAGAACGTGTAGTCCGACATCCTGATGCCAGCCCCACCCACCCGTGGCCAGCCCCTGCGCGGCAACGGTGGAATAGTTACCGCTGTATAGCCCTTTCTGCACGAACTCTGGAGGAAGCGCGGGATGGATGTAGATCGGTACATCAAGAATCACAGCCATCTCAAACACAGGCCAGAATTTCTCGCTGTCATAGTGAGTCATGTCCCCCAGGTGGCTGTCAATCATGGCACCGAAAAGCCGAAGCTCTTTCACGGCTCGTTCAAGCTCAGCGGCTGCTTCGCGAGGAAACGCCATCGGAAGAGCAGCGAAACCGCCAAAGCGGCTAGGATTCTTCCTAATGGCCTCGGCCATCTCATTGTTTGCCTTGCGAGTGCCTTCGGGGTTGAAATTGCTCAACCCTGGAAGGTGGGACATGATTTGGTACGATACATGGCCTTTGTCCATCTCTGCCAAGCGACCGGTCGAGTGGTCCTCAAGGGCTTCTTTCGTCTGTGGAAACACTGTCCATGTCTCGTCGAGGAATACAAGATCATCGCTAAAAGACGGAAATAGAGCGTGCTCTTCGACTGTGATCGAAAAGGACGGAGGAGACATTGTTCTGATTCAGTGGCAGCTTTAGGAACAGTTTGAATGGGTTTAGGTGGGGTGGGAAAAAAACAAACGGACGTGCGAAAGTATAAAATATAAGGTAGGTAAATATAAGGTAGGTAAATATAAGGTAGGTACTTACCCCTTTATGTCAACTCAACCACTAGATTACAACTCCCCCAAACATGGCTTTCCTTTCGGCCATTTCTTCACCTCCCCTATATTGACCGACTCGGCTGCCTGGAGATTATGCGATGGTAAGACCGAGATACGACAAGGTCGGGGCACGAGGGACCGACTTAACCCAGTCAGCACTTCTTTTCTCCCGCATGATAATCACGTCTCCATGTTACACGAACAAACACGCCACGGGAGGCAATGCAGAATTGTCGAATGGCCGCTCCGTTTATAAGACACAGCCAGGATCATAGCGATGCCGGTGCTCACCGAATCCCTTAACCCAATCCCGATCTTACATTATTTTATCCAGGCAAAAATAGCCATGTTTCTTAGCTGCAGCCGGAATTGCTGCTTCTAATACCGCTCAACTAGCCGGGGACGGTAGGTTTATTCAACCGAGATTTCTGACCTAAGGTCTATCAATATCGGAGCGGTTATGTAAGAGTATAACCCTACCACCACTTCTCAAAGGGGAGATATCCTGGATGGAATCCATTTCGACTACATGGAATTACGTATGCTATTGCAGAACTGGCGTCGCGAGGGCAACAGCATATATCACCACGACTCCTTCAATCTTTTTACGTCGCATTGGGAGTAGTCCCAAGGTGTTCGCTGCTAACAGAGGGTACATTAGTTGTTAAAGAAGGTTTTGAGCTAAGTGAGTTAGGTAGGCAAGAGACCCGTCTGATCATACGTATATTAGAAGTTGTCGGCGTAGTACATAGGTGCATAATAATATATCAATGTCAATACGAGGCATACGTGGGTATAATAGGGGTCTAGTAGCTACCGAATATAAAGAGGTACCTAGCGCCCTCGCAAGACGATCGAAGGTCGAGCGTTACTAGATTAGACTTTATAAGCATGTACGATCCTGACACTCGCTCTGTATCTGTATGCTAATCATCAAGGGTATTAACCCCTTGACAGTCAATCTGCTTACGGATTAGATCGATCGACTTCTTTCACACTCGTAAAGTGAGGAAGGAAGAAAAATAGGAATAGACGAGTTAAATAGTTAGCTTATGCCGTTAGGATTTACCTGATAATTTGCCCTAATTTTAATACTTATCTCCATATAGCGGGTGATTCTTGTTCACGATGTGGATGGATTCATATGGAGATAGGGGAAGATAGAAGGTGGGGCAATTGCATTTGTGGTTAATCATATCATCAGTATATATAGAATATTGTAATTTTAATATTATATAATTTTATTTTGTCTGTTTCGAGGAAAATAGAGGCTTGTTGAAAGCTAGAGTCTGTTGATGGCGGGATCGTAATTGTCAAGTATGCCCGTAATGGATGTCATATACAAAGTGAGTGTCAGGGGCATAGTATGCAGGCTATTGTAGAAATATAATAACGCCTAGCCTTCTAACATCCTTCGAGGGCGATGGCTACCCTTTATATAGACAGTAGGCCACTGAAATATCCATATATTCTCATATCACTGACAGTAATACGCAAGCCGACTATCAGCAATTACCTGATTTCGAGCGTGTTATTGGTAATGTAAGAAAAATTTAAGTAATCGGCATTTTTAAGGCCAAGTATTATATATTATTTATCTTTACTATCCTCATTCAACGCCCGTATGTAAAGTAATTAGGAGCTTTTTATGTTTGTGTGGATCTTTGATAGCATTAATATACTGGAAGTGTTGTTGTAAATATTGCTTACAACGCAGTCTGAATGGGCACTATTAATTTACTGGAATGAGGTACTTAGTTTAGTAGGTAGGTACCTACTAAGTACAACTTCGAGATGTTAAATAAGGGTGTGGCTGTTGGTGTACTTGGTAAATTGACTTTAATTCGATACTGAAATCGTCAAAAGTACCTGATGCAAGTGGCTTATATCTACGTGATATTTACTAGAAAAATTAGATACCAAGCTTGAGATCAGTCGTTTAGAAGCAGTGCATAATTCAGGTACCTAGGAGAATTCAAACAGCTCACTTCATAGTGGAAAATGGTAGATATTCCTGTTCCGAGGGGGTAAGGCTGGTTGCCTGGGGAATTTGGCAACGGCCACCTGGCACGGCAGCAGCACCACCTACGGGACTTTAACTTATATATTGTAATAAATGCAAACCATTTCAGCCGACCCCGCAAAAAAGGAAGTATTCCTGGGTGACTGGAGGCTAGAGAAAACTGCACCGTGACTCGATAGTACGACATTTACAAAGTAGTTTTTTGTAGGTACTGGGTTCAATTCCCAGGCCGAGCTTTTTTTGCAACTCCTTTTTAGGAATTTTTTTTTCTTTCTCACTCTTTTGCTTGACACTCCTACTGTCTACTATCATCAGCTTTATGTCATGGCTGCATTTTGTCCTTTTAATATGCGACCATTCCTTACCACCTTTGCAACCCCTTTCCCTGGACATAATAAAATGACACCTCAACTAAGTTACTCTATATAGTACAAAGCATGAAACCACCTTTGAATAGATACCGCAGATAATATGGGACAAATATTGAGCAGCATAATTGGGATCGAAACCGCTACTTTTCCTCGATAATATTTCCTTTTACTTGGTACCTACTGTATACATTCCTTGACGAATGACACCTAGTTTGAAGTATGTTGCCTTCGATCTAGACAGTCACTCCACAACAAGCTCTTATCAGTACCTACCTACTATAAACCTGCCTGCGTATGATGATCGAAATGGAGTAGAGTTGAAATATGAAATCATCCGCACCAACAAAGTCGTAAGTACTTGAACATTTACGAGTCGACGTAGATCAGCAAAAATACGTGGTTTCGTTTGAAAAGGAGTTCAAGGTCCGGAACCACCACACCTAAATCCACCTGGTGTACACCCACCACACCACACCACACCACACCAGGTCTCTCTACGTCCGTGCACGTTTTTACACCCACCGCACCATGAGGCTCGAAATAGGTGTGGTGGGTGTGGTGGGTGTGTTAAGTGTGTAGTACGTTGAGTTTAGGCCATGCATAGCCACGATGTTAGTGTTTACTAGTAATTTTGGTAGTGGCACTAACAAATCGACTTGTGGCGTACTGTGGCAACTGGGAGATATTTACCTTACATTTTATTATATCTTTAGGTTTTAAGCTTAATATAAGACTTGAAATAAAATAATTCATATCGTTAGAATCCCCAGAATCTTCGCTTTCTAATAGTATATATAGCTCAAGTTACAGGCTTAATGTGGTTGAGAAATACGATTTATATCAAAGGTTGATAAAATAGACAGTAAAAACGTTATATTTTGAAATCGAAAAACATCAATACCACTGTCACTATACAAAATATCTACTAAACGCGCTACCTATAAGACGAAATATATATCATTAGAAAGCCCTTGAAAAGAAGTTTTTAATTATATTTTTTATATAAGTTTCCTGTTATAACTACACGAGAAAACGCGGGTTATTCAATTTTATATTGTTTTAATATATCGATAGCCTCGAGGCGCTAGTGTCCACGGTGCTTCAAAGGTCCACTTAACTTCTTTTTGACCGCTCCAATGTACCGCTTTGCCCATACAATTTTGTATGTATATGTAAGTACTTATGAACTTTCCCTAAAACATTATAATTAAACGTTTACAAAATGCCAACGCTTACGATACCAAAGTTTACGATACCAACGTCTACAATACCAGCGTCTATAACATCAACGTTTATCTACGATACCAGCGTTTACGATACCAACGTGTACCTAATATCACGTATTACAACACCAAGCCAAGGCCTGAATACGTGTTTTTAGTAGTTGGGGATAGCTTCATATAAAGGCCCGTGCCCTAGCGTACTAGTCATCCACCTAATCTACTTAAATCCACTGGTGTACACTTACTAGGCTGTTTTTGGTGGGTGTGGTGTGTGGTGGTTCCGGACCTTGAAGGAGTTTAGTGCGTCTGGTGATTTACAGAATTTCTAATTTGTTAATTATTAAGAGGTAGAAATAGGAATGGGTTGGGCGGACTGTACATAACGACATACTCGTTTGCATAAACAACATAAATCAATGGCATGCACTGCTGCATGTGTTGCACATGTCAACAGGTGAGATGTTGAACTTTAAGGTGTTAGATTAGTCAGCTAACAGGTACCAAAGGTAATCAGGTGACCTCAGAATAACTTTTTACTTTTTCGCAATTACCTAATCGCAGCTCCAAAGCTTTTACAGCTTTGTTCCCCAAGAACAAGTCAATCGATTACTCAAACGAAAAAGCATTATATCATAATACATGATAACCTCGCTTTAAGCCCTCTTTTAAGATACCATATAAAACCATACGAATGTATTGTGCGACCCCGATAAAATTGTTGGTTACCTATATATGGCAAATATGGATTAGATAATGCTGTCCTTGTTTTTTTTTTCCCTCTCTTAGTCATTTAAGATCCAGGATTCAATAATTTGCAGGTACCCCCATGAGGATCGAAAACAGAGGTGTTCTCTGTGCCTCACCACCACCACCTGTCAATCTGGATTCGGTACCTTTTCATACTTTTCCCCATCCTCATCCCCATCCTCATCCTCACACCACTGATTCTTTCCACCTTTCGTACCCTTCCTCTCCTTTGACCACTCGCCAGTCTAGAAGGGACAAACATCTCCACTCATTCTTTTGGCCTTTGAGATTTTACGATTTGCGACAGATCTTTACTGGCGCCGTCTTTTCCCCACCTCTTCCTGCTTTTCCATATAATATGTCTTTTCGAGGCAAACCTATCATCCCTGCAACACCTCGTGTCATATCGCCGAGTCCTACACCCTCCGAAACCCAAGACATTTCTCAAGATGCTTATCTCGGTCCGGTCACGCGATCGGCCGCCAAGCGCAGACAGGTTGGCGCCGCTGCGCTGCAGCAGCAACCCCTCCACGAGGACATTCATGAAGACTCAGACCCGGAACTCCGGAGGGCCCGGACAAGATCTCGAAGCCCCATAAAATCTCGCAAAGTGGGTAGCCTCACTACCCCTACGAAGACCTCTCGCGCTACCAGGTCGAAACGGAAGGAAATAGAGAATGGCGATGCCAAGATTAAGCAGGAGGTCAAGGAGGACATTAAAGAGGAGGTCAAGGACGATAATATTAAAGAGGATGCTTCCAACGGCCATCTAGCCCTACCCACTCCAACTCCGGCCGGATGGGATTGGCGGGACTTTAGCCGGAGTCCGAGTCCTCTTGGCCTTATTCCCATACATCGACACTTCAAGATCTTCATCCACAAGCATGAGGTACCCAGAAAGGCCTTGCACGTGTCCATCGGCTTCCTTGTCTATTGGCTTTACGTCAGTGGTACACAGACCTCGGCTGTCACGCCATATTTGATGGGAGCCCTGATTCCTATCGCAGCCACGGATTATCTACGTCATAAAAATGCGTCTTTGAACCGCCTCTACGTCAAATTGCTAGGCGCCTTGATGCGCGAAACCGAATATTCCGGTTGGAACGGCGTCGTCTTTTATCTGCTTGGGGCATGGTCTGTTCTCTACTTTCTTCCTAAAGATGTCGCGGTAGTAGCTGTCATGCTCTTGAGCTGGTGCGATACCGCTGCGAGCACCTTCGGCCGGCTTTGGGGGAGATACACGCCAAGAATTCGGCGAGGGAAATCTCTTGCAGGGTCTTCGGCTGCATTCCTTGTTGGAGTAGCTACGGCTGCTTGGTTCTGGGGTTGGCTTGCACCAAAAACTGGCCCTTTCCCCGGAGATGAAGAGCACCCTTTTATGTTTAAGGGTATACTACGACTTCCCGCATTGATTTCGAACGCGCTCGGCCTTTCCAGCTCTCAGAGCGTCGTTAGTGGCCCGGTTGCAGTTGGACTGTTGAGCGTGTGGTCAGGCCTGGCTGCGGCGGCTAGTGAGGTGGCGGACCTTTTTACTTTGGACGATAATCTTACAATTCCCGTTCTCAGTGGCATCGGGATCTGGGGTTTCCTCAAAGTTTTCGGGTAAGGGATAAGTCGACAAGACGGAGAAAGTCCTTTGACGGGACTAAGGGCGTGTAAAGCATTCGGCGTTACAGGAAATGGGAAGGAAATTGGCGGGTCAAGGTTTAAGATCGGCTTGGATAGACGGCTTATGGCTAGACATTACGGGCAACGGGTATGGAAAGACTCAACTCACCTCAGGTTGCTTTAAGATTTCTCTGGTTCACTTGCATTGTTTTCTTTTGTTTCTCGTACGGGAACACCGAAACTTGGAAGAATCGCATGATCTCTGGTACACATAATCCTTATAAGCTTTTCAAGATGCAGTTCTCCAGTTACAACAGCACAAGGACAGGGGCGTTTGGTAGCGGTGCAAGGTGCAAGGGGATGCTAATGGTTGCTAATACGGCTGAGGGCACTGGTGTGTGCGCTGCAGGTTTGCCACGGGCGTTGGCTAGATCTGTAGTGGCCGGGTTGCGGGATGACGTGCATGTCTTGGGTTTAGTATAAACAGGATGAGGGAGAAGAGTTACGCAGGCCCTACGGACGCGGCCGCCAATTTCTGATTACCTCCGACGTGCACAGCATGAGCCTCCGACGAACTGAAGTCTAAAGGGTTTAAGATTGGCCGTCAATCGTTCTCATGGTCTTAATAAAACCTATCATCTATTCGAAACGTTGACTAGCGCTCTTCATCTAATTCGCAAGTTTGACTGGCTAATTTCTCGCATTGAAGGCTGTCAAGTAGGCGAGGAAACGCATACAGTCATGAATGCGCCACTCCAAGACGCAATTATCTACAGGCGCCTTCAAGGCATACTCGGCTTTATTTTCCACCCTATGAGAGGCTGCCCCATCATCATCGGCGCGCAAGTCATCCTTGACTGCATACTAATCTAGCTGGGGTACCTTCGCGCAGACCAAACAATCAAGATATCCACACAGCCTGTACCGCCCATCCACGTGTGTGTTCCTACTATTATGTCCCACAATCGTGGTTGCTAATGGATGCTGATGATACCTTATTATTTTCTATCCCGATTGCTGATCGGTCCGTTGGTAGCTTGGGCTCATGTAGGCCTTTGAATCCGCGATGAGTTGTCTCGTGGGCGAGGTAGTATCTTATCCCCGACCCTGCATAACATTTTCCAATAGAACCTACGATACGCCATTGCGCCTCACATCTTGTGCAACCACCTACCTAGGTAAGGTAGTCTTGTTAAACCCAGTTGGACGGAAATCACTTTTGTGTTTTTTTCCGCATATGATTAGGTACCTTGTTGAAGAGAATGTCATCATCATACCTATCTTGTAGGTACTCTACATGGAATACGTAGAAGCTAACAGAATACACATAGAAGAAGCTATTTTCGCCGTTCAACTAACTATATAGGGCAGCGCCATTGTATCGGATTCAATGGAGTTGCAGGTAGCTAACTAGTTTCACTAGCTTCACACTTGGATGGACCCAACGTCTTGGGATACTCCCTGCAACTAGTCCGATGGTGAAAATCCCGAAGGTATTCGCATGCCGTGAAAGTCACGCCTTTCTACATAGGTAATCCATGTCCGAGGGATCTGTGAGTACCTACCTAAGGTACCGGAACGAATGCGCACTGATATGCATAGCACGTATACTGAATCTAATATTTATGGTCTTGGAAACTGGCTGATGTTTAAGGAAACACCATAGATCTCACCGAATAACGCCTTGATCCATTAGTCCTTCTGACCACTAGCATCCGGATCGTTAGCACCGATTTTTATACATTACGACTGCAACTTGGCATCTATGTATAAAGTCTCCCTTTCTTGTCCCATACTCCCTTGACGCTTACTGGTTTTGAAGAAAAAAGAAAAGAAAAAACGCCGACAAGGAATTAAGCTGCCAGGTAACGCCAGTTTGTTTTATAAGACCAATATAGATCAACGGAATCTAACCCGAAGAGGCGAATTGCTGTTTTCTTACGCATCAGGATACCAGTGCCAGCGCATCATGCCTCATTGTGCATGTAATTGTCTATGTACACTCCGCCCCAGCTTCCAGCTACGACCAACCACTTACACCGTAGCTTGACTTGAGTTGAGTAGATTGGTACCTGTCTAATGCTTCTGGCCGTACTATATTTCGTTCTAGAAGGGAAAAAAAGGGCCTTTGACGAAGAAGAGGATAGGGCTCTTACATCAGTATAAGGTATTCAATCAGCCTCTGTCTCAGTTCAAACAGCCGACTTCCGAGACCACGAGTTCTTCAACGCACCATCTTATGAATACATGTTGTTGTGAACACGTTATGTATGCCAAGACATTTTCTTGATAGCCAAGGGATGGTGGGGCAGAACAGTTTTTTTTTTTTTTTCTTTTTGTTTTGTTCTTCTTCCCTCCAATGGATGTAAGTAGAGGTGATGGAGGGGCAAAAAAAATCCCAGGGACCGGCCGCCAGCGGAGTCTCCTCCCTTTCAACTACCAAAGAAAAGACGTAATTCCTATCCACGGACCCGTTTACTATTCTCCCCCCTTACCCTTCTGAGCTTTCTCCATGACAGAATATTCTGAATTATCGACCAATTAGAAAATTCGAAACTCGAAATTCCAGTTTTTCGTAAATTCTTTTTTCTCAAAAGGACGAGCGAGCCACGCGGGACGTTCCCAATACAGAAAGACAGGGTTCACTTCAAAATGCATTTCTTGCATACTAGCTTATACCTAGTTCTGGTTCTGGGAGAAGAGCTCTGGTTATACAAAGCGGATTCATAATAATGAATGGATGAGCAAGTCCACCAAACAAACAAAAACAAGAAGAAACGAAAGGGGGTTAGAAGGTTTTGATTAAACGAATAAATAAATTCAAGTAAAATGGAATGAATGAATGATACTAGAAAATAGATAAGTTTCCCCCAAAATGACGCTTTCCATTCAATTCGGCTGGCTCCAGGCTTGACAACACATCATCACACAAAATGCCCGATCTTGCTGCACTTCTGCCTGACTGACCAGTAAGGAGCAACGTTGACATTATTCCAACGTCTACTTTTTTATTTTTCCTGACGGGCACCACTCCTGTTTCCCTCCTTTCCCATACCACCCATTAGGTATACATATTTTCCCCTTAATTCCCATTCCAGGATAATAATACTAATAATGAAGAAACTAGTAATTAATTAAAAAAAAAAAAAAAAAAAAACACTTGGCCAACGGAAGTGTCAGTCTAAAGCCTGCAACCCCATTGCAGATGCAATCCCGCTTCCTATTACTACTACCACCACCCCCTTCCCAAGCCACCACCAGTCGATTGCTCTCCCTCTCCCTCTCCCTCTCTTCCTCTTTCGAACCCACGGATACGCCCCCCGTTGAGACGGAAAATCCGTCGCTGCTTTTGCGAGACAAGGTAAGGTAAGGTACCAAACTACTACGTGTTAGCGTCAGCGCGCTTGTTCGCGAAGGGGCCCCGTTCGTCCCCATTCCCCATCCCCGAATATGGCTTAGGGAGGTGAGAGACAGAGAGTATAAACCAACCTACCCGGCTGGGCGGTCTGCATTGTCTACTTACCTACAGATTGGTACATAGGTTTTTTCCTATATAGAGCAACTAAGGAACTTATCATTGGAAAAAAAAATTCTATTCGAATGTTCAAACGGCTATCCGTCTATCCGCACGCCCCCACTTTGAAGACATGACGGCAGTCAAATTTTTTCTTTCTTTTCTTTCTTAACTGGTCCTATACGTGCCACGTTCAAGTCCCGATGGTCAAAGTATACGCTTGCATCCTTCGGACGTTTTCTCAATGCCCTGGCCGGTACATAGGAGGTAGAGTTCTAATATCTCGATTCCTTTTCCAATAATCTACACCACCCCATATGGAAGAACCATATGGCTTACTGGAGGCATGAAAAAAACCACTATATCGATGACTACATACATATAGTGCATAAGCATGTCACTTATACGTAGGGATGTAGAGATAGGAACGGGGGAGAAGAAAACCCCTTTGAGAGCTCGGGTTCCCCCCTTGGTTGTTCTCGTCAGACTTAGAAAACTGCCTTGCCAGATATATCTCGTCTCTCTTATGTCAGTCTTGCCCACGATGATACCCTTATTCATCCTTTCGTTCGTCCTCCGTCCCATATCGTCCTATGCTCCTCCCTCGCCCCCCCAATCCGTAGGAAGCCGGTTGGTCCCGTCCGTCCATTCTGCAACCTCTTCCCCGATCCTGTCCACCTCCACATTCCCATTCCCATGTACTATACTTCATGCATCTTGCATTAGGTACTTACGTTCCTTTTTTCGACACACGCTACGCGTCGAAGCTGGCTCTTGTACCGCCCGAGCTACCCAGCCCAGCTAGCTACTAGTCACGTCTGTTAGCCTACCTTTTGCCCCCGCTGCCTGCAGCAGGTGGCGTGTCTTCTAGATCCTCCTGCGTCTGATATCTCCACTCCCCTCCAGCGAGCTACCTTGATCAAGCTTCGCTGTCCCATCCCATCCCATCCGAGGCAAAGAGACAGAGGGAAGAGCCCCTTGCCCTGTCCTGTCCTGTCCTGTCCTATCCTGTGTGTCCCCCCACAGCATCTCGTTCCTGACTGGAAGTGATAACCGCCCCCCCCCTCCCCTTCTCGGCACATGCCAGAAGGGCAACAAAGTCAAAGTCAAGACCTCCTCCAAAGCATCGTTTCCCTTCGTCGACCCAGTTCCGTGCTATACGCGGTCACCGAAAGAGAAAACAAAAACCAACCCGTCACTTGTGCCGAATCTATACCTATTTCCGAGCTTATACCTATGTTGTCATCGTTCTCGTTGCCGCCCCCTCCAAAGTCTAAGTGAGCTAGCTAGCTATTGGAAATACCTATATGCACACGCCCCGTGGAGACCTGCCCACATACATACAACATGGACATGGCCAGACTTATGTACCTCGTCATGCACATGTGCCTTTTTTCTTCTTCTTTCTTTTTATCGATTTCCTATTTTATCTTTTTTTTTCTTTTATACCTATCTTACCTTTTCTAATTATTCTACCTACCTATCACTCACCCCATGATTGGTCTGCTCACCTAGGATATATGGTGTTAATGTAATTCCGCCACATCGGTAAGCGAAGGCATTATACGTAGTAGACAGGCCGACGGGGGGTAGGTATTATACACGTATATATCTCACGTATCGGTAAGGATCAGGGCTCGGCGGGAAGGGGGTACGAATACTAGACTCCAATATTGTAGTTCGTTTATGCCGAATGGCTCTCGTAGTACCTACCTACCTACCTTACGTACACTACCAGTCTTGCGTGTGTACTTGTCTGTTCTCTCTTTCCATCCGTCTATCGGTTCGAGGAACTAGAGCCCTTGCCTCTCGGTCCCCTTGTCCTCCCTTGGGCCAACGATATATCCTATATTGAGCGGGGTTCACAGAGAACTATTTCTCTCGATCGACGAATAGAGTCATCGAGACTTATCCTCTATGGACGGGACTAGAGATGGTCCGTTCTCGTTATGCCGTCGAGCTGGGAAACGGCTTCGAAAGGTAAGAGGAAAAAAGTATAAAAGGGGGTGTTGTTGACGGCTTGAGCTTGTCTTCTTCTCTTTTCCTTTCTTTCAAACCAATTCAAACTCCCAAAGTCCCATCTATCTTGATTGCTTGCCTATTCAGAAGAAACTTCTGCCATTATCCTTGTTTGTCAAGACTTTACCTTGCTCTTGATTCACTTACATATACATACACATACACATACACACACCACACACCGAACACAAACAAAGGACTCCCAGGAGTCTAGCACACAAGTTACAGACTCACACCCTGTCTTGCAAATATATTGCAAACGATTTGTCCCCGTCTTCCTTCTAAGACGTCCCACTGCCATTACCAATCAGACATCAGTAGCCATGTCCTCCTACAGCGCACAATACTACACCCCCGCGGCGGTACCCATTCCCAGCAAAGCGGAGCAGTACCAGCAGTACTACCAGAGCGGCGGCAGCAACTACTCCGTGTCGCCATCCGAGGACGACCAGCGCGAGCGCGACGCCTCCGTCACATCCGGTGTCCCTTCCTACGGCAACAGCAGCAATGGCGCGAGCTACGCTACCAGCTACACCAGCGGCGACTACGGCGACGGCACCCAAAGCGGCGCCTCTGCCAATGGCGTTGACTTCAACGACTACATGCAAAACCGGTTCGAGGAGTCCTTCGACCCCATCCCGCTAGACCGCAGTCTAGCTCGCCAGGCCCAGACGTAAGTTCCACTCCTAGATTCCAGTGCAACGCACGCTCCCTATAGTTCGTTCGTTCGTTCGTGCGCGCGGGCCTTCGTTCCACGCTAGAGCAGAAACCGAGCGGAGAAAATCAGCTAACAACAAACCTGAAATCTAGTTCCGGCCAGCTTAACAACAAGCACCGCGAACTGCTAGAAATGCAGGCGAAAGCACAAGCTCGCCTAGCCAAATCCCGCGCCCGCTTCCAGCAGGGTCTAAACGACGCGCGGGAAGTTCATGCCGATCTAGAGTGGACATCCAAGAAAGTATCGTAAGTAGCACGAAATTCTCCTTGGCCAAACAATCAATCTACACGAAGAAGAAAAAATATGGCGCACAGCGCAAATCGCATAGCTACAAGCGAGCGAACGCAAGAAAAAAAAAAAGAGAAAAAATAAAACATGAGCGTTGAGTTGATTTAGACTAGCTCTCTTTAAGCCGCAAAAGGGGCAAGCAAAGAGAGCCAATCAAAACTATTTACTACGCATGTATACGAAAACTCTCAGTATTTTAGGAAACGGCGAATTCACTATCCTTAAGAAATCGAGAAAATCAGCTAACAGATTGGTTTCACGCAGTTCGTTGAAGAAGAAGGTAGAGAAGCACCACGCCAAGGAATACCAAAAGGCGTGTGGATTATATCCCGCGCTCAATTAAGTATTTTCAAAGTTGGCTCTTTTTTGCGATGCGCCATTAGCGGAGAAAAACCGCATGCGCAAAATTGAGCCGCATCGTGGGGCGTGTATTCGAATGCACGCCATTTCCCGGCTCAGTAACCACAAGAGCCTCAAAAAGAAAGAGGAGTTTTATACCTTACCCACGGGTTTTTTCTGCACATGTCGTTTATTTTAGCTTTTTAGCGGCCGATCGCCTCCTTCGGAGGCTCTTCCTAGCATGGGATGGGGTGTGTGGGCAAGCTACTGCTACCACGCGAGATCTGGAATTTGGGAATGCGAGATCTGTCGGGGTTCCCATCTGCAGTCTCCTTATGCACACTCCCCTTCTATTCAGGACGAATCTGGCCGTTTCTAATTTGTGGTTCCCAAAAATATGCACATACCCCTGACATTTTCATGTAGGTTGGGTGGGAGACAAAAAAAGATGACGGGGGAAACGGAAGCTGGTTTGACGCTTGGGCGAGGAGGGCGGTAAAAATAGACGCCGTCCATCGCCGCTTTATGGCTGGGTAGAGAGGTACGTAGTTTGCTGTGCGTGGTGTGTGGGTAACAGACGCAGCGCGTTTCTGTTCCTGCAGCTCTGCTCCTCATGCGACGCACAGCGAGCGGGCCGGCCGGCCTTAGCTGGGTAGGGCTGTTTCACGAGGTTACGAGTTATGATTGGACAGCACGGGACGATCTTGGGGGCGTTATGGGCTAAAAGTACACCATCTTTGACTCTAGCAGGGTATGGGCTCGCGTGGGCGACAGGATGCTGCGCACCTGACCGGTCAAGTAGCGCCCGAGGTTCGCACAGCTGCAAACTAAGTCGATCGCGAGCTAGGGGCTTGGGGTTAGTGGGAGGCAGTACATCGAGTTTCCTAGAGACACACTCGGGGGCGTAGGAAGAGAATGTATTCCTAGATAGATCACAGTCTCCTCAGTTCCCAGCAGCGGGTCGACACTTGTCCGCTTCGGGATATGAATATTGCCTTTTTTGTAATAAGTCGGTAGGGTCAAGGGAGGGTGGCTGACCTATTTCGGTCAAGGGTTTCCTTAAGGCGTCTTATTGGGTTGGTATCGTACTTCTCCTAGGTAGACATAGTAATACAGCAATTCACCGTTCGGTGACCTGACCCAGTGCCGTGTATGTACGTCTTAGACACGGTGGACCATATATCCTCTGTCCCCTCATTGGTCAGTGAAGACTGAGAAGTGACGACAAGCCCTCGGTCTGTCATGTAAGATACCAGGTTGAATCCACCACGGAGAGACTGCTTCTTGTAGGTCTGTAATTGTCACGTGATACGGTGACGCCCAAGGATTCGAAATACGCTCAGAAAGTCTTCCACCTGTCAAATATCAATATTTCTAGACTTTTAACTTATATGAAGGATTCCATACCCTCATTCTCCCATTCGTCTTCAATATGGATAAAAGTATTAACTTGGGAGGATGACCTAGAGCGAAGTTCCACGGAAGTTCCCTTGACCGATGGAGATGATATCAACTCATCGTTTCGCTTCCTCCCAGGACATCCAACTACCCCTTGGCCCTAAACCCATGACGTTTTCAAGCGGCTCCCATGGATTGGTGTTTGAGCTCGGGTCATAGTAATCATCCCACCATGCTTTCCCCGGCTCACGACCATAACTTTGCCTAGCTTGATAACGACTATGACCAGCACTCTGATTAGCAAATCCTCCACTGCCGCTTGCTCCTAGGGATTGGGCATGTCCTGAGTAGTTCCCAGGTGTGGCGTTAATACTAGTGTAAGGCAAAGTGTTGTTTAATGGGCTGGCTGAAGCTGTATCGGGCGGGCGTGAAGTATCCAAATACTGAGGCTCCGGCTCACCATCATCTTCTCCTTTAAGGTCATCCTGTCGTCTGCTGTCTTTATTACCAGCCTCTTCTTCATCCTCAAGATCGATCTCGTCCTGATTCTTCCTTCTAACTCCCAAGGGTATCGCATTGGAACCTGACTTCGCTTCATGAAAAGCAATGGAAGTAGAGGTGGACGCAACCACGGCATCATCCGCACGAGGGTTGTACTTGCGTCGCTTGTTGGAATTATTTTGAGCCCCAAAGCTGGAGAAGCCCATGGCTTGAGCCATAGCTGCTGTAGTGTCCTCAGTATCTTCCATGGTTGACTACCTTAGGTAGGTACCTAGGTAATAAAGCTGGTTTGTAAGAGGTAGACTTGGCACGGTTCAGACGCGCCGGGAACAAAAAGGGTAGAAGCGACGTTGGTTTTTAGAGGTTGGGTTAAAATGAGAGAAAAGATGGGAATATTTGACACGGATGTATGAGTTTAGAGCTTCTCAGATTTAGTAGCAGATTCACTCTCATAAATCCATACTTAAGATAAAGTAACTAACAGGTAGTGTGGATCAAACTTGGCTTTTTAGTAAGACCAGATGAGGTGAAGTTGGAAACGAATGTGAATTGATGAAGGTTGGCAAATTTGGCTCCGAGACAAAGACACATTAGGCCAAGTCTACACTTGGCAGCCAGATGTCCAGCTCAGCCAGCCGTAAACCGTATTTAAGCTGGAAGGAACATTACATTACGGATGTGACGTTAAACAAATGCTGACTTATCATGACAACATTTTCTATCAGCTCGATTTACAACTATGTAATACTGGTTTTATTACATATTATTACATATAATTCCACAACTAAAGTTGAGTTTTCCCTACCAGATATCTCGTTAAATTCTGCTGAGACTAGAAGGTGGGGATAATTCTTCACATATTTTATTCTACGCAACCCCCAATAAAAGCAAATTGAATTCATCTGAGATTTATGTGCATTAAACATTCCCTCTGAATATACGATCGATACCAAAAGTACAGTATAATAATAGCCAGTATACTGTAACTTTCTTTTAGTATTAACTAAGCGTCCCCTCTTCAACTTCATCTTAGCAATTATAATTTTGAAGGTCATTATAACCACCCGATAAGGACTTGAGATGCCTTTGTAAGTGTCACATCTACCCCCTTCCATTCTGCCGAGTCAATGCGCGCGGTATGCCTTTATTAACAAGTTGACTCGCAGACATCTTCTAGGCAAGAAATCATGGAATGTCTACAACCCCAAGAATATCGAGCGCGTAAGGCGCGACGAAGCGGCAGCGAAAGCCCGTGAGGAGGCCAAAGAGCAACGCCAGCAAGAAGTCGATGCCGAACGTCGCCTAGCCATTCTACGAGGCGAGGTACCCCCGCCTTTACCCCCTTCCGACCAGCTAGGCGGCGAAGATGAACCTCGCGACCGAAAGCGAAATCGATACGAGGATCAGAAAGAGTCAAGTCGGGGTAGAGAGAAGAGAAAGCGAAAGCGCGCAGGCGAAGATGATACCGATTTCGAATTGCGCCTTGCGCGCGAGCAAGCAGAAGCTACGCAGGCAACGGGCGATGCGCTAGTAAAAAGAACCAGTAATGCGCCGCTCGTCGACCATACGGGTCACATAGACTTGTTTCCCGAAGAGAGGCCGCGCGTACCCATAGAGAAAAACGAAGAGGCTGAACGGGAAGCTGCTAAGAAGAAGAGAGAATACGAAGATCAATACACCATGCGCTTCTCCAACGCTGCGGGCAAGGATGGGTTGGTTGGCCCGTGGTATGCAAAAGGTGGCGATATCAAGGATATCGTAGACGGAAACCTAGAAGCTCCAAGTAAGGACGTATGGGGTAATGAAGACCCGCGACGAGAGGAACGGGAAGCCGCACGCGTTGTAGCCAATGACCCTTTGGCTATGATGAAGAGAGGGGCCGCAAAGGTTAGGGAGGTGGAGAAGGAAAGACGGAAATTGAACGAGGAGAGGGACCGAGAACTAAAGCAGCTTCGGAGAGAAGAGAGGAGGCGAGAGAGGAGGCAGCGGCGCGAAGGGAAGGATGGCCATGACGACCTTGAAGGGTTCTCTCTAGATGGTACAGCTTTTAGCCGGCCGCTACATCGTCCCAAAGACGACGATGATCATCACCATCGACAACGACACCATCATTCCCGAGATGAAAGTAGGCGATCTCGACGCCACTCCGAACATAGACATTCCGAACACCGGGAACATAAGGAGCACCGGCACGACAACGAGAAACGAAGTTCCAGACCAGATCGCCCAGAGCGAGATGAAGGACAATCAAAACACGGCAGGCGACGAGAGGGGAGGACAGACAATTATTAGTATTACGTCGTTTTACAGGCTTAGGCGTTGTTGGTCTTTTTTGAGTATTAGATACCCCATTTTACCTTGTAGAGGCACAAATATTCCTTGCGTTGTTGGTATTCATGATTAGACGATATGTCATACTAGTCCTTCCTTCAACAAGTCCTACTCCATGGGTATCATCAATAATTTACAACCCCGTAAAAAAGCGCCATTCCTAGGTACCTAACCTTAGGAGGTACCTATACATAACCTACCTGTACCTGACTTCCAGTCCTTGCACCGATATTTCTATTTCTTCCCCTCTTTCCAGGGTAAGTTGATTTGAACCTCCTGCATGTGCTTCTCGACAAGATGGACAACCTTCGGCGCGTCTTTAAGCTCCTTCAACGCCTTGATGATGCCGTCTACCGTCTCTTTACTCAAACCCTCCTTGCGATCGCTGTATATATCCACCCCTTCCTGCGTGAACAAGGTCGGCGCAAACCACGTCACGGCCCAGCGTTCAACAGCCTCTGCCGCCGCACCATTTTCGCCTGCGCCGCCGGCAGCCGCCAGCGGGCGCTCGCCCCATCCTAGAATCTCCCAGTGACTGCTAGCAATCGCGAGCCACCCCTTGCCCCGCCAAGTCCAGGCTGCGGGGATAGCGGCGTCGGGCTTCTCGATGCCTTCGACGCGCTTGACGCCCCCCTTGCCGTTGCTCTTCTCGTACTCGACCAGGTTGTCGTTTGCGACGGGCTTGGACTCGGACCCGGACTCCGACTCAGGCTTGTACGGCTTGTAGGTTATGCGCACGTTCTGGGCGGAGCGCCACATGGATAGGGTCGAGTGGGTGACGGCCCAGGTGCGCCAGAGCCATTCGAGCGGTGGAGAGACGAAAGGGTCGCCTGTGGTGGTGGATGGTTTGGAGGGGTCCGAGAGGTACTTAGATGGGGCGCGGAGGCTAATGTTGCTTGGTGGTGGTGGTGGTGGTGGTGGTGGTGGTGGTGGTGGTGGTGGTGGTGGTGGTGGTGAGTTTGTATTAGATGGTGTAGGTTCTGACATTTTGAACTTGGTACCAAGTTCTTGCTGTGCTCTTTAAATTGAAGTATAGCGGTAAGTATATAAGGTACCTAAGGTAGAGTCTACTTAAACAAAACAAACAAAGTCTTCGAATTTGATTACCATAAGGGTGGGTAAGTTGTTGGGGAGTCTTGAGGTTTTACAAACGCGAACTATTAAACGTCGAAGGTTAGTGCATAGAATGTTGTCATTACCTAACCTTAGCTTGGAGGTAGGTAGGTACCTTTCATGGGCCCCAGAGCTCGGGAAGTTCTTATCCGGAATTCATCGTGGGTTTCAGGGGTAAGAGACAGACAGCACCGCGCTCGACTATAGTAGGTACATACTACCTAATTAACAGGTACAGGTAGGTACCTAGATTTAAGTAAACCCGCGCTAAAGAGTCTAGTTGAAATTGCACATGCAATTCCTAAGTTCATGTTTTCATTCTACTTCTCCTTCCCAACCAAAAGTTGTGATACGTCAATCGTCGAATTAACTGATGACGATTTTGAGACACCTTCAAGGGTCGCTGTCTTATTATCACGTGGTACCGCGTTAGAAACTGAAATTCATTAATTTCATACGCCTTCGCTTTAACGCGATTGCATCACCTGTTCAGGGCTCATTCATAGCGCCCACATCTCGTTCCTAACCCGTCCCCAACATCGGCTTCGTCTTGTCTAGCATCAATTGCCTCATGGACGTGATCATGCTCGTCTACCAAATCCGTCCTTGGATCAGTTGCGGCTGTTGAACGCCTTCGTCTCGCTTTGTCTATAACACGCGTCTGCGTTGCCCTGAATGGTCGTGAAATATTGTGTCTCATTCCTAGTATTTGACCATCCCCCGGATTTTGAGCGATGTCTAACAATGGCCGATTTGCGAACTTGAGCTTCTGCCTGAAGGTCTCGTTTTCCATGTCGATTCCGTCATCAGTTACGTTCTCATCGCGTTCCCGTTTGCTGTCGTACCGTCGAGGATATTGAACTTCTGGGATCCAAGCCCATGTAACGAAAGCACCTAAGAGCATTGCTGGGCAAAGCCCTAATAACATTGCCGCAAACTTGTGATTATATCACTCGCCACCATATACCGCAAGGTTTGTTATCAAGAGGGTGGTTATTGCACCGAGCTTCCCAGAAGCTGCCGCGAGACCGTAGAATGTGCCCCGGTACTTGGTCGCAAAGGGCTCCGCTGGGAGCATAAATATGATAGTACTCGGTCCAAGGTTGAAGATAACCTGTGCCAGTACGTACAGCGTTACCGTCAGCGTATGCTGATCAGTCTCGAAGGTGACGAAGAATGTCCCGCCGTTGATGGCGAAAAGCCCGGCTAGCGCAACAAACATCCAACCCATCCGTGTAGTCCGAGCGATGTAGTCAATCGCAAGCAGAACGATAACGCTTCCAGGTAATGCTCCGCTTGATATGGTTACGATATTTCGTATACTGTCCTGTCGGAGCATTTCGTATATTGTGATATGTGGTCCGGGCCGGGTCCGCTCGCCAGGCTGTGTTGCTACATACGAGCTCTTCCGGGGATGTAGAAACGTTCGACTCCGGTGACGGCTTCGAAAGCCAGGTTGCAGAGATAGTTTTGGTGTTACCAAGGCCAAGCCCGTCTATATAAACGAATATCAGTAGGTGCCTACCTAATCACTGAAGCATTTTTGTACCATGTCTGTTACTCTGAGAATGACCTGCAATAGGCCACGTCCAGTAAATACCAAGTTATCATGACTCCTAGAAGAGCACGCCAACGCCCCTTTTCGGCAAGGTGTTCTCTGACGTCTCAGGTGTATTTACGACTGGTGTCTAGAAATTTGCTCGCTCATTTCAGGATCGTCAAGATCCTGGATAGTTAACTTGAGTTAGAAATAAGTATTGGAGCCATGGTTAGGGTCTCGAATACATACACAGTCTATCTCGTGGGCAATCTGGCGCGTGCCGGCCTTCAGGCTAGAGAAATAGCCACCCATCGTAGATACATGAAATGATATTCTAATAATAGAGAAAATACTTGGAGCACCACGTCTTGGAAGACATTGGACTACATGATATAAGGCCTATACGTATCCAGCTACGAGTATATCCATGTTGAAATCCGCCTAAACGATGTGCCACCATATGATGACATATTTATTCGTAACTTTGCCCGATTGAAAGGCAAAGGATGCCTTGTACGGCTTAGGGCAGTTTGAGCAACTTCGCTTAGAGGTAAAAGCTAGTTCTGGAGCGTCGCGGCTGCATCTGACTATATGATAGTGATTTCGGTGACGCTTTGAGCCGCTGACTGCCAACCCGGGGCCTGCAGCGCCACTCTTGTGACTCTTAGTAGTATTCGTATTACATGTTATAGAATGAGTATCTTTCATCCAATGTAAACGATACCTCGAATATACGTTAGGTACTCACCCAGCTTCAGTTTGAAGTCTGTAAGTATTTAACAGCCATGCCGAGGCAATAAGAAATAGGCAGCAGAATATGAATAACGGATACGGAATCTAAGACATTTATGCTGCCTGCCCCTGACACTGTCTTAAAATGAATTGTCCAATAAGTTAACCTGGCCTAGGGATAAGACGGTTATATCGATATAAATACCTACAATATTTCTGTCAGAAACGTGGCCGAAATAAGACCTCTTATTGGGCATCCAAAGTATATCCCTGTCAGACCTCCAATTCACTAAATTATAGCTATGCTCGCACCCAATCCTCATTGGCAACAGGGTCTAGTAAGGACCCTCTAGGTATATTCGAACTGTGCTGTTATATTATAAGCCGTACGTAAGTTCATAGTTAAGCATACCTCGCTTTGAGCCGCCAACCCCACGTTCCCTTATGTGAGACCGGGCTCCATTCTAGGACGTGGGCTCGCGTGGTAGTCCCTTTCTCCTGGGTCTAAAATGGAGCCAGGGACAATTTTATCGATTGTTCAACTTTCACATTCAGTCCTTGAACTAGGCTCTAAGATTGCCCATGAGTTCTTCGGACAGAATAACAGAGTACCGGACAAACTAAGACGCCTTAATGATCGGCTTAAAGAATTTCACACTATTGTTGATGGAATAATAGACGGCTCTTATGAGCCAAATACCTTGCCAAACCTTGTCTACCCCGGAGCCGACGCTATTGTTGAGACTCTGACTGAGTGTAACGATTTCCTCCGCCAATATGAGTCCGCGTTATCAGCAGATCGAACTTCCGGAAGAGCGAGCCAACGACTGGCCCTTGTTGTTGGGCCAAATAATTCTAGGATCCAAGAACTTGACAGAAGAATACTAGACCACTATCCAGCGCTTGAATTATGGAAAACCACCGGCTTGGAAAGGGCGGCTCTACAGCTTGGAGAATCGTGAGTTGTCTATTAATGTTGTCCTAACACCCTGCTAACCTTGATGGACATTGAAACAGAACGATCGCGAAGCAACAGACTAACAGCCAGGAAAACCGAGCATCTGATATAATAGCTGAATCACCACCACGAGCCGAGTTATCCGGGAGGTCTGCAGAAGAAGCTCTAACTAGCTTTTATACAACTCAAGTGGCAACCCCTACCCTTAAAGCGGTTTCTCGGAACCCTTCTCTTCCCTCGATAAACGAGCTACCATCGCCGCAAGTGGGAGAATCATCTTTCCCCGATGCTGTATCACATAGGCAACGCTCAACAGGATTAGAGACTGGTCCTGTTCTGGCGCATCTTAGAGGCTACAGCCGCGAAAATGCAGCAAGCCCTTCAATACGCGCTAGGCCTACGAACAATGCAGAGTCATTATCTCCGGTTCTGCTATCAACATCACCTACATCACAATTTCGTCGCCAAGGGTATCCAGTGTCAATGTTTGTTGCCCTGCCCTCAAAGTTTTTCAATTTGCTGATACCCGAAAAAATAGACGTATTGGCTCCCAGTCGTACCAACTGAGTACTAACGATTATAAGGTCTTCGACATTGGTGGCAACAGGGTGATCGAATGGTCCAATATTGGCTCCCGCCTAACAATCCAACATTTCGGTTAGACAACAATGTTGTAGATGCCTCAGAAATCATAGCGCTAACCTAGCCCAGTTCCTAACCCGTGTAGTATTCCATACACGATACCGGGGGACTTGGGACCTTACAAAGTACGGTTTCTCCCAATAAGCGCCAGGCACCAGTTCAAAATAATAACGCCAGATGTGGGAATTGAGAGCCTCTACGAGAAGCCGGAATATCGATTTCACCGTAAGGTGGACAGGGAGGCCTTTCAGCAAACCGTTCGAAGATGCGACTACTTAGAGATAGTAAGAGCCCTGAAAGTGCATACTGCTAAAGAGAGAGAAATTGCTATGAAGTTCCACTTGAAAGTGTGGCGGCACAGTGCCCAGGACGATAGGCCAACGTTTTCCTTCGCGGCAAATGAAATAGGCCACATGGAGTTTCACATTCGATGGTTCAAAAGGGTACCGGAATTGAAAGGGGACACCAAGTTGGTAATGAGATTATACTCGAAGAATGATGATTTGGCGGATGAGCCTGAAACCACCGAGCCGCGAAGGTTATCTTTTACTTTTGGGATGAAGAGATTATCTGGGGGTTCGACGCAAACGAGTAATTCCGATTCGCGTTCGACGTCGCGGTCATGCTCCTCGTCTACCAAACCCCCGCCTCTTTTGTTATATGAAGGCCAAGGAATAGAGCCGCCAGACGACGTTCGGAGTTTGGAATACTTGGAAATAGAGTTTTTGAACTCAGATGGCAAGTCCTCATCGCCCCCATCTCTCCTTAGAGTAAGTTACGCTAACCAGCTTGTGACTAGTTCGGAAATCCTTCATACACGCATGCCTGGAAGCACATCGCCCAGCCTTAGAAACTTCGCGAAGAAACAGCACGCCGAGTCCATTTTCGCAACGTCCGTACCCGAGATCGCCTAGTTGGACTCTGGGACAAGATCAAGGTCCACACGAACTAGAAGAGCCCGGAAAACGTGAACTGTCGGCCGACTCTGAAGTTTACGAGATGATGGGAGACTCGGGGTTCCAGATGCCTCCTCCGAGTTTGACGACCCCATATTCCCCCGAAGAAGTTCGGTTTAACACGCGCTTCCTGTTTGCACCATCACGAGCAACCGATTACGAGAAGATCCTAGAGACTGATGAATGTCACGGCAAGGACGACGATGCTCAGGCACCAAGATAAAAGTGGGATACATTATTCGGGTTACCTAGGGGAGCTATGATTTGCTATGGAATATATATGACATGTTAGAAGTTTGAAGGTAATGGAAGCTAAGGCAATACCCACGATAATTGGGTTTAGGATATTGGGACAGAGATATTAACGGGACCTAGCATATTAAGGTGAGCATATTTAGTGACCTACCTACTACCTATAATGGTCGGGTCTTTAAAAGGTTGAATTTGGCGTTCAAGGCATAAGGTACATGTAGAATGTAAATACTTGGAAATCTTGCAGCTCAAATGTACGATGTGTCTCTTTCAGGTACAAGTTAGGTCTGGGTAGTGAATCTAACACGAACCGTTTCCAACTAGATCGTACCCGGTACCTATACGCGTGTAGTATTCTGCTGTGGTTTAACTACCGGAAATTTGAGATCATGGACCTTGAAAGGATAACATACACAGGTTGCTGGAAGATGTCAAATATACAAATTGATCACAAAAAGAAGATACTTCAGATTCCCGAGGTCAATATTCGTCGAGGTACCTAAGTACTCTGTACTCCTGAGTCTTGACTAAGACGGCCCTGGGCTATTTTTGAACTTAAGCTTCCTTCAGTAGCCAATCAATAACTATGTAGAAAGACTGCATGTACCCCGCCGCCCTCTAAGCCACATCAAGGCTAGTGGAGTACCTAGGCATTTTAGCTCCGAAACGTCAGCTGCAACGACGAACCGACGTCAGGTTACAGTCCAAAGTTAACACTAAGCCTCATCTCGAACAAACACCAACTTGGCTTTTTGACTTTCCCTATTCACAAAGTTGAGTCTACAACTTTCCAATCCACAACAATCCACAACAAAGGAAATGCCATAGGATCTGGAATCCTTATAAATTGGTCAACGAATTTATGAGACTCTTATTCGTCGAAAGTGTCTCCAGCTATAGGTGTGTAATACGTTCTGGTGTTCATTTCTTTTGGCCAGCTCGTGCTTATGTGCTTGAGAATAGTATACATAGACTTTTGACATCTTCGTTCTCCTAAATACGATACTATACGATACTACGACGATGGACATGCGAAACAACCTTTTCGGTCGAGGACCTCGCGCAGGTGGGGGTCTACCCGGCCGACCGGGTCCTGAGCAAGGCGGTTATAACCAAGTCCCCCAAAACCGGCCGCCGAGAGATTACAACGGCCCTCCCGAATATGATCCAAGAAGTGCTTACGGAGCCCCGTCGCCGGGCTATGGTGGGAACAATATGGCACCCCAGCAAAGGAATACACGTCCCGCTGCAACTCAGGGTCGTCCCGTCCAGCTTAGATTAGCCAAATTAGACAAGGGCGATTTAGCTCAACAATACATCTTTGGAAATCTTGTCGCTGTCTCGCCCCAAGACTTCGCCCCCGACCAATATGGTAAAGATATATACCTCCTACTGAACGGAAACTTCGTCGTGACCGCTCGCCCGACTGAGTATATTCCTCCCGGATGCATAAGCTTGTCTGATCCTCAACGAACGTGGTGCGGCATTAGTATGACTGACACTATTATGGCTGAGAGATATGAGCACAGGGTTCCTCTTTCCGCGATGGACGTTGAGATTGGATTTGCATCACAGAGGAAGATAACGGATGTCCCGTATGACCAGGATCAACTTTCTGACTATTTCGTCAAGATGTTCCAAGGCCAAATATTTGCCCCCGGCCAACGATTATTGATGGACTACAAGGGAATACCGTTGATGTTCGTGGTTAAGACGGTCCAACTCCTAGATTTACTCGGGAACGAGAAGGGCCAGCCTTCAGATTCCTCTTCGAGACCCGATACTAGGGGTCTGCTGGTGGCTGGACAAGGTCAAACTGAGATTAATTTCTTCAAAGATGCCAAAAACCCCATTAAGATAAAGGGCTCGACCAAAAGGCCTGCCACGAATGCTATCCTGAGACCGGATTTCAAGTTTGCCGATATGGGTATTGGAGGTCTGGACGACGAATTCAGTACGATTTTTAGACGTGCTTTCGCTTCTCGAGTTTTCCCTCCAGGCTTAGTCGAGCAGATGGGAATCTCTCACGTGAAAGGTGTTCTTCTTTACGGTCCTCCAGGAACGGGTAAAACGTTGATCGCCAGGCAGATCGGAAAGATGTTAAATGCCCGCGAGCCTAAAATTATCAATGGCCCCGAAATTCTCAATAAATATGTGGGTCAATCTGAGGAGAACGTGCGAAAGATGTTTGCAGATGCGGAGAAGGAGTACAAGGAGAAGGGAGAAGAGAGTGGTTTACATATCATTATCTTCGACGAACTAGATGCTGTCTGCAAGCAAAGAGGTAGTGGGACAGGAGGGACAGGAGTCGGTGACAGTGTAGTCAATCAGCTTCTTTCTAAGCTTGATGGTGTGGATCAACTCAATAACATTTTGCTTATTGGTATGACCAACCGGAAAGACATGATTGACGATGCGCTGCTGCGACCAGGACGTCTCGAGGTACATGTGGAGATTTCACTACCTGACGAGCACGGCCGAATACAAATTCTCAACGTAAGTTGCCCTCAACATGATTATACTCCTTTAAATTAATCCCAGGAGATATTCTAATTTGTTACAGATCCACACTGCCAAGATCAGGGCAATCAACAAATTGGCCGATGACGTTAGCTTAGAGGAGCTCGCTCATTTGACCAAGAACTATTCTGGTGCGGAGATCTCTGGTCTTGTCAAAGCTGCTTTATCGTATGCCTTCACTAGGCATACGAAACTCGGAGATGTCACTGGCGTCCAGGGTAATCCTCAGGATGTGATGCTAACACGGGCCGACTTCATGAGAGCCTTGGAAGATGTTAAACCAGCTTTCGGAATTTCCGAGGAAGAGCTCAGCGGTGCTGCACCGTATGGAATTATTGACTATAGCCCGCACATCCAATCTATCCTTTCTACTGGTCTCAGCTTTGTTCAAGCAGTCCGGACCTCAGAAAAATCCCCTCTGTTCTCCGTTCTTGTCCACGGCCCTCATGGAGCTGGAAAGACCGCCTTAGCTTCAGAGATTGGGTTGAAGTCGGAATTTCCATTTGTAAAACTCATCAGGCCGATCGACGTCGGGACTAACGAGGGGGCTAAGCTCGAATATCTGCGCCGTGCTTTCTCCGACGCTTATAAATCTGCTCTTTCAATTGTGATCCTAGACAGCCTTGAGAAAATCATTGACTGGAACCCTATTGGACCCAGGTTCTCCAACGCCGTCGTGCAGTATCTAGGTGCTGTGCTAGAAACTCGGCCACCCAAGGTATGTATTTTCTAAATCTTGTCTAATTTTCGGCTATGCTAACGATTTACACAGAATCGTCGACTCCTCATTATTGCCACGACCAGCCAGCGATCTATGCTGGACCAGCATGGTGTGTTCGCATGGGACAGAGAGATTGCTGTGCCAGCTGTCAAGGACCACCGTGAACTCCAGGCTCTCCTAGCCGCCTCTGGCAAATTCAATGACCCAGCCGAAATTGATGCAGCTTTAAACGAACTACAGAGTCTGACAGGAAGTCAGGAGGTTGGTATCGGTGTCAAGGCGATTTTCTCGGCGCTCGAGACAGCCTCGGTGAGAGAGCCGCTACCTACAAGTTTGGCGGAGGATATCAGCGCCATCATGGCGTCTCGAAATCCGCAAGGGTATTAAGGGCGATACCCGTACCGGTGTACCGGGTTCGACGGATCCTAATGGAATACTTAGAGAGGACCTAGAATATGATTGCATAGCAGTGATACCAATTTCGCCACAATGTGTTAGGGGGAAATATGAGGCATGACCGGCTACGATGATGGTTGATGGCAATTTACCTAAAGCAACCGCCATTTTCTTTTTTTTTTCTAGAGCTCTAGGGTTACCGTTGTGATGTGCCATTATTAGAAATTGTATTATATGAAATACACACGGTCCAGTATGCGCACCGCGAGCTTTGCGGGATAAAACATACTGAATGCAACCCACCGATAAGTGTTTGGAATTACAAACTGTAGCGCAGACATGGTTTCCTTTCTGACCATTATTCTCCAGTTTTGAAATTCACGGCATCTTCGTCAGAACCAACTCTTCGTGTGTGTGCTTCTTCATCCCGGTGTCTTCATCGTTCTCGGAAACGCCAAACCTTTCCTTTAAACCTTCTACCGCTTTCTCGCCCAGCGTCTTCATACTACCTGCTCCTAGCATTTCTAAAACGCTTATATTAAAGCCAAAAGTCGATTTCCACCAGCTTCTCATTTCTACAGCCACGAGACTGTCAAACTCCATTTCTTGAAGCGTCCGGTTGATGTCGATTTCGGCGTCGCTGTCTACAGGCTTCATGAGTAAAGTTAGAAGCTGCTTCGAGATCTGAACCGCGACGAAGGCGACTGCGTCTGGGGCAGAGAGAACCGCTGGGTTGCCGACGGCCGATGCTATGAATGATAATAGCTCGCTCGACGTTGCTGCCGAGCCCGACGATGAAGTGCCGGCACTGCTGTTTAGATACACGCTGACGCGACGGTCGCCCTTCCAAGGGACGCGGTTGGACGGATCAGTAAGAGGTATTGTGGTACGCATGCCTATGAACAGCTCGCTGTGGCTGACAAATGGCTTGGAGCGTACGCTCTTGATGTCGTGGATGGCCGGGCGCGGGGCGAGAATAGACGCAGTAATGGCGTCAAGCATCTCGGCGATACGGACTCCGTAGATACCCTGTGATAATAGACGCTCGCGAATCACGGTGTTGTCAGCGACGTAGCCGTGGTCAAGCATCACGCCGATGTCAATAGCACATGCGTTGAAACCGAGCCCGTGACGGTACTGCACGAAGCTATCGAGGAACGAGTTGGCGCCGGCGTAATTGGCCTGTCCCCGCAGGCCTAGGACTCCCGATATGGAACTGAACAGAACGAATAGGTCGAGATCAACCCCGCGCTCGACAGTCGCGTTATGCAGATTCCAAGTACCCAGGACCTTCGGGGCCGCGCATTGCACCCAGTCGTCGTATGACATTTTGGGAAAGCTCTGGTCTCGTAGAACCATGGAGATGTTCAGTATGCCCTTAAGAGTGCTGCCGCCAGCTGCGACGGCGCGCTTCACATCCGCGAGAGAAGTAACGCTGCCCTTCACCGCAGTGGTTTTGCATCCCTGGCTTCCCAATTCCTCGAAGAACGCTTGATCCTCCGCGGTTTCGCCGGCGTGGCGCGAGAGGAATATTAGGTGCCGAACCCCGTGTTCAACCATCCAGTTGGAAACGGCGCGGCCGAGACCACCCAAGCCACCGACGAGCAGGTAAGAGGCGTCGTTGCGGAATTCGACGGTCCGGTTTAACTGTCGTTTCGTGAGGGCCTTGCCTTCCGCACAGTCCAATGAGATGACGATCTTCCCGATGTGCACCCCCTTTTGCATGTAACGGAAGCAGTCCCCAATGGCATCGGCTGTGAAAATCTTGATGGGGCGAATAGGTTGAACATGTCCCTGCTCGTAGTATTTGACGACTCTCTTGAGTAAACTGATAGAGAATTAGTACTCCAACCCAGCGAACCTTGATTTGGCGACTTACCTGTGGCCCATATGCTTCTTCACATCAACGGCGTGAGCCAAATCTATGCCATGGTAGCTCCTATTCCGCTCGAACATGTTCAGCGCCAATTTTCCGTGCCCGATGAGATCGCGTCTGCCGATCTCAAGCATCTTTCCAAACTCTGCTACGCACTCCCAGGACGCGTGGAGGAGTTCTCCCGATAACGAGTTCAGCACCACGTCCACCCCGCGGCTGTTCGTCGCCGCCATGACGTCTCCCAGGAACGACTTGTCTCGCGAGTTGAATATGCGACTCCTGGGAATGTTGAAGGTCGACATCAAGTGCTGGACTTTCTCCTCGTTGCCTACGGTGCAGTAGATATCCGCACCGACCATTTTGGCTATCTGGATGGCTGCAATTCCGACGCCACCGCACGCCGAGTGGATTAAGAGCGTCTGCCCCTCTTGTAGCTGGCCGATGTCGAGAAGCCCGTGTATAACAGTCGCGACGACGCTGGGCATGGTCGCAGCATCTTCAAAGCTGAGGGAGTCGGGGATCTTAGCGCATGTTTTCTCCGACACTGCCATACGAGTTGAGAAGCAACCTTCTCCGCCTAAGAGCACTCTATCGCCCGGACGGAGCTCCTTGACGTCTGGCCCAACCTTGGTGACAACGCCGCTAGCTTCAAGACCAAGCGTCACCTTGGCTCTATTCTCCACAATCCCCATAGCTACTAGGACGTCCTGCGACATGTTAGTAGGTACATACGTTTCTGCCATTTTTGTGTGAACTGGTAATTGTGTCATCAGCAGTAAATGCGTACCTTGAAGTTCATACCAAAAGCCTTATTCTCTACCAAAACCTCGTCCCCAACTAACGGCCTCACCGGTATTGCGGTCCACGCCAGCGTGTTCAACTGGCCGTATTTGCCAACTCTCAGGTCGTATCCCACTTCGGCCGCCTCGTCTTGCGGCGGTGCGCGTAGCTCCTCGTTGACGACGACGGGGTATACCCTGGATATGTGTATGATCCCGTCTACGATGGCGTACTCGTACTCGGGGCGCAAGTTCTCTTCGCGTTGTCGCCTGTTGAATTTCTGGAATACTTTCGCTGCTGCGTTTAAATTTTCAGTGTTGACCTGGTTCAGTTCGCACGTGGCCAGGTCGACATTTAGTTCGGCGCGGATTGCTCGTATAGCGCCGATGATCTGTGCCCACCGAGGGTCCTGGGCTCTGACCTGGGAGGCACGGGTAAGCCAGAGGAGGCCGGCGCCGGATTCCGATACTGTCGATATAAATTTGCGGAAGGCGAGGAAGTTAGCTTCGCTGATGTTCTCGAATATAGGCTTGTTAAGATCGATCACCGCGAGCACATCCTTATCTGTAGGTAAGCCCGGCTCACCCCAATGGTGCAATCCAACTTCGAAGCCCTCTGATGCTAGCTTCTCCTTAAGCTGTGCGGCGATTGCCGAAGTGTCCTCGTCGTAAACGACGGTTGTAGCGCGGCGCCGCGAGATTTCAACGGCCGGTCTGGCTGTCATTATGGCATCGTAATGCGTGGGTGGAGGAGAGTCGAGAGCGACATGCTCCAAGCCGGCGAAACCAGCCTGGCGTAGATATGCGTCCCACCTCTCGGGAGTCACGTATGGTTCATCTACGCGGCCGTCGTCTGCGCCCAACCACCATCCCGGAAAGATACCCATGACGAAGTTGAACGCCTTGTTCTCGCAACTTAAATCTTCTATATATAAGCGGCCCTCTGGATGGAGGAGTTTCCGTACGTTCTTGAGCGTCTCTTTTATACTTGGGGTAGCGTGCAAGACATTGGCGGCGATGACCAGGTCGTACGAGCCTTCTTCGAACCCCTGAGCGACTGGGTCCTTAGTAATGTCCAGCGCCTGGAAGACGATATTAGGGTATCCTTCGAAGCGCGTCTTAGCGGCGCTAAAGAATGCGGATGAGATATCAGTGTACATATACTGGGAATACATGAGAGAGCCGTTCTCGGAATTGGTGATACCCTGGAGTATGGAGTTGGTAAGACCGCCCGTCCCGGCTCCAATTTCGAGAATGCGAAGGTTTGGTTTCGCGTGGCCAATGCTTTGGAATACTTCTTTGCGATCGCAGTGGCCGAGATAGTTGTACATGTCCGTTAGCGCGTTGTCCTCCATCAGGACTGTGATCGGCTCGATTTCGCCCTTAAACAAGGCGACGATGTTGTCGAGGACCTTGGTGATACCAGATACCAACGGCGATATCGAAGTTGGAGATAAGATCTTTATAAGGCCCTCGATGGAACTTTCTGGTTTGGGTGCTGGCTGCTTCTCTAGCCACGCCTTGAATTTCCGGAAATGCGGAATGTCCGTCAGGACGCCTCGGAGACGAAGGAGAGCCTCGCTGGTGCAGACGCGCTGCAACTCTTCGCATAATGGCGCAAGATACTCCTGTTCCTTATGCGGTATTACCAATGATTTAAAATCGACAAAGTCGATATCCTGACGCCAAAACATCCTAGCGCCCGCGTGAGGGTCAAGGCTATCAGCTGTCATTTCGCCTTCAAGGGGACTCAGCTTCACGCCCTTCATCTTGAGCGCTAATTTCCCGTCAGCACCGAATCCCTCACCCCCACCGCTCATAACGCCACGTCGACTCCGAGTTGCCCTGACGGCAATGTCAATCTCGGAATCGCACTTATAGCTCTCCATGTATTCGATGAATGTGGGTACGTTCATCTTGTCTAGCTTGTGCGTTAAGCCGTTGGTGGCGGCAATACTAAATAGCTGGAGGAAGAAATCGACCTTGGTGGGGTGTACGCAGTAGATGGCGCCATCATCGTCAACCGTGTTTATCGCTCTCCCCTTCGAGAGATGCTGCGTCGTTGAGCATGATAAGTCGGACAAGCCTTGGAAATCCTTCCCGTAGTTCGCGCCGACGTTTCTGAGGGCTTGATACCACTTGGCGGGTTTGATTAGGCGAGGCAGGTTGGACGCATCTTCCGTTCTACTGCTCGGTGATGGGGTGGTGAGCGCGGAAAATTGGCCGGAACAATGCTTCGTCCACGTCGTCCCAGTATAGGAGCTGACTGTGAAATCCCACCATGAACTATCGAGTGTATCTGTAAGAGGTGCCCGACGCACGCTGGTAATGATCTCGGTTGATTTGGACTCTGTCAAGACCATCGCGGTATCAATCACTACTTGGCGCAATGCAAAGCCTTCGTATGGCCCTTCGCATAGCTGACGCGCTGCTTCGCCCGCCATGCCCACATACCCTGCGCACGGGAAGATTACATCTCCTTTGATATTATGGTCCTGTATCCACGGAACATTCGGAAGCGAAAGGACGCTTCGGAACACCGGCTCGCTCTCCGTGGTCTCCGAAACGCGAACGCCCAGCAGGTCGTGCTTGGGGAACTTGCGGAACCGCCAGTCGTTGGCGATGCGGTTCTCGAACATGAAGGACTCGCTGTGCTGCCAGGGGTAAGCGGGCAAATCCGTGACAACGCGAGCGGTGCCGTCCGGGTTCGTCAGGCAGTTTATGTCGATCTGCAAGTTCTGAACCCAGAGCTGGCCGACGGCTGAAAGGAATGTCTCGGTCCCGTTTTTGCCGCGGACGAGACACGACGTGTACGGATAGTTGACGGAAGACTTGGCGAGGATTTGGCGGACCGGGCCGCCCAGCGCCGAATGAGGTCCGATTTCCAAGAACATGAGGCTGGCCTTGCTATGGGTGTTATGATACTGAACCAGATTGGTAACGCCGGTGTTGAAAAGTACGGGAGACTCGAGGTTCGACTGCCAATATCTTGGATCTGTGGGGTCGGAATCAAGGAGTTGATTTCCCGTTACGGTAGAGAAAAAGACGGGCTTGTTTTCGATGATCTTGGAAGCCATGTATTTCGACCGGTTCCCAACATGACGCGAGACTAGACTATTGTAGACCTCACCGACTTCTTTCATATGATGAGAATGGTACGCCTTTTCTACTTTCAAGGCTCGGGCGAATGTGTCGGGTTTCTCCGAGCGTATTGCCCGCAGGACATCATCTACCGCCTCCTTATCACCGGATATGGTGACGCTGGAGGGCGAATTCTCGCAAGCAATGATGACGCCTGGAACTAAAAATGGTGCAGTCTCTTCTCGTCCGAGGCCCACGGCCGCCATAGCCCCTAGCGTCTTTACCTTGTCAGACGCAACACCACGGTCATACGCGGCGATGATGGCTTCTTCGGCCGTGATTTTCTTAGCAGCGTATGCTGCTGCGATCTCGCCGGACGAATGGCCAACGACACCGTACGGTTTGATATCGAGCTCAGATAGCGCGTCGACCAAAGCAACCTGTAAAGCGGTGCATAGGGGCTGGGATAGATACGCCTGGTCCAGCTTGCTTGTTTCGGCTGGCTTAGTTAATTCGTCAACGAGAGACCAACTAGGTGGCTCGGGCAAGTTTCTGAGGACGTTTTCCATGTCGTAGATCGACTTCTTGAATGTGGCATTTGACTGGAGAAGCTCCAACCCCATCTGCGGCCACTGCGCGCTCTGGCCAGTAAAGACCATGATGAGATCCGGTGCTGATTGGGGTGCCTTGCTAAACGGCGCCGTGCTGGAAACAACGCCCTTGTCTACGACCGAGAATGTTCGGTGTGGTAAATGGGTACGCCTCGCACCCAGGGTATAGGCCACATTGCTCGCTGACTCTGGGGACTCTTCGACATATTTCTGGTTCTGGACAACTTGTCGGCGTAATGAGTCGGAAGTGTTGGCGGAAAGGAGCAGCAACTGGGTCTTTGTGGGTGACGGCTTATAGTCCAATGCTTCAGTCTTCCCAAAGTACATTCTCGCCGATTCAATAACAACATGGACATTGGCGCCACCAATACCGAATGAATTAACGGAGACACGTTCGTATCTGTCCTTTGGCCACGGGGTAGGATCCAAGGGGACTTTGAGCTTCTTTTCCTCGAAAGGGATCTTTGGGTTGGGCTTGTCGAACTTTATGTTAGGGGGGATAGTCTGGTTCTCCAGTGCTAGAATTGCTTTGATGAGCGACGTGATTCCAGATGCTCCTTCTGAATGCCCGACGTTTGGCTTCACGGAACCGATGTAAACACCGCTGTTACCGAATACGCTGGCCACGGCGGCAACTTCGATCGGATCACCGGTTGGTGTTCCAGTGCCGTGGCACTCGACATAGCCGGTCTTTGAGATATCCGTAATCCCAGCCGCGTGGTAAGCTCTACGAATCATGGCCTCGTGAGATTGCGAGCTTGGAACACTCAGCCCAAGCGTCTTGCCGTCGGCGTTATTGGACGTGCCTCTGATCACAGCACGGATGGGGTTCCCGTCACGAATTGCGTGATCAAGCCTCTTGATATAAATCATATTGATAGCTTCTCCACGTGCATATCCATCGGCATCGGCGTCGAATGTTCTGCTTGAACCATTCTTCGACAGAATTCCTTGGTCGGACATAGAGATAGTAAGTCCCGGGGCCATGATCAGGTTGCTACCCGCCACAATGGCAGAGTTGCATTCGCCATACCGGATCGACAGACACGCCTCGTGAAGGCCAATCAAAGCTGAAGAGCAGCCAGTTCGGACGATCATGCTAGGCCCCTTGAAGTCGTATTCGTACGATATTCTGTTGGCAAGCACAAAGTCGCCATAACCGGTAATCTTATACATGCCATGTAGCTGAGGATCTTTAACGGAGAGCTCCAGCCAGTCCTCAGCAAATGATCCAACAAAGGTGCCAATCGTCTTGCCGCGGTAGTCTATCTCACCGGCGCTCTCAAGACATTCCCTTGTAAGTTCTAATAGAATCCGCTGCTGTGGGTCTGCCCGTTCTACCTCGACCTTGGGCATGCTGAAGAAGCTCGTATCAAGAGCTCCAATATCCACAGACTCATCGAGGAAGTATCCGTATTGACTTGCGATGTGACCAGGCTTGTTAGACTTGGAGTAGAAGCTGGAAGAGTTGTACCTTGACTCAGGGACAAGACCCCGTGCATCCTTCTTGTTGATTAGAAAGTCCCAGAACTCGTCCGGTGTAGAGATGCCTCCTGGGAGGCGAAGTGCCATACCACAGATCGCGATCGGCACTGCATTATCGGTGGCATCCTGATAGTTGGTTTGAGATGAGTCTGACGCCTTTTCAACGATGTTAGTCCGCTGTTGAATGGTTACTTTTGGAAAGCGTCAGCTTACCGGAGAAGATGATCCAGATGGGTTGATGTATGGAGCCATAATATATTATGGTGAGTACTTTGGCCTGTGTAGTTGTAAAGGGGATTATGCCTTTCCTCCACCTTAGGATGATGTCCCTGAAGATTTGTCTTTGAGAGTGCTGCTTTATTCTTTACCTCAGGTAGTCTTTAACCTAGTGACTTTCCATGGGATTCTACTTTCCTATTCTTCCAGCAGGCTTTTTATACTTAACTAGAAGTAGGACCTCTGATTACGACGTATACCTATAGATAAGAAGCATGAGTGATAGGCGGTTCAATGCTTCAAACTAAAGCCGGGGCCCGATGTGGTTAGAAAGCATCCGTAATAATTGCCATGCATAGAATAATTACTGAACTTTCCGGAAGAGCCAAAGCTATCCCTCGGAGTTACCCTACCTACCTGGTAGATAGGTAGGTTTATACCTTAAGCCACGTTAGTTAGATACATCCATAACAGTTGTCACGATCTCCCCGTGAACGATCCCGCACACAGGTACTCTGAGTTGACCTGCAACCAACGGTGCCAGCGGCCAATGAAACAGGCTACACGATTAACCCCAGCCGAAATTGCATCTGCATACTCTCTCGCCAGCATATTGATAATCCTCTTGATGATGTCACAAAAGAATATCTACTTGATATCTGTGGGACCTCACGGAAGCAGCTTGTAACACTGATATTACCCGCTCTGTGTCTAATCCTGGGTATGAGATAGAGCAATGAAGCACTCCTCAAAGCTACCAGGTAATCTATGCAGTAGCTCAGTTAATAGCCGTGCCTTGATCCATTAGATATCCTATTACTTATTTTTCGCACGAACTCATATGCTGATATGATTATAGACAGGGATTTCCCCTATCTTCCTAGGAGGTAGGAGGTACCTCAAGTATCTTAGACATCTCAGATATGCGTACTATTTGGCCGTGGGGTTGATCTCACAGTACCGATTCCAACTCCGCGACTACACGGTGATATCAGTCCTGCAGCTTTAGATTATGTAGTAACGGCGTCTGTGCCGGTATCATCTTAGCTAACGCTCCGGCGCCGTGATTAAAGGCTCGCCTTATCATGTCGGAGCTCAGCCCACGTCCGTACAAGAAGACAAATGTAAGAGAGCACATATATTAAATACTGAGTAACCATCTGACCCGCGGTTGTGCGTCGCCAAGGGCCTCTTCGTACCCGTCAATCTATATTCCTCGCCTGCAGTTGTGCAACGTTCGTGAATCGCCGTTATCAAGAAACAGTTTCATCACGATATTTGGAAATGGACTATTCAACTCTATCTCGAAATTGAAGCGCGGAAAAATCAAGCAGTCGGGATAGCGACATTTAGTTCGATAATGATTTATATCATCATGCATCACTTCGAAAAAGGACATATATTAAATTTGATAACAGCGGCATGTCAAAACGGGGAACTGCGAGTTGACATAATGAGCAAGATGCATGCATGCATGCAGTGAGGATGAGATTTTTGTGCTCTGGTTACACGTCGAACGTTGCAACTGTGATTGAATCTTGCTGCATTACGTTGAAGTCTTGTAGTTCCAGCCAGAAGAATGACCTTGCCACCATTAGGCGCACTTACACCTCTATGCTCTTTTCTCTTTAGGCAGGAATGACTTTATTTTAAAATTTGGTTTTGCTTGTTATGACATGGTGGCTTTCGTACCTAAGGTTAGGTACCTACCTCCCTTTGGAGACTCTGTCATATGTATCTCCGGGAATTCCGTGCCGTCCCAAGTCGATGAGTATAGTGAGAGTACCGCACATCCAGGAGAGTCTTTAGAAGAAAAATATGACATTTTTAACCTATCAATCATATTACTCATGTGCCTCGGTAAGTCGTGTTTAGATAGGTACCTCCTAGGTACCTAATTCTGATCCAAAGGGATACTTTGCAAATCTTCTCGATATGAATCGAGCGCATTTACGCTAGTTACTTGCGGATGAAGTCTTTTGCAACACTACAGGATTAAAGTTATTAGCTACAATTCATATCCATATTTTGAACCTATTAGAATGCTATCTCCTTCTATCAATGGGCACCTGTCTTCTTATTGAAGCTTAACTATTTCGCATCTGCGGTTTCGCCACAAGTGGAACTGTTAAGCGGTATTTCTTATTCTATAAGAATGATACTAAAATGAATTGTTAGACAAAGTAAAGCTTGATAGATAATTTCATGCTTGCGATACTGCTCAAAATTCCATGCTTACGGATGATTAAGAGGTAGGTGCCGCGATCAGAGAAAGATATTATTAAGTTAAACTTGAACCCTACAAATATCTAATTCTTGAAAAATATTGATCAGATATTGCCGTGCCTCGCTACCTACCTAGGAGGTAGGTATACATAATATCGAAATTAAATTTCAGAATCTCACGTACGACCTGTCTTAATTGTTTTCCTATATTGGCAATATATTTCACAGAAGCTAGTATTAACGTGGCGAGGTTGTACTAAGCAATTCAGGGGGAACATTGTCAGAAAGGTAGAGTTAGATATTTTGAAATGTTTGGTGTTACCATTGACAGGTGATGTACTATATAGATGATGTACGGAGACGGATTCCGGCCTATGCACATTGCAAATCTCTCTTGCTTACAAGTACTTTGCGCGACAACAGGAAACACACATAGGTGCAATTTAGAAGAAATGACATCTCGGAGGTTATGAGAGATATCCCTGGCTGAAGAGATCCGAAAACAAATAACAAAATAAAGGGGGCATTAGATACAACGGAGGGCAGTTTCTTGTGATACCTGGAGATAGAATATCAGGTTAGTTTTTGAATTCGCCCGGAGCATCTGTGTAGTTCCACTATGCATACTACCTAGGTAAGGTAACTACCTCTACCCAGGTAGTTTACCTTAGGTAGGCGCCTCCCTAAGGTAGTTTATGAACTCAATAAAATTTATCGATAAACTCAGTGGCCATGAATAGAAATAGTATTGAGTAAAGTGCCTCAGGGGTTACCGGGGGTGCACAAAGCCTACGATACACTGCCTCAATTTATTTTGACGTTTCCAAAAAGGGTATCCAAGTTTACACCATCCAAGTAGCACCCGAGACGGATAGACCCTTAGGTCTGTGGGGGTAGCGAACCTTGCTTCGACCTGTACGGACGGATAGACGCTTATGCTGCGTACGCTGCAACGAGAAACTTGAAGCCGTGTAACACTCGGTATATAAGCGTCACCTCGTCTAGTCGTGGAGGTTGGGGCACTAAAGCATGTGATTGAAATATCTAAAAAGAACGCGATCCATAAGTAACGGCTAATCTCATATACTGTCTAGGCTTGCTCCCTATACTAACGCGCCCGTCATTGCTACTCTAAAGTTATACCAACTATCATATCCATATTACTCTCACACGAGAGCGTGCATAAGCATTACCTATCGAACATTACAATACTACCAGGTAGCCAACGATGCCTCAAATCCAGTTTTTCGGGTCTCAGGTCGGAGGAGGGACCGTTATCAACTATAGCTACACGGATATGCCGTGGAAACTGGTCTTCTGGGACTTTTGGAATTTCCTCAAGTACGCTAGAAGTTTGATCTGGGTGGTAATGCCTCTCTGGCCTTGCTATGGGGGAAGCTTCGATGAGCTCTCACTCACATTTCAACATGTGTGGTGCCTCTCCGTACATACCGTCCTGATCATACTTCAGGTAATTTTCCTTCTAGGATTATTGCCATTATTGTTTATCCTCCCAGGGTGGCTATTCGTCTCTGGATTGGTCACTTTTTTTGCTGTCAACGCACTGATATGCAGAACTTTGAATGGGAGCACTATACAATACACGTCCGACCCAAAATACTCTCCTCACTGGGAAAGGTTCGAACATGAGCAATGGATTTTCTTAAATGGTGTTTCTATCGGGTAAGGCAAGCTTATGTCTCGTGTACTATTACCATTGCTAACAGGAACCAGAGAATCCTGGCTCAAAGACAACTTGAATCGTCTAGCACTTACTTTCGGGCGACCAGTTTTAGGTATCCATAACCGCACGAGCGGTATCATCTTTGATTTGATAGAATGTATAATCCAGCGCAGCTTTGGATACGCGACTACTGATGTTCGTCTCGTTTACAAAATTCTCAAGGATAAGCTGTACAATCCTCAGTATACCACTGTGGTCTTCATCATACGTAAGTACTTAATAATTGTTAATTCTGAGCTCTTTTGAAGTCCGAAGAGCAAGCTTGTTTCGGTTCACGTTTGATTGTTTTAACAATTACCTGTCCACGAGTTGTCTCAAAATCCTAGGTGAATGATTTCTAACCTTTAAATGCTTAGACTCACAAGGCGGTATTGAGGGGGGTCTTGTTATAGATTGGCTTCTACAAGAGGTTCCGCAGGATCTTCTAGCTAAGCTCGAGGTTTACACTTTCGGAAATGCGGCGAATCACTTCAATAACCCACATCGGCATCAAAGCAGTCAAGAGGCGCAAGTGAAACATCCTCATATTCTAAACGATATGTTCCAGCGGTTCCCTCACTTCACAGGAGACATAGAGAAAACAGGAATCAAAACGGGCTTTGAAAATCCACTATCCCATCCCGCACTGTCAAACGACCAGGGCTCGTCGGAACTCGAATCACACGGTGCCGCTTTAGATCGAGCTATAGGGCATATCGAGCACTACGCTCATACTGGCGACTTCGTTGCTCTTTGGGGTGTGCTTCACTTCATAACCAATACTCGGGCTTCAGCCGAAATTCCCCGCTTCGTCGGTCGACTTTTCGCTCACCACGCTACCGGTCATTTACTCAGCCAACACTATCTTAACGATATGTTTCCATTAGCAAAAAATGCATTCGGGGAGTTCACTGGCTGCGCGGAGAGCAACGAGTTTATGGACAGCATCATTAGCTTACCTGGCCAGGGAGAGGGAGACAACATTATCCAAGCCATCCGCGAAGGCCTCGGCCATAGTTTTGCGGCCCTGGACCATATCGCCCTACCTAAATCTGATGTTTCCGTACAGGGGAGATTGATTGAGAGAGAGATAAGCATCTTGAATGGACCTGTGCGAGTCAGGGACCTCAGTCGCTTATGGCAGTATAGGAATGGCCAAACCCCTCGTATCATCCGGAAAGTCTAAGAAAACTGTAACATTGGAATTGTTTACGGGATGGAATAGACGGATGAGATATGGTACTGCTATGAAGGTTGAAGTCGTCTTCTACCATAGCTTGCTTGTTTAATCGACGGTGGAATATATGGGCTTGTGCTTTCTTCCACAGAATGACACCACATGGCTATCTGTTCTAACATTAATATTCACCAAAAGTGGGAACTTGTATCTCTTTGATTATCGGGATAATTTCTCGGCGACTTGAACCTACCTAGTTTCAACAATACTGTGTAGCTATTTTCAGTCATCTTATTCATTGAAAAGAACCTTCAAACCACCTAGCTCCAGCAGACAATACCACCGTATTATTGATGAAAGGTACCTAATTAACAAAGCTACGCTAGTGTCGAATATAGAGAGTTAATCTGAAAAGATACTTGATAAGAACACAGGGATCGTCTATTGAACACGCTGTTGGAGAGATAATTCATGCCTTGACTGGAAGTACTCACAAGCAGGCTTTCTACCTAAGGTAACCTGTAAGATATCTCCACGAGGTTTGCTGGCTAACAAAACATATGATATGTCTATCTCAGTCGTAGTGCCTAAGCTACGAATTAGAGGATCCTCACTTCCCTTGGAGCGAACAGGCCCATACATGACACCAAATCAGCTTGGCTCCTATAATACGACGAAACAACGCCAACTCTCAGGAAAGTATCGTTTCCAGAAGATTTCAACGCCAAGCCGGACACCTGCCATCCTCCTAAAACCGTCGGTTGAGCCGTGGCCCATATACACACAACCTCGTCACAGAAGTCGTCTGGCGTATCAAAGATGACTGTTGGCTGATGCTGCCAGTTCTTATCGGCCGTTATTTCAACCACCTGGGAAGTATCGAACAATCTAAACGCTTTTACAGCGTACTGATTGCGCGTTAATACGTGGGCATCGATAAAGCACACCGGTCCGTGCAATACCAATATACCATCAGCTACTTCCCCAGTACCGTCGGGGCCAATAAATTCGATATCACTGGATAATATCGTACTGAGTTCAACCACTTTTTCGGCAAATGTATTCGGAATGTCGAGATAGCCATCGAGACTGGCCCAAGACCACGAGGGCGCGCGGTAAGAACCCGCCCGGGTCGCAGGGGTACCGACTCTAACGTACCAACACAATGTCTCTATCAAATGATCTTCCCAGAGGCCGGCTAAGTACTTATGTTTCCCCGGTTCAAGACGCTGGAGAGCTTTTCTGGTATCCTTCGCCAGCCCGGATACAGCCACCAGTTTATCTCTTGGCAAAGTGAGCTTGGTGTTTGAATACAAGCTTACAATAGCACTCCAGTCGGCAAGGATCCGTGTCAATAAGTCCCGTGTTTTGCAAGGAGCGATAGATACAGCAATAAGCAGCCGCGACAGCGGGAGGTAGTCAATATCGTCGAGCTTTTCGTGTTGCTCCTTGACGAAGGAATTACAGGCGGACGAAATCCGCCGAAACCATTCGGATGCGTCTCGCAGGCATGGGATTCTGCACATTCCCAAAACACCTGTTTCCTCCCGAAATATATAGTGCGAGGGGCCATAAGCCTTTCCTGCAAAACCCACGCTCGGCGGATGAGGGGTTCGTCTTGGAATGCTGCACCCCACGCCGTGTCCTCCAGCTCGGCTCGAAAAAGCTCCCCGTTGTCGTATGTCGACAGCCAAAGGGGCAATTAACGACGGGTCGCGCGGGAAGAAGCAGCCACCTTCGTCGTTTTCGGCGCCGAGTGCGGAGATGCAGAATAGCGCATTTCGATAAACGTCTTGCATGGTACCAGCTTCCCTGCGCCAGTCTTCGCGGGAGTCCTGGAAAATGCACAGTCGATCAATCCATAGATATTCGATTCCGAAGCGATGTGCAATATACATCGCATCCCTGAATGTCTTCGGCAAGCATTGAATTGGGTTAGACTTCTCAAGCCAGGCAGATGTCGACTTGAGGAGTCTCAGGGTCCGGTCCAGGGGCTTCTCCCCCCATCGGTAACTCATGGCAGCATATGACCCCTGAAAATCTTCTTTTCTTGATATTAGTTGAAAGGTAGGAGGGTGCTGTAAATGTGAACCATGCGCGTAATTTATCTTTAATAATCGAGTCGGCATGTAGTTCTTGATTTTTGATTTCCTACTGCATGAGAAATGCCCTCGTAAACAAGTCTCCATCCATTTAGAAACCATGGACCAGGTTTGGGGAGAACCTGTTGAGTCCGGAATATTGAAATTAAGAATATCTTCAGTAGATTGTAAAGCTGCAAAATTGTGTAAGTTCGATAATAGGCGAATCTAGACTCGGGCCTTAGTCGTAGAACTTTGTCTTACCCTTAACTAAGGAAACCGTCTTCAAGCCTTCTCCCGAGTCTATTGTCACACACGGGACATCATTTTGATAGGAAATCCAAAATATGGTAAAGAAGCCGTACTCTCACTTTATTGCTCTGGCATGCATTCTCGTGAAATGGGAAATCACTACATATTACACAACCCTGCCTAGCAGAGTGAGCGAAAGATTGCTCGTCGCGATGATGTCCATGTATATACCAGAAGGTAAGAGGCGCACTTTGAGACACTGTCAGTTTCTAAGCTAATATAGCCTTCTCGATGCTAGATGAGATATCCTAGTGACGACGTTATGTACCAGGTAGGTAGGTTAGGTACGCACCAAAATCATACTGATTAAGTTGCAATCCTGGAGTGTTTGCAATATGACATTCTGCGGAGCCCAGTCGGGATGGCTTACGCGCATTTTCTAGTGCATCTATGCAGACCTTGCAAAGCATAGCATCAGACTTTGCCGAGAAGTATTAGGTATAACTTTCCATAAGATAAGTTGGATGCTTAAACATAACATGAGACAAGAAGTTGGGTTCGAATGTCTAACTACCTCAATATTTCGCGCACCGTAGGATTTACTTCATGCAGTCAGCATCCAAGCCTCATGTCCTATTCTCGAGAAATATATCTCTACCTAGGTGCAACACTTCGACAGAACAAATTCATTAGTATCGAGAAGAGGTGCACAAGAATAGGCTGACTTCGGGAATAAAGGCTTTATTTACTTGATGCCTTGCCTATATTTCGTTCATACAATCCTTCTCCCAAATCTTCACGTAATATCGCAGAAGTAAGCAATGTGGAGAATTTTCTCTCAGGAGTCATCACATAGACAACATGTACGCATAAGTCAAACGTCACCTTTATTGAAAGCCTCAGTGAGCCAACCGTCCACAAAATATAATAGGAGAAGTTAGCGCTCTAGAATTTTGATTTCGTTCTAATATCATTCCAACTCCTATGAAATTTCCGGAAAAGGTACCGCTAACGTTCAACTCTCAGAGTGCGTTATTTCCAACGACCATGAGAAATAACTGCTACTCTAGCATACTAGAGTTCAATCAATCTAGGTACCTCTATCCCCTTTTTGTGACTTCAGTCCCACCTAAAACAACGGCGCGCAGCTGGGAGCGGTCGAGAAAGAGCTCCTGGTCGGCCCCGACCTTGGCGGCTTTCTCAGGGGTGTGGGAGAATGCCATGAAAGCCTGGAAGGCCGCAGCATCCTTAAATATCAACTCGGCAACGGCGTCGTAGTCGAAGTCAGCTTGGGACCCGAGGATGAGTTGAGCCGGGGTCGTGGCATTCCGAGTAGTGCCCTCGCCTTGGCCCTCGGTGCGCTGGATATAGTGCCGAGTGTGAGATAACGGGAAGTGCGGACCAGCTACCTCTTGCAGGATAGGCATATGGATGTTCTCAAGGTGTTCTTTGAACTCTTCCGGGGAGACCCCGGGTTTGCGGGTGAAATAGAAGAGGATAGAGAAGCTCATGGTGATAGGCTAATACCGTATGGTCCTACTGGAATTAGATGAGATATACGATGAAATTACTTGGAGAATAGTAATAGGAACCGCCTCTGACTTATACTCAAATATCTAGGCAACCTACCTCTCTATACTTGTCATTACATCGTCCAATTATCTGTTTGTACCGACATCCTAGGTGGCACAACAGACGGCGCATAATCCTTCTAAAAGCCCCGGCCCAGACACAAAACGTTCAACATGATGGTAGAGTTTAGTTAAGAACCAAGTATCGCTCCTTATAAAATTCGACGAATTGACACCTCGACGAGTCGATCTTGCCTGATTTGGTGTACACAAGAAGATTACGAAGTGTACATCAACTGCGACTATTTCGGACTTCCCCATGATTAGGTACCTTGCTTGCAACATATGTCCCATTATAGTATTTAAATACAGAGTCGGATCTCGGTTATTCCAAGCAATTTTTCAAGGCACAATAAGCTACCTAAGCTTAGCCTCCATGTACCTCGTTTAAACTCCCCCATAGAATCCGTCATATAACGCGGGGCATAAAGGGGACATTTCCGAAACTACAAGATCCGTCGGCAGTGCTAAGAAGAGCAATAGTCTAAGTGCTTGTCATAGTTGCTCTTAGGGTAATTCGTCCGCGTTCATCACTTAAGCATCAGTATTTTTCCTAGTTGTAGGTAGCAGATCAAATTACTATATCATTAAGTCAAAGTTAAGGAGTGTCTCTAAACCAAGCTGTACCGTATCAATTCCCACCCCCTATCTTCGCACAATCCCATTGGCCCCGAGCTCCAAAGAAACCACACGCTGATGCAAAATAAAAAGCCAAAAAAGGAGAGAATGTAGAGTTTGTTTTCTTCAAAGTTCCGCATAAGCTCGAATTTCGAAACAATTGATGCGGGTTTATCCGCCGCACAGTCGTTAAACTGGGTAATCGGTAGTTACTTCGCAGCTTACCACCAGCCGACGCTCAGACCGTTAGGCACATTGGCGCCATTGACCGTGAAGTCCTGCTCAATGGTATTGATGTCGAACTCGCCGACGGCCACCGTCTCCCAGTGGAGCGTGTTGCCGGCAGGGCAAGGGAAGCTCTCGACGGCCGGGTTGGCGAAGCCGACCATGTCGAAGTTGAAGAAGCCAGTGGCGTCGTCGAAGCGCACGCGCGCCAGCTGGGTGTCGCGCAGGTTGCCGGAGGGCAGGTTGGCCAGGTCCGTGAAAGAGTTGCGGAAGAGGTCCAGGGCCTTCTCTCCGAGGACGCTGTCGCCGCTGCCGGCGTGGATCACCAGCGTGCAGGTCTTGCCAGCTGCGGACTGCGGGATCGGGATTTCATATAGGGTGCTGGTCTCGATCTTGCCGTTGCGGACGGTGGAGGTCTTCGAGTCCTGGGTGTTCAGGTTGGTAGTGACGTCGTGGTTCTTGATGATGCTAGGCACAGCAAAGCCAGCAAAGGCTTGCTCGCCTCGAGCGCTAACAGTGCTCGTGCCGGTAGGGGCAGCAAGTGAGAAGGTTGCCGAGACGAGGCAAAGGGCAGCAGTAGTGTACTTCATTGTGAATAGTGTGAAGTTGTTTTAGAATTGGGAGTTAGGCTTAAAGAGTTGGTAAGTATTAAGGATTAAGAATGAGCTATACTTGTTTCTTGTTTGCTCTGTGATGAGGGTGATGGTGATGGTATTCGCCCTTTTCGAGGATACGATGCCATCTTATATACAGATTCTACGCCTGCTCAAATCTCAACTATCTCGCGATATCTGGTCCATATAGCTACAACGATACTCCATGTGAATCTATTTTTACTCGATATTGTCTCTCGTTACCTGTCTGTGAGCTTAGGAGCTTATGCTATGATACTTCCAGCTGATGACGCTAACGGAGTACGATTTCTCATCATCCCATTGGCCGCCTAAGACCAACAGCTGAACAGCCGTTAGCTCACAAAGGCACAACTCCAAGGTGCTACGTAAACGAGAAAAGGTCAGCACTGTCCCAGATGAACTTGGAGATAGCCGAATAGCAAGCCACTCGGTACCGGCTGACTGGCGAAGCCCCATAGTTCGAGAATGATATCGACCCATTCGGGCCAACAACAATGACTTAGGAGATAGTAGCATTAGCCTATAGCTTAATACCCCAACATTAAGGATGAACGTCTTGGCACCATGTGTTTTCTCAAGTTTTCTTTTTATTTTTCTTCTCAGCCTCAGCTCCGCTAGTAGGATAAGCCCCCAGGACTACCTACGCCAAGCATAGCCAACACGATCCGGAGGATCTTAAGGACTGTCATGTGCCCTTTTGGCACCGGTTGTTAAGCTTCGTTATGCGAAATTGCTGCTTAGGAGCTGGTGGCCGGGACTGTTCTAGTCTTATAATCAAAGGCTACAATTGGATGATGGTGAATGGCAGGTTAATTATTCGATTGCATCTCATGCAGTCAATCTCGTGTTAGTTAAGAACTATTGTGAAATAGACTTTCGGAGTCTCGAGTTTTTCCTATTTCAGACTGCCGAGTAAAAGAATCAACGACTTTACGTAAGTGGTGTTAAGGATAAATCGTATTCTGGCTGAAGTTCTGTCTGACGCACTTTGAAGATTCAACGCTGAGCAGATTGTCGGAAGATCGTGAACTATCATTACGCCAGCTGCTTATCTTCCGGACAATACCCGACTTGAGAGAGATCTTTCTATTTGTCATTAGGACTGATCTGATGATTGTCTCAATTTTTCAATACGCCAATAGCTTTCGAATTTTTCGAGACTATAAGCTGACAGAAGTTTGTAACGTAGTATCTAATGCCGTTATTTCGTCCATTAATATTAGAGGCATTCATACGAGTCGACAAGTCTACGCTATTATGTCTCGAGAGCGTGTTTAAGAATGGCGTGCTCGGCTCTTCCACTCGCTTGCTTCTTCTCCTAGCTTTTTAAGTGCTAAGTCGTAAGCAGCTACCTTCCTCTCAAACTCGTCTTCCTTCTCCTCGGTCACCCTAATGCGCTCCACTTTCCTGCTTCTCTGGATAACCGTCTCACTGGCTACTTCATTCCAGAACCATCTTGCCTCCGGATTGGTAAAGAGTGTCCAAGCCTTGCCAGCCTTGCCAGCTCTGGCAGTACGGCCAACTCGGTGAATATATGAAGCTATACTAGACGGCATGTCGTAGTTGATGACGTGATCTAAAGTTGGAAGATCTATACCACGGGCAACAAGGTCAGATGCAACGAGAATGCGCAACTTTCCAGCCAAAAATGACCTAATGGTTCGTCTGCGAGCTACGTATTGCGTTGTTGAAGTAAGTGTACCGACAAGAGCGCCTAAGGTCGGAGAAAGAAGTGAAAGAAGACGTGAGAGACGTAGAGCTGTTTCGTTCGATTTGGTAAAAATCAAAACACTAGGCGTATTTTTATTGGCGCCAACGACATTCGGTGTCTTAAATGATTTATCTGCATCTGCATCTGCATCTGCATCTGAATCTGAGTCTGAATCTGACCCTGATGAAGAAGTTTCATCGTCCGAAATATCATCTCTGGGTCGATCATGATTGACATGTCCTAGTATGTAATCGCTTTGAAGCAGATCCAAAAGGAAGAGTGGCTTGAGGTTAGGGTCGCTGACTTTGAGGGCAGCTTCTTCGAGCGCTTCGGGAAGTGCAAGATCGGCTTGGCTTATAGTCGCTTCTGCCTCTTCGGTGATACCTGAACCCTCAAGTACGATCAGCTTAGGCCAACGAAGCTTCAAACCTTCCAGGCGATCAAGATCTCTCGTCATCGTAGCGCTGAGGATAACCTTCCGAACACCTGATAAGTTAGACTGCTTATGGTTTCGTAAGTTATTCTTTGACTGCAACCGCGGAATAACTATATCCAACCACTGCTGAAAGTTTTGACCGAGTAGTTTATCGGCTTCATCAACGACAAGCCAGCGCACGAAGTCCAATGAAAAACCGGGTGTATATTTGATATGCTCGACGAGCCTTCCTGGCGTGCAAATAAGAATATCAACCCTGGATTTGTACTTGACCACATGGTCTGGTAGAGTTTGGACTTTGTCTTCCTTCTTTTGAATAGTCGCTCTCTCTTCGTCTTCGGTATTGTAACCTTTGTCACTCTCGTCACCTGAACCGTACCCGTTCTGGGAAGCGATTCTCTTACTGCGTTTGGCGAACGCTTCTGGATCATATTCTTCTTCTCTTTCGACGAGAGCAGCTTGCTCTTGATCAATAGCCTGACTGCCCATCGAGATTCCAACGCGTACTCTCCTCTTAGTACCATTCAGACCAAAGACATTGGCACACTGTTCGCACACTTGTTGAACTTGCTTCACAAGCTCTCGAGTTGGGACAACAATCACAGCACGGAGCCTTGTCAGATGCCGATTACCTTGGCTCAGGTCTCGTACTAGAGGTAGAGCATAGGCTAAAGTCTTTCCGGAGCCAGTTGCGGCAGAAACCAGAAGGTCGCCATGCATTTTCTTGTCATGACGAGGAAGAAGTAACGGTATCGCGGCCGTTTGTATGGCAAATGCTTGTTTATATCCATTTGCAGCTAACCTCTCAGCTACTTCAGAAGTGATACCCAGCTCTGGCGACAGTCCAAACCCTGTGAAGGGTGCCGTAGCCTGCGGAGATACACGGATTGGCTTCGCCAGCCAGGAGGGCAATGTCTCGTAAGCTGGTTTCGAAGCATCAGAGACGACTGGTTTCGGCTGGGGTAACGGTTCAAGCCCATGAACTTCAAGCACTTTTGAATCTACGTCCATAGTATTATCACCACCCTCTATTTGATTTCCGCCGTTAGCGTCCGGCGCATCTCGCATCACTACATCTTCATGCTGGTCTGCTGTAGATTGCAGCTCGGGAGGTCGTATTGACTTCGCCGCCCTTTCGAGGACGGCCTTATGTCGTATTGGGGTTTCATGCTCATCCTCGGCTTCTTCGTAAATCTTGGATTTTTCTTTCTTTTTTTCTTTCTTTTTATTCTTCTTTTCTTTTCTTGGTTGGTCTGGCAATTCAGGTTGCTCCACTGGAATCTCTTGCTCAACTCTTCCCTTTTCTGGTATATTCAACTCTGTAGATATTTCATTCTCGTCAGATTTCGACTGATTAGCTAGCTCCTCTGGGTCTTCTGTATCAATCTGAAGCTCCTCGGATTGCTTTGCTTTTTTAGTCTTCTTTTTCGACCTCTTAGCAACATCGCTCTCACCCGTCAGCTTGGCTTTCTTAGCTGGTGGTTCATTTTCGTTATCATCCTCCTGGAAGTGAACATGTTGAGAGGGTTGAAGATAGTTTGGTTGACTATTGGCTAGTTTTGGGGGTGGGATATATCTCGCGTAAGCTGTTGGCTGTGACTTCACCGGCGGGTTTGGTGATGATGGTGCTTCAACAGCCTCTAGTGGCTCTGAACTTTGAGCGATTCCTTTTGGTGGTGGCACATATCGGGCATACATTTTCGTATGTGTAAGATTGATTCAGCGCTGCGCTTTAGCTGCAGGAAATAATAAACTTTAAAAAGTCAAACTAAGGAATAATGAAGACTTTCAGTCCAATAATTCTGCCATCGCATAAAAAGTTGGCCGCCTTCCTAATTTCGATTATCTTTAGTGGGTTTTTGGATAAGAGCATTATCGATAAGAGTTAGATACCATGTGGGGATACCTTAGGTACCTTAGGTAGCTGCTTAGGTACGGTTTAAGTGGATCGGAAACTGAGGATCCAGGTTCATGCTTGGGACCCTCCCAGGCTCCGCACTTAAACAAACCCCAGACTTTCAATCAATTTAGTCAATCCCCCAACCAACATCGCTGCCTCAACGCTCGCCTACTTCGTAGGTAATGACTTAGTTCAATTGTAAATACTCGCTCGTCGCGGAACTCGTTGATAAATTAATAAAATCTCGAATATGATACGAAATTCTCTGCAGCGCTCCGCTCATCATCCGCCACGATGCCGCACCGAACGTACAATATCGCTATGGTTAGCGATTTCTTCTTCCCCCAACCCGGTGGTGTCGAAAGTCACATATACCAGCTAGCTTCCAAGTTAATTGACCGAGGTCACAAGGTTATCGTGATAACTCATGCTTATGACGACCGGAAAGGAGTTCGCTACCTCACGAACGGCATCAAGGTCTTCCACGTTCCTTTCGCCGTCATCTACCGATCAGCTACTTTTCCAACCGTCTTCTCTTTCTTCCCCCTCTTCCGAAACATTATCATTCGGGAAAGGATCCAGATCGTTCATGGACATGCAAGCTTGAGTACCCTCTGCCAGGAGGCATTGTTGCATGCCAGGACTATGGGACTACGGACAGTTTTTACTGATCATTCGCTATTTGGCTTCGCTGATGCGGCAAGCATCTTAACTAATAAGCTATTAAAGTTCACACTCAGCGATGTAGACCATGTAATATGTGTCAGTAATACATGGTACGTTTTCCAGCTTCTACTTAAGCCACGCTTTGACGGCTCCGCTAACACCTCTCAAAGTAAGGAAAACACTGTTCTCCGAGCAGCTCTAGATCCCCTCATGGTCTCTGTTATTCCCAATGCCGTTGTCTCCGAGAATTTCTTACCTCTACCCCGTCCGGACCCGAATAGTCTACCGTTTGTTCAACATCCGTTACCAGCGCACCCCCTTGGACCCAACGATACCCTCACTATCGTAGTGATTAGTCGTCTGTTTTACAACAAGGGAACAGACTTGCTGATCGCAGCTATCCCTCGAATTCTCGAGAATCATCCGAACACGCGCTTCATCATTGCCGGCTCGGGACCAAAAGCTATTGAACTGGAGCAGATGATTGAACAGAACGTACTACAGGACAAGGTCGAGTTATTGGGACCTGTACGACACGAAAACGTACGTGACGTGATGGTAAGAGGTCACGTCTACCTGCACCCCAGTCTCACAGAAGCCTTCGGAACGGTTATCGTCGAAGCTGCGAGCTGCGGTTTATATGTTGTATGTACGGCAGTTGGGGGTATTCCCGAGGTGCTTCCTTCACACATGACGGTATTTGCGAAGCCCGAAGAGGATGACCTAGTAGCTGCGACAGGAAGGGCAATTGCTGCCCTCCGGGCGAATAAGGTCCGCACGGAGAAATTCCACGACCAGGTCAAAGCCATGTATTCGTGGACCAACGTAGCAAAACGTACCGAGCGCGTTTACCGAGGTATTTCGGGGGATATCAGCGAGGCTGAGTTTTACGGTTTTGACGTTAATCATGATCCACATTGGCACGCCACCCGCGGTCGCAACTTTTCTCTGATTGACCGCCTCAAGCGCTACTATGGTTGTGGTGTTTGGGCCGGTAAGCTGTTCTGCCTATGCGTCATCATCGATTACCTGATATTTGTGTTCTGTGAGTGGTACTGGCCCAGGGATCGGATTGATTTCGCACGAGATTGGCCAAGGAAGAAGTTTGAAGGTGACGATGATGATTAGGTTTATACAGTCTAAGACTAACTATGCCTCCAGCCAAAAGAGGACATAAACAGCGAATAGAGATACCCATGATTTAATTTATTATTTGTTCTAAGTCACCATTGGAAGCTGACCTTCCTCTAGTACGAATATCGCAATATCATTTCAGTAGCCTGACAGCCCAACGATTAGGTACTTCACATCACGCCACACCTCCCTATCTACCTAGGTACCTGTCTATTCCTAAATAATAAGCCTGGAAAAGTTCTTATGCTTGCTCACAGTCGAACTAATCGACACGTCGGAAGTACTATGCGAAGGATTATACCGTCGACTGCCGCTCTACAGGATTCGATAATATGATATTGACGTCGAGCTAACGAGTGAAACAATGATAAATCACTTAAGTGTCAACCAAGAAAACATCTCTTCCGAGCGTTTTGACTATTACTTGGAACTAGATCACGCTGCTTCATAACTATAGGCCGTTTCCAATCCATATGCCTATCCCCTATAGATGACCGAATCAAAACGGCGTATTCGACATGGTACATGTACACCTCAAGGTAGCACAAATGCTATGCTATGTTGTGGTAAGAGGCCATTGGCCACGACGAGTGAAAAATCAGCAACATTTATGAAAGCAAAATCAAGATTCTACTACCTACCTCTTGATTTGACTCAGCCCTATGGGTGCAAGTGGCCAGTACCGCCCTACTATGTGTTAGTTTGGCGCAGTCTAGGCCACCACGTATCTCCAGAAGCTTCGTATATGTGCCTAATCGGTTTTGATACGTGGATGGGCTCACTTGAGGATTGGTGTACACCCAGATGCAATCCGGGTATGTGACGTAGGAACATACTAAGTCCTTGGGCCATCACTGCCCGAACCACGGACATGGACCCAGCCAGTTTGTATTCATCCAGTTATATAGGCCATCATAGGGGGGCTCGTCGAACTGGGAATAATCACAGTTTCAAAGCTGTAATACAATCCCCGGTTGCCCTGTAGAGCTTTCAACTGAAACTTTTCATTTTTTTGGCTACTCATTGCTTATTCCCTAGGAGACATTTCTTTGCTAACTGAAAAATACTCCTAAACTCAGGGGGGAAGCGAATCCGCCACCTTAGACCTATCGTCAGTCCCAGGAAGACAAACCAGCATGGCGGGTACGTGTCGTCTCGTAAACTCAACATAAACAGTTCTGATATTAACACTTCTACTAGACGCAATTCCCATCATTGCCTGGTGGTTCATCGATAAGAAAAAGGCCTTAGAGACCGAACAGAAGTACAGGGAGACGAATAAACGGATCGCCGAGGTTATCCTTGCTCAAGAGCAGGAGCGTACAGCTCGTCAGGAAGTTGAACGTAAAGAAGAGCAAGAACGCTTAGGTCGACAAGAAGCTGAATGCCGGGAGAAACAAGAACGTCTGGCTCGAGAAAATGCCGAGCGTAAAGAACAGCAAGAACGGCTGGCCCGACAGGAAGCAGAACACAGAGCAGAGGAAGATCGTCTAGCCCGAGAGCAAGCGGAATACAACTTGGAACAAGAACGCTCAGCTCGGCATGAAGCAGAAAATCGGGTGCAAGAGGAACGTCAGGCCCGAGAAGAGGCTGAACAGAGAGAAGAGAAGGAGCGTTTAGCTCGACAAGAGGTAGAGCTCAAGCTAGAGCAAGAATGTTTAGCTCTAGAGAAAGAATGTTTAGCCCGAGAGCAAGCGGAACTCAGACTAGAAGAGGAGCGCTTAGCTCGACAAGAGGCAGAGCTCAAGCTAGAGCAAGAATGTTTAGCTCTAGAGAAAGAATGTTTAGTTCGAGAGCAAGAATGTCTAGCCCGAGAGCAAGCGGAACTCAGACTAGAAGAGGAGCGCTTGGCCCGACATGAAGCGGAGCGAAAAGAGGAAGAAACGCGCCTGGCCCTAGATCTGGCAGAACACAATGAAAGAATAGCCCGAGAGGCAAACGAAAAAGAACGATATGAACATGAACTACAATTACTGTAAGAACTTTACCTAAGGCCTTTCTCCTTTTACGAGCTCCTTACTCGCTGCTAATAATGGAATCAATAGGGGGATTCGAGCAGACCGCGAAATGATAACCGATGCCGATATGAAGGGTGCCCGAGAAGCTGCAGGATACGAAGAAGGGCGCGTCAATATCGCTGTTATCGGCAGCCGAGGATCGGGTAGATCCTCTCTCATCGACTCATTGAGAGGCTTGAGTCTCGGTGATTGGGGTTCGGCCAGGGTGGGTGAGATGTTTATAACTAGGCGGACCAAATATAAAGATGACTACCACAAGAACATTTTGTGGCATGATATCCCAGCATTTGAGACTCACGATGCCTCGGCAACCGATTACTATTTTAATAATTGCCTGTACGCCTACGATAAAATTGTGTTTGTCCACAACACAAAGTTGACTGAGGTATGCTCGCAATGACCCCCCTTATTAGAATAGTTCATACTAACTAACCGTCTAGCCGGATCTGAGAGTCCTGAAACTGTGTCAATATAGGAAACAAGAATGGATTTCGGTACGCTCTCAAGCCGATTTCCAAATGTGGAGCTGCAAACGACGGAAGGGAATACCTCTCGCTGAAGCGCGCCAGTGCTACATCGACGCTGTTCGGGCGGATATGGCTACGTACGACGCGCTAGACGCGAAGATGGTCCCAGATCTAAAGCTGTCTGTAAAAGACTACATCGTCTCGGAAGCGGGTGTCCTCCAGCTCGTCACTGGCTCCAAGCCATCCGACGACCCGTTCGAACAATTGATCGACGAAGCCGCCTTTCTAGAGAAGTTAGGGTTGTCGCCTGGATGTGTGGAAGGCGAATAGGGGCGTCATGCTATTTGACATACTTTGCAATGATGAAACCCTCCTCTCTCCCTATTCGTCATCTCGAAAACCTTACTAGGTATGAAATTGGGGACGCTGCCATGGGGGGAATAAGTAGATTCAAACCTCCGGCGGAATGAGGGTGTAGGATAAGTGCGAGGGAGAATGAGCATATGTATTTGGGGAAATTAATCTTAATCACTTTTTTCCAAAAGAGGGTCATGGGTTTAACAAAAGAAGTGCTGGTGTACGTCAGGAGGACTGTTGGGAGCTGGTAAATTGTGGTTGAACGCCATTCAAAATTCTATTTGATTCCCTATCTTAGGTATCTATCTACCTACCTACCTACCTTTCATGCATATTAACATGAACGAGGATACAGCGTTGAAATGTTGCGCTTGTAAGTATGTGTTCACGATGTCCTTTGTTTCCTCCTACCAGGTTAGATAGGTAGAGTGTGATAGTAATTGTGCTAATAGGAAGAAATCTGTGAGATATAAACCGCTGAGCCAAAGTATTAGATTATTAGATCGTCGAGCAGAGATGCGATCTTGGTCAGATCGCAGAGATTGCCGAAACGAAAAGTGATAAACCCGAGAACGTTATAACCCAAGAAGCCGAGGAGATGGGTTGACTCGAAGCAGTATTAGGAGTCGATGCGGGTTCTCCCGCACCCGCCGTTGTAGATGCTGGCACCGAGCCTGATCCGGTAGTGGTACTTGGTACATCAGTAGGGACTGCTGTTGTGCTGGCCGCTGTGGAGGTAGAGACATATCCCACGATGCTCGCACCATTCTCGTCCACGTCGCCCCTAAACTTGCCTGTCTCGTTGCGCACCTTGAAGTCGACACTCGCCCGCGGGAAGTCCATGTCAATCTTGCTGGTGGCGTTAGACCAGACGGTCGCCAACTGCCAGAACACAGGCATAAAGTCGTCCTCGATGAAGTGCATTAACTCGGGGTTCTGTTTCCAGACGTGAATTGTCGCGTTCCGGATCTCGGAAGTCTCGATCTCGTCAGTGCGGTCTCTGGACTCCGATTCGTCTAGCTCGTCGCTCAAGGTGCCGTTCTCCGTAACTATCAGATTCGTCTTGATCCACGGGAAAGAGTAGATGGTGTCATCGACCATGTCGACCCACGGAACGTATGATATCTCTAGGAAAGCGAGATAGCGATCGCCCCGTCCGGCGCTGCCCGGGTCCGTGAGTACGACTGCCGGCTGCTCGAACACGATCTCCTTGGCGGACAAAACATCTTTGGGTGGCTTAGATTGTGTTATTTTAAGTCCGGACTTGTAGGTCGCAGTAAAATCGAAGTCATCACCTGTTATAGGCGTCCGGAAGGCGTTTACTTGGCACAAGGCCAAAGCCGTTGCTAGAAAGACTCGAGTGCCGAAGACGTACATCTTGGGCGGATGATCTAGATACCTAATGCTTCGTCGCTGCTATAAATGGGCCAAAATAAATTGAGTCACCTTCGGAGGTATATACCGTGGTATAGGAATGAACGGTTCACCCACCACGTCTCCGGCGTCGCGGTCCACCTTATATATACATTTTGAATGCACCAAACGATTGGACTTAGAGTCCCTTCGTATTTACATCCTTATCTGAATTCATCCGTCCAATGAAACCAACATCGAAAAAAAAAGTCCAATCCTTATGAACAACAGCTAGGTACAGCGTAGTAGCAGTAATTACAGACTAGGAAATCAGGCTTGATTTGGCAAGGCCCCTGCCAACATCCTTGGTCTGGGCCACCTCGGCGCGATAGCTTCAAGCCAGTCAGCCTTAAGGGCCAAGATGAGAGCAAGGATCGCATGATTTGCACGATAGGCTGTTGCTAGAAACGGGATGGTTAACAAGGATAACAGGGTTTATTTGTGGAAGTTGGAACAAAAGGACATGCCAATGCCAAAAAAGGGATCATGCGCTTCTCCTTTAAAGATTATCGCCAGATTTAATATCATATCCGACTTTATTTTAGCGGCTCTCAAACTACAACTCCGCTATGCAACACCCACATATAATTCTCACCATTATACCTGTAAGATTCGGGTTTAGCAATCACCGGATCGTGAAATAAGAGTCTGTAACTATTTTCCGCCCTCGCACATTGCAAGTCAATCGGTAAATTAGCAAAATCAACTGTCTGCCTCTCATTCGACTTTATTCAAATGTTACTAGCTTGAGTGTTCTTAAACCGAATAGGGACTACTATCGCATCTATCATTGAGAGCTAGCTATCGAAAATGATATACCTAATGTATATCACATTTGGCTTTTACAACCTTGTCAGATCTCCATGCTCAGTTGAGAAAGGAAAGCACTAGGACCAACACGAGCTCTTAGCATCGTATTTAGCCGCGCAGATGATACAAAAGTGGGTTCGTTATAATCTCAGCTAGACACAGCAAAGGGCTTCTAATATAAACTTCAACATGCGGCCAATATACTCATTGTCTCTATAATCCTTCCATAAACATATTTCTTGAGACAGGTACCTCTAGATAGTTAGTATTGATTCAAGAACCGCCGTCAACGACATTCAGTAGCGCGCGATCCATTGTAATAAGGGGCCACTTATAGACGTAGAAATAAATGAATTCAGAGGCAGCAGAATAGTCCGAATCAGAACTTAAAAAGGTTAAATACCTACTCTTAACAATATTTCTATTGAATATAGCTGTCGAATGTTTTTGATAGGTTGATCTTTATTACTACCTACTCCCAAAAACTCTTCAAGGTATATTCTCCACTTACTCTACTATACTGTCAAGTATGCCCGCCGGTGGATGTCATGTACTGAGTGAGTGTCAGGGCATAGTACCTAATGTAGTCTATTGTAGAGATCTAGTAACGCCTGGGCTTCTAACCTCCCTCGAAGGAGCTGGCTACCCTTTACATAGACAGTAGTGTAGAGCCTCATACTAACCAGTAGGTATACCCTTGCTATACCCACATATACTCATACCTCTAACATGTACTTTTCCCATTACTACGTTGCTCTAGCCCTTTCCCATGTTTCCGTTACAATCTTCCAGTATCGTTCGCCATCCGTTCTCATATGCGATACATGTGTACTATGTTCAAAAACCTCTGTACGCACGTCTAGTCCCTCTGCGGCAGCTTGCCTTGCATGCATTTCCACATGCCTCCAGTCTACCATGACATCGGCTTTGCTATATATATACGCACGATTCGTCTGCTTGACCAAGTCCAGATCGTTGAAAACTCTCCAGTTTGCAGAAAGGTAGTCCTCGCCAGTGATAAATCTGAAAGCGTGTATGATCCAAAGGCAGGTAACAAAAAGGATGATGATAGGAGTTGCTATGAATCGGAGGAAGCCCCTTGGAAAGTTGAGAATCAAAACGCTGTAAATAGTCGAAAAGGAAAATATCCCGGGACATGAGTCGTATACTGCCGCATGAAGTGGAAAGGGGCGCCCCGTTCGAAATTGGAATAATTCGTATAACGTCCGTATAGTGGTCGAACCACCGTTCGAAAATAGATGCTATGCACAGGTTAACAATTTAGGGATGCGCCTTAAGACGAGCTTCGTCATCATGTATAAGTTTATCATTTGAAAATTATTAAGAGGAAACGATGGTGTGTGATCTCAACGTGCCAGTATCTCTCTTCATACGTACCATGAGTATCTCAGGCTCGCGTGGTGATGCGGATAGAAAACCGGCATCTAACTGGGACCGAAGGTATGTGAAAGCAGGTTCGACAGCGTTTCGTAACAGGGATGGAGACACGGATTCCTTGAGGACGAACTTGGCCAATACAATCGTGGAGGTAGGATAAACGGCCTGGTAACGCGTGATATACTTGACAATGTGCAAGTCTTGTGCATCCATCCACGATGCAACGAAGATCAGCTTCGGGACTCGCAAGCGGGTAGTTTCCGGTGTAACGACGGACTCGGGTTCGTAGATGTAAACGAACGGAGACAATTTTTTCATCATGGATAGCGGTTTCACCGCAGTCGTGCTCGGTAGGTTTGACGCCATTCCGTAGTTGTGTTATTCAAGACGTAGTTACTAGGTTAAGTAATTATTGTATTTTATGGCTTCTAACTACGCAGAGCCTCAGCCTGGCCTTTTATAATACTGCGTGAGGCTGGAGATGTATCCAATTATTTCTTAGAATATGCGATACCTATGTACCTTGGTACCGGGGCGCCCTGACCCATTCGGTGCAATTCGTGCCCCGTTTGAGTGCCGTTAGTCGGTGGTAACGGTAGATCAAGTTGCCGATCTGCCTGGCGCTTTACCTCCCCCAGAGGTATATCTGTATATATCTCTTGTATACCTATCTCCGGTATATCTTCAACATCTAAAGAGCGTACCTGGTATCAACCTATGCATAGTAACGACAGACATAACACAAGCGAAACAGAATCTCGAAAAAATGGTTGCATATATGCTGCAAGATACTATATAGAGTCAAATAAGCGAGAGCTTCGTATCTGTGCTACTCACTTTGATCGGCTTGTGTAATTCAGTTAAGCAAACTCCTAACTATTTTGCTATGAGCTTTCCTTTTCTACCTAGCCTCATATATACTATATAATTATCTCGGATAGTATTCAAATGCGAATGGTCCGAGTATAGAATTTACGTAAATGACTTCAACTGACCACAGCATACTTGAAAGCCTACGTTGCGTATATGAGGTATGACCCTATACACCTGCAGTGACCCGCGGCTCAGATCCTTTCTGATTTCATTACGGCTTCCTACGTAGGTTACTTCTTACACCAGGCAAGTCTTTTCAAGCAATATGTCCCTTTCGAAACGAGCAATGCTCCTTTCTCATTTGTATGCTATATATGCGTGCCTGATCTACCTACAAACATGTATATATTAGAGCCAATTATAAGTCCAAGAGAATTTCCCTTCGAAATTCTTCGCTATATCTCTTCTGTCTTTACTCCAAACTCCCATTATTTCTCTACTCGTACTTTCAACACAATCCTACTGGTACTATTCAATATGATGGCTCTGAAATCACTCGCCACATTTAGTCTCTTCCTCCCGTCATTAGCTGCTCCTGCCCATTCTAATTTGCCTTTGCTCAATTATACACAAAGTCCTGAATCTGGGGATCTAATTCACTCGCTCTCCCTTCCCGGGTTCCGGTTCCGTCGTGTGAAGCCGCTTACATCTATCCCCGTCGAGAGAAAGGTCCAAAACTATATAGACTTGAGACGCGTTCCCCACGACGTACGCAAACCACGCCGCTCCGCAGCGGCCTTGTTCGGTCAAATCCAACGTGGTAGCGGCGGCACCGGGTACGAAAATGTCACAGCTATTAATCACTATGCCGCCGAGTACGCTGTACAAGCCTCCTTGAATGGACGGCAAATGGAACTTGTCATAGATTCTGGATCTGCAGATACCTGTATGATAATCGCGAAACCCCCCAATCGCGTAGTACCTCCCTAGACTGTGAGAGATAGCTAACGACGTTTTTTTTTTTTTTTTGAAGGGGTTGTAGGATCTAACTTCAGCTGTAAGGGGATCTTCAATGAGACCCTCTCCGATGATTTCTGCTCCCTTGGCCCTGCTTTCTCAGGAAACTTTACTGGGGGGCCTCTACCCAATCTGCACTTTGCCATTAAGTACGGGGACGGCGAAGGCGTACAGGGTCGTGAGTAGATCTCTATAATAGACTCTACAAGGGACATACTGTAAAAATACAGTGCTGACTTCTCGATATAGTGATGGGACAAGTGGTGAGTAACAGATAAGGGAGACACGAAACCCAGTCAGAGGCGGAGGATGCTCTAATTCACATGTGAACGACTGGCTTTCGTTGTCAAGGAAGCGACGATTGTTTAACTAATTATTTACCTACCTAGGATGTCGAATTTGCGGGAGTAACGGTATTCGACCAAGAAATTGCCATTGCCAGCCAAGGCACATGGCGCGGTTAGTATATGCCTACCCTATCTCTATCGAAAGGATATGCTCTGTCAATATTCTAAGTTGAACTTCTAGGTAACAACGTCACTTCTGGCATCCTCGGGCTCGCTTACCCTTCACTTACTAACGCCTACTGGGGAGACGACATTTACGACACTACTCCCCTTCTCTGTGTTCCCTATTCTCCCCTTTTCACTTCAATGGTTTCTGACGGGTTGGTCGAGCCGTATTGGGCTATTGCTTGTATGCTAACTTCGTGCCCCTTTTCTACCTTTCTTTTTTTTCAAAAGCAATCTAACATGAGAGCAGTGGCTAGGAACTCGTCTCTTGGTTCCGTAAGCGTTGGGGGAATGCCGCCAGTCGATATTAATGAGAATGATCACGAGGAGACCCCTATTATCATTGCAAGTAAACTCGCTCGCTGTAACATGGTAAAGGTGTTAACCCACTAAGCTAGGCGGATGTTATCGACCGGGATAGCACATCTTGGAGGCCATCCTTCTATACAATAGTCCCGACAGCTTTTAAATCCGGAGGAACAACAACAGCCGGGCATTATCCATTCATATTAGACACTGCTACATCATTGATTTACCTCCCTCCAGGTAACTACATCCAAGTCGAACTATTGAGGACTTAGCTAATCTAAGGCTATAGACATAGCTGAGATGGTGAATGGGAAATTCGATCCGCCTGCTTCGTATCTGTGGAACTACGGCGCGTATTTCACAAGCTGCGACGCCATCCCGCCAAGTTTTGGTGTCCAGATCGGAAAGACGACGTACTGGGTCAATCCTAAGGATTTACTAAACAAAGAAGAGAGGGATCCTGAGACCAACCTCTGTCAAACTGGAATAAGCAGCGGAGGTAATGGACCTTATATCTTGGGAATTACATTTTTGACCAATGTTGTCGCGATGATGAATATCGGATCTGGCAACGTCGAGCTCTGGAGCCACCAGTTTTACTGATGTTCAGAGGAGACAACTCTTACCTATTGGAAAAAGAGGAATGTTAGGTACCTACTAAGCATGCGGTGGCATGTTTGCAAGGTTTTATCTAGACTGGCAATCAAAGTATTGGCCCTTCCTCCATGCTAAGAAACCAACCCAAGCCACTTCCTACATTTCATCTTGCGCTTGATATTTGAAGATGTTATTTTCATTTCGAATGATATATGAATACCTACCTACCTTACCTAAAGTTATAAGTAATGAGGAAATAGGGCGACACACTTCGTAATTGAAAGTGCGATTATTTTTAAGGGGAAGGGGGGCTTGTCATAGGTAATAGAGATAGGGGGTCCCGGTAGCCCGGTAGGTCTACACAAGATCTCCCGGCATCCCTGTCGGCTCCTCCAGATCTACTTGACTCGGGTTGCTCCGCTAGTCTGTCTAAGCAGCGCCCGCGGTGCACGTGGTATCGTGAGTTATGCGCGCTATCATTGCCAATAGGGACTGGACTGTCATCTCTGTGTCGGAATACCTTAGGTAGGTAGGTACCTACTTAGTCTTTATTTTCTATTCGATTCCGGACAATGAAAGCACTCTAGCGGGCCTGGTAAATTTCATTTTCATCAGAAGGCCCGTGAGTTGAAGGCAACTTAATTCATCTTTCCATTTCTCCGAATTAGTACCACCTACCTGCCTGAGGCATCGTAACAATCAAACGATAGGTATCGATACTAGCGGTCAAGATAACCCCAGAAAGGATTTCGCCGCAGAACCTCAAAGGTTACTGGGACAGGGACAACTTCATTACCATAGGCCGGATCTCAAGGCGGCAATCCGAATTATACGTAATTGCCACGATGAGGGGCGTCGTTACAGGGGGCTGAAGAGGTCACGAGTCGACTTTTTCCCGAGTGAGACGATGAATTTCATTTCTCGACACGAACTCACCCGCTTCTTTCTACTACAGTGTTCGAGGATTTATAATGTAATAGCGTGCATTCAACAAGCCTCGTGACGATGCGGTGCGGGACCCAATTGTAATAGCGGTTTTTTGCAATGTTCTTGGTATGGTCCTGTGGTCTGTGTGAAGTGAAGTATGGCCGTTTTAGTCAAAGTTGACTTGGATTATTTCTTCTTTTCTGACGTGGAAGACTTCGGTGGCTGGGGTAAAGAAAAAAATATTCGTAATATCGTGGCACCAACCACGCCATATGCCATGGCTATTTGTATCGGTAGTAACTGTCACTGCTGAATTCAAAAGTAATTGGTAATCTTCCCCAAGCGGGAAATGGGGAAGGTAATATTTTCGGGAGTAGTCGGTTGCGGGTGGACGGATTGTTATATCATCATCGTGTTATAGAACAAGCAATTAGGATTCCGGTAAGTTACCGAGGATTTCATTTATTTGATTCCGATGATAAAGTAAAGATAGGTCTTGTGATAGTTCAGCTGGCATACTCTCTTTCAGTCTTTTTCCTCGAGTGTCCCAAATAGGAACGGAAAATATATATCTAAAATCTGCATTAGTATAGTTATAACAGAGGTACTTAACCTACCCGTTAACAAATTGTAAAAGTCTTTTGTTAGTTATTGGCTTGCAAGGTTGGTTCATAAGATGATACTAATAATACTAATAAAGTTGATTAACAAAAGTTGATGATTGATGACCAGGTTTAGAAAAGTCTAGCTGAAAAGGTCGATTTCATCTTACGAGTTATTCTTCTTATTCTCGGTTCCTCCTTATGAGCTATCTCTTAAACTCTAAAAAGTACGGGGTCCAGCTCGGCTCACCTTGAATTCCAATTGGTCCCCTCGGCTCTCTCCATTGGTCCCTTTGCCCCGCAACCCGATACAAAGCGGGTTCTCCATTCCAATGCGGGGCTCTATTGCCGAATTTTGAAATTTTTCGAGCTACCCCAGGCTAACGCAGCTACCTGCAGTTGTGCAGTTGCACTGTAGCTAGCTTCCTCCTGTCCTATCTGGTCTTGCCCAGGTGTCCGTTGATCTTGCTTGGTCTTGCCCGTCCAGCTGGTCTGTTCCACTAAGGTGGTACCCGTCTGTTGTACCTTTTGTACCTTACGTAGATGTAATGGGGGAAGGTACATTGCCTTGTCAGACCTTGTTAGACCCTGTTGCTGGTTCCTGAGAATCCCGGTGTCATACCCAATCACATCCCAGTGGTGACGGAATCTCCTGCATCACCGCAACTTTCCTTTCCATTCATGAATCCAACCCGTCGTCTTCTTCTTTTTCTGGATGCAACACTACACCATCACATTACAGGACTTTGTTTTTCTTTTAAACTTCTACTTGGGTTAATTACTACTGAAAACATTACTGATAATATTGAAAGAAGAAAAAGGCCTAACGCGATCATCCAGTTCTCTCATCAGTTTTTTTCTTCTTCTTTTTTTTTAGCTCGTATCCCAACCAAGATCCACGATCTTATCTTAAATCCAATTCCCTTTTATTTTCCAGATTTTCCATTATTTTCCAGCCGAAATTTTAAATCCCCCTTTCTCGTTTATCTTGTCGTACAAACCTACCGACTTCATCAATATTACCCATTGCCTCACATGCTCCCACTGGTGACATCTACAACTATAACCTTGTCACATTGGAAAGTTGGAAAAAATGGCACCAGGTACTAAAGGCCGCGTCGTCCAGGTTGAGGACACCAAGATCTGCGTTGTTATGGTCGGTTTGCCTGCGAGAGGAAAGAGTTACATAGCACAGAAAGGTACTACATTCGTCTTGAGTCACATGCCAATTCATTCTCCCCCTTTGATCCAGCCATTGTGAAACCCCAGGAGGGCTGACTTGTTCTTGTACTGAAGCCCAGCGTTACCTTCAATGGCTCTCTATCGACGCGAAGACATTCAATGTTGGTAACTACCGGCGTCATGACGCCCCCCAACCGCCAGCCGACTTCTTTGATACCAGCAATATCGAGGGAGAACGTAGACGCCGCCTCGCCGCCGAGGCCGCTATTAAAGACATGTTAGGATGGTTCCGTCAGGGCGGTGTAATTGGCATCCTCGATGCTACCAATTCTACCAAGGAACGCAGAAAATGGGTTTACGACGTGTGTACTAAAGAGGGTATCGAAGTCCTGTTCGTCGAATCCAAATGCGATAACGAGGACCTTATCATGGCCAACATTCGAGACGTCAAGACTACCAGCCCCGACTACAAGGGTCAAGACCCTGAGAAGGCCGCTTTAGATTTTCGTAATCGGATAAAGAATTATGAGAAGGTGTACAAGAGTATAGATGCCGATGGCGACGAGAGCGAATATACCTATCTCAAGATTATGAATGTCGGGGCCCAGGTGATCATCAATCGCATACAAGACTACCTACAAAGTCGGGTAGTATACTACCTTATGAACCTACACATTCGTCCGAGATCGGTGTGGCTCTCGAGGCATGGTGAATCGCTATACAACCTCTATGGGCGAATTGGAGGTGATGCGGAACTGTCTCCACGAGGACACCAGTATGCGAAGAAGCTACCGGAACTCGTTCGTCAGTCTGTCGGGGTGAGTTTATACCAGCCTGAAATTTTTTTTTCCCTAGAATGACCAATCTAATGATTCGATAGGGTGATCGTCCCCTCACAGTATGGACTTCGACACTAAAGCGTACAATACAAACGGCTCGTTTTCTACCCGATAATTATAACCAGCTCCAGTGGAAAGCATTGGACGAGCTTGACGCAGGTGTTTGCGACGGTATGACCTACCAAGAGATCAAGGACGTCTACCCCGAGGACTTTGTAGCGCGTGACGAAGACAAATACAACTACCGCTACCGGGGCGGCGAATCATACCGCGACGTTGTTATCCGTCTTGAACCTATTATAATGGAGCTTGAACGATCTGAGGACATCCTCATTGTTACCCACCAAGCCATCCTGCGCTGTATATATGCGTATTTCATGAAGAAGGATCAGTCTCTCAGTCCCTGGATGAATGTCCCGCTTCACTGCCTTATTAAGCTCACCCCGCGTGCCTATGGTACCGACGAGGAAAGATATCAGGCTGATATCCCCGCTGTTAGCACGTGGAGAGGTAAGGGAAGTACCGCTAAGCACGAAGACCCTATACCAGAGTCAAATTTGGGTTACAACTCGACGGCGGCAGTTCACTAAGAGAGGATCCTGCCCTGATTGGTACAATTGGCTATTATGACTATGATGAAAATAAGATGTTGGTAACTTGGAGCAGGATAACGACTACTGCTAGAGAATCCAGTGGGCTGGTACAGAGGGGCGCATTAACGGATAAACTTTACATTGCTACGGTCCTTGTTTTGATAACCGGCTTTGTGGATAAAAAGGAACCGCCGCATATTAATATACATAGAGTGGGGGTTGGGTTGTTTGCATGAAATACATGTCCGGTGTTGTAAATATATTTACATGCCTTTCTACATACCTATTCCATAGGCACTGGACTTTTGATCAAGGTCAAAGAAAAAAAAAAACAAGTTAACATTTTTACTTTTTTTCGATTTTCGCAGTTGTATATATGATGCGCGTGCTATACAAAAATGCCTATCCACCTGGGGCATGCATATGTGTGGCATTTTCAATACCGGAATCACATGCGCACTACTTCCTGGTTATAGTGTTACAATGTTTGAGTCACGCCATAAAAGCTGAAATGCTCGAGATGAAGTAATTCCGATTGCTTGAGAGGTTGGACATGGGTATTTTGGGTGCCACATCGAACCCCTTTTCTATCTCAGATTTACCTCATTACTCTTTATAAGTTAGCTACACAACTACACCGCCAACGCCATCGAACGCGACAGATACAAGAAGTATACAACTCCAAGCAAAAGCCCTCATTGAGACTTTTCAATCTTGTCTCACTTGATTTTAAGTACTTATTACCAAGCGTTCTCCAGATAATTAACAGACGTTGTAGGTGGGTAGACTGCCGCCCTGGTAGATAAAGCCGGCCTCCCACTGCGGCCTATCCGGGCTGACGAGGGTACCGGCTTGTCCGCCGGCTACGCATAGAGCTTCGGCGGAGATGAGTTGGTTGCCGATGAAGTTGGTGTCGGTCGACAGTTGCTGGCATAGGGCGCAGAAGAAGCCCCAGCAAGTCCCGTATTGGAATAATAGGCACGCGTTGGGTGCTACGATGAGCGGTTGATCAAGAGCGAAGACTTCGTCGATTATGTTGTTGCAGTCGCTGTCGCCAGGAGCGGGGTTCTGTATATGAAGAAGATGGAATGTCAGTCTGAAGGGAGATGTATAGGTACCTACCTAAGGTACCCAAGGTAAGGCGTGATAGGTGGAAGAGCAGCAAGTCATGGTCGACTCTTAGTAAGTGGATATTAGGAAAGGGGAGGCGAGAGGTAAAAAAGCATACCGTGTTCCTGCATTCGTAAAAGTCACTGGCGGGAGACTGATGCGATGATAGGACCGAGCTTGCGGGAACTTGCTTCAAGTTCACCTTATCGAGGTGCAGTGACGGCTGTACCGTCTCCACTTCATACACCGGCTGAGGCCTTCGACCTTCTTTTTGGGCATGGTTGAATCCTTCTACCGCAGAAGCGGCGAGGCCAGCAATCAGAGTGAGGAAGAAGGTTGACTTCATGGTGGCAGGAATTGAATTGTGTGATGAGCAGTGATCGACAGAGGCTGATATTCTCCGAGAATGGTGCAACATCTATCCCATTCAGAAGGCTTTTTGCACGCTTTTTATATTGATTCCCTCCACCAACATGCCGCACGCTTGGCTTGGAGGTAGCGAGAAAAAAGGCAGCACCACACTCCGACTTACGGTAACCTTGAGTCCTAGGACCTGCCGGATGAGGCATTAGACGTCCTTGCCTCGGTGGGCAGATGATAGATAGCTCGCGGTCTCGACCTGATCACAGCTCAGCTCACGGTCGATCTGGAGACTGGACCATGATGTCCACGGCCATGTTTTTACGCATTTATTCCTAGGCGATAGATGTGCCGGCCCTACCAGTCCAAATCCTGCCATGACCCAAGCCTCGCAACCCCCCAGCATCAACCAATGATTTCCGGCTTCCCAAGCAGCTTGTCAGGTCCCGGACTCCACCTCAGCCGTGTTCTATCACCTTCCCATGGTACACCCTTGCGGAGCTCTACCAGATGATGGACCAGAAGGCCGGACAAGCCCGACTCTCGGACGTGTGATACGACATGATCCAAGTAATATCTCGAGCTTACAATCACCTCACAGCTACCATTTTGAGATAACTCCTCGCAACGGTGTCACATCGCATTGTAACGTGGTAGCCAAGTGCAAATCCGAATCCAATAAGAGCTTGAATAAGGCTAGGATACGGGAAACGGGAAACAGTTAGGGAAGCAAAGGGGTGGTAGTTCGGCCGATGATGATGAGCCTAGCGCGCCACAAGAACGGGAGTAATGTCAAGACGCAGAAGAGCAGTAGATAGGGGTAACAAACATATCTTACTGAGGGGATAGTCTATCATGCCTACAGGACCTAGAGAAAAATTACTTGTGAGGACGGGATTTCTCAGCGGATACTAGACAATGCATATAATACCTACCTACCTGCAGAGTAGCCCCCATTACTAGGACCTCCCAAAAGCCAACGTGGTAGCGAATATGCTTCCCCCATAGTGTAATATATCACCAATCTATCTCGCAGAGACGACTAAGGACCTGGGGTAGAGAACCTTCATCTATGCCACGCGGGTCATGAGATACAGGATTACCAGCTGAACGAGTGCCGAGAATCTATCTAACGTTAAACAAAGCGACGATGCCGCGGCCAGGACACCGAGGGGAGGCACTTCTAAGAGTTGATACAAAAGGGGCGCGTGAGCAGGCGGTATGGGTGTTGAGTCAGGAGCCAGAACGGGGGAGAACCACGTCGACTTTATCCGCGAATTTATCCAGTGCAACGGTATGCAAGCTGTAATGCACCTCAACCCGCAACCCTCGCATTCGAGAAGAGGCATCAAAGTGGCAGTAAGCAAATGGAGTGGGAGCAAATTCCCGGTAGCCTGGAAGGATTTAGTAGGTAATAAGATGGATAGTGAGGGTCGGTATTGCTTTTCATTTATAACATGCTTGTAATATCGGCTGCCGCATCAGCATTGGAAGAGAGGTATCCAGGGCCAAGGACGGAAGACGCGGCCTGAGAGTACGAAATATACGAGGTGTGATTGTAATAATATTGGCTTGTATTTATAGCAAACAGAATATATTAAAAAGTCGAAGTGGAAGGAGTGCTGAGTAAAGGCTTTGAATAACGGTTATTGAGGTTATCTTGAGTTATGCTAGATTGATCTTTATTTCGTTTCTATTACTTATTTGCCTTCCATTTTAATAATTGTTAATAATTATAAATAAGATGAGATGAGAGCTTAGAAGGGAACCTTTAAATGCGCGTTAACCAAAGACAGTGCAGAATGAATATACATTAATAACAATGAGATGAATGGGAATATGATATCTGTGATGAAGGCCAAACGTATGTGGAGTTTAGTCGTGGACAGCTCAGACTTCTGACAACAAGATGTTTTTTTTTTCTCCTCAACGCTCAATATGTAAAGAGCATGAGAGCAACGTGGCTCATGAGTGGCTCAAGAGTTGCTGGTCTTAAAGGAATTCCCATGCACGGACCACTTACACTTTAGCTAGTCCGGCTAGTGGAATCCACTATGCTTATCGGGATCGGTTTTCAATCGATAAGAAAAAAAAATCCCTAAGAGATGGGAAGACGGGTAAAAGCAAGACAGCCCACTTTCTCAATTCTCAAGCTTGACTTTTCAAACATTGATTTCTTTCGCAAGATAAATTAATACAACAAAACCCCGTCGCAAGTTTTTATTGTAAAATATGGAGTCAGCCAAGTTCGCAAAGAAGAGGAAGTTCAAGGACGCCAACGGCTCCAAAAGCGCCGAGTCAAAGTCAAAGGCGCTTCCAGTCAAAGCACCCAAGTCCAAGAAGCTGAAGCGAGCTGAACCCGAAATTGCTGCTGAATCCTCGAGCGACGATTCCGAAGCTGAAGATGATGTCGCAGAACAAAGTTCGGACGATAACGAGGAAGGAAATGATGATAATGATAATGAGGAAGAAATAGACGAAGATGCCAAAGAAACCTCTGAATTGAATAAGAGAGTCGAAGCAGCAAATGCCGACGACGAAGATACCAACCAAAATTCTCAAAATACAGATTTGCCTACCGAAAATGCCATCGCTGCCCTCCAGACTGCGATCGGCTCCGATGCGCAAAACTTCGCCGACTTAAACCTGTCAGAAAAGACTACCAAGGCCATCAAGGAGGATATGGGCTTTGAGAAGATGACGACTATTCAACGGAAAGCAATCCCACCTTTACTAGCTGGTCGTGATGTGCTCGGTGCTGCAAAGACGGGAAGTGGAAAGACTCTGGCCTTCCTGATTCCCGCCGTGGAAATGTTGAGCGCGCTGCGATTCAAGCCGCGAAATGGAACCGGTGTCATCGTCGTCTCTCCTACCAGAGAGTTGGCCCTGCAGATTTTCGGTGTCGCCCGCGAGTTGATGGCACACCACTCCCAAACATACGGAATCGTTATCGGAGGAGCAAACCGCAGAGCAGAGGCTGAAAAGCTAGCCAAGGGAGTGAATCTTATTATTGCGACCCCTGGAAGACTCCTGGATCACCTACAAAATACCCCTTTCGTCTTCAAGAATTTAAAGTCTCTGATCATAGACGAAGCCGATCGTATATTAGAAATAGGTTTCGAGGACGAGATGCGTCAAATTATCAAAATCCTACCGAGCGAAGGCAGGCAGACCATGCTGTTCTCTGCCACCCAAACTACTAAAGTCGAAGATCTTGCCAGGATCTCCCTTCGACCTGGTCCTCTCTACATTAATGTCGATGAAGAGAGCACCAGCTCTACCGTTGCGGGACTTGAACAGGGATACGTTACCTGTGAGGCGGATAAGCGGTTCCTTCTTCTTTTCTCGTTTTTAAAGCGGAATTTGAAGAAGAAGGTTATCGTGTTTTTCTCCAGCTGTGCAAGTGTCAACTACTATGCTGAGCTTTTGAATTATATCGATCTGTAAGTCCACTTTCTCTACTATAATGCCGGGATCATGCCTCGATTTGGCGTGGTACCAAATAATAGCTTTGATGTGTTTATAAAATGCTAACCAAATCTTGTAGACCTTGCTTATCTCTTCACGGTAAGCAGAAGCAACAGAAGCGCACAAATACGTTCTTCGAGTTCTGCAACGCCAAAACCGGCATCCTTCTGTGCACGGACGTTGCGGCCCGTGGTCTAGATGTAAGTAGACAGACTCAATCCCAAAGCAATACTTTGCTAACTGGAGAATAGATTCCAGCCGTCGACTACATAGTTCAGTTCGATCCCCCCGATGATCCTCGCGACTACATCCATCGGGTTGGTCGAACAGCACGTGGCGCAAACTCCAAAGGTCGCAGTCTCCTCTTTCTACAACCCCACGAGCTTGGTTTCCTGTCTCATTTGAAGGAGGCTCGCGTGCCCGTGCTAGAGTATGAATTCCCCGCGAAGAAGATTCTGAATGTCTCTTCACAACTCGAGAAGCTTATCTCGCAGAACTACTATCTTAACCAGAGCGCCAAGGATGGTTACCGATCATACCTCCACGCCTATGCAAGCCATAGCTTGCGTTCCGTCTTTGATGTGCATAAATTGGACTTGGCAAAGGTTGCCAGAAGTTTCGGCTTCTCTACGCCACCACGAATTGACCTTACATTAGGTGCGAGCATGAGCAGAGATAAGAAGACTCAGGGAAGAAGAGCGTACGGCAGCCAGCCCAGGCAAACCCAGAAGTTCAAGAGGCGATGAGTACCAGATATGTACCTATTCATAATCGTGGAGTTATGGTTGTGCTTTTCATAATATACCAGCTTTTGTAGTTGATTCTTTTATACGAGAATAGACGCTATTATCATGCCAAGTCGAATATTGCCACGAATCCATAATATACGTATTACGTGTGAAAATACCGCTTCTTAGTACACTCGGGGATGGTAAACGAAAAACGGCCGCGGTTGGGCGTCCTCATCGACGACGTGAAAAACTGCAGCGTTCACGGCCCGGAGATCTTCATCGTGACAGGGGACGTCGTCTTAGCGAACGTTGAGATGCGGAGGGGGGATATAGGTGAGGTACAGAGGGAAGATCCGAGTGGAAATGGTAGCCTTCACCACTTTGTGGTTAAGGAGTGAGTAACTCAAGCACAGCGCAGCAGAAAAGCATAAGCGGCTCTGTTGGTGAATCCGTCTCAATTTCGCAGTAAAGGAAAGAATGAAACACGCAAATAGACGACGTAAGGTTTCCAATACAGGTACCTTAGGTACATACCTATTTTACACTCGAGACCAAAGTGTGACAGTTTCTTATTTAGTAGCGCGTGACTGGCAGAACTCAGCAACTTGTACTCCCCAAGCCTCCTCCTTCTCGACCCCCGTGCTCAGGCCCAACTGGGGACTAATATGGTTATGCCCATCTAGGACGTCGTAGATGATATCAGCTTTCGTCCACTCCTTTCTAAACTGCTGCGCCGACTCAGGCATGAGCTCGGGGTCTAATTCGCTGACAAGGATGTTGATCTTGACGCCGGGCAAAACCGGCTCGGATCCCCTTTTTTTCTCCCTCTCGAGGGTGCCCATCGATGAGTTCTCCCAGATTTTACCCTCTCCCAAGTAGGTTCGCAGGATGGCATTGTCGTCGCCGCCCCAGTGGAATGGCACGCCGAGCAGTATTACCCCCCGCAGCAACACACCCGGACCCTTCCTCTCCTCAGACAGAACCGCCTCCCTAGACTCTTTGAACACGGGGTCCAGGAGGTACGTCGTGACGTGGATGCCCCCGGCGGAGTTACCCAGCAGGAACAGATCAATCGACTCGTACCCGTCCTTCTTGGCGAGCTCTTTCGAGACCCAGTCCACGACGAGCTTGACATCCTCGCCGCCGGAGGGGTACTTCGCGCCGTGAGAAACGAGGCGGTAATCCGGGACGACAACAGTGAAGCCGTACCGCGAAGCAAAGAAATGCCCGACGTTCCGAAACACCAGCCCGTGGGCGTACTCCTCGTTTACCTTGTTCCCGCCCACGAACCCGCCGCCGTAGAAGAAGACGAACACGGGCTGCGCGCGGAACTGCCGCGGGGCCGGCTTGCCCTGGCCCGGATAGTAGACGTCCAACTGGTGGCGCGGCATGGTGCCGTACTTGTGCGTCTCGCGCCGCGTCGACTTGATCTCGGCTTCCTTCGCGAGGACGAGGGGCGCGTAGGCGGCGAAAGTCGGCAGTAGCACATCGTCGATGCCGCGTCCGAGCGGTCGTAGCTTGTCCATCGTATGTGAGGTAGGTAGGGGTATGTACCTAGGTACCTAATGTATACCTAATGCAAGGGGGGAATAAAAAGAGATGTTACTAAGTAGAATTTCAGGGGACCAGCAGATCCGCGAAAAAAAAAAAAGGCCGTTGGTAGCAGAAGTTGAAGACTTTGAGATAACGCGCGATTCACCTATGTAAGTCGTAACGCAACTACCGTAGCACTCGGGGGGATTAATTGTATATTGGATGCGGGGGAACAATACACCAACCACACATCCGGACCCGACACCAGCATTGGCAATTCCCTCATTGATCCAAGCGAGATTGGGAAAGTTGAGACATTCCGGTATGGTATGGTGTGGTATGGTATTACTTCGGCATGTCCATCCCACAAAAGTCCAAGACAACCAACTGCCGCCTTGGGCTCATCTATAATATATAGGTACCTAATGAAGTCGCAGTACAGGTACGTAAATCAGGAACAAATGGGACTGATGGCTGATGTGATTGGGCCGTGTTATACCGCATTTGTTTGCTATCTGTACTTGAAGCAAACTCTATTCTCTACTTCTGGACACTTATCATCCTAGGTAAGTTAGGAAACTTGAAAAGGGGTGGTATGTATTTATTTATATCCCTATGAATATATACACATATAAAGGTACACAACATATATATAAAAATCTAACAGGTATATTCTATCACAGGTAAGCCCTTACAATTTCTGTCCAGCGGTACCGGGTATGGTGTTAGCAACGGCGGCGGAGCCCAACACTTGGATAGAGTCGTACGGCAGGGAGCTAGCCGTGAGGGTACCAGCGGGCGCGGTGTTCTCGGAGCCCCCAAGGTCGACGTCGTCGAGGACGGCGTACCCGGTCTCCTTGGAGTCGGCGAAGAAGACGGCCTTCTTGGTGCTGTTCTTGAAGGCCGAGCTCTGGATCAGGACCTGCGCGCCCATGCGGGTGTTGACGCCGGTTCCGATCAGCGAGTCCCAGAGCGTGTTGACGATGTGCACGGTGCCGAAGCGGACGAGGGGGGTTCGGCTGTACGTGTTGTAGAAGTAGTTGTTGGCGTATGTGACGTGGAGCTTGCCCTGGTCCTCCTTGGCGTTGCTGTCCGAGTGCCCGATCAGCGACACCTTCCAGTGGTCGTGCATGTAGGTGTTGGACACGGTCACCCACTCGGATCCGTGCGAGATGTCGAGCAGTCCGTCGAGATCGTCCTTGCCGAGGCTCAGGTCGCCAGAGAGGTCGCAGTGGTCGATCCAGACGTTCGAGGATGCGTCAATGCCGATGGCGTCACCGTTCTCCGCTTTGACTTTGGCGATTTTCATGTTGCGGACGATGACGTTGCTAGTCCTGCGGATATAGAGGCCGACACCGGTGAGAGAACTGCCCGTCTCGCCGTAGATGGTCTTGTCGGCGGAAACGCGCACTTTGGCGGAGCCAGAGATTGCGCCGGAGACGATGATAGTGAGAGGGCCGTCCTGCTTGGCTGCCTTGGTGAGGCTATCGACATCCGTAACGGTGACAGTCTCACCTGCGGCACCTCCTGTCGTTCCGCCGTTCTGAGTGCAGTAACCGATGGAGCATGCCTCGGCAGCCTGCCTTCGCGCAATTTTGTTGCGTTCACCGGCATTGTTATGCGGCGAGGCTACTGCGAAAGTAGCGAATAACGCAACAACTGAGAACTTCATCTTGTAGTGTAATAAACGAGAGTTTCACGACTCGATGTGGTAAGGATAGGATGATGATGTGAAGTCGAGTGTGGTTTACGAAAGAGGGAATGAGATGGGTTGATCATGCCCCTTATATCCTCGTACCCCTTATAGCCTCGCATACACTTCGTAGAAGTTCTTTCGTAAGAGCCACGATATAAACTCCATTTCACCATGAAGACCGCTCATTGGAGGGAATATTCCAACGTAGAACCACTACCATCGTGTAAGTGGCGTGTTAGAGCCACGAACTCGAATAGGAGACTCATGAGGAATAGTCGAAAAAAATTATATTGAAGGGGCTTTGGTTCCCGTCTACTAAAAAGCTTGTCTGCTCTTGGCGGAGGCTACTGCATCAAATAAATTGTTGTCGAGGTGTCTTAACCAGGTTGAATAGGGTGACCACAAGCCAAAAAAGAAAAAAGAAGAAAAAAGAAGCGGTATGAGTTCGTCATGCGTCAAGATTGGCGGGTAGCATTAGATGAATGCACACGCGTTGCATTCCGTCTAGCGGAGGTCGATCCCGGTGGGCGCGGGTCAACGACCCCTGAATTCTCCAGTTTTTCGCTTTACAATCTCGGGCTTTTGTATTTTGGAAGACGATGATGCGATCTCTTTTTCAAGTCGCTCGTTCGACATTCCACGTTGCGATCCACCGGGGCCGTCTCTCAAGGACCTTCAATGTTACCATTGAGTGACGGGAAAGCGTACGATAAATTATTCCATGACAGGTACGATGTCTTGGAATCATTCGAGTTAAAGCATCGCGAGTTGAAAAATGACGGGTGGTTTAAAGCACTTTATGACAAGGGTAATTATAATTCGTAATGCCAATACAATATCATTCGTCATCATAATCAATAAGGTTAGGTACGCATACGTATAATAGACGTCTCACCAAACAAAATCAACAAGATCTGTAGACACCACGTAACTAGTATAAACATATGGCTAGGTACCTAGTTAAATGCTAACTAAAAACTCCCAACGTCCAGCAAGCCAAGCAACTAGCCCAATCGTGATGATACATCATCTCTCGTATACGCAATCGAAAGTTCCATAGCTACCGAATACCGACCAAAAGAGACAAAACTACCTAGCTGTTGTTTCACCACCGGGGCCAGAAACCCAACTGCAGTAGAAGTAATTAGAATACGAGTTCTGGGCAAAAGAGATATTGGGTAGGACTTGTAATAAGACGACTTACCGTCTCCACATTTTGGCAACGAAGCCGGCCTTGTACTGCTCTGTAATACTCTCACGTCTTTTGATTGACTCTGAATCGGTTGATCTCTTCTGGAGATATAGAGTGTTGAAATCAGGGCCGGAAAACTGTACGAATAATCATTAGCCCGGAATCCCCGGACTGGAAACTGGAGTATAATAAGAGTTCTTAGGTAGTGGTATAGGCATAGGAATGATCAACTTACAGGACTAGAACTAGAGTTTCCACCACCCTCATAATCAACCTTTCCGCCCTCGGACCGCAAGTTACTCTCCGAGTTGCTCATGGTTAGTTTATTTATGTGCTTGTTTTTAATGAAAGCGTATTGGTATTGTCCAATGTGAGATGATGAGTGATATGAATTCGAGTTTATGATTCATTCAAACATGAGCAACTCGAGGGAAAAGTTATATAAGATCCCAGAGAAAGAAGCGGATCTCTACATGATTCAGAAGGTGTTCCATATCATTGGCTAGGGACAAATGAATGATGAGGGTTGACGTACTTGGTTATTGGTAACGAAAGGCTAGATCTGATTGGTAGCCAGACAATGACGGAGAGGTGAGGTCACTAACCACATGGCAACCAACCACACAAAGAAGTCTGAGTCAAGCACTTCTTAAAGGGATAGAACCACGATGATAAGAAAGTAGTCTAGTATGGAGATCGAATAGGACTTGAAAGCTAGATCTATCTAACTTGTATCCTAAGGATATCTTCAAAACTTGTTGCCGACTTTTAAACCCGTTCCATTATTGTAGATGGGTTGAACAAGAACTTATTATAATGCGGTATAATAATGAGCATCCATTGAGATTCGTAGCATTGAACTATATAGGGCAAAGCGCTTCTAATTGATCATAAGGTATTAATCTTATGGTTTCTGTTTCTTAGTTGATGGTTCACTTTTAAAGCATGTACTCATCTCTCTGCCCAAGTTAATTCTTATTCTTTAGGATGTTATCTAGCCTCAAACAAGAGTAGCAATATTAAAGTCAAAAATGTGCATAGATTTACGAATACCCTATTAAACCAAGACCTCTGTGCTTTTCCATAACCCTCTCGCACTCCGTCTTTAGACCGCCAGAAAAGTCCTTTTTAGACCAACTATTACATACGAAGATTGCGGTGGGTGAATACACCGGGCTTCTCCGCAACAAACATGATGTCAGCCGAAAGAATCTGTGAGTGGTACCACTCGTGGGACTTTACTTTTGGCTCAGCGGTTGTATCTCACAGAATCTGAGATACAATTCTGGACGGACCTATTTACTGCTCTGGATCGTGTGACCTGAGCTTGTTAGGGTATGATCACAACTTAGCGCCTCCAAGGCGATACAGGTAGGTAGGTAGAGCTATGTTTCCAAACGTATATGCATGAGCGATACACGGGTTCATCGTATTATTTGGTTCTACCATCCTCACCCAGTAACTAAAAGACAACTCTACCTAGTAATGGCATCCTTACAAGCAAGCCTTTCTATAACAACCCCTTAACCAGCCTCCTTAACCAGCGCCCAGCACTTCCGCATCCCCGTTCCCATCGACTCCGCATCAAGAGCCTCAACATCGCTCCACCGGCTTTGTACTCCATCACATCCACCATATTCCTCTTCTTCATCACCACCACCCTCGCTTTCAAGCTCGAACAGGTGAACATGCATCGTCAGCTTGAGATGCGAAAATACCCAAGGCACCGATCCCAGCTCGCCCATATACTTCACCACCGCCTCCCCGTTTCCTTCCCCCTTGCCCGTCTTCCCCAACCGCTTGCCGCCAAACACCAACAACTCCCGAACGAAGTTCTCCGCACCCTTCTTCCTAGCCTTCGCCGATGCCCCCCCTTGCGGCTCTTCCAAAACGCAGCTCGGCAGCTCCCACAACCCCGCCAGCAACCCCTTCTCCGGCCTCTTGCGAATCAGGTACCGACCGTCGCCGCTGCGCCGGACGGCGCACACCAGCGTCTCCTCCTCGCGCACGGCCTTCTTGGCCGTCCGGAGCGGGAACTTCTTCGCGTGGCTCGCGATTGCCTCCACCGCGGCGCTGCTGAGAGCTGGTGATGGCGGTGTTTGGGGACCGAATGATGTCTTGTTCTTGTTCGTCTTGGATGTGACGGCCTGCGAGAATACGAATGATCGCAACGTCGTCTGCGTCCGAGATTTCGTCGACTTCTGCTGCGCGACTTCAATCGTCTTTACGTTCCGCTTCCAGCCGTCATCATCACCATCGTTGTCGTCTTCATCCGCATAATCCTCGAACGGCGTGCAAAGCGTGCAGGCGTCCTCGATATCAACGGGAGCGCTCCTCGATGTCGCAGTAGACTTGGCTACCAGGCCCCTTTTCGTAGCTAATTGAAGACCCTCCTCGTATGCGCGACAGCTGGCCGTGATGGGGCAGATAGCGCAGTTAGGCTTCGGCGTGCATATCGTGCTGCCAAGCTCCATCAACGCCTGACCCCATCGACCGGGCCGATCACTCGGCTCCGCTTCGCCATCACCTTCGACCTTTTCAGTAGTAGTAGTAGAATGAGTATTAGTATCAGGATTAGTATTAGTAGTATTGTCAGCATCGCGACCTGCACTATGCTCGTCTTCCGGGCCATCCCTCGCGACGGCCTTAACTAAACTGTCAGCCGCAGCCCACAGCAGATCAACCACCGCCTTGTCGGCCTTGACATCCCCAAACACGGCCAGCTGCCGACTCAGCACGCGCAGCACGTTCCCGTCGACCATGGGCGCCGCCTTCCCAAACACGATCGCCGAGATGGCTCCGGCGGTGTACCTGCCGACGCCGGGGACCCTGGCGACCAGCTCGCCGACGTCGGACGGCAGCAGGCCGTGCATGGCAGGGTCCGCGCACACGATCCTCGCGGCGTCGTGGATCCGCGTGGCGCGGCTGTAGTACCCGAGGCCGCGCCAGGCGGAGAGCACCTCGTCGCGCTCGGCGGCCGCCAGGTCCCGGATCGAGGGCCACCGCGCCATCCAGCGGTTCCAGTAGTCGACGACGGTCGCGACGCGCGTCTGCTGGAGCATGACCTCGCTGATCCAGACCTGGTACGCGCGGCGCTCGACCTCCTCGGGGGAAGAAGTGGCGGTAGCCGGGTCCGCCCAGGGCTTGCGCCAGGGCATCTCGCGCGCGGAGCTCACGCCGTCGAACCAGGTGAGGAGGGACGTGCGAGCCTCGCGGCTGTCGAGCAGTAAGGGACGATGATAATGCAGCCCGTGGGCACGAGTAGGGAGGTTAATGCTAGTACTATTGCCTGTGATGGAATCGTTTGAGGCGGTGTTCCTTCTGCCGAAAAGACGCGCATGTAATTGGGCAGCATGATCTCCATTCCTTTTCCTAGAACGTGGTCCTACTTTTTGCCTTTTGGTACGCGGTGCTTCCGCTGGAAGGTCTTGTTCGACGTATTCTTCGTCGCTCTGAAGCTGAACATCCCTCTTCCTAATCCTAGACTTTCGGGAAGGTATGTCAGTTTGTAGATCCTCTTCATTTTTTATGACGGATAACGGCTCTGATTTATCGGTCTCATTTTTTATTGCCGATCCGGATTGTTGTATTTGTCGTAATGAGCGCCGCATATTTCCGAACCGTGTAATATCAGATAAAGTAGTACCTAATATAGAGGTATGTACCTGATCTTTATCTACCAACCTCCTTAGTAGGTACCTGTAGGTTAGGGTTAGTATTCAGATAAAATAAAATCGGCAAAAAGCGCGACGCGTCAGATATACAACCGCGTCGTCACGTGATAACATATATATCATATATCAATTTAAGGAGTTACGGCTGGAATGATCCATGGCGTATTTACCCTGTTATATGCAGAGTTCGATACCTGGTATATTGCTATATGCAGCATAACATTTTAAAATATTTGCTCCCTTCTCACTTCATCTCGCTACATTTTTCTCTTTCCAAACCCCTAATTCTCACTCCATATTTGCGCATCAGTTGATTCGGGCGCACATCCTCATATTATGGGCAACTTATTATAAGCGCCTCCTTACAACTCTCACCGTGCTGGTATTATATTGCTGCCTTAAAAACCGCCCTGGCGGTTATGTTGTCTTAGATGATAATAAGCTAGTTGATGTATTTAGTCACTCTTCTTCCGTATTTTTTTGTCTATGAATTAGGGATGTTACTCACCTCAATCAACTTCTCGGTCAATAGAGAGCACTGCTTATCAGGATCCTGAGTATTTGTAAATGCGCTCGAGCGGTACAGTCCTTCGAATCCCATATCCTCTAATATTTCGTTCAATACGCCAGCGCTTTCTAATGCGCTCGTAAACTTCGGGTTGGAAGATAGCGTTTGAAGTAGCGCATGCGCTGATCCAAGCGTTGAAGAGCTCTGGCCGTGGAGTAATACCTCGTCTAGGAACGACGCGATGGTGGGACATCTATATTGCATGTTAGTAGCCTAAAAGATTACCAAACGTACCATTACTTGAACTCACAGGTGCAATACGACGGTAGGTCTTCGGGATGCTAGCTCGTTGAGCCACTGTAGGGTATGAGTCTGAATCGCCTCATCGAGGATTTGGAAATCGACCAACTCGATAGCCGTACTCAGTATTAGATCCTTGTCTTTTACGCTGTCTAATTCGCGCAGGTTACGGGTTGGCCCCAAGTTAGCAACGTTTAGTGCGTTAATACCCGCCGACCAGAGGCATTCCTTCAAGTCTTCAGGGGTAATCGCCCGAGCATGAATGAGAGAAAGATATGGTGATGTGTAAAATTCGGTAGTAAAGGTTTTCGATGGATTCTCAGAGCTGCCTGTTGTCATCTCGAGAAACGTTGAAAGAACCCGAAGCGCCGTGGTCCTAGTGACGGGGTCTGTAAGGCCCCGCACAAGACAGGCACAGACGGCGAAATGAAAAGTGTTTGGCGTGAAGTGGATTCCGTACGCTTCATCCAGAGGTATTGTCGCTTCCTCCAATGATCCTCGACCATGTAAGAGATATTGTGCCATTTTATTATTCCTTAGCTCACTTGTTGTCCCAATATTTGCTAAGACGGCTTCTAGGAATAAGGCGGCACAGTTAAATAGGCTGGCAGGTACGAGACGGACGAGTGACATCGCCAGCCAAAACAGTTGCGGCCCATATCGAGAGGCTGCGGTGAGCTTTGCAATCATCTTAGATAAGGATGTAACTATGGCAATAAGCATATCGTTACCGCTGTCTTCGCCAAAACGGCCGACGCTGTTGCGGAGCGCTACGAGAACTTGGTAGAGTAGGTCATCGTCAACCTCTTCGCGAGCCAAACATCCCATTACGGTGAACGCGCGGGGTTGAATAGCCGGGTTATTTTGAAAGGCGGTACTGGCCACCAAGCTCATCCATCTCGACCGCCAAGCATTAGCCATGTCAACAGATGGCGCTGCAACGGAACATGTCTCGAATAGCAGAGTAGCGAGATTCTCTATAACTGAAAGCGCCGGTCCAACCTCGTGAGATGTTGAGATAGAGGCTCCATCCCTAGTCAAGACTAAGGGGACAGACAGGGTATCATTTCTCGGTTCAGATAGGATTTCGAGGGTACTGCGAAGTTTCGATAATTTCGTATCTTCTAGTTGGAACGAGGTGCAAGCCGCATGGATCGAATTAATGAGTAGTCGGTGGACCAGAGCTCGAATGTCCTGAGTACCCGTGTTTGACAGCATAGTAACTATATGGAATATCTCGGGTAAGTAGAGCTGCGACTGGACGCCGCAGTCAAAGGAAAGGGAGAGGCAAAACTGGAGTAGGATGCAAAGCTCATTCCAAACCGAGTTGTCCGGGAGATATTTTGTAGGTCTAAGCGACGATCTGTTCAAGGCCTTCCGAAGTCTGGATATTATCTTTCCTCGGAGCGTTATTGTGCCAATAGCTGTCACTATAGACGTCAAAGCTTGCGTCTGCTCATCATATAAGCCCACAGCGAGCGCTGCCTTGACTATCTCATCAAGGAAGATGTCTAATAGAACTTCATCCTTGTAAATAGCCGGCCAGGCTGTGTACTCTAAGATCAAGGTAAGTGAGGGCTCCGAAACCGTAACATCTATCAACTTGCGGAAGATCGAAGCGACCTTTTCTTTAGCCTTCTCGCTATCAGACTCGTCCGGTAACAGTGATGTCCGCAAGCTTGGTATCCAAGGCGCCATGTAGGCCAGGCTCAGAGGCTTTTGTTCATCGGAGAAACTTTCCCACCCAACAAAGAACTCGTTTAAGAAATCGCATGTTAGCTGGGGTTCCTCTTGGGCAAGGACTTTGCTGATGTTCACAATGAACTGAGTCGGATCCAGAGGAACAGAGACATCTGCACAAAATGATTAGCGAAGGCGACGGGACAATTTTAAAAGGGATCTCACCTTTGGTGCACATAAACTTGGAGGCTGCCTTGAATTTAAAAGCTCGACAAAGCGCACCGAGTAGATTGTATGCTGCAATGCGGAGCGTCGAATCAGGAGAAGCAAGATTTGTTAACGCAAGGTTGAGCAATGTCCCGGGAACATCTTGGGGCCGAATAAGACGCTCGAACGGTTTTATCGTTCTCGTATCTTTGCTTAACATCGCCTTTGCCCTGCGAATCTCCTTCAAAACCTCGACCTTTCTGCTACTCTGGAAGTACATGACAATCTTGCCATTGTCTGCACGCAAGCCGAACGCGGAGTCGTCTTCGGTGGGAATAGACGTCGGCGCCTCGTCTAGATCTTTTAGGTGGAAAATGTCGTTCACGATCCCGTTCAGACGGAAAGTCGGATGAACCTCTTGCTTCTTCACTGTGGTTACCTGAACAAATGAGCTGCCTACCCCGACAGTGACTTCAATCTTTCCCTTGGTCTTTGAGAGCCTAGTAACCGGCTGGAAAGTATATCGAGAGTCCGTGGCTATGCTAATCGTCTCTTTCGGAAGGTGTACTTGACTAAGGTGGAAATGAGCTTGTAGGTCTTGACGACTGCCAAGTAGTAGATAATCTACATTGGACGGATGTAAGACGCTCGTGTCATTCTTCGTGGCTATACGAAGTATACGCCGGAAGCATTTCCTGGCTGTGTTAGTGTACACAATATATGATAACTTGTAGGACATACATACCGGAAGGTGCTGTTCATATTGTAAATATAAATCCTGGACAACTGATCAGATAACTCGCTCGGACTAAGAAGCTCCAGATTTTTGAACAGCTCGTCTGGGGGGTCATTTTGACCATCGTAACACGTCGCATCGATCAATAACCCGAATGGTTTATGCCACAGCCGACTAGCAATCTACAGTTTATTAGATTAGGGAGAGTACAGTATGGGAAGAAAGGTTGTTGGTTGAAGCTTAATATACCTTAAGAAAGCAGTATAAGAGGGTATCATAATCTACTGAATCTTGATCGATATGTCGAAGAATTATACAAATGACAGAGAGTCCATCCTGTTAGTCGTTAGTTTCCATTGAACACTGAAATTAGCTGTGTTGGCTACAATATATACGCACCCTACTTTCACCGCCATCATAAATGGCGCGAGACGTTGCAAAGGAGTCCATACCGCGGAAAGCGTTACGGAGCATAAAGTGTTGGAATCTAGAGTAAGAAATTGGTGTATTTAGAGTTATTAGAGGTCGATTCCAAGTGACCGCTAATGGAGGAGGTCCCAGATTTGTTATGAGAGCTCGTAGTGGTTCGAGTACGGGTGATCGACCACGAACTAGCTCGTTGGGAGATCGAACGTGATCTCGCCGTTCCTGGGACATAAGTCTTTGCCGGACATGATCCCAGTGGTCATATAAGAACCTGTGTAAAGCGACACAGGAACCAAACTCGAAAGTTTCGCCCTCTGCTGGTCGTGTATCAAGAACAGGCGGAGGCACCTAGACAGCGATACTGTTAGCATGAATAGAATGGGTAGGGAATTTGTTAGATCCTACCGAAATCTCCCTGAGGAAAGTAGTAACACGATAAATGTTTTGTGTCAAGAAATCATTCAGTGGAAACATGTAAGGCTCTTTTGCCCCAAACAGAACGTTATTGGCTAGATTCTGTATAACTTTTGCGATGAGGAGTAGGCCACGTCGCATCTCTTTAGATGGTGGTGTAGCTACTAGGTTCTCCGCTTCAGGAGCGACGATGGCAGGGCAGAAGAATCTGAGAAATATGAAAGCTCCGACAGCTGTGTATTTAGCGTCCTGAAATCTCGGAATTACTGCTGAAGATATCTGGTCAAGTGTCAATATTCATACTTTGTATACTTCGACAAAAGGGTCAACTCACTATGCTGCAGATCTTCCTAAATGATGAAGGTATACTTGCCGAAGATGCGCAAATATCGTCGATGAAAACTTTGGCAACAATTCGTAGCTGCAGCGCATTCTTCTGGAGCTCTTCTGGGGATGAAATTCTTGTGGGATCTAGTTCGAGATCCAAATCTTTTGAGGTCAGCATTAACCTCTCCACAACCTTTTGGAGCGTGGCTTTGAGATAATTCGCCCCTTTCCATCTTGCGTAGATAGATAGCATCTTAGTAGCGACGCAATTTCGACGGAGTATCTCCGATTCATTATCTGTAGATAAATTCAATTAGCCTTGTCGTTTGAGATGTAAGTGCAATTGACTAACCAGTATCTTCGATCTCTTGTTTGATTAAAGCCTCCATTAGTTCGAAAGTCCGTCCTCGGGATTCGAAAATGTAGAGCATCGAAATGGTAAGCTCTTCAACTTCCCCGCTTGGGCAGACTGTACTAATAGCAACGGCGAGATTCATGTCATGGGTAAGTAGCTGGTGCATCATAGTTAGCTAGTTTGAACGGTGAAGGAAAGGTTCCCTGATTATAGTTGCCTACCTCTAACAACTCGTCGTACTTCTCATTTACGGCCTTGTCCGATAAGTTGCTGAATTCTGTCCCTTGAACTAAAATGTTGTAAAGGACTTTGATAAATGCGGTACGAATCTCGACGTTCTCATTATAGCCGATACCGAGAGAGTACTTGAGGCCCACGTCAATATTCGCACTTAGGAGGTTCGAGAGGATGATGATAGCGAGTTCGGACGTCGACCCAGTTTCATCGCGATGAGCTGGATTCCCTCCAGTAACATCCGCCTTAATACTCTCCGATGGCTCATAGTTGAGTAACGAAAGGAATCGGTTGAAATAGGTGCGGAACATTTGGGACTTCAACTCGCTGATGCCTGCGTCGTTTTGCCCATCTCCCGGCTGAAGGGGTAGCCTGTAAGTAAGTTCAGCGAGAGATCGAAGACAAGCTTTATCGAGGTCTCTCTGGATTCGAGCATTGTCTTGGTGAATTTGCATGTAGCCTGCGTCCGTGGGCGGCGAGCGAGGCCGAGCAATCCAGCTAAAGATGTACTCCAGGAGCTGGTTTCGTTTTCGAACATCATCACGGAGATTCAGATGCTCCTTTTTCCTATTAACGGCTTCGCACATCTGGCAAATCTTGATCTTGACTCGCATGCTAGCTGCGTTATCGGCCACCCCATCAAGGAACTTGGCGAAGCTTAAACCTATAGAGCCAAAATTGATCGCTGACGCTGCTCCCAGCTCGGAGGGCGTCTGCAGTCGCTCTATTAAAGCTTTCAGTAACGAAGCCGCTTGCTCAGCGAATATAATCTCGACGTCTTGTCCTTTGCCAGATGTTTCGAGGGCGCCTGTGAAGAGCACCTCAAGTTCGGACTCAAGTGCTCTGAATAAAGGCTGGTATAAGTTCGGAGAGATGTCGGTGGATAGCACCTCGCGTGTGGTTTCTCTGACCCGCACGTTGGTACACGCAAGTAACTGAGTGCTAAGCCGGAGGTATCTATTGAGAAGTGGTTCTTCGTGATTCTCTGACGAAAGCCGATCAATCCATTTTAGACCACTAGCAGCAGGCTCGTCAAGAGTATAAGCTTGCTCGGCTGTACAAATACCACCAAGAGAAGCGAGGAACCCGGATAGATTCCTCCACTCGGAAAAGTTCCTCTCGTCAACGCCCTCCGCGGAAGTCGTAGACACATCTTTCGAGAGGTGAAGCCACTTAACAAATGCCTTCTCCCAAGCTTCTAAAATGCCCGCGCTCGGATACTGCATGCGCCTCAAGAGGGCGCGTGTTCGCTTTTGAAAAGCCATCATTCCTGTGAATCGGAATTCAGGGGAAGCCATCTCGCCAAATATTTCACTATTTCGGAGCAACAGGCTCGCGGTCTTGCCTGCATCCACAGCAGAATCTAATATACGGCACTCTTCGTTGAAAAGTCCAATACAAGACGTTACTAATTGGCTGGTTTCTATATCTGCCGAGCAGAGAGATGTGAGGAAAATAGTCTCAAGTTTCGTGGAGGTTGCTATGCGTTCTGGAATATCTTCGGATACTACACACAGCTCCTACAAGTCTGTTTAGCATGGGCTACCAAGCAAGTAGTATAGCGCCTTCTGCTTACCTTTATAGAACTCAACAGGAGTAGACGCGACTCAAGGTAGCCGTGAATAGACTTGAATAGTGTGTCGTCTCCTTGCAATTCGAGTTTCTCGCACATCTCCATTAGGACAAGCGATCTAGATTTCGGTTATCAGTTGTAACATATTCCTCAAAGTTGCAGGGTTTGGACGTACGTCAACTTCCAGAACTTGACCCCAAAACTGTGCGAGTCTATTCGTTTCGATTTGCGCAATGAGGAGAGAATGCCGTTCGGGGCAAGTAGCTTCTTAGCCAAGTCACTGGCAAGAGTCCTGACGGAGTCGTTTGCTGTGACAAGACAAGAGACAAATGCTTCAAAAATTCCTTCGTAAAATCGCTCCGTTTCCGCGCTATCTGCTGGCGGGGCTTCAAATAGGGTCGCCGGTGAGGCATCTAGAAAGTTCAGTATGTTACAGGATAACATTGTCGCGGAGGAATTGGCTTCGGTGGGCTTTCGTTGCGAGTGACGGTCCCCAATATATGAATCTTCCCGAAGGGCGGAAGTCGCCTAGAAGGGGTCAGTTAATTCGCTTGTTTGTATCTCTTATAAATGGGTATCCTAACCTTCAATTGACTTTGTATATATCCGGCGACTTCAGTAAACAAGCGATGATAATTCTCGGCATTGGGCTGCCGCGCAAAGTAGGAGCAGGCTTGGATAATTGCAACCTTGAATGTAGTGGGCGCGGTGGGATGAAGGCAAGATTGTGTCAATGACTCTACAGAACCCTCAAAGTTCAAATGCGTAAGACTAATGAAGGCTGCCGTGGTCAAGTCTTGATCAAACAAAGATCCTTCACCATTGGGATGATACCGGCGAAAGACTGCGTCCCGGACTTCATCCTGAACATCCATGGCATAGCTGACGATCGCGTCTCCATCGTCGTCGAAGTGGCGGACAGCTCGGAGGAGACTAACAAGGCAATACCCAGCCGCGTCGTTTTTATTTCTAAGCGCTTTTCTCAGCCCATCGAGATATCCAACCTTCTTAGCCATTCCGCCGGTTTTAGCTTCCCGTAAATTGCTTGCCACTTCGAACACATCAGGAATCAGCATCAGCAGAGAAGTTTGAAAGGGGAACAAGATCGACCGCCGTTTCCCACTATCGACTATTGTCTGTGTCATATCGAACAACGTATCAGGTCCGCCCTCTAGCTTTCTGTGTTGATGGTGCAGCGTGACGAACTCCTTAGGATAGCGCTCGATCCACCCGTTAATTAGGAGCGGCGTGATAACGGCAATTGTATTCTGGTAAGCTCGTCGAAAGTGGAGGAAGCTGGAGCATAATTCTTGGATCACAAGTCCAAGCTTTTGGGCGTCAACCCACATATACGAGACTAGGCGTAGTATCGCTAACGAAGTCTTCTCTTCCTCGGCCATGGCCTGGGTTGGTACCACCTGAGTCGCACCCGTGGTCCGAATACCCTGAATGAGGGTTCTCACATATTCGAAAGAGGCTGTCCAACTGGACGCGGTAACATACTCCACGATGGTCTTGATATACGGTTCGATATCCTGCACGTCGTCGCTTCTTACTACTTTGTTTTCCCGCGAATCGTCTGAACCGCTTGACGAGGTGGCTCGAGTAGACGAGTCTCCAAATCGAGGATCAAAGATTTCTCGCGCAGATCTCTCATCGAGTATGGTCTTAGCTGGCAAGTAATATTCGTCGGGGAATGGTTTAAGGAGGTGTTTGAAAAGCTCGAATATCCTAATCACGAGCGCGTCCTCCAACGGCTCCGGAGCGTTGAGCCCGGAGGCAGATAGGTTAGCTGAAGCATTGGAGCTATTTTTGCTAGATGATTCCCAGCGGGCGGAGCAGCAGTCGGCAGCAAGAGATAGAATATATATTTCGGACAGGAGAATATGGGATGGGTGGCTTGCGAACGTCTTAAACGGACGACTGAGTTCCTCGAGAAGCGAAATGAGTGATTCGAGTACGGCAGTTATGGATGTGACGCTGATCTTTACGAGTGTAGTGCGTGTAATAACAGCGACGTCGTCGTGTTCGAGGTTTTGACCTGGAGTACCGGTACGATGCGGAAGCTAGACACGGGAATATTCGTTAGCAACAACATAAAGACAGGTATACACTACAAAGCACCCAATTACCCTAGTTGTAAGTCTTTCGACTAAACATCCAACAAGGCCCGCATCACCGTTCATCTTGTGCTCGTATACCGTCGGGTTGCGATTGAGGGTCTTCTCAACATTGTGACGTCGTCATAGAGCACGGCTGGCGGCAAGGAAGAGGTATCAAGGGAAGGCTATAGCTCGTTTGCGAAACCGTATATGGGATGTCTCAAGATTCGGTTGTACACCAGTTCGTCTTACCCTCCTTCTGGGATAGCAAGGGTTGGGGTTCAATCGCTCGGTTGCTCCCCCAAATTTATCCTATGTTGTTGACACCTGTAAACTTTTCAAGGACAGGTACCTAAGTAATGAGCGATATGCTGCAGTTCTCTTTCTTTGGAGAGTTTGGAGACGGGGAATATAACGTCTTAGCTTAACACGTATAATATTATTATATTAGGACTCCAGGATCGGCATACACCAAGGTTCGGAGCCGGGCCGGTGGATAGGGTCTGAGATAAAGAGCGACCAACAAAGCGAGGAATTATGCGTTGTCTGGTATTCTTCTCGTTGATCCGAGTTGTTTCCGTCTTTAGTCGTGCTACTGCAATCGTATCTCGTCGAAGCTATCGTCGAAGCTATCGTCGGTAGTCGGTAGTCGGTAACGAGAAGCTACAGGCACAGAACAGAAACAGGCACGAGCATGAGGCACAGGCACAAACAAACAATCTTTGAAGAACAATGTGGTCTCAGTAGAAAATCGACCCCGGCCGAACTTACAATGTACCTGTAACTGGTAGGTACCTAGGAGGTAGGTTAGGTACCTAAGAGAAAAGGGTTTGGGCAGTTTACTTTGGGTGCTTGGTGAGGGACGTGGGTCAAAAGAAAAAAAAAAAAAAGCAAAGCAAGGTAGGTACTTTAGGATGTACCTAGATATCTTACTAAACAAGCTGCTGGACCTTATAAAACTTGCTAGGTAGTACTACATACATCTAATGCAGGCTTGATACATACCTAGTGCATGCAGGTGGGATTAGTGTAGGTACCCAATGTACAATACCTTATGTACCTTACTTAGGAGGTAGGTAAGTACCTAATCTCAGTGTGTAAGAGCATTGGACAGGAATCAGGATACCTCGTCCACTGTACGAAGAGCACCTGTAATTACAGGTACTTGTAGTTGCTAAAGTTGTAGGTACCTACACTTGTTTGAGAAAAGTTCAAACGTCCTAAGTGCGGTGGGGACGCAGGGTAGTAGCCTGTCTAATGCCGCCTAAATATCCACTAAGTAGGTCTAGCATAAATATCAGGTACCTAAGGTACAAAAATAAGAAGCGGTGATGTATTTCAGCGGGGTAACCTTGGAAAAAACCCCAGCTTACCTGGGTAAGCTACCTATTATCCATCTCTACGCGGCAGATATTTCTTACGTGCATCTCACGTGTGCTATGGACTTAAGGAAAGAAGATCATCTTGCGAAATTTGACGTTTTTTTTTTTCTCTCCTCTCTTCATTTGTTTCTAGTTACCCACATGCTTGGCATTCACTACGGCCCGGCCCTTTTTGAATTTGTGCTTCCAGGTACATTTTATTTCTCCCTCTTTAACATACCTCCTATGTACGCTTAAACATGTCACGGATAGACTCAACTCTGACATATGCAAGATTTAACCTCAAATCATGATCTTGCAAGTTTTTTTTTGTTTTTGTTTTTGTTTTTTAGCGGCTTCTTTCTGTGCTATGTATAGGATATTTTCAAAGTATTTACGTAAGGTGTAGACACAGATGCTGACGTGATTACGAGGTACAGTATCAAGTTCGAATAAAAGGATTAGTGAGGCGGAATGTTTGTTTGAGGTAAATATTTAAGCTATGTGGCTATCTGCCATATAATTTGATCGACTTTGTGAATAGTGCATCTTGTATTGTTCCTCAATGGATCAGTTATATCCCATTCCTCTGTATCACCTGTAACCATTACCATAGGAATTGCTACTTCGATAGCCGCCTCGGTCGTCATACTGTCGACGATCTCGATTATCACGAGGAGGAGGGGGTCCCCGATTATATTGGCCACCATAATTGTTTTGACCATGCGGAGCCGGAGCTGAAGCATATCCTCCACGTCCTTGTGGACCTCCGTAACCTCCGTAACCTCCACGTCCCCCTCCGCGATTACCTCCGTAATTGCCTCCGTGGTTTCCGCCGTGGTTTCCTCCATAGCCACCTCCGTATTGGCCACCGTACGCCCTGGAACCACCAGTATAGGCAGGTGGCGGCGGTGGTGGTAATCCGCTACCGAATCCTGGAAAACCAGGAGGTGGCGGTATCCAACCAGGAGGTGGAAGTGAAGGAGGCGCAGAATATGAATTGTTGTATCCGTTCTGCTGGTACGGCGGTCGTTCAGGTCTATCTCGTCGAGAATCGGGTCCGTAATTAATCCTATCTCTCCTGTTACCATCCCATCCACCTTGACGCCCAAGAGGTGCACCGCCATGGCTTCGACCGGAATTTCGCATCTTCCCCTTCAGTTCTTCCATATCGCTGCGGTTAAGCGCTGATACTGGCATCTGGACGCCTCGTAAAAGCATAGACTTGTGGCTATGCGCATTCGGCATCTCGTAGTACACCCTATATCGTTAATTAGAACCAAAACTTATGTTTGCAGTTTGTTATATAGATTTAGAAACTCACGTTAATGATCGGTCATCCTCCACATCAGGCATTGCCTTCCTCTCTAGCGGGTATTCCAAGCTGCCATGAGGAAGATACTCGGGCACCTTTTCTATGGTTCCAGATAGACCTTGACTTAAGCGGGGGTTGAGTTTATACCTAGGTTCGCCCTGTTTCTTGGAGTAGAAATGTGTAATAATATCATCGTACAACTCTTGGTTGGCCTCGGAAAGTAGGAGAACATCTCTGCCAGGGCTGTTGCGAGCTGCATCCTCAGCAGTCAGATGTGGATATCTCTCCTGTACGGCAGCAAGGAGCCGAGGCATTTCGATGAATGGAAGAAGCGCCACACCCTGCCACGCCATCTTTTTCCCATTGAGATCGATCTCAAACTCCTCGGGGTAAAAGTCAATGATGGGGCTGTCTGAATTCGTCATAAGATCATGGAAAATTTCCGGAAGGACGTGACGAGATGCGGCAGGCTGAACGCTCATGAGCTGCTCAAATGGCTTTGCAATTCTACCCTTCTCGAAGTTGATTTCCATATTACCAATGTCCACAAAGTCTTGCGCAAAGGGTGCATAGTGATAAGGGTAGAACCATTCCCATGACGGACATCCTTGGAAATAGTACCTCAAAACCCAAGCAAGTCCTTCAACATAAGCTCGAGCGACTTTGTGCCTAAACTCGATGTCCTTCGGGTCGACGTGGAATTTTTGCTCGTAATACCTATCAGCATATCCTTCTTCCCATAACCGGACAGAGTCTTCCGGCTCTTCCGCTGCCGCTGTACTACTCGCAGGGGTATCCGGATTTTCTTCCTCCATCACAGATGCTTTGCGCTTACCAGGAGCAGAAGGAGACTCTGGTTCTTCCGTGCTATTTGCTTCGGGGGTACCTGTGCCCGCTTCTGATTGAAGTGACTGGATCCGACTCTTGAGTACCGCGGCAGCGCTCTTGTTTGCCACATTGGTATCTTGAGCTCCTCGATTGACAATCATATCGTGAGTAAGACTTTCAGAGAGGCCGCCGGGGAGTGAGCTATTAGCACTACCTCCATTGCCTCGGTCGTACTGGTTGCCATTACGTCCATTCCTCTGTTCTTGGAGCTTTCGTCTCTTAAAACTGGCTTCCCTTCGCTGCTCGACCTCTCTTCGTCGTTTGAAGATAGCATCCTCTTGCTTTGCTAAGCCATTCAAGATATACTGAGCTCTTTCCAGATTCACGTGGCCATCTTTGGTAACAAACCCACCCATGGAAGGTAAATTGTCTCTCCAAATGGCAGTTAATGTGTCAATGCCATTCTCGCGGATTTCCAGAGCGGGAAGATGGGGGAGGAAGTCATTGCCGACAAAAGAGCACATAAATACCCAATCATCGATAGCACGCTCGAGATCAAAACCGAAGGGAAGTCCTGGTACATCTAGCTCGACGGCGAGATATTCTCGCAAAACTGAAACATGGAGCCAGATGAATGGCTTCAGGGGTACAGGCTTATCTTTTTCATCGAATTCGCCCTCTTTCTCCTTGGCTGCGCCACGGCAGTTTTGTGCATCGTGACCTTTCTGACCACAAATACGGCAGGTTTTGCTTTTTCCGTCTTGGAAAAAGACATCTTCTCGGAGAACGCGAAAATGAGGCTCATGAGTGGCAAGTCCAAGCATAATCAAGTCGGCATCTAATCCATAGATGACATGTCTCGTGTTGGGATCATGATTGGGGGATGTTCTCTGAGAGCGGATAAAGTTCATGATCTTATGCTCACCCTCACCAGGAACTGTAGCGTCGGAGATGATGATCTTCATATTAGCCCATCCAGGGTCAGTGTTTAGCTTGTAGGCACACCAATACCTCAGACTCATTGCTAGTATGTCCATGAAAGGTGTACCAGGCGTAATAGCGTTAGAATCGAAGGCTTTTTTCGCTGCAGCCTCGAGTGTCTCGGGCGGTAATTCGCCACCATTCTGCTTCTTCACCATCTTCATTAATTCCTCCTTGTCGATTTCCTTTTCCTTAGCTTCTTGGGCGGAACGGAATCGTCGCGATCGCTGCTGGTTCATCTTTGCTCGAGGCGCAACACCATCTGCGAATAGGTCGTTAGAGTAAGTGCAAGAATAGAATATGATAGGTGTTGGACGGCTTACCAATTGCAATCATAAGCAGCTTTCTTGGACGGACCATATTGACCACGCGGTCGGTATACTTGAAAATCTCCACCATCATCTCTTCCTCGTCCTTTGGGGCAGGCTTGTCTTCTGGATGGGAGCAAGGATGCACGATACCATTCATATCCAAATACAAATTATCGAATTCCTCGCCATTCGGATTCGGTCGCGTAGTATCGACAGGAATAACTGTACCATCGTCCATCTCGATGGGCCTGTCTTCCACAACAGGGGATATGATCTTGGGATATTTGTTGGAGAGCCATCGAAAAGCAGCCGGGATACCCATCTTGGCGGTGTTAAAGGTAAGAGGTGTTTAGAAAAGTAGAATTCGGTCGCGATAACGAGGTGACGAAGTAACAACGGAAAGGCTAGATAGATGGTGATAAACCAGAGACCTAGCCGGGACTAAATATCGAACGTCGATTCTTCGAGGGGGCTGGAGAAACGAAGGCAAATACGGAGATAAATATTGGAACCACCGATAGGCGCATGAGGCATCATTAAAAAAAAACGCGTCAATTAAAGTTTGCCTGGGAGTAGATCGAAAGAAGTGGGTTGAAGAAAGAGGTAAGTTGAGAGAGACGAAGCCTCGATCAAAGTAACTTTCGGATTTGCACGGGTTATTTAAATAGTACAGAAAAGGAAGATAAAATCTAGCAAGGATGCACCAGAATAAACTATGCAATGATCCCGATTGACGAAACGACCCCTGGCTACCTATTCCACATCAAAGGTAGATAGGTTCGTGGCGATTTTGAAATTGTATCAGCCACGAAAGAAGTTGTTGAATAAAGAAAGATTCGGCGGCGCAAAAGTTCATCCAAGTCGCGAGCTTTAGCCTAGACCCTTGTCACAAGCAGGAGATAGAGTTCGTAGAAGACCCGCTTTTTAGCTATCACTTCCAACTAATACGATTCTAGCCCTTTAGCGATTCTTATAGCCAACTGCAGGCAGGTTCCCACGCGCTGCCTGATTTGATAGGTACCTGTTCTGCCTGTGTCTTACGGTTATCTCCAACTGTTATTACAGGTAACTTACTTGCCTCTTATCGATATCTGGCCAAAATTATGGTCTGTTAACAGTTCGCAGCTAGTCAGTCTTCCCTTCTTCAACAAGCATTCTCATTCAACCTAACAACCAAAACACTAAATATAGCAGAAAGCCGCCAATAGACGATCCGGTCTCTTATACGGTTTACTCGACAGTACGATGCTCCTAAGCCGGTAGCCCTTCTGCCAATGGACTTGATGCGCAACCGCGAGATTGAGCAGCAGCAACACAAGCCATGTTCTCTACAATCACTTCTGCTCCTGCGAAGCAGTCTGTCGGCGAGACAATAACCGTCCTCAGCGGACGTCTAAGCTCGGCTACCCTTCTCGAAGACCGCCGAGCTGCTATACTCGGCTTACGAAGCTTTGCTAAAGAATATCCAGCTTCGGTTGCGTCCGGTGCTCTGAGAAGTCTTATTGGAAGCCTATCTAAAGATGGCGAAGATGTCGACACGGTCAAAGTGGTCCTCGAGACCCTATTAATGCTCTTCAACCCCAACCCAGACAGCCCTGAGGCTTCCGAGGAGATTGCTCTCTGGTTAGCAGACGAGTTTACCCAACGACAAGAAAACATAACGTTGCTCTTGGATTTCCTCGAAACTAATGACTTCTATTCGCGTCTGTATTCTCTACAGCTTCTTCTCGCTATCCTCTCGGCTCGCACTGAAAGAACCGAAATATGTGTATTCACTGCGCCCCTTGGTATTTCTAGGCTAGTTGCTGCCCTTGACGACAGGAGGGAGGCCGTCAGGAACGAAGCGTTAACCCTCCTTACCTACCTGACACCGTCGTCCCCGGATATTCAGAAGCTTGTAGCTTTCTCAAACGTATTTGGTCGGGTCTTCACCATCATAGCAGCCGAAGGGTCACTTTCTGAGGGTGACAGGATAGTCGAGGACTGCCTAATTCTTTTAGCCAACCTTCTGCGCTTGAACCCTTCGAATCAGTCTTTATTCCGCGAAGAGGCTTATATTCCGCAGTTAGCAAAACTGTTAGAAGGTACCTATCACACCGGAAAGGAAGGGGAGGAGGATGTTGCGCTTTGGGCTCAGGAACAGCGCAACAGGAACATATATGCTCTACTTGCAGTCGTCCGCCTCTTCCTTGTGCCTGGTGCTGTAGGAACGCCTCAAAATCAGGCGGCCTTTTGGCAGCATGGCGTCCTTTACCACGCTTTACAGCTTGCTTTTAGCCACGATGCAGAAATGTCCATTAGAGCAGAGGTGCGATGTTTCCCCCGTCTCATCAAGTATTGTGCATTGTTTGTTTACATGTGTGACGTAGGCTTTGACAACATGTGCGGATATTATCAGAGGTAATTCTAAGCTACAAGAGACGTTTGCACAATTACAAGTCCCTTCAGTGTTAGAAACGGCGCCGCCGACCAACGGGCATACTGGCAAGACAAACGTCATCCCCGCCGTCTATGTAATCGATGGTCTTCTAGATCTTACCCTAAGCGTGCCTACGACCCAGGCGTTCGACTTGCGGCTAGCAGCCTGTCAATGTATCAAAGCATATTTCTTCAACCACCCCGAAGTCCGCCTACATTTTCTACGCCGCGCAATCGAGGGCCACTCATCTGGCGTAGACGAAACAGCTAACGTGCTAACTACTCTGCTCCGACCGTCTAATGTCTCAGGCTCGGTAGATCCTTACCGACATTGGTTCGCAGCTGTTATCACATTTCACTTGATCTTCGAAAATGCCGAAGCGAAAGCCCTTGCGATGTCTGTAGCAGAAGGTGATGCGGAAAGCGGCGAAGAAGTAGTAACAAGCATTCAAACTATTTCCGCCCACCTCGTCAGTGGGCTAGCCAGGTCCGACGACGAGCGTATCTCCGTGGGTTATCTGATGTTGCTGATAGCGTGGCTCTTCGAGGATCTGGATGGAGTTAACGACTTCTTGGGTGAGGGCAGTAACATTCAAGCCTTAGCACAAGAAGTTGTACGATATAATTCAAGCAATGTCATTGTGCAGGGGTTATGCGCTATGCTCCTCGGTGTGGTTTATGAGTTCTCTACGAAAGATTCACCAATTCCTCGTTCGACTTTGCATAGCGTTCTCACGTCTCGGATGGGCCGCGACAGGTACATCGATATCCTCAATAAGTTACGAAGTCATCCTTTTATAAGGGATTTCGAGGTCATACCACAGAAAGGAGACAATGGGGGTAATTTACCGGATGTCTTCTTTGATGCGACTTTTGTGGATTTCTTCAAGGACAACTTTAGCCGCATGATAAGGGCCATCGATCGTGACCCGGGCATGGAGATTTCGGTAGTAACCAACGGCATTCAGAAAGGCATATCTCGTGAGATGGTGGACTCTCTGCGAGCTCAAGTCGACGAAAAGGAACGAGCATTGCAAGCAGCACTGGCCGATGTGGCCTCTCTCAACGGAAAGCTCGGTCAAGAGCAAGCTGACCATCGTCGAACTAAGGAAACCTCTACTGCGGATTTAGCAAGAATAAAGAGCGTCAGCGAGGCCATTCAACAAAACCATGCTGAAGAAATCAAGTAAGTACCTCAAGGACGCCGTGGAGTTTATTCTAACGCAAAAAGGAAAATTGAGGCGCAACAGCGGTCAAAAGAGGAATCCTACCAGAAGCAAATAGAAGCTGTCCAAAAAGAGGCAGCCACTGCTGCGGATGCTATCCACGCGGATTACCGCGAGAAAGAAGCGGAATTACAAAGACAACTCGAGTATGTCCGAAAAACCGCAGAGACCGAAGCGGCCCGTATTCAACGACGATCCGAAGCGGAAATGGCGGATCTTCGAGCTACAATCAGCCGGCTAGAGGTTGACCTTATGAAGGTACATATAAGTGCAAAACTGATGCTTCACTACGTGCATTAACAGTACAATACAGGCAAATAAGGCAAAATCCGAAGAGTTGCACGCTGCTCAGGAAGAATTTGCCGAAAAGCTATCAAACGTGCAGTCGAAGGCAAAGGCAGCAGAAGAGCGATATTCAAATCTCGAAAAGCAATTATCACAAAAGGACAAAGAGATAGAGGAGGTATTTAAAGACTCCACCCCAACACGACTATCACGAGAACTTGGAACGAGGAGATATGCTAATTCTTAATTCTAGTCTCGCAAGCAGCTAGATGAGAAGGAGGAACAGAAATCGGCTATCCAATCCGAACTTGACGATCTTCTTATGGTCTTTGGTGACTTAGAAGAAAAGGTTGAGAAGTATAAGGTACGCATCCGCAGAGTTGCAATTTCGAGTCGTGACTTTTCAACGTGCTAACATAGGAGCTCGTAGAAACGGCTTGTTGACCTAGGCGAAACTGTGTCGGATGGCGAGGATGAAAACGATGACGATGACGACGACGACGACGACAACGATGCAGATAAAGACGTGGATTAAGTGTATTATCCGTTAGGTATTCAACCAATGCGTCTTCAGCATAGTCTATAGGTACAGTAAGGAGTCTCGTATTTGGGCCAACAAGCAGAACTGCCGATACCCCTGATTTAGGAAGAAAGCTCGATATCGAGCTTGGTACCTCATAAGTGCCTAACGCTTAATAGGCTTACCCCCTTCTAAAGTGCCTACGACACAGGTAATTGGTGGAGGTCTTTTCTAAGAACTACTTAACCTTACCTCGGTGCTTTAAGGTACCTAAGGTAACGCAAGGACGCAAGAACGCAAGGGAGGTTAAATGCCTACCTAAGGTTAGGTACCTTTAGGAGGTACTTTAGGTACTTAAAGTTCGCATGCAAATATCGCATATGGTATATAGCCAGGGCAAAGGTTACCTAGCCTAAGGTACCTAACGTACTACGTAGGTAGAGATATATGTACTTATCCGAGCCGCTATCTTGTTTATACGGTGTACCTAGGTTAACTTTGAATATTTCCACAATTATAAGAAATTCTTAAGAGAATCGTGATATTAATAACTTAAATCGAGCCGCCAGCTATTATTATATGTTAAGCTTGTTCCTGCTATAGCCCCTTGGTGAAACATAAGAAGACTATATATCAGGCTGCATTTCGAGATATAGCTCAGGGTATTTTGACTCATAAATACGAGCATTGAGGGATTGGAATCCCCCCCAAAAAACTCATTCATCACTTTTTTTTTCTAGGTATCACCAGTTTTTTTATTTTTTTATTTTTTCCACTTTTCGAATTTTGTCAACCAACTCTGTCTTTTTTTTTTTTCCTCAACCTCTCAGCTTTACACCTGCAATGAGCGCCGCAGCACAGAGCAGATCCGCCAACCGCCACCCCCCGGCGAGCGAGTCTGGGGATTCGGACTCGCGGGATGAGGAGGACTGGAGCGATGCCGAGGAGGAAGACGACGATGAGGAAGAAACTCCCGAGGTCATCTCGCTGCTTGATGACAGGGTCTTCCCCGATGTCATGTCCATGCTTGCGCACTGCAGAGAGAAGCACGGATTCGACTTTCTGGGCGTTCGACAGCGGTTGCAGCTTGATTTCCACGGCTGCGTCAAGCTTGTGAATTTCAGTGAGTGTGGTTGTTCCTTTTTTTTCTGTCTTGTTTTCATTCCGTTTTCTCCTTTTGTTCGCATTGAGGTCGATACCAAATCATGCCGCCGTATCGCTTAAGAGATCATGATAATCTTCTTATACGCCTTAGACACTTTAAATCACGGGCTGCTGTCATATTATCCAAACCCTCTTCTCAATTTCGTAACTTCGGTCCTAACTCGCAACTAGTTCGCCAGCGGGTGCATGAGGGCCTATCCGTGACGGAAGACATCTCGTGGCCCGACATCGACCACGAGCAGTACCTCAAGCCCGTCCTAGACGATGATGCCGTCATCTTAGGTCTATTTGACCTGCCGGAACTCAAGCCGGCTGTGCAAGGTAGCAATGGCAATGGAAATGGCGAGAACGCGGCGCTAGTTGATGACCTACTGAAGCGCAACAGCGAGCTCCAGGAGGAGCTAGCCCGTGTTAAGACCCAGTTCGACAGCTACCGCGTTGCCGTGCAGCAGACTCTTGACGAGCGCTGGGGCGACGTCGATCAGGCTGAGGCCGAATCTTCTGCCGCTGTCAAAGCGGGCAAGGGGAAGGAGGATGGCGAGAAGAAGGAGGATGACTCTCAGTACTACTGGGACTCGTACGCTGGAGTCGGTAAGCATCTGCTCTGTCCGATATACATACCTATACAAACGGCTCTTTTTCTAACTCCTTGCTACGCAACTTAAGATATTCACGAGACGATGCTGAAGGATGCGGTGCGCACCGACGCATATCGGGACTTCATCTATAACAATAAGCACCTCTTTGCAGGCAAGACTGTGCTGGACATAGGATGCGGTACAGGTGAGTCTTAGCAAAAATTTCTTTATCCATGTAACTATCTTATTTATTATTCTCCAATCTAACACACCAACCCAGGAATCCTAAGCATGTTCTGCGCCCGCGCCGGCGCAGCCAAAGTCATCGCGGTCGACGCAAGCGCCATCATCACCAAAGCGCAGGAGAACATCTTCCACAACAACCTGTCCTCGATCATAACCTGCGTGCGCGGCCGCATCGAGGACGTCGCCCTGCCCGTCGACGAGGTCGACATCATCGTGAGCGAGTGGATGGGCTACTGCCTGCTCTTCGAAGCCATGCTGCCCTCCGTCCTGTTTGCCCGCGACCGCTACCTCAAGCCCGACGGCCTGCTCGTCCCTTCGCACGCCAACATCTGGCTCGCCCCCGTCGCCGACCCCCAGTACGTCGCCGACAACATCACCTTCTGGCGCGACGTCTACGGCTTCGACATGCGCGCCATGCAAGCCGGCATCTACGACGAGGCCCGCGTACTCACCTGGCCCGCATCCTCCGCCCCCGCCGACCCGAACAGCACCATCCCCGGGAGCCCCAGCGCCTTCAAGCTGCTGGACCTGTACCAAGTGCAGACCGCGGACCTGTCTTTCACCGCGCCCTTCGCCACCACGCTGGCTCGCGACAACGTCGACGCGCTGGACGGCTACCTGCTCTGGTTCGACATGTTCTTCTCGCCGACGCGCGACCCCGCGCGCAGCGCCGTGGCCCTCGACTCCACGGCCGAGGCCTGGGCCGCCGCGGACCCGCAGAACCGCGTGGCCTTTACGACGGGCCCGCACGGCCGCGAGACGCACTGGAAGCAGGGCCTGCTGCTGTGCAAGCCGAAGGCGGAGAACGCGTCGGCCGCGAAGATGAGCAGCCGCGGCGGCGAGGAGATCAGGGGCGAGATCTCGTTCTCCATCCCCGAGGACCACGCGCGCGGCTTGGTCATCAAGGTCGCCTGGAACGGCAACAGGACCCAGAGTTGGTCTTTACGATAGAGAGGGGGAGGAGGAGGATCTGGGAATGGAAATGGAAATGCATTGGAAACGGGGGAGAAAGAAAGAAAGAAAGGAAGGAAGGAAGGAAGAGTGATAGATCACGTACGGTAGCTAATGACGGTAACTGTGCCCAATGATTCAATTTTCAATGTACCTTATGGGAGAAGTCATAGATGCTTAATACCGTAAAAGTAGTACTGTTTAAGCTATCTTCTTGTATATCTGAAGCTTAGGTACCTAACCTACATGATCGGAGCAGAATACACATAGGAGGTACTATAACAGACTTAGGTACCTAAGATAGATGCCCCATCATAAAAATGCCAGAACTGTTAACCTGTTGAATTATCTACGATCTAACTTACGATTTTCTTATACACTTGATTTACATTGCTGAAAAAATCGACGAATCGCATTACATCAACACGAAAAAAAAAGTCGCGGGAATATACAACTTCTATTTGCCAGGAGTGTTCTAGCTGGTATTGAATAATCACTCGTCCCTTAGTTGGCCCTTCTATTTCCGAGCCCACTATCTCAATTTTCCCCGTTACAACGTACACATTCATCATAGCAGTACAGCCCTTTTGGTAGCATCTTAATAAGCTCGGGCAAACTAAACCTCTGCAATACGCCTTTGTTTTAACGTCTTCCTGAATCAAGAACCCATAATCTATATATCGAATCTTTCGACGTGATAAGAAGGGAAATTATGAAAGCATAGAAAATCCCGCCAATGTAACGTTCTTCGTAAAAGCTTATTCAGACGATGTTGTCTAATGGTTCGCGTGTCTGCTGCTCCCAGCGGACTGGTTGGTTCGGGTAGACGCTTGGGGATACAGCGTATTCGCTGACTGGGCACTGGTGTTGTATGGATGCGGACCACCCACTTGCGCTTCTTCGTCATAGGGGCCCGAATGCTGGGTTATCTGAAAGCTTGGCGTGTTCTCGCTGATTGGTTGCGGAGGTAGGGTTTCGCCTGCTCTCCGACGACCGCTGCGCTGACTCTCATGCTTACGGAGGTCCAGACGCAAGGACTCTATATCGGTTGAGCGTTTTCGCTCTATGAGATCCTCACGGGAGTCTGAGGAGTCGTCGCGGTTATAGCCCCAATTGTCTGCTGCTGCTGCTACGGGGTCGAGCGTGTTTAAACCCTGCGCAGCCTTCGCCTCTCTATCCTCGGGTTTTCCGGATTTGCTAGCTGTCGAAGGGTTCCTAGCCGGTGCTGCTGGTACCAATCGCTTTTCTTCCTTTTCTTTAGCAGCCTTGTCACGAGCAGCAGCCGCTTCCGCATCCGAGACGCTGACCGAATAGGAGGGATTAGTAGGTCCACCTAATGCTTCACCGCCGCCACCTGGAGGATAGATGGGCACCTTCTTCAAGGCAAGCGTAAGAGCACACATGAATTTGGAGCGTCGAGTAGCACGGATAGCCTCGTTGTGCCAATTTGACTTGTGCTTGATAGCAATCTTAAGCTGCAATTTATCCAAGTCTCCGACACCTGCAACGCTAATAGAAATGTCAGGTTGAAAATCTCGCGCATTCTCTGGGGCCTGCACAAATTTCTCCATCTCAAGCCGTAAAAGTTCGATGTCTTCAAATGAAGTATCATATGAGACATTGATGTCAATAACCTCTTTCATGGCCTTGCTTCGGGTAACGTTCTCGATCCAAACGTTGTTCAGAACAATGTTTGGTACCTGTACAACCTGCATCTTGTCGATACGATTGAAGACCGTGTAGAGCAAGGAAATCTTCTCAACAACCAGCTGCTCTTTCTCCGTACCTGTAATATCGACTCTGTCGCCAACATCGTAAGGATGCTTGACGAATAGGAAGATGCAAGAACCTAAGAATTCCTGCGTAGTGACAGCGAAAACGAAAGAGAGAGATAGCAAGGTCGTACCCGCAGTCGCGAGCGTGGTGATGAAGGAGCTTTGGAAGAACGCAACTACATTGAAATGTCAGCAGAGGGTATATAACTTACAACTTGGCAGAACGAAAGCGAAAGCATGTGATGACTTACGGAAGATGAAAATAACGATCAGCAGCACGATGAAGAGGAGGACCTGATCGAACACACCCAAGGCTTGGCTGATGTCCTTCATGCTGTTTCCTATAGCCTTTCTCTCCTTTCCCATCTCAACTACCTTCCTAATCATTTCGTCGAGGCTGATATCTCCATTCCCATCCGCATCGATTGCTTCGAAACATTCTTCGGCTTCTTCACGGTGGCCAGGGCCAAGAACCTCGATGATGTCATCGACATATAGAGACTCGTTGCCTTCCACGACAAATGACATCCAGATACGCTTCGCGAGAGCCTCTGAAGTCCTAACTTTCTCGAGGGCTTCTACGACTATCGAGTGAGCGGAATTGGGGTTGAAGACCTGCTTGCCAGTAATCTCCGAGGCCAGGTTGCCGAAGACAGAGGTAACTTTGTCGCCAATGCGCGTTACATTCCCAATCAACCTCATAGGCGTCACTACACCACTCTTCCTATTCCTTCTTCCACCTTTCCCACCAGCAAGCAGTATCTCGATACTATCGTTGATAAGCTCATCCTCTTCGCGGAATTCACGGCAGTACATAGGAAATAGTTGCCGAGAAGCGTCGTACATCAAGCCCAGAAGGTAGACTTCCCGTTTGGAGTCCTTTATACGATTGGCAAAGGATCGCTGGTGGTATGTGACGCTGATAAGTTGAATAATAGCTTTCTCGACGAGGAACACAGCCGAAGAGGCAAAGAGCGCACCCACGATTCTTCGTATCGTTATAACCCACTCGACATTGTTGTATCTAACATTTAGCAGACCCGTGAATATAAAGAAGGTCGCCAATGCCCAGAAGAAAAGGGAGAGCGGAATCTCAAGTGCGCGGATGACGATTGCATACTTGCGAGTACCAGCGCTGATGACACCGGTGAAAAACATAAAAATAGGGGGTAGAAGATGAGCAACGACCTTACCAACCCATAAGGCCAGCCACGCTAATTCAATCCATAGAAAAAGATCAATGAGACGTGGGCCGGGGTCATATATGGCGGGAGTTTCGTTTACATCATTGGTTCGCGGGCCGTGACCAGCTCGAAGCGTGTCCTGCTTATTCAATGCTCGGATAACAATCATAGGAATTGCCAAGAGGACACCGACGGGGACGATGTAAACGAGATATCGCGTGAAGACTGAGGCTTGGATGAGCTTGTTGTAAAACCTGCCCATGGCAGTAAGAGATGCCTCCTCGGAGATTAGATTGTCATTCTCCTCAGAGCCCTCGGTTTTCTTGGCTCTCCTCCGACCACGATGAAAGAAGCCACCCTTCTCGTTGTCGTCAGTAGGGGGCTGGTTTTCAATACTGAAGCCGGTTGCATTGCTTTGGTTGGGCTTTCTAGCACCAGTCGAGCTGGCGTTGCTCCGTACTTGAGTTAAAGGAATGTCGTTGTCCATGTCAGCTCGCGAGCCACCCAGCTGCATGAAACCTCTTGGGGAACGGATCGACATGGAAATGAAGAGATGTGTGAGTGAAGTGGTAAAGATAGTTAAGCTATCCCACTGCCAAGGCTATATAGATGTGACCCAGCAATGCGGTGCGGTTCAGAAATTTTCTTTTCCCTTTTCTTCTTAAAATAGGGTATGGTACGATTGCAGATACAAGAGAATGGATTATAAAACGAAGTTCCTCGGGATAGCACCGGGCGATCGATCGGAAGCGTGAAAGATGGTGCGTTCAAATATCAGGTACGAAACAAGGACAAATGTAACCGTAGGCGTTTAGGACACCAAACGAATGATGAGTTTAGAGAAAAGAGGCAGACAAAACGAAAGACTGTCGGCCCATGAGTCTAGCGAATAATACAGGTGAAAAGGACCCGAAGCATAGTATGCTCTTGAGGAGGATGTGGGGGGGAAGAGGACCGAGGAAATTGTCGAAGATTGAGGATATAGTAGTGAAGTTGTAGTTGTAGAGTTGGTTAGGGAAGAAGAAAAAAGAAAGATCGCGAATCTGAACGGCAAGGTGTGGTTCGGCAGCGCTAGGTTAGATGATATTAGGTACACTACTATACTATGTAGATACTATAGGTTAGGTAGGTACCTGGTAGGAACAGATCGAGGGTTGCACCTTTATCATGCGGAGGGATTGGCGCATTGGAAGATCCGCCGAGTACTAACTACAAGGGTTCCACAATGGCAATCGATCTAAAAAGAAATGGGCAAAGAGTACGTAGTCCATTGGGTGATTATACATACCTAAGTACCTATAGGTAGTTGTATTACCTCTAGGTATGTAAGGTAGCGCCTACCTTAGGTAGATAGGTATCGTTACGTTAGTAGTCCGAGTAGTTCAAGTTCTATCGTGGAAGGAGCCATCAATTTATCTCGTGTATTATGTAGAGTAACAGCAATAGGCAAATACCTCTTAGGGTATACCGTTGTACATAATTTGCATAATCGTACGCGAAGGTACACAACTTACAAGAGCCTTGGAAGCAAGCAACTCTTTTGTATCATCTGAAATGTTTCCACTTATACTCCAATATCATAACCAAGGTACTATACTATGTAGTACCTTCTATTCCGGGTATTCACGTTGGACGTTCGCAAACTTTTTAAAAAATTTCTACTTAAAGAATGTTTCAACTTTCACTAGGTAATGTTATCCAGGGGTAAGAGGTCTAGACGTTTCAGCGGAATTGGACGTTAATGGCGTGTAGCTTTCGTGGTTGGCCAATTCGCTTCAATCACCACCAGGATATTAACTCCGGCACAACCTACCCGAGTCAAGGGCTGGGTGTGTACCACAGCAGATGCCCATGTGTTGCGTGGAAAGTACCTATGTACCTATCTGGTAACGGGAGATTGGTTTTTTTTTTTTTTTTTTTTTTTTTTCGCTTTGTTATTTTAAGCCAACTCGTCATTGTCCCACGTTTCAGAAGTTCAGAGGCGAAATTGGAAATCGGAAGAAAATAACCCACTTACCCTTGATCAACCTGTTAACGTTAATTGGATCGCTTCTTCGATTGGGATATGAACCGGTTTACCTGTTTGGTCAATTGGAAAAAGATTGTTACATTTTGCATAGTGTCACATTCGGTCAATGAGAAGAATGACGAAAAAGCTCAGATCAAGTTCTGCCTTGGAAAAGGGGGGCCACTTTGTTTCTCCACGATACGGGTCAAGAACGGGTCACAAATGGGTCACAAATGGGTCTGCGATGGTACAATACATTTTTACACGCGAGATCATTGTACGAAGATCTTGGTTGATAGGTAGGTAGATATGAAGTCCCATTTTTTAAACCAAGAAAAAAAAAAAAAAAGAAAGAAAGAAAAAAACCTTTCGTTCGGTCGATCTTCAAGTCTACGATAGCACAGCATATAATTAACACCTACCTTAAGTACCTAGGTAGGTAAGTAGTCTCTTTTGGCAAGTTGCTATATAATCTCTGCCTTGGAATAATCCAAGTTCACCGTTCAGCTAGGTATCACAAAGAGAGCCATCACGAGCACGGACAGATGGACGGGGACCACAAGAAGTTGGAGAACACCAAGAAAGGCGGTGGGTAACGTAGATCTCGAAAGATCCGAGCTTCATCCAGCAGCTCCCAGCTGAACGGGCAGACGGGGTCATCGATCGGAGGCGACAAACGGGCCACTATTGATCCTATGCATGCATAAGACGATCAAGCTTTTCCGCGCCAGTCTCGTGCACCCTGCGTAGACCCTCCAGACCCTGTGTATCTAGGTAGTTATCCTTGCGAATGGATACACACGTACGTATGTATATACAGACCGCATACATAGTTGGTAGTTGTAGGTACAGACCAAATAATAAAAGGGACTTACTAACTTCGAAACGCGCCGCCGCAAGCCACGTCCGCTGATTGTCATCACGCCACGCTACAAATGTCTTTCTAGCGTCTAGACTACCGTTAAATTTCTTAAGACTACTTCGAAACTAATGCTGAACTAAGAGGTACTTGTGAAATCGGCGATACCAACATTAAAGTATTATATGTATGTCAGTGTGTTCGTCTAGCATTCGGAATTCTATCGGGCGAGTAGATATTTTTTACGTAGCGACACCGTCTAAGCCTCACCGTATACCCAAGTCTAGACGTATCATAGTATCATAGCATCATAGCATCATATTTTATAAGCCATTCAAGTCATTCTACCTCAACTAGTTAGGCTTTACAAGATTCCCACCCAACAGGTTTTTTAGTTCCGTTGTTGTATAAAACAGTGCAAGACATTCATGTCTAGAGAGAGACTTGTTTTACCCTGTCCTCTGGTCTTTATGTATGGTATGGAGGGTGCGTAGGATATGGATCCGCATGAGCAGGATGTCTGTGAACGCCGGGACCATGCCATGAGAAGCGACGGAAGGCAGTTGCTTCTTTCTCGGCGCGATAAATCACATCAACGGCATCGGTACCGGTAGTTGTAGCACTGCTTGGGACATCCTGGACAGCAAAAGACTGTCTAGTACTAATGGGAGTGCCTGTGTCGCTATCGGTTGTCGACTCGTCTTGTATTACGAAATTCGGTGCAGCAGCGTCATCTGGTCCGTTGAGGTGGTAAAGGGGTTCTAGAATAGCCCCGCGTTGCCGTAGGACATATCGCCTAAACCACCATGGAATAACCTTAGTGCAGTTGTACTTCATAAATATGCCCATAGGCACGGCAAAGACGTAGTCGAGTTCTTCTAGGGTCCGCTGCTTCGTCTCGGGCATCCACAAGAAAATCATCACCAAAGCCGTGACGTTGAACCCCGCATATAGACAGAAGGTGCCCTATTGGGAAAACCTCCCATTAGATTTATCATCTTCATAGAATGAATAATATACCTAGGTAGGTAGCTATCAAACTTACCAAAACACCCACGGCCGCGAGGATTTTGGGAAATGTGATCGACAATACAGCAGCCCAGAAAAGACAAGTAGCAACGGCCCACGCCATCCCAACCTCGCGGTGTGAGAGCGGAAAGACCTCTGCACTATACGTATATGGAACGGGACCCTCGCCGGGCGAATAAAACATAGCAAACACATATATGAATAGCGCTACTAGGCCGGTATGAGCTGTAGAGGCTTTAGGGATGAGCGTACATAGACCAGCAGCTAGTAGCGACCACGCCATATTCGGGAATGTGAAAAGTAGCAGCGAGCGCCGGCCAAAGGTATCGATCGTCCAGATGGCTGGCCAAGCAAAGAGGAAGTTTACAAGACCGAACCCCCACGATGCTAGAAGGGCATTGAAATCGGAAGTTCCCGCTTCTTTAAATACGCTGGAAGAATAGAAGGCTATAATATTGATGCCTATTGCACTTTAGCTCTCAGATGACAGCGATTAGGACTTATAGCGGTCGACTTACCGCACATCTGCTGGCCGATCATGACCACAAAAGAAGCAAGAGTAGCCCTTCTAATACGAGGGATCGTAAAGAGCTGAACAATCCGTTCAATATAGGTCGAGTCGCTTATGGCCTCAGATTCGATCTCTACCTGGGCATATATAGTATAAAGGTCGCGAGCCGCTTGGATAGGATGATTGCGTAGTCGTAAGAGCGACTCTATCGCCTGTCGAACCCGACCTTTTTTGATGTACCATCTCGGCGATTCCGGACAAAATAGAATGAGCAACGTTAGAGGGACCGCTGGAATGAAGGCCGAACCAACCTGGACTACGTAGATGGAGTATATATTAGCAACACAAGGACTTACAGAAAGGAAGGGTAAAATATACGTCTCCAGGAGATTCTGCCAACTTGGCCAACCACTAAATTAGCAGTGCATCCAAGGAAAATGCCGAACGCGGTCCACATTTGCCATGATGTCACCAAAGCACCGCGGATAGATGCAGGACTATTCTCAGCAGCATATATCGGCACGGTCGCAGCTTTGATTCCCATGCCGATACCGAGAAGGAGTCTCGAAATCAAGAATTGCATCCAACTCCTGGTGAGAGCTCCAAGTATAGGAGTTATCAAGCAAATCAGGGCAGATATAAATATGCATCCTATAATTGGCGTTAGCTATTGCTGTCTTCGAGTACGATAAATAGAGAGGGTTCGCCTACCTCGACGTCCAAACCGGTTGTTGAGCGGATCCGAAAGCCAACAACCTATAAGTGCTGACCCAATATAAGGGGCCGAATTGATGAGACCGACCAGAAACACGTCTCGGTCTGAATCCCCGCCTATACCAAACTGCGCAGGAAATGTTAGGTTAGCTCCATTGCTACCCTCTTGGTCCTACCCTTGCACGGCTGCTCCTATGGAGCAGGTGATGATCGTTAGGTAGAGGAGCTTAGGGACTCTCCATTTATGTGTTTTTTCCCGTCTCAAGGCTTCAATTTCCTCAGTATCAAGCGCTTCAGGCCCCGAGATATCCTCGAAGCTATCGGGATCCCTGGAAACTAGGACGCCCTTACGCATGAGCGGAACGTACTCGGATAAGTCATTCCATCTGGTAAACCGCGTGACATGCTCGAGTAGATATTCACGGGGAACGTTAGCCAAAGGGTTCGAGATCCTATTTCTCACCAAGAAAGTAAAGTTAGCCAATTATATGAAAAGCCCAAGATACCTGGCCACGGACTCGGCAGTTGGGTTGTTATTGAGGTCGACGTGTGCCTTTGCATAGGGGAAAACACCCTTCTCCGTCGTGGTATCGTAGCGATACACTGAAGTTTTGCGACTACGTCTGCTTGGATGTTAGAATGCAGTACGTAATAATCCGTAAGGTAATGAGTCTATTATAGTTCTTACACTGGCGGTTGTGAAGCTTTTTCAGACATAATAGGTATTGAAATTAGTGATGAAGCTGAATCATTCTGTAAAACACGATATAAAAATGATAACAGGTAGGTACTTATTAACTAATTCTAGGGAATGGCGATATTAATATGATTTCTAGGGAAACTTCAAAGTTGTGTAGTAGGCAAAGCAGAGTTAGGTAGACATTGAGAATCTTGCTACAATGTAACAATATCGAGTACCGTGTTTTACTTTATCTCCAATAGAAAGAGCATTGCGGCAAAGCTTATTGTAAAACAGCCTATCTACCTCTCATGACAGGCACAGGTTTCAGATGAATTCAGTTATAAGCTATGATCTAATCGATGGAGTTTATTTTCGACCTCACATGCCTAAGAAAACCATAGTCTTGAGAGCTTAAGGTGGCTGGCTGGCTGGCTGGCTACCTGCATACCTGAATCTCATCTGAAGCGTACAGCATCTCATCTAACGGCATATTAGGAAAACTAATCGACGGAATGACTGAGATGCATTAGAAACAAGGACCAGGAAGACACACGAACGATTGGTATATACATATTCACCAGTTAGTGGATAAAAAGGAGTAAATCATAGCCACGCAAGGTTATAAAAGCTTACACGGCGCCATACCGTACGGATAAAAGAAAAATATATGATTCGCAATGTGCTTTAAAGCAAGCATCTAAATACCTCAGCTTCCTCCTTAAGAATACATATATCGCATGGGTATCTCTGAGAAGTACAATACATGATAATACACAATACACGAGTCTCCGAAGAGCTCACCACCACCACCACCACCACCACCACCATCAAACCAGACATTCCAACCCCGAATACTTTAGGTACCTACTACTAATACATCCCACACAGCCAGTCGAACAAGCTCGACCATAAGCCATCCCACTATCTCCCCTCCCTAGCCCCTTTCGCAGCAGCAGCCATCGCGTCCTCGCGCTTCCTCCCCCGCCCCACCATATGCACCAGCTCAGCATACCTCCTGCGCCAGAACTCGGCCGCGGCGTCCCCTTCGGCCGGGACGTCCGCGCCCTCGGCCCGGTGCTGCGCGCCCTTCTTCCACCGCGCGTGCGGCACCGTCTCCGTGAACCGGAACCGGGCGTTCGCGGATCCGCAGCGCAGCCCCCACACGTAGCTATACCGCGTATAGTCTACGCCGACTTCGAGCCGATGTACGACGTTACCTCCTCCTCCTCCTCCGCCGCCGTTTGGCTTCGGTAGGTGCCTGGAGCCGGCTAGTGCTGCCGCGGCGATAAGGAACGATTCGGGGCTATGGGTCCGCTTCGCGAGGCCTGCGATGATGGCCCGTGCTAGGGCGAGCGCTTCGTCGATATCGGGTGGTGGACTGGGCTGTCCTTTCTCGTCGAGCCACGTGCTCTCAAGGAGGTCTGCGACGAGTAAAGTTTCCGTCTCGTCGCGGTTCGTTCTGTCACCGTCGTTGAAATTGAACTGCACAGTCAGACCCGCGGGGTTATCGGTTGGCCCGGTTGTAAATACAGTCGCAGTACGGTCAAATACAGTCACATCTTCTATAGGACTAGCCGTTATTCCGCTAGCGCCGCTCGATACAGTCCCGTTGACTGCACTCTTTCCATTCACCATTAGAAACGGAGGGGGAGTGGCTAGCCTGACGGGACCACCTGCTCTTTCCGGTACTTGTAGAGAGAGGCGACCGGGCCGTGAAGGTCGAGTGGTGGGAGTGGTAGTTGTTGGTGTCGTAATTGGCGCAGACGTAGGTCCGGTCGATTTTGGGAGCTGATCTAGAGGGTGCATTGATTCGGGAAATACATCCGATTGGGGCGCGCTCTGTTCGAAAGGTGTTGCCTGGAATTCATTACGCTCGTCCGGGATTGCTGATAATGGTCCGTCGCTAGGCCGACTGCTGGGCGGTCTCCCCCGAGGTCTACCGCTTGTAGATACACCACCACTTCTCCAAGCGGAAGAAACTACCTTCGCTCCGTGGCGACGGCCAAGTGATCTAGCCTTAGGGGGGCTGATTGCTGAACGAGGCTCCATGGGATCTCCCCAGAACGCGCCTCTCGTCGAAGGTGTCATTGCGGAGTGAGGATACGCCGACATAGGCTCACGGGAAACATCGTTACCCCATGGAAAGGCCGAGTTTGCCTCCGGCAATACACTTGATCGTGGATCGACTGGAGGAAACATAAAAGCGCTTCTTCCGTCTGGATGGGCTGTCCACGGATCTAAGGCGTCTGGCCGAGCAGCCCTAGCCTCCCCGTTGGAATTTGGGGACTCTAACCTTGGCCTTTGGGATGGGGATTTGCTGAAACTGTCGTCCTCGGGTCTCTTTCGGCCCCGGCGCGGCCGAATGTGAGGTAACAAGGCACGTAAAGCCATGTCATCTTCGGCAGCAACTCCGTCCCTACCCTCCTCACATACGGGATTTGGATCACTCGGGATCTGGGTCCAATAGGGATGAGGATTGTCCATCAGATAATCGAAGAAGGCATTTATGTGCATGGAATGCATCCATCGCTACTACAAGTCAGTCAAGCTACTCGTAAATAAATTTGAATAGACTTTACCTTTAGGCGGACGGCATACTGCTGTATCTTTTGAGAGCTCTGCCCCTTATCGTGGTCGGGCGGCTCGACACCGAGTTTTAATGCCAGTTCTGCCCACGTCTTAAGCTCCTTGGCATGTAGTTGCTTGATGAGCTCGAATAGGTTGAACGTGCTGAAGCTTTTACCTTCACTCTTAGGTGGAGTTCGAAAAGCCTCTCTGAGCGCGGCCGTATCCGTCTCTAAGGGTACTGCCGGGTTGCAGTAAAGAATAAAGCTCACGTAGGCATCCTCGATAGAATCGCTGGTCACGCTCCTCGGAGGCAATGTTGGTCTTATGAGCCCCGACGAAGACCTCGGGGTCTCATTCTTAGACGGAGACGAAAGAGGGTTGAAGCGACGGGAACCGTTGCTGGTTGGAGTAGAGAGCGCCATCTTAATATCATAAGATAGCGAAGTACACAATGATCCCCATGGATAGTGGGGGAGAGATACGATTATAGGGGGGATGGGGATGCTAGGCGCGTTTGATGGGGTTGAGGGTTGAGAGTTGAGAGTTGAGGTTCTCACGTAATGGTTGGTAATAATACCTGTTATAGAGACTTGCTACTATTTTTTCGCAACTCGAATAACAAATAAGGTAGTTGATTTTTTTACTATTCTCATCAAGTCTGCGTTAGGTATATGTGTAACACGACTTGTTTCTTTCATCTCCCGTCTTTTTTGTAATTGGTCCTTGAGTCGATGTGATGATAATATAAGCGTGGTGTAAGTGTGTACCTAACCTAAAAAAGATGCGAAATAGTACCTTAGGTTAGGTAGGTAGAGGTACGAAGTAGGTAGGTACCTAATGTAGGTAACGCCGTTTTAACTGGTGTAAATATAATGGTCAAATGGTAAAAGCAAGAAAATAGAGGGCGTGTTTCCTCCGTCTTAAACCTTATTATTGAAAAAGAAGCTGCTAAAACTGGATGTGGCAAAAGGTAATGGGGAAAAAAAAGAGAGAGACAGAATAGGATAGGTTTTTGGTGAAGCCCTCTTCAGGTGTCCAATGCCTATTATGCCGAATTCTATTTTGAGAGCGCGCTGGGGCGGGAGGCTGGTGCCACGAGCGCACGCACGGCTGTTTTAGATGGGCCGGGAGATAGGTCTGCGTGCTATCTCTGCTATTTTTGGGTACGTGTTCACGTGATTTAGGTATGCATAATCTGAATTTTATGAGACCTTATGAGCTCTTACGAGGGATCTAATGCACCGAGGAGGTAGCGCATATAAGATGCATAATATACCCAGGTACCTCACTGCCCGGTGTGTACGTAGGTACCTACCATTGTGCAATACCTATAAGAAGGTGTGCATAGGTAACCTGGAAGTAATTAACCCCTTTTTCTGTAAAACATACCTACATCAGTCTACATAAACCTATACAACCCTTAGGTAGGTACGTAGCGGCGTAGGCGTGACTCTGTTCTGCCTTGTCAATTCATTGGACAGATGTCTCTTCAACAAAGTAGGATTCGGGTAGACAATCTGGACAGTACGGTCTCTTTGCATGCCATCATGAAACCTGTATCGCGGCACACTCTGCTGTGTTTTATCGTGCACCGCCTCGTATATAGGGTTGACGTTGCTAAGAATACTCGCAGTCATGTTTGTCGTTTGAGGGTTACTTATAACTAGTAGGTATTAAAGATGAAGTATTGGAACTAAGATATCAGCCTTATGATATTCAATTATTGGACGTACCTATTTAGTTCGTGTAGAAATTGGTAACGGCATCGGAGAAATATATGCCTAAAATACACCTAGTGATGCAATTTGTAAGATAGTAAAACAGTAAAAATGATGAAATGGCAAAGGGATGCAACAGACATATTAATGTTGGAATGTAGAGATTATTTACATAGGTACACCTAGGTAGGTAATCTGTCTCGTCTGGCCTGACTCGCCCACTAAAAACGTCGAATTTGGGCAATCATCGTCATCATCACGAGACAAACGATAATAAGCCAATTCTGCATCTCACATGTGAAAGTTCGGAGTTTGCGTTTGCTTCGTTAGAACCAAACTTACAGCTCTAGTTCGACGAATTGGACGCGGGGCAAAGCCGGGGACGAGAAAACATGGGGTCGAGCTAAAGCTGCTTACAGGCGGATTTCGGCTCTGGCTTTAGGTGAACTTACAAGGGGAATAAGGGAAATGCAAGGGGACTACAGGGCTACATCCCACTAAAACACGCTGGAAGTTCTGAACGGAGAGGGAAGCTAACCGCATTGTGATGCAATGTGTACCTAACAAACCTACATAGTAATCGGACCTCGGCTCTCAGAGCTTCAATGGGACTTGAATCTGAGTCGATAAAGCTTTAAGTAAGGTAGTTTATTACATATTGTTCTTTCATCATTCCGACATCTAAAGTTGATTAATATTATTTCTTTTCTCTTTTTTTTTCTTTTTTAACTTTTATCAAAAGTCTACCTCCTATCTTATTTGCTGTTATCTTCCATATTACTCTTCATCTAAAAACAAACAAACAAACAAATCAAATCAAAAACTGTATTATAGAGCGATATCCAACCAAAGTCGCCATCTCTTTTTATTTTAAACCCCTTACGTAGCTGCACAATAAATTCGTAACTCGTCAATCAATCATCACATCACATCACGATGGCGTCGTCTAAACCCGGCGTTCCCCAGAACGACAACGTCGCACACGCCCTTGCCGGCGCCGGCGGCGGGATCCTCTCCATGGTACTGACGTACCCGCTCGTCACCCTCTCTACCCGAGCGCAGGTCGAGTCCAAGCGTGCCGAGACCAATTTCCTATCCGCCGTGAAGCAGATCGTCGCGCGCGAGGGCATCTCGGGGCTGTACGCGGGCCTTTCCAGCGCCGTGTTCGGCGTCAGCGTCACCAATTTCGTCTACTACTACTGGTACGAGTGGACGCGCGGCGTCTTCGAGGCCGCCGCCGCCCGCGCCGGCCGCCCTTCCAAGAAGCTCACCGCTGTCGAGTCCATCATAGCCGGGGCCATCGCCGGCTCCGCTACCGTCATCCTGACTAACCCGATCTGGGTCGTGAACACCCGCATGACCACCCGCAAGGGCCAGCTCGAGGCGGAGGAGAATACCGGCGGCGAGAAGAAGAAGCAACCGACCACCCTCGGCACCCTGAGCGCGCTCCTACGTGACGAGGGTCCGCAGGCCCTGTTCCGCGGCGTCGTCCCCGCTCTTGTCTTAGTTATCAATCCCATCTTGCAATACACGCTGTTTGAACAGCTAAAGAATGCGTACGAACGGCGGCGAAAGCGCAATGTTACTCCGACCGTGGCATTCTTCCTAGGCGCTATCGGCAAGTTGTTTGCCACCGTAATCACCTACCCGTATATCACGGTCAAGAGTCAAATGCATGTTGCCGACGACGGCAAGAGGCGCGAAGGCATGACCCAGGCCATCCGACGGGTCATCCAGGAAGAGGGCTATTCCGGCTTGTATAAGGGTACGCTTAAATATCTACTTAATCATCCAATAATTAGCTGATCGTTGGTTTCTACGTGATATACTAACTGTTCCTTTTAGGCATTGGTCCCAAGATTACACAGAGCGTCTTGACGGCTGCGTTCCTCTTCGCCTTCAAAGATGTTCTCTACGAGCAGACAGTGAAGCTCCGGAGCTCTATGGCTAAAAAGGCCATCAAGGCATAAACACCTACCTGTCTACACCCGGAAATGAATTTACTATGGCTTGTATGAGCTTCGGCCTTGACCTTGTACATATTGTATCTTGTTAAAGATGGGAGGTGCCCTTGCGCCTTGTTACTTGGGTGTGTCCTTTCAACGTCATCTATCGTAACTTGGTTAACCTGGTAAGACTAGCATGATTAGGAAAAGGTGACTTTGATGGGCAGATCATGTTGGGAAAGCAACGGGGAAGGAGAAGCGAAGTGAGGAGATATCGTACCTGTTTCCATGTATCAACAAAGGGCAATATATGCCCCCCAAAAGAAACCACGCAATGAAGAATACCCTTGAATAACGAATTAAAAGAACAACCCAGACACCGTATAACACTACCCGCCGTTCTCTAATGGACCGAGGTGCCTGCTTTCTAGCCGTTGAAATTATATCCATGAATTCCGTAGGTACACGCGTGCCAATTACCAGGTCTCTCCCAACACCACCTGACTAACTTCCAGCACCTAACCAACTTCTGCCCTAGTTAATCATAATTCAGTACCTAATCCACCCATCTTGGGATCCGGGGGCGGAAAGTCACGCTACGGGAACTAGTTTCGGAACGATCCACCAGTCATGATATCCCTTCCCGGGCGCCGGCATCTCGACCTTTAGCTTCAACTGCAAGCCACCCTCCTCGTTTGCCTCCGCTTTGTCTAATGCCTTCTGTAGCGTGGAGACAGTAACCCCCGCCGCAATCGCCGCTTTAAGACAGTCGCGGACATTGCCAACCCACCGGTCGTGCGCGTTGACGCTGAAGGACTGCGTGGGAGACATCTTGCTCAACGCCTCGTATCCCTTCTTCGCGCCCCCGATGGCGCTCTCGGCGTACTTGAGAAGCTCGCTTGTCGAGGTCTCGGGTTGCGTGGTTGCGCGCGTGAACTCGCTGAATGTCGGAAGCTGGGGCAATGCGATGCCCCGGAAGGGGTTCATGCGCAGATCGTAGCGCATGGTATCGGTGCCATAGGGGCGTTGCGGTGAAGCGATAAGCTTCAGGCGTTGCAGCGCGGTGTACAGACAACAGAGGCCATCCGCAAACTCCCACGTGCATGCCGCGTCCAGCATTGTTAGGCGCAAGTATGATAAGGAGGTCATATACTCGCGCTCCTTAGCGACCGTGTATTGAGGTAGCTCTTGGTCGCTCTTCCCATTGTTACCGAGGCCGTGGCGTGCCTCATCTAGGCTGCGCATTGTAAATGATTTGATGCGGTCACCGTGCTGCGCGCGCGTCTTGGCAAGGTAGTTTAAATACCAATACATACCAGCGAGCTCGTCCGTCTGGTAGACCTCCAATTCGAATCCAAGCTGGACAATCCACTCCATCTGCCTGAGCTTGTAGAGATACGCCCACGACGATAGGGGGAGCGAAAATCCCACATTACCTCTGTCTGTTGTGAGAGGCTTCTCATCCAAGGCGACCTGCAGGAGGTGGTCGATTTCCTCAACGTCCACCTGAAGCATATCCCATTCTTGAATGCTGTGACATAACGTACGCCGAACTCTACATCTGTTCTGGCAGAATATCCTGAAGATATCCAGGTAACATTCCGCCACTCGCTGCCGGAAAATTTCCATCTGCGCTGCAATCTGGTGACGAGGATCGGTGGTGACCTCTATATCGTCGTAGGAAGAGTTGATCTGTGGCGCACAAGGCATAACAACAATCGAAAGGTCGTGATCGATGACTTGCCGAATACTATAATTGCCCAGGACGACCATCTCTCTAAATAAGAGGTTCTGGAGTAACGTTCTAATATAAACTAGGGGTTGCGGCTTTCTTGCCTGGAAAAGCAAGACAAAATTCTACACACGAGTTAACGCTGCTGCTAATACGATACCGACTCGACGAGCTTACTAAAAGGCTTTGCGGTTCTGAGTACTTCAGAATATCCATGATATCAACACCATCTTGGAAAAGCTGCTTAAAGTGGTCATAGCTCTCTTCGAAGCTAGGCTGGACCATCGGGCGTGGTGGCATGGTACTCGCCAACCGTCGCTGTAGTTTGGTGCTGAAAGCTTCAGGCACGGGTTTGCCTAGCGAATGCTGCTTTTTGATATGCTCAAGTAGGCCTTTCATCTGTATCCAGGGCATCTTCAAGGAATCGGGATTGGATTTTCGTAGGCTCGAGAGATCTATAGCCCGCAAGAATGCTATACGTAGCTCGAGCCGAAGGTCCAAGGCCGCAGAAATATCCTTAGCGATTTCGTTGCTAGCGGCGCGAAGGTCAATCCGGGCCTGTTGTAGTATATTATTGACGGAGCCAACGGTTATATCGAGGAGCAAGTCACGACCGTAGGTGTGAGTAACGAAATCTTCCTCCTGCTTGTAGCCTTAGTAAATTGTTTAAACGAAGACAAATCCCGCCTCGTCCTCAGTCTTACCTCATAGTAAAGTTCATCTTTTACGAGCTCATTTACATAACAACATGCTTTTATGAGCCCGAGGCAATATGCTCGCAAAACAAAGAGCAATTTCGGCTGCTTCTCGCGGGCCCGAGGGTCTCTTATAAACTCAGCCTCATCTATACTGGCTGGGTGAGGATTCATAAGCGACTCGATATAGACACTGGTGAAGAGAGTCTGAGAAAGAGGGTAACCGAGATGCCAGGCCATCTAGGTAGGTAGTTGTAACGTTAGGCTACTAAACTGGGAACTCAGGAGAGAAGCCCGGCCGCTCATCCAAGACATACCTCAAGGCAGAGTAGTTGGTCAATAATGCCTAGAATTTCCTCCGGTAGCAGATCGCGGGAGACGTCATATTCTTCGTCGAGTGATTCGCCTTCTGCTAAAGCGCCACTGTCCATCTTCCGGTCCATAATCTGGTAGGATGTGTCTTAGCAGGCACGCCGCAGTAAATGCGATGAGTTTGAAGATGACTCACCTCCAGAGCCGCGACGGACTCAAAAAGGGTGAAATGGTCATCTTTGACTAGTTGTCCGGGTGCCAACTCTATTCCCAAGATTAGTAAATTATGTCTTAGATGGGACCGGAAATTCTTGGACTGACTCTTTACGGCAGAGGTAAACTTGCTGGTGATATCGGTTGCCCTAATTCCGGGATGTGATATGTTTGGAGAAGACGGTACTAGATTGAGTTGTTGCATCTTGACTTTATCACCCTTTATAGGGATGACGGGGGATGACGGGGGATGAAATAGAATTAATCGTTGCTTCCCTTCTTGTTAGTTGGTACGTAATTCCATATGATTAGTAGATAAGTATCAATGAGTCTTTTTTTTTTATCGAACCTGGCTGGTAGTTGTTAGGTACTAGTTCGAAGCTGAAGGTTACCTTAGGTAGGTACCTGTACTCTGCTCAGTGCCGGGCAGTGCCCAGTATAATAATTAATTATATGTACCTAAGGTACACTAACCCAAGTCTTGGCAGGTGTAGCCAAACCGTAATACCGTAACGATAGGCGGATATAGGTACGGTACTTAACGCCTAGGTACTTTGGAATTTCTGTTATTAGTCGTATGTCATGGAAATAGTTGGTTGTAATCTTGTACTCTTCATTTAGGTACCGGTGATGATGAGTAGTCTTTACGGATGGCGCGGCGAAAAGAAGTATGAAGTACGAATAGAAATGATTAAAATTACCTAACCTTAGGTACCTGGTTACTGCTGTAGGTAGCCTGTTTATCTGAATTTTTAGTGTTAAAACATGTAGTACCAAAACACAGATAAGGTCCTGTAGTGGAAGACTTCAGAGAGAGAAAGAAAAAAACACGTCCTGCCGATTTGATTTGCTGTATGTCTCTTATAAGGTGCGACTTGACAGTCCGAATTACGCAGGCGGGTATATTTAATTAATTTATTTATACCTAGTGTACCTAAATATGTAATATCAGGTACCTACCTAATATCAACATGAAATACTGCTCTAATACAATGCGCACACTCCTTTAGGTATGATAGGTACCTTAGGTAGGATTCGGTGTTTCTAATGCCCTGACAAAAGTAGCTGGAGTAAGTATTATACTGTCTAACTTAGAGCCGTAGAGGGAACACTGACTTTAAGTGTTGGGTTTTATAGACGGACGCATGGATACTTACATTGCATGCATGCACTACTTTGGTGCGGCTCAACAGCATGAATCAATAGTATCACGAACATGCTACATTAGGGACTCACAAATCAAGTATTTACTTTTGATAACCCCAATAAACTCGTGCTTTTGGATGAACCTGTTTTATTTTATACAGCTATGCACGAGGCGGTATGATACTCGTCATCGTTGACCTTGTCTATTCGCACGCGCGCGCATCTCCCTCTTTGAGGTTCCTAACCATCCTCGCAAGTTTCGCTCTTATAGTGGATTTGCATATTTCCTAGTTTATGCTGAGCCGCTGGGCGACGAAGAAGAAGTGGCGGCGGTGTAGGCTTCAGCTAAGGGTCTTGGCTCGCCCATCTTGCCGTTCTGTAAGTTGAGGCATATAGTCCGTCAGCTACCATGGCTTTCGAATTCGTTTCCATTCGCCAAATTCCGCTCGAGAATAGTTTAAACTCACCTCCCACTTGGCAAATCGTAGATCCATATCTCCTCGTCGCTCGGCAGCCAGTCTCTTTTCCTCCTTTAAGCTTCGGCGCACGGCGCGGGCTGCGACGGCAAGGTAGCGGTTGTAGCTGTTCGGCCGGAGGAGCGGTTAGCAAGAAACATGGCGACTTAGACCTACTTGAGGGAGGTATTAAAACATATGGGAGGTAGATCGGCTTACCTCAAACCAGCGGCTTTCCACGCGAACACCATGTTGACGGTTGCTCGAGGTTCAATTGGGGATCGGGGAATTGATTGAAGATTCGTTTGTATGCACGGAATCAAAAGATGATAAGCTGCGGCAGTAGAATCGAAGAAAGGACCCGTTCATTACCTAGCCGAAGCCTTGTTCCGAATAACGTAGTGGTCCGAGCTTCCACGTGATTAGAACCTAATGTACGTGCATAACTTTAAGAAGGATTATGTAAACCTTCAACCATGCCGTGTTCCCCCTCTTACAGTATAACACCCCCCCACCCCCTTTTTTTAAAGAAAAAAAGAAGAAAAAAAGGAAAAAAAAAAAAAGAAACACTAAGATAAACCGATGCTACGCGTATGTGCCTCTTATCTGTGTACTAATAATCTGTGCCTATTCATCACTCAATTGTATATTAGGAATCTTTTAACCTAGCTGTTTTGATATACAAGGAGTTTATTACGTATGTGTACCTAAGGTAATTTCAGAACCAGAGCCGTTCACAAATTGATCACTATCTCGTTCCCCAAGTCAAAACCGTGCTTCCTAGCAGATCCGGTATTAGAGCATGTTCGAACTTGATGAAAACTCTAGAGGATTTACTATATGCACAGGTAGCTCGAATCGACTCTACAGCAGTGGGTTAATCTGTTGGTACACTTTTGTTGCCCAATTCTCCCCCTCTATACCTTCAACCCAAGTTCATCCGCATATGGTAGAACGTTTAAGTCACCAAACGCAGCCACGGAGGCCTTGCCGTCAAGAAGAGACTTCGCCGTCTATAAAAATAATTAGCGTCTATAAAACAGGGACAAAACTAAATAACGACAAAAGATTTGTAAACTTACCGTCTTGAGCTTATCAGCCGAGACACCGTCGATCAAGCTAACAGTCTCGGCAATCTGGAAGGGTTTGCCGGTATGGATAATACCCGAACCGGCGGATAGGAGCGTAGACACACCCGACTGGCTAGCATCTAACGCGTCGAACTTCGCCTTGGCAATCGCCTTGGTCAAGTCCTCCTTGCTAATGCTACCTTCGGAGATGCCCTTAAGAGCCTTAACTGCTTCTTCACTTGCCTTGCGGACAGAAGCGGCGGCACCGGTAACTTGGATAGTCAACAGTCCGGCATCGGAGTACGCCAAGTTAGTGCCCGAAGCGGTTACGCCAGGTGCCGAGGCTGCAGCCTTGGACAGAAGCGTGAAACCCGGTGACCACTTGACATTGGGCTGTCCACCAATCAAGGCTGCCAGGACTGCAATTTCAGGCTTGAAAGAACCGAAGCTGGAACCGGGGAAGGCAATGACTAAAGAGTTTCCGGCAGTGTGAGCTGTACGTTGCTCGCCACCGTAGTAAGTCGTGGGTTTCGTGTTGAGTGCGACAGGGCTAGAGGGAGATGCAGGTACACTGTTGAAGAACTGTTCCGTCCACTTGTGCAGGGCAGCTGTCGTAGCGCCGTCTCCAACCAGAGCAATGTTAGGCTTTGTGTAAACGGCTTGTGCGTAGTCAGCGACGCTGTGTTCGCTCAGGTACTTTTTCAGGGTGGTTGAAGTAGTCGGGTATAAAGAAGCACCAAGGCCGGTGTGGAAGGCAACCGAATGAGCCGAGTCGAGGGCAAGAGCGGCAACGTCATTGGCAAGCTTAGCCTGCTTCACCTTCAACACTCTCTCAACGTCCTCGTGGAACTCGTATGCTGTAAACCAAGTAAGTATTTTTTTTATCACCAGACAATAGTCCTGGGTAGCTCACTGGTGTACTTGGTTTCAGAGATGACCTCAGCTAGCAGCTCAGCGAAGTAGGGAATATCCTCTCTCAGGAAGTTTGCTTGGACGATTAATGCTTCTCGAGTATGGTATGCGACTAATTGACCTCCTAGAAGCTCAGCTTCTCGAGTGATACGTATGGCGGTTCGCTTCGCGGTAGTCTGATGTGTTGTTGCGTCTTAATTAGCTCACGACGAAAAAGCCCGAAAAAAAAAAGACGATAAGCGAAGAACATGGGCTTACCTTAAAGGCAAACTCCTCGAGGCCAACAGTAAGACCAGGAGCAGGCTGATATCTAGTACCACCCTTGGCGACAACGGCGAGGTTCGTCGTCGGACCATGTGAATCTCTGGTAGCTACCTTGACACCAGCAACTTCGGTGGTGTCATAGTTGAAAGCGGATGGTGCCGAAGATGCAGCAGCGTAACCTCGGCGCTGAGCAAGCTGGGAACAGCTTCGCCTGCTGGCGGCAAGCTGGGCACCTCTGGAGAGAGCCGATCTAGAGAACATTTTAGAGGGCGATGCCGTCAACAATTGGGCGATTAATATAGTCTGCGACAACAGCTTTTGATCCGCAGATCGTTGGAAGCTTTCCGATTCCGAGCAAAAAGATGCTCAATTCCGGTAAATTCTCGGTTACGAGCTGACGGGTGGGTTTTTTTATTGGTCCGGAATACAATGTCTAAGTTTATTTGAGGCTTAATGAGGCTAGAGTCTGGTCAGCCACTTGCCGACGACTGCCATTGGCCAGTTGAGTGTTCCTTCTAGACGTGAGCTCAATTACTTGGTAATAGGTACCTAATGTACCTTCAGTGCCAGCCATCAGCCATGCAGATGGACTGTTACCTAGAAGCTTAGACCATTCAATTCCCCGCTATCCTAAAAAAAGTTACCCTAAAAAAGTAGTTGCATCGAAATTATTTTTATACGCTAGGTATTTGCTCACTTTTGCGCTGCGCAAACCAACCTTGGGAATCTTCACCACCAACAATTCTATTTTTACTCTCCGCGTTCTACGGCGCACCTTTTCCACCTCTCTTATCTACCAGATGCTTCAATGAAGCCACGGTAGTAATTGTAGCGCTCTAGAGATAGTGAGAGGATCTCTAGAAGCCAACCCCTTCGACAAGTCCCCAAATTCTATCTGTTTAACTCGCGGCCGAATCCCAAGTTGTCAGCCAGTCAGTTCAACCAGTCATGTTAGTGGTAAGTCGAAGTCCTATTCCAATTCTTACAACTTCGCGACGATGCGCAGGATTGCCACCTTATTATATCATAAGGAGAAACCTGCTAACAGAAACATTCTATTAACAGACAAAAAACGTTGCAGAACTTTGCGTTCTGCTGATCAGCGAGTTGTACGGCCAGCTCCCATCGGTAATATTTCCCCCCTTTCGATGATATCCTTCAGGGCCTATAGTAGTACAACTTGAAAGCTGACAAGTTTCCACTTCGCAGCGCATATTCGCGGATCTTCTCGCAAGAGGCAGGTCGACCGTCGCGCAAGTAGCACAACATACTTCGCTCAACCAGCGACAAGTGCGCCATGGGATAGCTGTGCTCGTTCAGCTAAACCTCGTCTTCCATTTTACGGATCAAGACTTGGGTATTACGTATTACGATGCAAACCCCCATGCTGCCTACAATCTTGTCCGAACGGGAAAGATCCTCGACATGGTCCGTGAAAAATATGGATCCAATGCGCATGCTCTCGTAAACGAGGTCCTAATTCAGGGCCACACGAAGATTTCCGACCTCGTCGCTGCTTTCAAGAAGACAAATATTGCACAGAACCAGGGCGTCAATGGTGTATCGCAAAATGGTCACCACCATGTTAACGGAAATGGTGTTAGCAATGGTACAATCGATATAAAGGTTGGGGATGAAGATATGCATCTGGAGAACCAAGCCTATGATAGCCTCGCGCAGCTTATTGCAGCTGGTATTCTTGAGCCGCTTACTCTGGCCATGTACCAGTCTCCCCAGGATCTGAGAAGCACAATTGAGCAAGAATTTTTAGCGAAACACTACCCCACTGGTATTCGAGGCTCAAAACAAACAGCCGAATTCGACAAGTATGTCAGAGACAAGCTAAGGGAGTTCCATCTTGAAAATACGAAACTAAAGAATGACCTTGAATTTGAACTCGAGAACGGGTCTAGCTCCAAGCGCCGGAAGCTAACAAACGGAAATGCGTCCAACATATTCACCAACGACGGAGCAAAATCCATTTTACTAAAATATGTGAGTGTTGACCTTACAGCCTCGAAGCAATGCACCCCTCGAAAGTTTGCTAAACATTTTTCCTTAGCTTGATACCGTACTTCGGGTAAACTATGATAAGTGTGTAGTCGAACTTCGCAACCTAAAACTCGAGCGTTATGTGGAAGATTTGATTGGCGACACTACAGCAAAAGTATATGCAACATTACTTGACGTATTGAGCAAAAAGATTTCTCGTTGTCAAATAGATAGTTCGATCGAGGTTGAAGACGAGAACGACGATGCTTCTACGGGACCTCGTGTCACTGCTCAAGAAATTTTCGAACACCTGAGCCCGTCTATAGATGTATCAGTAGGGGTCGGGACCCCCCACGAAGATGGCGCTATTGATATCCGCCATGCAGAAAAGATCCGTCGGTTCCCTCCGCAACTTAAAGGCTCTACTCTTAAGGAAACACTCCAAGAGGGGGAAGAAATTGTTCAGTCCGACGACGAAGATTACGATCCCAGTGGGGAAGCAGCCGCTAGCTTTGGATTGCACAGTCAGAATGGCTCTGACGAAATCAAAATACAAGAAGCGGACGACACTATTCCTATCGGTACCAAGCGGCTACATCAGATGCGACAACATTTACTCATACTTGCCGAGAGTAAGGAGGGTTTTGTGCGACACTGCGGCAGTCGTGATTTTGGAGAGTGGACAGTCGACTTCGAACCGCTTATGCAACATCTAAAATTCCTCGAACTTGACACGCTTATTGAAAACCGCTTCGGCCGTCGCGGTTTGCGTCTGACTAGAATTCTTAGAGAAAAGGGAAAGATCGACGATAAAACTTTGCCTAGTTTGGCTCTTATGAAGAAACCCGACGTTCACGTCAAGATGGCAGAGATGGAAATGGCAGGGTTCTTAGACGTACAAGAGGTACCCCGGGATAATAATCGAGCAGCTGCCCGGACGATTTTCTTTTGGTTCTTTGATCTCGAGAGAACGTTGCAGCGAACACTAGACAATACTTACAAATCTATGGTGCGGTGTCTGCAACGTTTAGATGTCGAGCGGCGCAAGAAGGCGAGCGTCCTATCGGTAGCCGAGCGAAAAGATGTCCAGGGGATGGAAGAGGAGAAGCTGAGGGGCGATATATATAATGAATACGTCCAGTTTCTCGCCCTCGAAAAGAAGCTTCTTGGCCAGATTGGAAAGCTCGACGATATTGTAGCAGTCTTCAGAGACTTCTAGTGTTCATTCTCGCAATTGATACCAGTATTGGAGGGATTTCTCGCATTGTGGTGGCGTTGGTTCACGGGCGGTACAGCCAGAGAGGCTCAAAAGTGACTTTTTGCATATAGGATGGCGTTGTCTTCTACTCATTCTGGCCAGTTTATTTCGAACTCGGAATTGTGGTATGTTGAACCACATCTCCTATTGTACGTCCTAACAGACGACGAGTGTACACATATTCCGCCTGAGACGATACCTTAGGTACGTCTATAGGCCGTTGTACAATTACAACAACAACTTCTTACTTTCTACACTGTACCTATGGTGCTATAGATTGTAATAATATATGCCAATGCTACCTAGACCTCATATATCTACACCATACGGACCCTCGCGCGTTACATGCACTTACATCGTATATACGTTAGGTACCTAACCTACCTAAATAATACCGAGGAGGTACATACTTACTATGCCCCTCCTACCTACCTAGGTACATACTTTGTAAATAGAGGGGTATGATACCTTATCAGCAGCCGATAAAGTCTTAATTGCCCGGGGGGGACCCTTGAAGCTCCCACCAGCTCCCCGCTTAATTAAGGTTAGTGCGGTACAAATTGGTAATAATATCTCGATTTTTTTGATTTTTTTGATTTTTTTTTTTTTTTTTTTTTTTTTTTTTTCCAATTGCTTCCGGAGCGCAATTGAAATTTTGTCGGCTTCCTGTATGAATTTTATTCCTCAAATTAAAAGTCTTGTCTCTTTAGAATAACCCATTAAGCCTTCTTTTACCCAGGACATTCAGGTTACCTTGTATCTGTTCCGTCTGGGATTTCTAGTATATTTCTCACCTATCACACTTCTTAATTCATAATGGCGCCGATGGTCACTGGTAAGGAGCGCGAGTCCAATCTCGCTCGCCTTCTTGGTTCCGGTACGGTTTAAGTAGCAACGATACCATTACGCATAATAAATTACTGACAGACATTACATAGGCTCCGCCGGTATTGCCGAATTGGCTGTCTTCCACCCTGTGCGTGCTTGTACAGTTCGAAACGTTGCGGCGCAAGACTAATAAGTCCAAAGGTCGACACTATTGCCAAGCGGTTAATGAGCAACCAGACGAAGGTGCGGATGGGACACCTATCTATAAGTTTCTTGAAGCGCATAATACTAACTTAGGTACCTAATCCTATAGATCAGGAATACCAGCGAACTAAACAAGGTTATCTTCAAGGAGACGGCAGACGCGGCATTCGGTCGAAAGTTCTTCTCTCTCTTTCCGGGGTTAGGTTATGCGGCCGGTTATAAGGTTGGAGATTTCTTTTACATTGGCAGGAAAATAGGTGGCTAAACATAATCTATTCTAGGTCTTGCAAAGGATATACAAATATGGTGGTCAACCCATTGCGAAGGATTACCTTGCGTTGCACTATGGCAAGGACTTTGAGAGCGCGTTCGGAAAGAAGACCGGCAAGGCGATCATGCACTCGACTGCTGGAAGGTCGGTGTTAGATTATTACTTGTTTAATTCTATCAACTAACATATTCCAGTCTGATTGGTATTGGCGAGATCGTCTTGCTCCCGCTAGACGTTTTAAAGATTAAGCGCCAGACTAACCCAGAAGCATTCCGAGGCCGAGGCATCTTCAAGATCATCTCCGATGAGGGCTTTGGATTATACAGAGGTTGGGGGTGGACTGCTGCCCGAAATGCCCCTGGTTCCTTTGCAGTATGTTCATCCAGATGAAACGGTGCTCTCTTCTAGCGTACAACTCTAACACTTTACAGCTCTTCGGTGGCTCGGCCTTTACCAAGGAATACGTCTTCAAACTAAATGACTACAACAAGGCGTCGTGGTTCCAGAACTTCATCGCTTCGATTGCTGGTGCTTCGGCATCCCTGGTTGTCTCGGCTCCCCTGGACGTTATCAAGACCCGTATTCAGAACAGGAATTTCGAGAACCCCGAAAGTGGTTTCCGAATCTTGTCTAACATGGCGAAGAACGAGGGTTTCTCTAGTTTCTTCAAGGGATTAGTACCCAAGGTAAGGACTACTGTATGATTCATCTTGAGCTTTAAAACTAACCTTTTATAGCTGCTCATGACTGGACCGAAGCTGGTCTTCTCCTTCTGGCTCGCCCAGACTTTAATCCCAGCATTCGACAATATGTTGAAATAGAAAATTTAACTTGTATCATATATCTGAACGCCAGCGTTCCACTGTATGTATATACGATTGAGCCGGCGTTTCAATGGTCGGGGATGGGACAGCGCTAGAGAGGGCGGGTTCTATCGGTTTGGACTTACTAGATGATTATGAAAGATTTCCGCGAGGTAGGTCAGAATTGCTACCTAGATACGAAACAAAAATAAATACTCAACTCTTAGACTGCCCAAGGTTGTAATTGATTCTATTGTGAACATAGATAGACTACATAACTCGTAAGAAAGTATCCATGATACTAACTAACACACCCTCGCCGAACAGAGCTATGCAGAATATCAAAATTACACGCTTCTGATACTCCTAGTGAGCGAATTCTTCAAGTCGTGCTGTGTCTATCGGTCACCCACAGACTCGAGCCATACCTCCCATACCGTCACAAATTTAGCTCAAGTAGATTTATAGTATAAGAAATACTCAACTATGATTACCGTAGTGAATTTTGTATTATCATGAATGCATGTCCGATAATTATCCGCTAAGGGAAAAAAAATTTGCTGGCGGAGCCGCTCACGAACGGGGCGATATAGCGCCTTTTTGAAAACTTTTCGTCAACCGGTCCTTTGGCCCAATGGTAAGGCGTCTGACTACGATCACAAGTATCAATCAGGAGATTCTGGGTTCGAGCCCCAGGAGGACCTCTTCTTTTTCATTTTTGCCGGTTTGATGTGCTCGATATGATGGGGATCGATGCTGTATTCACGGTTTGATGCCTCTGGTGGTGGGACTTGGTCAGATAGGTATACAAGCTTGCCGTGATTTAGAGCCTGGGGAAGTGTTACTTTGTTTAGTTTTTACTTCCTTGCTTTTATGCTTGTTTGAAGTTGCTTCTGGGATTTACAGAGCTATTTCTTGCTAGCTACCTGACATGCAAAGATTTCCTATTTTTTTCACTATTACCATATGTATAAGTATAGGCAGGTTCATTACGTTTTTAGTGTCTACAAAAACAATTATACTAATGTTCAATCAAGTTGTCTTAGATATGCTAATTCTTATAACTTACCTTGTAATGGTTGTCCATGTATAAAACAAAGCTCTTCGCTAAGCGTGAGTGTAGTAGGTAAAAGTGAAATAGTTACTAGTAAAGTCACTTGCGGGACAGCGAAGTTGTCCTTATGATATATAGTCTTTACTTACCTTGTGATACTATCTAGCACCTATTTTCCAACGGAGCAACTTTGATTTTCAGTTTTCATAGCTGTCAGGAGGGGCCGGGGTGATGAGATGAGGGCGATGAGATGAGTAGAATATATATTAAATCAAGGTTTCGACGAGTGATTCTTAGCTGTCAAAAGCTAGTGTAGACTTGTACAGAAAATAATCTAAAAATATAAATGTATTACATTTATTTCAATACTTTATTTATCTGAGGTAGTCAAGGCCTTTCGATGCCTGATCTCTTTGATAATCTCGAAAATAGCATAAATACCGGGCTGCCAGCACCCTAATATCAAATTTGAGGTGCTGAGTGAGTTTGTTCTTACCTCGAAAGACAACTAATTACTCACTGTAAGGCATATGTATACGGCAACATTTTATTAAAGATCGAGTGGTCCTATCTTATTCAATTCCTAAACTCATAGTCTGAAATGTACTAACAAGGTAGTTAGATATATAGCCTTACTTTATAGAGCCGCTCCTCATGGCCTAGCTTTGATTGGGAACTACATAGTGCCAGCTATTGACTACGAGAATGTACCATCTTCCTAGATGAGAATGTGATAAGGAAGCACAGGTTGATAAATAGGTACGGTCGGATACAAGAGTGGTCTAACCGAGGACTCTGGACCCATTAAAATCTTCGCGTTCCCGTCATATGGCAAAGCTGGTTGCTTAGTTGCTTGTTGATTAGCGCAGAACAGGGAATATGATCCCCACAGCCGACATTGAATCGTGAACGTGAACAGACAGTAAGTATGCTTAGCGCCACTCCATCGAATGTCTACCTACTCGGAGCTATCAAGGAAAGAGGACCTCGGGAGTCGGGAAGCCACAATAAAGAAAATTGCTATGGGCCTTGCTTGAGCCATTGAAATCGTTGCACACGATGTTTACGGTTACAAGTTAGCTGCATGATCGGATAAGAACCGGAGCAAGAGAGAGGTAGGGGAGGATGCGAAGATGCGACGATAAAGGAATTAATTGGGTTTAATATAGCACATCGTGATGAACCATAGAGGAAAGATGTGAGGTTGTCAGAGCAGAAGACGCCTTGCTTTATTCAGGTTAGGGATCTGACAGATTAGGTAGTTGACGATGATGTAAACATACTACATGTATGTACTATCTATACCAACTGGGGAAATGTGGGTAATTTACTGCTTGGCTACTGCGTGCAATTAAGGCATCATGAAAATCAATAATCCATGTACCTCATACATACATACATACATTAGGTACGCTAGGTTAAGTGCATGTACGTATTTGGTAGAATTGTGGATCGATGGTTTGGTTGCCGGGGCAGCGACGTGTGACGTTACAACTGTATTGGGATTGGGCAGGAGCCTAATTTGTTTGTCCATACACAAAGCGGCGCAAAAGGCGGGACAGCCCCGTTTGACAACTCCATTCTCACATAACATACATAACAGACATAACATACAAGGACCACAATACAAGGACCACATACAGCACCTTATCACATATTACCAGGTCCCCCTCTTAGATCATCCCCAAGCTCCGTTTTTTTACTTTTGTCTAATCTTCAAAGTCCATCGAGCCCGCTCTTCAAACCAATACCATAATTTGATTTGACTAACATCACTTCTAAGGTTCTTTTTTACTTTCCCGCTTCGACGGGGCAGCTCAGCCTAGCCTGGACGTAATTGTTGATTGAACATATCGAGTAAATAACATAACTACTCAAGGGTAATATACGATACGCCGCCCTAGGTCTCCCTAACGAATTGTCTGGCAACTTTACGACTCAGACATATCATTCCGTCGAATCTGAGAAACAGATAACCGTGTATACGGTCCAAAATATGCCGCCGGTTGAGCGTGACGCACCGGTCGATCGGCCATTAAGACATCAACATTCTTCTTCTATAGGAGCTATCGTTCCCATGTAAGTATTCCCTCGTTGTTCCCCTCATACCTAGCTTTATCAGTTGCCCGGTAATGCGATTGTATCGTGAGCTAACAGACAATTCTAGGTGGGACAGCTCCGATCCAGAGCGGGCGCCGCCCCCTCTGCCAATGAACCCTCAGTCTCCTTCTGGCGGCGTGGGTACTTCACGAAGTGGCACCTCGCTTGCTATTCAATCTGCACATGCAGCTTTAGCTGAGAAGGCGCGCGAGAACTCTCTTGTCCCCCACATCCCCAAACGGGCCAACGAGACGTCACCAGATCGTTCTCTCGCCCAAAGACCAGGCCCTCACAAGCGAATGCAATCCCTTCAGCCGGGTAGCGTGAGGGATTTGAGCTTAATGATAGAGGGATCAAGAGATCGAGACTCGGCCAACTCGACACCTCGAGGTTCGCCTGAGAAGGATAGATACGCAAGGCCATCGACGCCAATCCGTGGCAGGGACCACGACAGAGAAAGAGAGGTAGAGTTGGCTTCAGCAGAGAAGGAACATGCTACCTCCGGTGTGCCTATGGCTATACCATCAGCCATGTCTTCTCTAGCACGTCCCTCCACGAGGAAGCCACCGCAGAGTATACTCGGTGAAAATACCCCACCACAGTCTGCAACTATGTTAGCATTGCAGAATATGCCTTCAGTACTCGCTCGAGAGGGCGAATCGCCTCTAGCAACTGTCACAAATAACTCTACACCAATGGCGAAACCACAGTACTCCACCGAGTTCGTTTCGAATCAGCTTATCAACCTTACCAACATAGCAACCGCTCTCCAAAAAGAAATGTCTCAACTTAGTCGCCGAAGTAGAGACAATGCTACCGACTTGATGAGTCTCAAAGAGGCCACGCATGCTAGAGACGAGGATATTCGAAAGAGCTTACGTGAGTTAGTCAAGAGTTCCGACAGCCGGTACCATCGAGATTCGTACACGGGTGGCTTGTACCTTGACAATAAGCCATACAACATGTCTCCTGACCCGAAGCTGTCGAGACCGATTTCTCTCCCAAGAATTCCATCCCCCAATAGCTTTGCGGCGTCTCTCGACCGAGAGTCGACGCTTAGTACGCCGTCACTCGTAGGTGGAGAAACGCCTGCTACCATGGCATTGTTGGAAAAGATTATTAGAGACATGGGAACGAAAGACGGTCAAGATACGATCCTAGGCCGCCTGTCTGAGCTGGCCGACAGACTGTCTGGTATGGCCTCGGCCGGTAAAGTCGAAGAACTTATTCACCACTTGAAAGCAGCCAGCGAACATCCGCTCAGCCCCGAAGCCGGCAGCGACTCAGAGAAGGCAAGGACGCTAAGCTTCAGTAGCGACGACTCAGGATCTAAAATCAGCGGCGTGGTAAATCAGAGAGTTGATAAGTTGCTCAATGGTAAGGATGGCCGTCGTTCTTCGACTACGGTGCGAGTGAACGAGGCCTTGAACGATGACGTGGTAAAACTCGTCCGCTCTGTCAAAGACAGCGTTGCCCAAGGAGGAGGCCTAACGGCTGAAGTCAAAGCTCTCGTCCGGGAGCTTCGAGGCGAGGTTCTCGGAATGGGGAGAGAGCTGAGCAAAAAACTAGAAGAAACCCATGGTAAGGTTCCTAGCAAAAGTGAAACTGCAAGCAGAGCAGAGCTCGCTAGGATCGTTGAAGAAGGCCTAGAACAAATTCGTGTTTATATGGCCCAACGTCTGAGAGACCACCGCCGGATGTCATCCGAGTCAGATAAGTCGGCCATCGATTACCAGGAGATTTATAACGCCTTGAGAACTGCCCTAAGCGACACAGAGGCAGCGCGCAACCAAGATCCCCAACTCAGTCGGGATGATGTTATGGAGGCGGTTAAAGAGGCCTGGGAAAACTATAAGCCTGAAATCGAAATCCAACAGATTGGGTTGGACCGGGATGAAATCCTTGACTGTCTGAAGGAGGGATTACAGCAGTACACACCACAAAAAGAGACACCCCAGGCGGCAACAAGAGATGAAGTGTTCCAAGCCGTTGTCGAAGGGCTAAAACACTTCGAGCTTCCACAAGTAGACGTACCTGCTGGTCTTTCTCGAGACGACGTCTTCGAGGCTGTTAGAGAGTGCCTCGAGGATTTCGAATTCCCGATTGCACCTTCAACCAACGAGCTAACCCGTGATGACGTGCTGGACGCTGTCAAGGAGGGTCTTAACGCTACCCAGAGCAGTGCCCTTGTACCTCATGGTGGAGAAGGCTCTAATGTCATGGAACGTCTCCACGATATCATGCAATACATGCGGGATGAATTCAAGACTATTTCCGAGGGAGCCAAGCAAAGCATTGCCTCAAACGGAAGGGACACCGAGCAGCTCTTGGATGCCACCAAAGATGGTCTTGATCAGTTACGTAGTCACATGGAAGGCTACGTCGATAAAGCGATTGATGCTTCTAATCAGGAGGAACTCATGGCGAACCTCGAGGCTGGCTTCGAACAGTTACGCGAACACATGGAGGAATATGTCGACAAAGCTTCCGGCGGTCCTGAGCATGAGGAATTATTGACCAACATTGCCAACGGCTTGGAGCAGTTGCGTACACAAATGGGCAACAACACTGATAAAGCACCCGACGGCGCTCCCCCCCCTGGGCATGAGGCTCTCCTGTCGGCGATCACTAGCAACTTTGATCAACTACGAACGCATATGGAAGGTTACGTCGATAAGGCTTCCGGTGCTTCAAACCAGGAGGAGCTCATGACCAATGTTGTTAGCAGCTTCGATGTCTTCCGAGAAGAGGTTGCTGAGCTTGTGGCAAAGGTTTCGGATGGCTCTAGAGATTTGATTAGGCAAGAAATCGAATCTCTGCGCGATACCGTCAACTCATCTCTTGTTCCTCATGTTCCGCAAATGAGTGACAACCGAGATGTGCTGGAAGCCATTCGGGATAGTATCGAGAGGATACGGGGAGAACTTCTTCGTCCCCACGCAGGGACTACCGACATCCTTGACGCTTTGCACGAAGGTTTTAGCGATTTGCGAATCAGCATCGAGAAGGTGAGCGACAAGCCAGCGGACCTAACTGCCAACGACGAAATTCTCGACGCTTTGAAATCTGGACTAGATGGTGTTCGAACAAATATCGACTCCCTTCGCGATAATAACCAGGAGAGAGCCATTGCTACCATAGGCGGAGGAACAAGCGATGCCCTTGTCCCTGTCGATCTTGTTAAACACGATGATATCAAGAATCTCGAGGTCATGATGACGCAGCTCAGGGTCAAGATGGATTCTTTGGAAGCACCCCAACCTCCGCCAATCTCGGATGGGCTGTCAAAGGATGACCTGGCAGAGCTGGAAGAAATGCTCAAGAACGCTGTGTCCAAAGAGGATTTGAACCACATAGAAGAATTGCTTAAGAGTATGCAAGAATCAATGTCCAGCATGCCGAGCAGTCGAGACATAGGTAAAAGCACCGGGATAGATGTGGAGAGAGAGCGCGACCCTCCAATCAACCTTGATGATGCTGCCACCAAAGAGGATGCACATGCAATCGAAACCATCCTTCGCAATGCCAAAGCTCGTCTAGATGACCTGATAGATGGAGATCAAGCAGTAAAAAAGGATCAGATCGACACAATTGAGGCCCTTGTGCTCGAAACTAAGGACTCCTTAACCACTATGGCAAGCCAATTAGAAATTGTTTCTAAGAAGGAGGACCTGGCTTCAATTGAGACTCTCGTAACCAAGATTGATGCTGCTCTAGATGAGATGAAGCAGAGTGCCGAGAAGTCCCTCGAGGATCCTGAGAAGGTCACGAAGACCCACGTTGCCGCCGTTGTAGCCGCCGTCCTTGAGCTCAAATCGATAATGGAACAAGCCATCCAGCCTAGCATCGCAGCCCTTCCTTCGAAAGACGACGTCAAGAATCTTGAGGATAGCCTCAACGAGTCCAATACCAAAGCCTTCGAACAGCAACAGGCGGAGACCGTAAGCGTCGGCGAACGAGTCGCAGAAGTCAAGGCGTTCTTGGAAGAGTTCCAGGGCTTAGTGAAAGAAAGATTTCAAACCGGTGGCAACGCCGTTGAGTCTCTAGGTAAGACCCTCGAGAGTCTCAGCGAGACGGTACACAAGAATGCCGACGTCGGTAGTATCCTGAAGGAGATGTTCGACTTGGTAAAGTCGGAATTCGAGGAGTCGAAGGGCAGTCTAGTAGGCGCCAAGCTTGACACCGACGAGAAGTTCAAAGAGACCACCGAATCATTGAAAACCAAATTTGACGAGAAGATCGGCGAACTTGTAACAAGATATGACGAATTCCAACTCATCATGGAAGACCGAACGAAGGCTTCGGAATCAAGGGACGAGGAAATGAAGACTGCTATGGTCAACACAAACACGATTACAGAAGAGTTGAAAGTTTTAATCGACACGCTTGGTTCAACCGTCACCGGCTCCCTGGAGAAAATGGAAGAGGCATCCAAGACTGTCTTCGATAAGGTCGAAACGCTATATGGCAAGGCCGAAGAAAACCACACCGAAGACAAGGCGGAACACCAAATTACTCGCGATCATATCCAGAAAGTTATCAGCGCTCTCGAATGTCTCCAAGGTCATGTCGGTGATTATCAGCCGAAGATTCTTGAGTCGGTTAAGGAAGTACTCCTTACCGTTGGACAACATTATGAGCATTCCAAGAACTCGGAAACAGGCATCCTGAAAAAGATCGAAGATACCAAGCCCGAGAAATACGACGATAGCGCGGTGCAGTCAAAGCTTGCCAAGCTAGACAGCGACATACACTCCATGCGAGAAAGTCTGGACAACGAGATGCATGCCAAGTTGAATAAACTTGTTGACCATACACAGACCGCCGATAGAGCATATGCCCAGCTTGATACTCTTGATAAGGTGCACCAGCAAGTTGTCAAGGCAGCCGCTGATATCTCGGAATTCCTCTCGTCGCAGAAGCAGCGTATCGAAGACGAGAATGAAGAACGTGCAAAAACCCTTCAAGTGACAACCATGCAATTGGAGCGTCAGAAGGCCGAACAAGACCAGGTGGAAAACAACTTAGCATACCTACGAGATGAAGAGGCACAGTTACGCGAATCAATCCTTGCCCTGAGGAGTGAGCAAGATTCTCTACTCCGTCAAAAGACCCGTTTGACCGCCGATGTTTCTTCCCTGGAGACTGCCTTGCATCTTCGCCGCGAGGAACTCCAAGCTATGGATGCCCGAGCTGAGGGCCTAGAGCGCAGGATACTCGAAGGTGTTTTGGATCATTCTCGTGCTCTTCTTATAACGAAATCTGGGTTCAAAGGCCGCGAGGCTATGAGCCGCAAGCGTGTCCCCGGTGCTCGATCCAGTTTAGGGCCCAATGATGACCCAAAGCAGGCCAAGCCTCGCTCAGCACTCAACATAGCAGTCAACGGCGGTAGGGCGAGTTTAGTTCCACAGAATTCTGCAAGCAACGGCCGCCGAATCCTGAGCCTCAGCCAGATCACTAACAACGTCCCTACTGGTGGCATTAAGCGTAGCCAGAGCGTTCGTACCCCAGCTGGTGCGACGATACGGAAGAGCAGCTGGGCACCAGGGAAAAACGGTTCTGGTAAAGGCTACGGTGATGTGGGAGTAAATAAGGAGAATGTAGATCTCGTGCGCGAGAGCGACGAGGAGGCAAGCGAGCCCGAGCCCGAGCCCGACACCCCGGCACCTATGGAAGATGATGCCGTAGTCGTTGCCGCCGACGAAGATACTCATACGGATGACGACGAAAACGAGGATGCCACGGAAATGGCCATGGAAGGAGATGCAGATGAGACAAACGAAACAAGAAGCGAGGCCGGCACAACAGTCATTACAAGTGCTGATGCGGAGGGTGGGTACAATAGTGAAGACCAAGAAGGGTCTCAAAGTGAGTGGACCGAAACTGCCAAAAGCTCGGACAGCGTCTCATTGGAAAGCATAGATGACGCCGATAGTATTACCGGCGAAGGCGACATTGTCATGTGCAGCACGTGACGAGCTTATTGATATATTAGCGGAGCGGATATGCTACGTTGCGTTTAAGCTCTGAACGCCCTCTGGAGGAGTGAATCTGAATCGGACGGAGTACTCAGGGCGGGGTTTATCTGATTCATATCATTTTCGGTTGTGTCATGTCTGTTCCTCCATTCGCCGTTGCTTATTGACGAAAACGAGATGAGAGAGGTTTGTGCTTATGGAGGGATGAGTGTACGTCTTTGTTAATGCTTGTCTGTCTTTTCGGTATATCCAGGGCCTCTTAGGTAGGAGGGATTGGTATAAGGGGGAGGGAATGCGGGATAGGAGAGGAGAGAAGGAGGAGGGAAGGATCGAAAGGGGATTCTTGTTTTCTCTTTTCCCTTAATACCTCTTGTTTGATTTGCGGTTTTCCGTTATTGTTATTGTTGTTGTTGCTTCGGAAGAGTGACTCTATTTTAGTCTACGTTCGCGAAACTTTTTTTTTTTCTTTTAACTCAGTGTAGTTGAAGGTACCTCTCAATGGAAATCGGAGCGTAGAACAGACGCTACTCTTACTTTCATATGGGGCAGTGGGTCTCCTTAACTTACTTCTCAGTATACCATTAATTACTTAGGTTATTCTATCTGTTACTTGGTGATGGCTTCTTGTTACTTGGGAAAGTTGAGACCATTGCGTAGGTAGTGTAAAAATATTCACGATAACGGTCAGTGACAATTAAGACATAACATAGCATTTACACATGAACCACTCCTAACAAGTGATCGCTTTTCTTTTTTTCCATTTGTCGTATCTCCCCTCCCATAAGAGATATAAGTTGAGAATATGCATACAAGGTAGGTAAATAATACCCCCGCCTCACTCGTGTTCCTCGTATCGGGTGCTAACTCAATCGCGGGCTGAAGACAATTGGTAGATACATGTACCTAAGGTTACCTAGGTATGTGCCAGGTACCTAATGTAAGTCAAAAATCATAATACAACGAGCGTAGTCCGCTCACGCCTTTAACATCCAAGTAGGATTTCCCACACAAAGCCCATAAGCATCGTCCAGCCCAGGAAGCGCGAATAGACATTTTATTTTATTTCCATAGGCCCTTTCAGCTGCGGCGATGCTTCACCCCGATCTTCTCTTTGCCGTCCATCCACGGCCGGAGGCACTCGGGGATCTCCACCGTCATCTCGCACTCGTCCCAGCCGTTCTCTAATACCGCGGCCAGGACGCGGGGAACGGCAAGCGCGGTGCCGTTGACGGTCCAGGGATACGCCAGCTTGCCGCCCGCGCCCGCACCCGCAGCGCCGCGTAGTCGCGTAGCTAGCCGGCGCGCCTGGTAGTCGGTACATATGCTCGCGCTCGTAACCTCGCCCCAGCCGTCGCGCTCCGGGCCGCGACGACTTGGGAAGAAGGCCTCGATGTCGCATTTGCGGGTGGCTGATGCGCCGAGGTCGGTCGACGGCATCTCGAGCACGCGGCACGGCAGGCCTAGCCCCTGGAGGATCTCAGTTTGCAGGTCGAGCATCTCGTCGAAAACCTCGGTGGTGGCATCGGCGTCGGGCGGTGTCCATGCGAACATTTCCACCTTGGTGAATTCGTGTACACGATACAGCCCCTTGGTATCCACGCCGCGGGCTCCTGCCTCGGCACGATAGCATCGCGATACGCCGACGTATTTTATAGGTAAGTCGGCTTCTTCTATGACTGTATCGGCCTTCATGCCGGCGAGCGGGATCTCGGCGGTACCGGCGAGACAGAGCTCGGGTTTCCCCCGCTGGGCGTCGGCAGCGGATTGGGCTAGCGTATATATCTGCTGCTCGCCGTTCTGATCGCGCGGCTGGAACCCGCAGGCCGCGGCCATGTGGCTATATACGATGCTCGGCGGGGAGACCTGTCGCCAGCCAGAGCCCTGCTTGGTCACGACGGCGAGGGCGTAGCTGATCAGTGCCTGTTCTAGCTGCGCGCCCTCGTCTATCAGGAAGTACCACCCCCAACCAGAAGTCGTGGCGGCGCCGGCGAAATCGAGCAGACCCAATTCGGACCCAATATGCACATGTGATCTCCATACGCGATCTGACGAGGAGGATACGGGTTCCGGCTGCTCGTTGATATAACTAAGAACCCGGGGCTCATCGCCGCGGGGCGTTTCGGCGCTAGTTATATTAGGAATGGCGAGGGCAAGTTCTGTCATTTGCGCCTCGAGACGAGCTTCGTCTTCTTCAATGGACGATAATTTTTCCTTGATTACTCGTGCCTCCTCGATAAGCTGCTCCTTCGACATAGTCTTTATATCCCCCACTGTTGTAGTACTAGCAGCTCCCGCCGTCTTTCCCGATCCAGACTCAGCCTCGTCGTCCTCGTGCTGTATACTAGCAGGGTTCGCAATCTGCCGACGTAAGGCATTGCTGCGCTCGCGCAAACTACGACCGTCCCTTTGTCGAGCCTGCCATTGCTCAAAGAGGTCAATAATGCGAGAGGGGTATGTGCTCTGGGCCTTGTAATTCCTTTCAAGACATGTCTGTTCGTACAAGGCTGGGTTCAGCCGGATATGTTTGATATCGATAGTAGCCTTAGGAGCTGTTGGAGGTCGGGATGAGATGGGTATGTCGTCAGAGTGAGAAATTGTATTACTAGGAGTTGTATCGGTGGTATTATATCTTAAGGAAGAGTTGGAAAATAGACGTGCCGTCGCAACGCCTCGCAAGAGACGCTGTTTATTCTGGGGCCCAACCAGTCGGCATTGAGGGCATACAAAAGGCGGTCTTAACGCCTTAATCATTGCGACGTAGCTATATAGCTAAACAATAGAGATGTGCTTTGCATTGAGCAATATTTCTGTATAAACTGCGAAATGTTGAAAAGGGAAGTTTTTAAAAAGCGTCATTCGATTCGCGAATCTTTTCTTTTTTTTGGGGTAGCTTTAGCTTTATGTAACTCCCCCGCATTTTACAGGGGGTAGCTACCTAGGTACTGTTTCTCCACATCCTTTACTCCGCCGCGGTACTATGTTAGGTACATATCCGTGGATAAGGTACCGAATCATATGCGGAATTCATCTGCGGTAAAGCCGGGGACCGGGAATAGAACAGCCTTGTCATATGATACGACTTACTGCTCAATTTCTTGATGCTTAAAATTTAGGTACCTAAGGTATCTGTGCCAGGGTATCTTTTTACAACCAAATCTCGCCTCAGTTTACTTCGTATCCCTACCTAACGCTACCTATCACATTAGGTACTGTCCTGAATAACCACAACACGACGTTGCGTTGAATTTGATTCAGATCGCTCCCCATATTCCCAGCGTCCAGCCGCCTGTAGCCTGTGAGGCTTGACTTCTAACCAACCCTCCAGCACCCATGCTTTGCCTTTGCTGCGCCTTGACGTCCACTTCGTTAGGTCGACATGCTCCGTTAAGACCCTGCTGAAGCCAGTGTTCACGCTCAACCGTGGCCAGGGCCGGTACCTTGAGCTGCGCTGCTAAGCTTGCTCCGCACCAAGCACCCAGCGAGTTTATTACACGAAGTGTGCCCTGCACAGGTGGCTTGTAGTTTTTCTCTTTTTTGATCATCTCCTCCACTTGATCTGCCTCTGGAGGTGCATATGCCGGATTGACAGCCGGTGCTGGTGCTGCCTCCACCCCTTCCGTATTGCTGCTACTACTGCTACTACTACTTTCGGTATGAATTACCACAGGAATTGGACCTTCACTAGATTGCCTGCTGCCGCTTCGTCGCAGATTCGGGTTCGTTTTATATTGATCAACCGCTTTTCCTCGTACTGGATCCCAACCTCGCTCTTTAGCCAGGAGAGACACTTCATCGAAAATGCGTCCTTTAAGCCCGATAATGTTGGAACAGCCACCCGTGAAGATAATACGCGACATGCAAATTGCACGAACATCCAGCGGTAGCTGTAATAGAGCCCGGTAAGCTAATAAAGGTACGGGAAGCTCGTGGTCATCGAAGCATGATGGCGACAAGTTCGCTTCGAAGAAGACCGATTCGCAAGGCTCGGCTAGCTCTGAAAACGGGATTTCCACCGTCTTCGGGGGTTTACAAGAATTGAGTTCTACAGAGATAGGTACGCGGTCGTCGGCTGGCGCCGCCGTTTCGGACTCATCCTGTTCGTGGAGGGTTGGGAGACCCTGAGTAGTGTCCTGCGATAATTCGTTTGCTGGCCTTTTACACCATAGCATCCGGGTCGCGAAATCCTCGCATTCCTCGAAACTCACAGACCTATCCCCTAGCTTGTTCTCCGTACGTTCGGTACGTGTTGTAGCCGGTCGCCCTTGTATAACATTATTTAGAAATTCGTACGTCTCTTCCACCAAGAGCTTGCCGGCTCTAATAGTTCTCCAAGTATACACTTCTCTGAACTCGTAAATAGCGGTGATCGTTGTCTCGTGCCAGCCGAGGTCTATTACCAAGGCCGATCGAGTACCTGCGGACATGGCAGACATGACAGGCGAGGAAAGAAGTGATATGGAAGGGACCTGAAAGCGAGTAAAGATGGTATCGAAGGTTGAAGAGATTAGCGGTATAGGTAGCGTCGGTGGGAGGACTAGACTTATTCTCCTCGGACGAGAATCGATTAATAGGTATCTGGAAGGGGGTAGGTTAGTTTAAACCTATGAGGTATGTAGCTAAATGGAAGCATTGAACGGAGTCAACCTACTTGGTAAACGCCTCCCTAAGCTCTCGCTCGAGCTTATCCCCAACAAGACCCAGGTCCTGTCCCCTCAAATCCAACTGCCATAGCTCGTAATCCGATCCCCAAGGCTTCCCAGCAGCTCTCTTGCGCCAGTTGTCCTGATAGCCAGCTTCCCAAGCCCTAAAGTCTCCAGCACGTCTCTGCTGCTCCAAACCAAAGGTCGCGATTCTTTTAGGGGCGGCGTCACCCCCAAAGCCGATACGCAATTTCCGAGAGCCTAATTCGACAACTATAATCTCGTCGTCGGCACGTAAGGTAGAAGGAGAGCCGAATGCGGAGGGGACAACTGATGCTCGAGGAGGGGTGTGAGGCCTAGGTGGAAGTGCTTGAGCTGCTGATGGGCGATCGCCGGCACGTATGCTGGACACGGTCCTATGAGGGAGACTTGCGCCTCCGCTTGACGACATTACTGTTGAAGAATTAAGCAAGCGTACCTAACCTAGGTAGGTTTGCTCGCACGGTTTGTTCTTTTGAAGTTTTGGCAGATGCAAGCTGCAATTGGCTTATCCGAGTTTATCAACTTACTCCATATTCATATATCGGTGGGGCTAGCTCTGGCAGTCAGGCAGGTGGGTCCATTTTGTCTAGTTCCATTTTTAAACACGCTTTACATCCCTGCATGTGCATCGTTGCCAGTGGATACCAACGCCGGTAAAGTCAATATTTAAGTTCAGTTAAATGCTTCAAAGTCTAATCCGGTCGGTGAATAACAGAGTACGTGAAAACGTACCTAATCTACCTAGTCAGATACATGCACGTGGTAATTATTTCCCGTCGAGAACGTAAAACGCTATAACTTTTAAAGCAGCCTCCCGACGATATAACCTTTCAACTCATTCATGGCTGCATAATTCAAGATATATTGGTCCAGACGGTATCCAGCATTTCGCAATGGGGATTAAAGGGTTAGTTCTGAGATATTGCCATCAATATTGACGAGAACTTGCATTGACATCGAATCAAAACAGGATATATAAAGAAATTGGTCCCGGCAAGCGAATATCTCTTACAAAACTAGCCGTTGAGACGCTCGAAGAGACTGGCCGACCCCTACGCATAGCCATAGATATTGCCATATGGCAATTCCAAACCCAAGCTGCCCGAGGTACAATTATTTTTTTTTAACGATAGCTTATTCTCTTTTTTTCTTTTTTTTTAAAAAAAAAGAAAGAAATCTACGGCGTGTTAATATGCTAATAATATCAGGCGGTTCTAATCCGGCTATCCGAATCCTTTTCTATCGGCTGCTTCGTTTGCTTAGCTTATCTATACAGCCCATTTTCGTTTTCGATGGCCCTAGAAAGCCCGTTTTCAAACGAAATAAGCGCTCTGGTCGTGGGGATGGAGTCGCTACGTCGATGGCCAAGCGAATGATTAAATTGTTCGGTTTTCAAATCCATGATGCTCCCGGAGAAGCGGAAGCCGAGTGTGCGCTATTACAGCAAACCGGTATCGTCGACGCCGTACTCAGCGAAGATGTCGACACCATCATGTTCGGGTGCACGCGGACACTAAGAAATTGGTCGTCCGAAGGTACGAGGGGAAGCAAAACCCCTACTCACGTCTCCATGTACGACACCCAGGAGTTGTTAGAAAGCGGCGCCGGTCTAGATCGGGAGGGGATGGTTCTGGTTGCGCTCATGAGCGGTGGCGATTATCTCCCTGAAGGAATTCCCGGGGCTGGCGTGAAAGTAGCCTGCGAAGCTGCCAGAGCAGGGTTCGGTAAAGCTCTATGTAGACTGAAAAAGTCAGATACATCGGAGTTGGCCAGCTGGAAAGAATGGTTGACTTACGAGTTACGGCACAACGAGAGCGGCTTCTTCAAGACGAGGCATAAAGCTTTATCCATACCTGAGAGCTTTCCAAATATGGAAGTTCTTAGATATTATACTCATCCCGTGGTATCACCGGCTTCGACTCTCGATAAATTAAGGCAACAGCAATGGGATCAACCAGTTGACGTCCAAGGATTACGAGAATTCGTCAGAGAGACGTTCGACTGGAGTTACCGAATAGGGGCCATCAAATTTATCAGGGTTTTAGCACCAGGCTTGCTGGTGCGAAAATTAATAACACGAAGCACCGACAGCGGTACAGAGTCCGAATCCATTGAAGTCCTAGAAAAACAGGAATCAGAATTAGCCAGATCGATCACAAGCAGACGTGCTCACTTCAGCACGGACAGCACCCCGGAATTACGTATATCTTTCATACCAACGAAAATCGTCGGTTATGATTTCCAAGAGGAGCCAGATGAGGTTATAGACTATGGGCGAGATGGTCTAGCACTCAATAGCGACGACGAGTTTGAAGCCGCGGCAGAAGAAGAGGGAACCGGAGCAGTCGGGAAAAGCAGTAAGAAGCCATTCAATCCAACCGAACCAGACCTAGTATGGTTACCGGAAACGATAGCGAAGCTTGGAATACCTATCACGGTTGAGGATTGGGAAGAAGCGCAACGTGCAAAATTAGCACCTCGTCAAAAGACCAAGACCACAAAGCAAAAGAATAAATCTGCGGATACAACAGCTGGGATGTTAGACAAGTTCGTTAAAGTCACCAAGAATATTCCAAGAAAAACAGAAGCCAGTAAGAATGAGCGACCAATATCTCCTATTTCTTCGTTACTTATTCATGTTGGAAATTCACCCGGTGTCTCAGGGTCACCTTCACGGAGTTTAGCTCCTCTTGCTCCTGTTGACCGAATACCCCAAAAAGCACAACCTACGAGATCCAGTAAGCAGCCTAAGCCCAAGCCCACAACCAGAAATGCACCATCAGTATCAAAGCCAGACGCGAGCACCAACCCCTGGACAATTGCCAGCTCACACGCCAATCCCAGGGTTGCCAAGCCCAAGCTTACAAAAACTTCCGAGGCGATTATTATACTCTCTAGTCCCCCCGCGTCGCCTCCTCCGTGCCATGATTCCATGACACAAGCTCCAGACAGTCGCGTTGCTAGAAACAGCCCCCCCACATCTCTTTTTTCAACCCCATGCATTGATACTCGAAAGCGGCGTTCTGTCACGCCGACAAGAACAGCAAGGACGGTCCGGGAAAGCGAAGAAGCATCAGAACATACCAGTGCGGTAAGGAGAGTTCTAAGTCCATCACCAAAATCGAGTGAGAAGCCCCGTCGCAAGCTATCTAGGACGGAATCATTGCCTGTGGCACAAAGCCCGCGACAGCCTCCCGCAGGAAGTAAGAGTGGAGCACGAGCGTTCGTGCGGGCACGTACCGTAACAGTAGAGATTCAGGCACTCTCAGACTCAGAAAATGAGGAGGAGGATGATGAGTTTGATCTCCCACCTCTTAGTACCGTTGTCGATAAACTCCCTAGGGGAAACAAGTCCCCTCTTACGCGAATGACATTAGAAAAACAAACAGCTCGAGCCTCAGGGTCAAAGGAGGAAAGACAGCTACTAGGAAAGGAGAAAAGCAAACAAGCAACGCTAGACCATGCTTTTAATTCGACTAAAAGGATGACCAAAGTGTACCTGCCCCATAAGAGCGAACCTGGGTTCTTCAGAGAAGTTGAAGTCGCAGCCGACGAGGCCGACGACCTGATTTTCAAGATGAGAGCTGACACCACACGGGGAAGTACTGGTAGGGGAGCATCGGCATGGAGACGTAGTGATATCTCCTGCATCGACTTAACCGGTGAGGATTAAGAGAGAAGGCACTTCAGATTACATGGATGAAGAACTATCAACATAAGTATAAGTGCCTCCTGATCAAAATGAAGTTGCATTTAAAGCTATAAGGAGTGGTTGGTCTCGGCGTCATTTGCATAACAAAGCGCATCCGCATCTGGATACCTTACACATAATACCAGGTAGATAATACAATGTAATAACAATAAGAATATCAAATGTTTCTGATAGGGAGCTCAATGCCTCAATCCAGACAGAGTTAAGAATAATTTGAACATTAGTCTATTTCGGCGTCTGCCCACAGGCTACCTAAGGTATATTTCTCATTCGCCGCTACCCTACCCTCTCTTTCATCTACGCCTTACGTACCATAGCGGCAGAACCTTGGAATTTTAAACCATTGGGATGTATTATGATCATTGATTAGAAGCTAATGTTAAGTAATGTTTAATACTAAGTATATGCTTAATGCTAAGCGTGTGCTTAATGCTAAACCTATATGCAATATTTTTAAAAAAAAAAAAAAAAAGCTTATATTTTACCACTTCACTATTTAAGGTTTTTTTTTTCCTAAAAGTTTATTCGATTTTTAGATTTATATGTTAAAAGAAGAAAATTCGAAAAAATGGTTTAGAGAGATTTTTTTTTAGCATTTTTTAATATTGGACATACGCTTAACATTAGGCACATGCTTAATGTTGGTCTCTGATTAATGATCATTATACATCTCAAGCATTGCTCCTAAGGCAACGGTTAGGTATCTTAACACCTATACCAACAGTTAAAGCCTTGTCTAATGGTTAAAATTCCCAGGCCTCTGCCGCTACAGGGGCTAATGCCCTTCATCCCAACGCCCCATCCCATAGCAAATCACGCATGTACCTAATACACGAAAGTTACTTCTCAAAACCAGCGATGGTAAATACATCTTCCAGGAATTGACTAGGCTCGGCCCTATTCCGCGTCAGTGGCACAGCCTTCTTACGGCTAGGGTTCTCTCGGTCCACCTCAATGCCAATAAAGCGCTCACCAAAGTAAGTCCACTTCAGGCAGGGAAACTCGGCAGCCCAGACCTCGGTCAGCTTGAGCATGCGATTGCGGTGGAGGAGCTCCATTAATATATGTCCCTTACCGAACCTGCCACCTCCTCCGTTGATAACTCGGGCCAGGTCTCCCGGGTTCTCCTCGAGATCCGGCCTCGCCGTCACGTCGGACATCTCGTCCTCCGTAAACGACTGGGCTACGTAGTACCTCCTGGAGTCTTCGGTGGAGAGCTCATCCCACGGGTACGTGTCGGACTGGAGAGACAGGATTCTCAGCTTCTTCAACTGGGAGAATATAGCACGCAATTCGGCATGATCTTCCAGCCACTGGCAGCGCGGTGAGCCTCGGGCTCCCCCGGCGAGCCTCAGCTCCTCGAGAGACGTTAGTCGCGCGATAGCCGCCAACGAGGCTTGCGACACCGGAACTGTACAGCGCTCTCTTGTTCTAGTGTCGCATCCACCCCACGATAACGAGAGCGTCCTGAGACGCTCGAAGGTCCCCGTAGAAAATAGCGGCAGTATAATACACGTGTCGAGATGAGCCGTCTCGCCACGCGCCTGCGCATCTTCCGCCACGTGTAATTTCGTTACGTGCTCGTGTCTTTTGATAAAGCCTGCAATGAATTCCGCGTATTCTCTGCATTGGGGGAGAGGTGACATAATTAATGTTTCAAGATCCCGAAGAGTATCGCAATTAGCAAGAATATCCCGGAGCTCATAATCGGGCCGTAGATGTATTGAGAGGTGCCTTAGAGGAGCGTTGAATAACGACGGAAGTATGGACTGAGGAGGTCCTAAGTCCCCGAGTCTTAAAAACCGGAGACTAGGGAACGTGATAGGACTGCCGTTAGAGGCTGGCGATACAGGCTGTCTATTTATGGAATGATTTCCGAAAAGCCATGTCAGATACTCGAGAGTGGGCGCATAAGATCGGATAATTGCTTCGAAAACTCGACCTGACGCAAGCCCGGATTGCATCTCCTCTCGTCTAGGCTCTAGGGGCAATTGCTCTAGGAATGGAAAGATGACAAGAGACTTCAAAGGCCAAATGGAGGGTATGGGATGTTGTTCTGGAAATGTAGCAACGCCTTGTCTCCCCATAGGTAGTTCACTGAGCCATACATGCCGGGCAGGCGACTGCATTATGCTTTTAAAAAACGAAGTGTCCATAGCATAGTTATCATGCCAAAAAATAACCTCCAGGTTAGGCAGAGCGGAGCAGATGACTCTTTGCAAGTTGGCACGCATTGACTCGTAGTCCTGGCGAGCCTGCTCTTCATATTCGGTCCCGGTACGGAAAGGTTTCATTCCTATAAAACGATGTCTAAATTGTGAGTATGATGTCGTTTCGATCCTCCGCACGCAAGCACCGATAGTTAGACCCGGTTTACTGTTATTCATCCTAGATATATGCTCTTGATCGAGCTTTGATAGCAGCTGCTGCGATCGAGAGAGCATCTGGTCAAAGTTGATGTCGGCGAACTGGCCCGAGCGAGCCAACTGCCTACAGTCGCTATTAACCAAGGCCAATGAGGCCAGAGTTAGCCTGTCGCCAATTAAGAGATTGACTATATCAGTTAAGATATCGGATGGAAGTCGGAGAAGCCTGCTCTGCGATGCTAACGGCTGGCCTTCCATCACACGATCCAGTACCAAAGCTTTTGGTGGGAGCATCTCCCGGTCATGACAACCAATAATAGAGCCGCGGATGTCATCTACTGCTGAACTAGACATCATAGTTTGCTGAGTGATGTCGTGGGGGATACTCCCGTATAGTTTGAAAGTTCAGATAACTTAGAATATGTTGGGGGGCGAATTATTAAAATGGCAACCGAGTATAAGCAGGTATACCTGAGGCATTACTTAAACGGCTGAGTACCTAACCTAGCACAAACAACAAGGCAATCAATAAATGCAGTAAACATCCAATCAGTGCGCATACGATCAAGTAAGCCGAATCCGGTCCCGAGAAGTGAATTATATACCATACCCAGCATCTAACGATCCCAGTAAACCGTGTTATGACCGTTGCATTACAGTACGAAAAAAAAATAAACGCTTAAAAATTCTTGAATAGCTAATCGAGTGTTCAAAAATATAAATATTCAAAGGCGTTTTTGACATTTTAAAAAAAATAAACGCATATGAGGTATATAAACGTTTACATTTTCAAACACTTAAATCATGTGACCTTAGCCTTGTATTCGAACTATTGCCTTGTGTGATGGTTTACTTGTACGTTTACATGTTTACTTCTACGTAGTGGTTTACTTCTAAGCATGCATCTACTACCTTGACCATAATGACTATTACAAATTACGTTACACGCGCGTACGAGAAGCTACCTTATTTTAATATATCAAGGTAGGTAGGGAAGGTATATAGAAATATAGAAATATAGAAAAATAAACAAATAAATATAGGTATCGGTGGGTATCCTGCAGTGAATTTCCATAATATAAAGACTCGACCATATATGACCCAGTAAAAAAAACAACAACAGCAAACCCCGAGAATATTGGGCTGGCCCTTGGGTTATAAGCAACGCATCGGGATAATCGAAGCCATCATAGACGTTCGCTAGAACCAACTCATATCCTCGAAGAATAGATCGTGTCCCAGGCTCCACCTGGTTATATATAGGTATCCATCGTTCCAAGCTCGAACAGGCCGGCCAGTTGCTTTGAACCTGAATTCGTTCGTTCGTTCGTTCGTATCGTTTCATTTCATCTCATCTCATCTTTGCTTGCGTTATTTCGCATTGCTCATTCCATCTTAAGTTCTTGTTGTCTCTGGTTGTATATCCCGAAACGACAAAGACATCATTATTTCAGTCATCAACAGCCCATGGCAAGTCTCTTTCCATCACCCGAACGCACGTCAGGTAACTAGTCATGCCGCTCGCGGCTATGGGTACGTTAGAACTGCCGCCAACGCCACCACTGTTTGGTGTAACGGCACCGCGCTCCATCTCTAGCTCGAGCCCGCTACCCATGAGCGGCCGAACGATCTCGCGGGCGGCGCTCTTGAGTTCGTCGATGCGTTTCTCGAATCGCCTCAGGTTATCGCGCGAGTACAGCTCGGGCGTTAGCTTAAGAAAGCGCTTACACTCGTCGTGACCGAGATAACCAGCACCTGTCGCGGAGCCCAGGGTACGATAAGTACGACCTAGGCTTGCGAGATTCGGCGCCATGGGTGCTGAAGCGATTACAGCCGCAGAGCGGGAAGATGGCCCACCATCACGGGAAGAATGCCCTCGGGCACTTGGAGGAGCCAGCGGCGCCGGAGACGTATTATCCGCAAGCCATTGGCGGAAGAAAGACACGGCAAGCCAATCGAGATATGACGTACCCGGCGTAATGCGCTCGCCACGCGAATTGGTGAGATTAAGGCGAAAGAGACGACCCTCGATCCTCGATACCGTCTCTTCCAGCTCGTCAACTTTATCTTCTATGATATCCAGAACGATATCCGGGAATGACTGCCTAATACTTCGCTCCCCAGCCGGCCATTGTCCGACAACGTGTATTAAGGCTTCCTGGAAGATAACCTTACTTCGGCTCAAATACCCTAGGCGCAAATAGCTAATGGGATATTTGGCGATCTGCTTCCACAGCCTACTTTGAAATTGTAATAGGTGATGGTCAACCCGCGGGCCTACAACAGCTAAGGCGTCGTACTGGTCTGCTAACGTAAGGAGCGATTTACACTGTACATACGCGTCGGCGATATTTATGCTATCCAGCAGCGGCGGGTAGTTGTAAAAGATGCGAAAGAGGTTATCATAATCCCGAAGTAGATCGGCGTCGGCTTGCGAAAGAGGCACATCTTGGTCTGCCTTTGACGGAACCATGGATAGGTTTGCGACCGAACGGAAGAACGAACTCGTGGAATGCGTATGCGAATGGCTCACCCTACGTGTGGTAGTTGTATTCGAAATTGAGCCGCCGCTTCCAAAAAGGGAGCCCGACGGCGCGGAATCGGTAGTAGTAGCAGCCTCCTTCTGTATCAACATTGGTATATCATCTCCATCGCTCCCAGGGTCCAGCTCGTATCGCCATCGTTTCCGCGGTGCGGGCGAATTTATACGAGATCGCGCGACTTCGTTTCCGCTACTACTAGCGCTATCCTCCCCGATCCTTGCGAGTTCTCTCGACGAAGCGTCTGCTGGCGGCAGTAAACTTGCTTTGGACCATTCCTGGCTTGTGCTCGCTTCGAAAAACCCCGAACATCTGGTTAAAGTGTGCCTGTGCAAGAGATACCTGTTCTCTTTCCCGCCTGCTTTTATAATGATCTCGACATCGCCCGAATTGCTGAACACGGGGAATTCATTTTGCGGGACATAGGAGCTTCCGCCGGTGTGAGAGCGGTTGTACCGCTTACTTCGAGAAGAAACATGAGGACGGGAAGCGGAGCGCGCCGAGACAACGGAAGAGGGGCCGCGGAGGGGGGGAGGCTCTGATTGTGAGATCATGAAGACTGGAGGTTGCACGTTTCTGGAATGAAGGTAGCCAGGATCTCGAATCGGTTGAACGTAGTCAATCCTCTCAGGTGTGAGGATTTACGACTATTCTTCTCTTCAGACACAGATTGGTGAGGCGCGTGATGGATCGATAGATATATGTACCTAAGGTATATCATAGATAGATCTGCTTGCTTGCTTGCGATTAGGTAGGAAAGGCGCAAAAGCCGTTGTGGCTCATTAAAATAGACCCTGTGCCAATTCCTATCTCTGCAAAATTGTTCACAGCTTGAGGTAGCTGAATGGGGTACGAAAGCACGGGACAACATGCGAAGGGCCCACTATCCTAACAGCATCACGGGCAAAGGATTGCCAGATTCAGATTGACGATTAATTGATCAGTGCTATTGATTGGCGGGTTGTGCAAGGGTGCGCAAAGTGGTGTTGTGCGTACTTGTCGCGATTTCGCCACAGCGCAACAACAACAACAACCGCTGAGCGGTCTGGAGAATAAAAGAGGTAGGCGGCCTCTATTAACGGACCGTAAGTTATATAAAAAAATAAAATAAAAATAAAATAAATAAAAAGATATTAAGAAAATAGATCGAAGTCGCGTCGTAGATTAATATAGACAAACTCCAAACTCGGACATATATGCATGTTATGTATAAGCTTGTTCAGATGCCGCGCTCCCTTTTGTCGCATTCCTTGTTTATTGTATCACCTTGTCGAGGTTTGCTATGGATGACACGGGCATGAATTTCCATTGTCTTTGATAATACCTCTAATGCATACTCTAGGTATGTATGCCCCGTACGTCCCAGACGCCCCCGAATGCGGTTCGAATCGGGAGTACCTAGACGCACCGCTCTGGATTATCGTCTACCCTGGCAGCCTGGATGCGGCCTTAAGTGGCCTATCGATAGGAGATTTTTGGTTAGCGGCAACAAGTGCGAGTAGCTTTTGACCATTTAGAGCCAATCGTTTGTTTGTCACCTCGACGGCCTCGAAACCATAAAGTGGTGTTCTAGACGTATGAAATGAGATTGGTATAGTGTATTTTGATGACAATAAAGAAGTTTAAGCAGCTTGCATAATAATAACTTTATACTGCGTATGCAACAAGAGAGCAGTCATACATAGTAAGCGTCCACAGTGGATCAGCTGATTGCGCCATCTCAATAGCTCTTAATAATATCTAGATTCAATATTCGACATTTTGCTTACGGCCTATCGGCGTTTATAATCGAATAAAACACTTACAGATACCTAACCTAGCGCGTTACTATGTACACCTAAGGGTTAATAACCGAACATAGCCGTAAAAAATTTACCTAAGCAGCTAAGGTAAATATTCGAGTACCTGTTTCTCTAAGAAACTAATACTTGGACTAGTCGCAGCTCTGGCTCGGTATTGGTTTGAATTCCATACTATGTAGGAACGATGTAGGAACTATATGGGAACTATGCAGATCCCGCCCACAAATGCAACCTTGTTGTTGCCCAACCTTATACCTACCTATTCTTCGCAGAATGCTCAGGCACCATTTCGCACAAGACATTCACACAAGTATAAGAACTACAACTCCCCCATAATCAAGGAGACGAATATCGTAAATAGCCTTCATTTCAAATAATTGAACCTTGAAGAAATCTATTGTACAAACTATACATACAGGGGCTGTTAGATGAATCTTCTACGCCCTGCCAATCTTTTGGTCCAAATCTCAAAGCTGGCTCGTACTCGTGTAGGGGAAGCCGTTAAACCCGTGAAAAAAAAATATTAATTCGAACGCACCCCAGTCCGTACCTGTCAATTCCAAAGTTACCTCTCGCCAAGCTACGCCGGCATTGTCCTACATCAAAAGCAATCAGTGACCTTCTCCGTTCAGCAGTTTAGCTCATGTCCATTTCAACGTCAGTATGGATTGGTGCGACTTGTGGGAATGCCGCGATATCGACTGGCTTAGGTGATTCTGCAGCTGTCATGACTTCGGCTCCTTCGAAAGTTGGCGGTGATGTTTTTAAATTGGCGAATGCCTGGTTCATATCTTTGCTGATGAACTGACCCTGTCGCAGAGTCTCGGAGAACAGGAAGAAACCCTCCGTCGCCTCGACGAAATACGATTGAAGACCTTTGCTTTCTAGCTGGATTCGGACATTGGTGACGGGGAAATGGTTTTCGATGTACTTCGCCCACCCGCGAGCGGCAGCTTGGATGTGCTCGCTGCCGCTAAGACGGCTCCATCCGATGCCGAGATGAAGTGTGAAGTTGTCGATGATGGGCTGGCCGTTGGTACCTGCCGATAAACCAGGTGTGGTTGCGGTGGGATGGACGTCGCGAGCTGGGCTGGAATGGCTGATCTGCTGGTCGTTCCTAGAAATGGCGTTCATATCTAAGCGTTGTGATTTGCTGCTCCTTAGAGATGGTCGTGACTGTTGGTTAAGGAAACGAGCTGCTTCGTTCTTACGGATATTCTCCGCGTTCGCTTTTTCTTCGACCCAGGTACCAGATTGATTACCTGCTTCTGCCACGTACGACGACGGGGACTTGATGAGCGTCATACCCTCACCGTATATCCAGCCATCCTCTGGCTCTTTGACGGGCTCGATGGTCTCAAGCTTTGCCTCTTCGACATCGAGGTTAACGCCAGCCTCGTCCCTCGATCGCTTACGGCCTGCTGTTGAAGAGGTCGAGATCGAAGACTGAGCCCAAGGTGAAGAAGCAGCTAACGCCTTGGCCCGGCTGAAAGGAGAAGTGTGATGCGAGAAGGAAGACATGCCGAACGCGCCTTGATGAGCGGCACTTGGCGACATGGTAAGAACTGGAGAGGAAGTACGTCCGAAAGAAGACATGTTGGGCTCTGTTAGCACTAGATGTTAGGTAAGATACGCAAAAGAAACAAGTTAGATCTCAGGTTTTAGTTCGACAGTCCCAGGGTGCTGATCGTGTCGCGTGTCGAAAGGGACGCGAATGTTTTTTACTGAAAGGCCGAGACGGTCAGGTTGAAGAGAGGAAGACCAATTGATCTGGGAGAAGTGAGTAAGGCTCCGAGAGACGATATACGGCCCGGTGATGCGCGACGTGGAGGAATCCGTATGTAGGTGGCCGTCGACACGATAGGTGAGACCTTGCGAGATGAGAAGTAGTATGTATGAAGATGCCTAGGTAGGTACCTATGGATGGAATATAGCAGTGAGAGGGAGAGAGACACTAGAGATGAGGATAAGACGGGATGGAATAAGAGAAAGAGAGGAAAGATGGACGAGGATGGATGGGTGATGGGAAGATTCATGTAAGAAATAAGGAAAAGAGAAGAGAAGAAAAAAGGAACCTAAGGTAGGGAAGTGGTATGTAATAATAGTTAGCAGCTTGCATGCGCATGGGATGGGGAGAGACTGGAAGTAACAAGGATCGTTTGTGTTATTGGTGAAGAGAGGTAAAAAGATGATTGATGGGAGACCGGGTGGAAAGAGAGTTGGGACAAGAGAGTTGGGACGGGAATTGGCTCTATGGGGGTACATAGATAGTACAGGGCTACTATACATAGCGTAGTAGCGTAGCAGTGTAGTAGCGATGTAGCATCCATGTAGCGAACCTAGTACAATACCTATTGGAAGCTGTACAATACTATGTAGTTGTAAGCTGCAAGACCCGGGTGGGCTGAGACCGGGACTCAACCGTGTGGGTGTGTGAGAGAGGGTGTGAGTGGAAGCGTAAGAAAGAAGGTACAGAACAGAAAGAAGGGAAACGGCACCAGATTGTTTTCCTATTGGCTTAGCATCGGAGAGACACATAAGTACCTAATAGCAGGAAAACGTACGGCAAGAGTACATTCCATATAGTAGGTGTGGAGTCCCGATTGGTGAGGTGCAGCAACTGCTGCAGGTCAGTGCTTAGGGTTGTACGTCAATTTTTTTTCCTCTTAGAGGGCGCTCAGACCACTGTAGGAGGATCCGGCTATCGGGGATACAGAACAATTCGGCAAGGCAATGGCTAGGGGTCTTCAAACAGAGCTTATCGCAGATATGATTGGCCAAAGGTTGCTATGGCTTCACGCCGGGGCCAAGCATTAGCCTCTTGGCATCTGGGGCCGAAAAAGTTCCCACAGCAACACGGTTTTCATTGGTTCAAAACAATTCCCCATCAGCCCCATCAAAGTCTCGGTTAAGGAACAGAATTCTCCCACCGGTTATGTCCGTATGACCCACATAATACAATGACGCTTGACGCTGATCGCGATTTTGCTCCATCTTCATCTCGTCACTTAAAGCAAGGCAGCGAGGTACCTGTTGGGAACCAAGGAAAAACTAATCACCCGATACTATCTACGTAGCCCTGGAGGTATGCCGCATTCAAGAAAAGATCATCAGAAGGAGAGGGGACGCGGATCCGTACTTTCTGTTTGTTTTCCTTCTTTATAACTAGTATTACAAACTAGGAGACATCATTACCTATGATGCTATTCACATCCGGTTTCCCTGGGTCTCCATCTCAACTGTTTGCGTCATTCCCTTTGTAGCCTTTAGCAAAAACTACCTAATATGTATACCATCGCACCATGTGTAGTAAAACTTTATTGACTTGCGCGTGCTTATGACTCGTTGACCCTTTAGGACTTTTTGTGAACTCCCCTTGCTCTTTTTAAAAACAAAGCCTTTTCATTCCACTCATCAGTCTTATCCACTTTCCACCGGGTCTTCCTCCTGGAACATCGATGCTTCATAGAACACTGTTGAGTCTTCGCTATTCTCTTGTCCACCATAAAGACCCCGGAACCCAGGTGCCTCCAGATCCGATGGACTATTGGCGCTGTCTCCCAACCCTTGTCTGGTGCTAGATCCGTATACCGATCGGGAGACCGCCCTTGGAAGGGGTGCGGTGTATAATCCATGGAGACGGCTTTGATGGCGGGCTTCCGGGAGGTTCAGTGGTGTTTGTGGCTGCGACGATGCCGGAAGAGAATCGTTATAAATCATAAACCCAAGTTCTGTTTCGCTGGTGGGTTCTATCCCGTCTCTCTGCTCCGGAGAACTGGGCTCGGAGCTGTCAACGCCCCGCGGCATATTAGACGAAGGGCTGCGGTTGTGAGGATGGATGATGGACTCGACAAATCTGACAGCCGAACTAACAAGGGGCCTCTTTCTTCGAAGGGTCTCAGGCGGTAATGTTAGCCAGGGCTAACCTGACACCGTCTTTTTACTCACTGGGGAACCCGAACGAACATCAGTATGCGCCATCCGAAGTGATGATCGTCGCGGGGGTGTTTCTGGTGGTTCTTGGCTAGAGCTGTCGCGGCGAGGCTGCACCCGCGCCCGCATGCTTCCATGGGCCTATCAGCCAAGACCAGTTAGCTCCGTTCAAGTCTGGGAAGCATGGGGAAAGCATGGGAAAAGCACACAGATGGAAGTGATTGCGCATCTGAGATGGACCGTTTTTCTTTCGAGAACGGTGGAGGCAACGTAGCAGGTAAGTTTCCCCAACCCATAGGATGTGACAACGTCGAAGAAGTTGGGGTCCCGGCCTGTGAAGAGGATGCTATACCCGGAGGGCTGCTTTCAACAGAGTCACTGCTTAGCTTTAGTGGACGCTGGGGTGGACATGCCGGGAGATGAGAGCTTTCTTTGACAGGTGTATCTGATGATCCTCTGGAGGGGAGTTCCGAGGTTGGCTGATTTACATTGTCATATTCGGATTCGAAGCTGTCAGCTACGACAACAGTTTTCTTGACGCGTATGGGAAGTTTGCCTAAGCTATCTTCTTTAGCAAGATACTTCTTGAATCGAAGATGACGTTCAAAGTCCTTGACCTCTGTCATGGTTAAGGAGAGCGTAGTTGGTGGTAAGCGTAACATATTGACTGAGTATCATTGACCTGAGAATGACTGGAATAGTTCCGGAGGGGTTACATGTTGAAAATATTGGAAACTGGTCTAATTTTTAGTCTCGATAGAATAGCTGCGTGGTGTAAGTTATCATTCAAGACGGGAAGTTACGATACGATTCAACTCTTTTACTACGTGTAATACCTAAGGTATCTACCTAAGGTAGGCAGGTTAGGTACATATCGTAAGTTCAATGACCTTTACTCTAGATACCTGATATACATCTAAAGAAACGCTTGTAATATACCTCCTAGGTAGGTACCTAGTTAAACGCATTAGACAGAACTTTAACCTGACTTATCATAATTGAATAAACCCTCGGTGTCAATTTTGAATTATTAATGCCAACATGCCTTCCAAGACATGAATAGTCGATACGTGTAAGCCCAGGTTTTAGGTATACTCAATTGGAGGATATGGGATTGGTTCTGTAGATGTATAGCAGTGGCGTGCTTATTGAGGAAGTGGGAAAATACGAGCAGTGGTTATCTACCCTCGATTATCAGGATTGGTTGTATTCCATGATGCGAGATTCTAATTTAATACTCGTGGGGAATGTCCTCGAGGAGATGCAGGTGGATCAAGAGATTTATAGTTAGGTACTAGCATGATTCAAGTAAAAATAGATAGGTAAAATACTTCGTGATCTGATTGATGGACGGGGGCTGAAGCTGTGAGGTTACGTACTTATGTAGGCTTCTCCTACACAAAGGCGTAACAGATACATAGAAAAAATCATTTAAAGCCTGCCAGGTGAATTTGAACCCTGTTGCTACCTCTGCAGATTACGAAGTGCCGCTAACGACCTTCGCCCAAAGGAACCTTAAGGTCCAATCCGCTGCTAGCAGACACTAAAAGAGTTCCCACAACTTTCCCCCTCTTTGAGCGTACATGTACCTTATGTACCTGTAGCGTCACTAACAACAGCATTGTACCTTATTCAGCCACAAGCTAACCTACCCGTCCGTCCACTGCTAAATAAGAACTTTAGGAGGTACCTAACGCTATTAGGTCAGGTACCTGGTACAATACAAATTACAATACACCCGTAGTGCACTACCAGGTAGAGCACCGCTGCACCAGAGCACTAGAGATACCTCTATTTGGACCTTGGACCTTGGACCTTGGACCATACAAAGGTGGATCTCCAGTTTGCTCGACCTGCCACTTTTTTACGAAATTAGCATCGACCAATCTATCCGAACTACCTGAATACCTTGACTACCTGCGTACCTACTACCATCCACGCGTTAGCATGCTCATCGCCTGTTCTTGTTGGGCCCTTGTCCATACGTCCAATGTCCATGCATGGCAGCAATTGCATTGAGATTTGAACGTTCAGGTCGTTATTCTGCCCACGCTCATCACACCCATAACCCACGCCTACGCTGCCCACGCTGCCACGGCCAGGTACGTGCAGTGTGCTGTTACAGTAATTACACACAATCATCATACCAATTTCTCTCTCTCTCTCTCTCTCTCTCGCTCTCTCTCTACCTACCTTACCCTATCCTGACCTATCTTATCCTCTTCCCTTCTCTTCTCTTCTGCCTGGTCTCTCCTCGCCTCTATTTCCCTTTTCACCCCTTTACCTTATTGGTTATTGACTGGTTATTTTCCACCCCGACTTGACATGACCTGACATTTTTCCTATTTTAGAGGTCCGGTTGTGACTCTGAAGGACGCCGCATTCGAGGTTGTACATCTGCCACCGCCGGCGATCGGGTTTTACTAGAGGCTCGAGTAACTGTTGCCAAATCTAGGTAAAGTCCACCCACTCCCCTTTAGTGGCAGTGGCAGTGGCAGTGTCCCGGCAGAACGAACTTCAAGGAGAACAGCCCTACGTGCTAACGGTCCAGGGGTCACCGATGCCCTCGCTCGTTAACGATAAGTTGTGGACAACACCTCGTAAGACTATTTCCGTCCATACGAACCAGCTGATTTCTTGCCTACCGTCTGAATTCGATATCTACCGTCTCGTCCTCGAAAAGAAAAAGGGAGAGAGAAAGAAAGAAAATAACCCGACTCGCCCCTTAATATCTCATTACCGACATTCCGCTAATATTTCGATTGTCTATCCCGAATTGCGGTAAAAATGAATAACGATCTTAGCCTCTCGAGGGCTTTGGGCGGCCTACGCATTGCAAACCCAGACGATGCGCCGAGCTCGTCCCAAGAAGCGGACGAAGATGATGCACCCACGTCAAACCAAACCCCCCCTGATACCCGCCCCTCCGAATCCGACTTATACACTGGGCAGAGCAGGCCTCAGACGGGAGAGATGTCAACAGTTATCTCTGGTATGACAACCGATTCTCAAGGCCAGGTACCTCAGTATCCACAAAATGGAGCTTTACCATATGCGAACCCTCCTGCTTCTTCCCGACCTCCGTCTGGACTATATAGTGCTACAGCGGCTGCAGAAAGGGATCAAGCTGCAAACTCTTACCATATCCTAAGGACAGACCCGTCCAGGACACCTTCGGAGTATGCTTCGAGCATCCCCTCCCGTGAGCCGAGTTACCGGGAGCGACCGTATAATCAGAACCGCCAGCTTCAAACTGTAGCCGGAGGTGGCCCATTACCTCCTAGGAGGAGTTCGAAAGGTATGGGTGGTGGCTACGCTTCAATTCCTGGTGTCCCTACCGTTCCCGAGCCTCGTGGTCTCGGGTCAGATATGCAGGTGTCTAATAGCAGTGAGGAATGGAAAGATCGCGGAGCTGCTGTTTCGATACGGAAGGAAGTAGATGCCAACGGAAAGACTGTCATGAGGCCGGTCAAGAAGGGTGTCCGAGACTTTTCTTTCGGTCGCGTTTTAGGGGAAGGTTCATATAGCACAGTATATTTCGCTACGGACCGACAGACCCTTAAAGAGTATGCCATAAAAGTCCTCGAGAAGAAGCACATCATCAAGGAGAGGAAGATAAAATACGTCAACATCGAAAAAGACACTCTCAACCGCCTCACCGAACATCCTGGTATCGTGCGACTTTATTACACCTTTCAAGATGAAAATTCCTTGTATTATGTTTTGGATCTCTGCAACGGTGGCGAGCTTCTGGGCGTGTTGAAAAAGACAGGTACCTTCGATGTCGAGTGCACAAGATTCTTTGGAGCACAGATTCTGGATGCTATCGAGTACATGCACTCGCGCGGTGTCATACACAGGGATTTGAAGCCCGAGAACGTCCTTCTCGATGATCAGCTGCATGTGAAAATCACCGATTTCGGGACTGCCAGATTATTGAGCGACCCAAGGCAACAACAGGCTCCTAGAATTGAGGATATAGGAACTAGCTCCAGGAGCAAAGACCAGGACGATGATAGCCGTGCGGCATCCTTCGTCGGTACGGCTGAATATGTCAGCCCCGAACTTCTTACTAACAAAAATGCGTGCAAGGCGAGCGATTTATGGGCGTACGGCTGCATTATCTATCAATTACTAGCTGGCCGACCGCCCTTCAAGGCCGGGTCGGAATACTTGACGTTTCAAAAGATCGTCAACCTCGATTATGAATTCCCCGTAGGCTTCCCCCCGGCTGCGAGGGATCTGGTCGAACGTTGTCTAGTTTTAGACCCCGCAAGGCGTCTTACAATTGAGCACATCAAGAATCACGAATTTTTCGAAGGGCAGCAGTTCGGTAAGATCTTGTGGAAGTCGAAAGCACCGCGACTACGACCGTACGTTCCACCATCTCAGGAGCCCAAGATAATCCAACTTAATGGATCGCCCTCCGGACAACAGGCTTCGTCGCGCCCTCCCACGACAGGAAATGGTCTAAACGGCCCTTCCCGTGCGCCAGGAAGGATCATCACCGACATCCCACCGCCATCGCAACTTGATATCGAGTGGTCACCAGTATTAACGAGAACGAATGAGAGGATCTTGCGACTTGGAGACCTTATGGTTATGTCGTCTCCAATCCCGAACAGTCCGCATAATAAAAACGACGAGGGACACAGGAAGTTTTCTCGGTTCTTTGGTGGCAGCACGACGAAGAAGAGGCAGCGGCTAGTCATGATCACGTCTAGTGGGAGGATTATCCTCGCCCCGGCTGGAGGCGAAGAGAAGAAGACGAAATTGGAGATTTCACTTTTAACACCTGACTGCTCGTGGAAGAGTCAAGTAGATGCGAAGGGACTGACTGTGTGGTGTGTTGATTCGGTGAGTTACCTCGCTCATTTTGTGGACAATGTTCGTTCGTACTTACAAATGCTAGGCTGGTATTCACTACACCTTTGAAGACGTCAAGTCGACTTCTTCTGTCGAACCGCCTCGCCCCACGGTGGAGGATTGGCTTGAAAGTTTACAGCAGGCCAGAGACTTTGCCCTATCCCAAAACCTCAGCCGTTCGTATACTAGCGACAACGCATTTGGAGAAATGTCGTCATCCATGTCTAGCCCGGCCAGTACCTTCGGCGCAGAAGGCTACAACATCAATGATAGATCTCACCGCAACCACTTGAGCAAGAGCCAGGCGAGCCTGGATGATACATCAACCGCGAAACGCAATCGATTTAGCAAGCGGCAATCCAAGCAGGGATTAGGTTCGGCTTTTTAGAAATAGCTGTACATCTATAGCCCGGAAATTCTGGCACATGCGGTTATTCGGAATCCTCGCGATCCTCGCAAATTCGGCCAACGAACCATCAGGGGCCTACCTAGTTTTCCCTTTCCTGGAGGCTTTTCTCTTCTTTCATATGCGGCATGTTCTAGCGAGGCGTAGGCTTTGGTATATCTCATTTTAGATGGATTAGAAGGATTACATTACGCATGACCCCGACCCCGTACCTCACATTCCCTAATATAATATTCTAACATAAAATTCCATTCAGAGCCCTATATTAGGGTGGGGGAGAGAAAACTGAAGGATGTTGAGCCGGGGATTACCTACTATTTGGTTGTTCAGGGCGGGGAGGAGTGTTCGCATAGCTGCGTTGAGGGTACGGAACTGGAAAGGTAGATATCTGAGAAATAGGGGGGGGAGGACCCAGTTGTTCCAGGAATCCAAAAGAGATGTGACCGAATCGGCAAAAAACTACATAGTAAAACGGATTAGCCCATTACTTTACGTGATTTAATCGATGGTCTGCTGTATAAGTTGGCCCTTATCAATTCAATTACCAGGCTACCTAAATCATGTCTTGTATTAGGGTCTGGTATTAGGTACATGTAGGGGTTGAGGTTGTTTATGTAATGCATGCACCGGTGTTAGTGGAGCACCCCTATTGTAATTAGCCACATCAGCCACTTGAAGCTCTTTTCTATCTAAGCCCGATCTGATGCTAGACCGATACCTTATTAATTTTTTTTCCATTTCGAACCCACTCTAAGCCAAGCCGGTCGCACTTCAAAAATTCTCCAATCATTCGAACCGATCGCGACGAGGCGACACGCGCTTTTTATAACGACTATCCAAATCTCCGACCCAGATAACTTGGACCATCTCCCCCCCCCTCCCTAATACCGTCCATTTCCAATCGCGATCGAAATTGGTGTCGCACGCGTTTGGTCAGTGGAGCTATAAGTAACTTAGTTTCCAATTCAGTCTCACAAAAGAGTGCAAAAAATAAGAGACTACGACATAAGAGCAAGAAATTTAAGGCGAGAACGAATTAGAAACAATAAAACAAGCACCAAACATAAACCTAGGAAACTCAAATCGGGGCCAAAATAGTCAAGATGCAGACAGGCTACCGCCCTTACCCGCAGCAACAGGTGCCGCCTCAGCAGCAGCAGCAACAGCAGCAGCGTACCCCCCATACGGCCGGACAGCGACGAGGAGGCATTGGTATGTACTTAGTATTTACTTCTAGCGGTCTCTCTCTGTCTTTTTTATTTTTTATTTTTATTTTATATATACAAGATATTGTTCTTTTTTTTATTAAAAAAATGGATAGAGATCCAGCAGAGATAGAAATCAACCCCCCCGTCTCCTCCCCACGCATCCACGCAAATCCACATAATGAACTCCACTGGCCATTAGTTCGGATTCTACCCGGTAGAGTCTTTCCAGTTCTATATATGCCAATCCACCTATGCACATACACGTCGTGTACCTGCAGTTTATTGCTACTGTTACTACCGTCACTTTTCCATTTCTTTGGTTGTCTGCTGAACTATCCCTTCGCGCTACACACACCTTTTCACCCCCTCCTCTTTCATCCTTTTTCTCCCTGAGATTCTCCTGTCTAACCAGTTCGTCATGTCTTCAGGTCCCATGATGTCGTCCGGTCCTCATCATCAAGTCCCCCTGACTCAGGCGCAAATCGCCCAGCAGCAGCAGGCCGCCGCTATACAGGTCGAGATGGCTAAGCGGCGCAGTCGCAAGCCAACCGATAAGAACCTTCCAGACAATATCGACGAGTGCGCTGTTGGGGATATGGCGGTGAGGTATCGAGAGCTTAGGGATTTTGAGAGAAGACTCGATGCGACAATGACGAGGAAACGGCTTGATATCGTTGACTCGGTAAATCGAAGCGTCAAGGTACGTATCACAAGTCCTGGGGAAAATATATCAGATCTCTTAGAGACTAAAAAAAAAAAAAAAAAAAAAAAATATTAACTAAAACATTACTTAGCGCTGGAAGACACTTCGAATCTGGATTACCAATACGGCGGAAGACCAAGTTTGGCAAGGGAATAGCATCGATGTCGATACCTTCGATTTTAGTTCAAATCTGGAGCCCACGTATCGCGTCAAGATTGAAGGACGATTGTTGGATGATGACGATGATCTCGACAAGGACGATGACAGTGAAGATAACACGGGCGGATCCGATGACGTCGACCGTATGGAGGAAGACACGAAACCGAAGCCGAAGACCCCGAAGTACAGGTTCTCTCACTTTTTTAAGGCTCTGAGCGTGGACTTCCCTAGCAATCGAAAGGATATCGACCAGGTCGTCGAATGGAAGAAACCGGAGAGGACTGGTCCTTCGTCGAGTCTTCCCGCCTCTGCCGACTTTGATGAACTGACATTTAAGCGCAGTGGAGACGAGAACCTCAATATTACCATCAATCTTTACAGGCATGAAGAACCCGAGCGATACGCCGTCAGCCCGGAGTTGGAAGACATCGTCGACATGCCAGAAGCTACACGACAGGAGATCGTGATGGGAATATGGGAATACATTAAGCTGATGGGGTTACAAGAGGACGAGGAGAAGCGCAACTTCCGATGTGACGACTTACTGAGAAAAGTAAGCAACTTATTTAATCATATCAAGGTTTATTGACGTATACGACTAACCACCCACGGCTTTAGGCTTTTGGTATCGAGACAGGTTCGATTCCGAGGCTGCAGGAATACATTACACCGCATTTGAAACCCCTACCTCCGGTCAAGCTTCCCTACACAATCCGACTGGACGAGGAGTTTCACAAAGACCCGCAACCTACCGTCTACGATGTTCGCGTCGCTGTAGACGACCCATTGCGTGAGAAGATGTCTTCGTTCCTTAGCAACTCCGGCTACGCGAATATGCTGAAGGAAGCCGCTTCCCTCGACGATCAGCTCGCTATCATCATCCATGCGATCCACGTATCGAAAGCCAAGCATGCTTTCCTAACGTCTCTCAGCGAGGACCCTGCTAATTTTGTAAGAGACTGGCTAAGTTCTCAGAAGCGTGACCTCGATGTGATTATGGGAGAATCGATGAGAGGCACTGGCGAAGATGCCACCGGAGACGAGTGGAGAAAGGGAGGCAAGGATAGTATCTGGTCTACCGTCAACGCTCGTGAAAGTGTTACTGTGATGTTGTCCAAGCAGCCTGTTCTGCCACAACGGTAGGACTTGAATTATTTCATCTAGAACTTGTGAAACAGGAGGAAAGGATAATACGACTTGAGTAATAGTCATGGTAATGGCGTATGGCGTGCTGGTTTGTGGTCTAGGATTACGGACTACGCTCGTAACTTTCTAGATGAAAGGGGGGATTAGCTCGAGGAAAGAGGTTCTATATCCCTGTATTAATAGAATTAGTATCAGCGAGGAAATATTTTTAGGTACCTGATCCAAGGGTCAGTGTCGTCGTCGGAAGACAATCCACGATCGTTTTTGATGGATATTTGTTTATATGCTACGTCATTGGCCCAATGTTATATGCAACGGCTAGCTAGCCTCGGTCTTTATAGTCTTAAGCCCGAGAGCTTTTGGCTTTAACCATGAGCTTCACCCTTCAAGGTATATTTCTAGGCACTCTAGCTATTCCGCTCTGGCTAGATTCGCCGCCTATATTTCAAGGTTTATGGAGGGTAGGCCTCGTTGATTCGGATAAACATATTCATGATCGCCAAAAAATCTATCTGGAACTAGATTGAACTCTACGGATTAAGATGTCTGCTATCTTTAAAAAAGCCAACACGGCCGTCATTACAGGTGGTGCGTCAGGCATCGGCCTTGCTCTGGCGCAGAAGTGCGTCGGGTACGGTATGAGAGTCCTCGTTGCAGATTGGGGCACCGAAACTCTGGGGAAAGCTGGCGAGACCCTTGGGAGCGCCGCGCGTACTGTTCACATGGATGTGAGTAAGCCGGAGGACTGGAGCAGGCTCAAGGACCGAGTTACGAAGGAGTTTGGAGGTATGTTAGTTGCATATAGCTGCATATATACCGCTTTTTACTGGAGAGGCGACTGCGATGCTAAACGTACCTTACAGGCCAGATCAACCTCCTAGCGCTCAACGCCGGGGTCAACGCCAAGACGAGCTTCGAGGGCGAGGGAGCAGACCCTGCGGCGTTCCAGAGGATTCTTAATGTGAACTTTTTAGGCATTGCCAACGGTATTCTAACGCTACTACCGCTGGTCAAGGAGAAAGCATCTGCTTCCGCCGACTACCAGGCCGCGGTAGTCATCACGGGCTCGAAGCAGGGCATTACCAACCCGCCAGGCAACCCGGCATACAACGCCAGCAAAGCCGCCGTCAAGTCCCTGGCCGAGCAGCTGAGCTTCGACCTGCGGGCGCAGAGCAACATAAGCACGCACCTGCTGGTTCCGGGCTGGACGTGGACGGCGCTAGCGGGCGCTGCCCCCGGACGGCAGAAGCCCGAGGCGCCGTGGACGCCGGCGCAGGTGGCGGACTATCTGGAGCAGAAGATGGGAGAGGGGAAGTTCTGGGTGCTGTGTCCGGATAACGAGGTGGATGAGGAGACGGATAGGCGGCGGATGTCGTGGACTGCGGATGATGCGCTGAAGGGGAGGCCGCCGCTGAGTCGCTGGCGAGACGAGTATAAGGATGAGTTTGCAGCGTGGATGGAGAGGAAATGAAGGGTGTTGAGTTGGAGCGTGCCTCATGTTGGAAGGAGTAAGGGCCCTTCGTCATAATTGTAAATCCCTACTTTTGATCTCGTAGGGTATCTGCAATAAGGAGAAGTTAGTTATTATATGCTGTTAACAATGCTGCTGTGACTATTGTGATAGCATATCACAAGCTTGTATCGTATATTTTATAGCTACCTAAGCTAGAATCCACTGCTCACAACAACAACCTGCTCTGATAGTAAGTAGGTACCTAACTTAAGGGTAGATACTACTATGAATTATGTCTTATCACGAGGAAATAATATATCATTGAGAGGTTTCATTGCGATTGGCGCTCGTCTGTACTTTCGTTTGTCCAGTCATTACCTAAACGCCTAACTACATGCACACAATGATTGCCAATGACGGCTGCTTGGTACGTCTACTGTTCAAGCCTGATATCTAAGAAGCCCCTTGCTACCAAAGCGGAAAATGAAAATTTGAACCATGCTTGAAATCGATTTGTCCGTCAGAAGGTCCCTAGACCGCTAGCTGGCGAGTCGGAGGAACGGGGTTCGGGGGCATGTTCCTGATCTGCTTGATGAGGAACTCGCGCTCGTCGATGAACTGCTCGTCGTCGGTGCGGTCCTCGAGAAAGTGGGAGAGGAAGTTGAGGAGCTTCTCGCGGTTCATGAGCAGGATCTTCTGCACGGCGATGGACTTGTGGGGGTTGGCCACGAAGACCTTGAAGACGTGGAAGCCCTCGTACTGCACCATCTTGCGGTCGCTGCGCAGCAGGTTCATGCAGATTTTGAGGTGCTCCCCGCGGTCGACGTACGCGGTCATGACGTTGTAGTTGGACCGGTCGAGCAATATCTCGCCCAGCAACTTGATCGACTGCCGCTTCGTTACGTAGCTGTTCGACTGTACTAGGATATTGTTGTACTTGTCGAAGAAGAGCTCGAAGTTTATCGAGAGGTAGCGTGGCACGAGCTCTTTGTGTTTTGTGAGGAGTTCCTGTAGCGATGCTTGTTAGGAAATGAAATGCCTTATAGTTTGGTATGCATTTGGTTTTTTTTTTTTTTTGGTATGGCTGGACCTACTCTGAATGTCGTGAAGGCGTCGGCGGCAACTTCAAACGAACTCTTGTCGATCCATTCGAAGAATCGCCAAAAAACACCATTACCGCTCTGTGGTCGCTCTCTATCAATGGCTGTTACGCCCTTCAAACTAGAACCGGGCTCTTCCCCATCGTCATATAATATAATGGCAGCGGCCGCCTCGTTCTTTAGCACTTCACGAAGCACAGTGCCCGCGGGCGTTGCGCTCTCCTTGTGATCGTACCCTCGACATAGTTCTAATAAAATCTGGGGTTTATTGTTTACTACGTAGCTCAACGCGACAGGATCCGTCTTCGGCGACGCCGTCGGGGGTCGGAACCGGAACACGTAGGAGAATATAACTTGCGTGTCTTTTCGGGACTCGAAGGGGAGGCGGTGTAGGGTTTGAGCTAGCAGAAGGAGAAGATCCTCTTCTATCAGACCTGTAACCAGCTGGTATACTTGCTCTGGGGTACTATCCACGTCTGCGACGGAAGAGGTTAGCATCGTATGGCCTTCATAACTCTTGCGCGGTGGGCAGGGAATGCGCAATGGCTTATAGCAGGGTCGAGACGAGTGGGTGCGGTACCTGGTGTTCCTTGAAGGATGAGCTTCATCTGGTTCAGCACCTTCGCTAGCTCCTCAGCCTATAGCAAAGACAATCAGCATATAATATAGTTGGCAACTTATGATTAGGAAGCCGGGCTTACTTTGCCGGGGGTGTCAAGCTTGAGAAGATGATCTCTGGCTTGCTTAGGAAGATCCAGAGTGTTAGTTCTGGTTCTGGCCCTCGAAAATAGGAACGACATGGTTGCGATTAACTATGCGTATACGTATACGTATATGGGATGAGCGCATCCGTTATTGATTAAGTTATAGGAATTTCGAATTTGGGGTATAAATTCTTGAATCTTGGATCGCGGAATTGCTGGTAGATATTCTCTATGCTCTCTCTTGCTGTCTCTCTCTCTCTCGATCCTGGACCTGAATAGGAGCGGGACGGGGGAGGGGGCCGGGTTGGTATTTTTAGTCAACCCAGTTCGTCATTGTTAATTTTTAGGCTTATTGATGACAAGATGTCCGCTGTCGTTATCCCTAAACTTAGTCTACCTAGGTAGTGAGGCCCGAATGGTGCCATGTGCCGCTCGCTGGTAAACTGTTTATCGTAAATCCGGGGATCGGAATGTTTATTTACGGGGCGGATAACCTCAGCTGAGAGAGATGGCCCCCCCCCCCTTTAGAATCCCCCCTTGCGCATTGCGTGGGACCTATCAATAGCAACCCAACGTCCGAGGTGCTTTAGCGGGCTTGGGTACCCCGCTGCGTATCAATAATCGAATAACTAATAAACGGTTAACAGGTATGTTGTTAGAAATAATTTACTTTTATTTTCATATTGAACCGTGGGGCTGTGAATCACGATACACCACAGCAACGTAATAAGCTAATGCTGACCATCAATGGGAACTAGCTAAATCCCATAACGGAATACAAGTTTGTATTAATAGAAGGGCCTTGAAATTGTATTGGAAGGTAATGCATGATATAACTTTTTTATTATTTTTATTTTTTATTTTTCATGAGCCAATTCCCACGAACGTCTAATGTCGGAACGGCCGAAAGCTCTCTTCAGCTCCAGTCTCTAAATTCGGAGCCACGAGCCAATATTCCCACGCCCGTGATTCTTAAACAAGAAAGCCTCGATATAAACGCCATCGATAATCACCTAGTCTGCTTTGACGCTTTCTATTTTCCATATAAGTTCACATCGCCTTAAAAGCGTGGGATGAATCGTTATTTACTCACTATGACACAGTCTAATAGCCTGAAAAACTCGTTCATACACTTGTTCTTATGGACTGCGTTATAATCTTCGACGATGCATTTTCCGTATATCCTCGCCTATTGAACAATTGTAAGTTGTAATGTTCTAGGATACATGATACATGATGCATGATGTATAGTAAACCGATGCATTACCTCTGGCGAGCACTTCGAGGCAGCAGCAGCAAACTTCTGAATTGGCCTTTGACTTGCTGGCATATTTTCAATAGGAGCGGGTGACGACTGAAGTCGATGTCCTTGGAAGTTTAAGTGGTTTCGGTAAACTTCTCAAGGCTAAATTACGGGATGGCGATTCTCTATGTCGATACTAAAACGCAGAAATGTATTAATATATGCGATGAGGTAATGCAACAATTTGGGCCAAGCCGGGCAATACGATATGTATAAAACCGGATAGAGATAAGGAGATACCTACCTCCTAATACCTATACTGTACGAAGTACATACATAGTACCTAAACGATATTTGTTAGCCCCACTTCTGTAACCTGGGGAACATTGAATATTTCGATAACGCGACGCGATGAGCCTCACTTGTCATTTCCACCCTTCAATTAATTTCAGTATCGCAAATCAAGTCCAAATTACTGATTCACACATATTGCAATCTTGCTTTTTTTCTCTCTCTCTTTCTTTTTTTCGCTGTGTCACATCCTACCGTATCTCGCTCGGATTTTGAAATTATCATCTCCCCTAATCAATTGACTCAACTCTCCTTTTCCAGTCATGCTCCTTATTTGCGAATCGATTTGCGACTAGCGCTGGCGTTCATCTTATTTTTCTAGATAAGTCTAAAGAATTTTGGCTTAAGCAAGACCATGCTTAAACTTATGAGTACTGTACTCCTGTCGCTGCTTTACCATGGCTCTCTTACATAGCCGCCAGTCTTCGGCGGCCTCTTCTGATATTTCTGATGAGTTTTCCGTTCCGGAATCCATCCCCGAGTCCACATCTCACCGCTCCGCGCCTCCGCCCGCCATGTCTCATGCTCAACTCTTAGTTATGGAGCGCGACAAGTATTCCGACGAAGGTTGGCTTATTATTCCTCTTGATTTAACCCCCCCGGCAGCTTGCTAAGTCTTTCTAGATATTCGGATTTTGTACGAAATCGTGGTTAGGGCCGAAGAGATTTTGTCTGAGCTTACGCCTTCTTCTCGTTTGCCAACTCACGCCTTGTTCAAAGCTTATGATGAGATTCTTCCGCTTCATAAGCTTGACCCGGACGAAGACCAGCTTATCAGCAAGCTTGTCTTCCGGGTGGGGGGTGTCAAACGGGACATTTCGCTCAAAGAGAAGTTCAAGGTAATCATGTCGCAGATGGAAATTACTGTTCAAATGGACGGCTCTTCGGCGTATGGGAGCGATGCTGGGGATGCCTACAACAACCCTGCCTCCTCCGGCAAGCCTCTTGGATTTACTGATGGAGATTACACGGGTGATGATTACACTATTCCAGAGGGTGTGAATCATAACAATCCACATAACGGAAACAACCAAGCTAGCCTCTCTGTGATTGAACAACACCTCGAAAATAGCGCAATTGCCTTCCGCAAGAAGCACCAGAACAAATTCTCCGCTACAAGCGCTCTTCGATACTGGCAGAAAAAGTCCGCATTCATTGCCCACATTTCTGATCAGTTCGATGCTGCTCGGCAGGCTGATCTGGAAGACGATATTGGAACGAAGTTTGAAATCTGGAGGACTATCGCTGCCGAAGTGGACAGCGTACCACCCCAAAATCTGCCCCCTAACGTGTATTCCAAGCGGATCGAAGGGATTGCTGTTCGCGCCCATGATATCCACATCGCCCGAACCGTGTTGAAATATTGGCGGCATAATGCAAAGGAGGAAGGCCATAGGATTCGGAATATCGAGGAGTCATCAGATCCCCTGGAGCGTGTCGCGGCGAAGGCGCACAAATACGTGATGCTTTCTCGCGCCTTTGCGAATTGGTCCAACCGCTGGGAGGAAGAGTCGGAGAAGGCACATATGGCTGCCAAGGTCTATGAAATGAGCCTGAAATCAAAGGCATTCGGTCTTCGGCAACGCCCAGAGGTCAATATTCGCGCCAGCCGTACCCGCGGTGTTCGTTTTGATGTTTCTCCCGCTACGAACCCTACCAGTACCGAAAGCGCGTTTAAGTCTCCTCCGGTCAAGGCCAATGCCGAGCCTAGTTCTGCTGTAGCGCCTGTTGGCCCGGTGAGTACTGCCGTTGACAGCCAGGAAGTACTCCCCGAGGCCTCTGCAAAGGATACCTCTTCTCATGAAGAACCGGCTGATACTATGGACGAAATGGACGAAACCACGTTGCTTGCACGAAGGCATATCCTCCGCATGCGCTACTATGATGCGTGGGAGAAGTATACAGCGGAAAATTTACACAGAGTTAGGAATTTCCGCGCAGAGCAGCAAGAGGACCACATTGCTCGTGCCATTCCTATATGGCGCTCCGAAGCTAAAAAGGCGTCTCTTGAACACGAGGCCATGCAGTATAATGCCAAAAGAGCCAGCTACTACAATAAGACTACAAGAGCTCTAGACACATGGAGACAAGAGAGCCAAGAAAAATTGCAAGGTCACGATGAGATACTAGAGAACTACGCTGCACGGGCCAACTTCTATTATAAAGCTACCAGGATATTACCAAGTTGGCGGAACGCAGCGAAAGAGGCCAGCCAACAGCAAGGGGTTCTCGAACTTTATGCAGACCGAGCAGAGTATTATTACAAAGCTACAACTTCACTTCCACTTTGGAGAGCTCAAGCACAGCACACGGCTGAGCACGAGAAGAAACTGGCAAGCTATGCTGAACGAGCTGATTACTATTATAGAGCTCGAGGCACTTTAGTAGAGTGGCATGATATTGCCAAACAAAGGCGAAAACGGAGATTAAAAGAAGCTCACTTAGAAACCCGCCGTATTGTAAAGAAAGGCATGGGGCAACGGTGTATTGCGCAATGGCGTGAAAGGGTACAGCCGAGCTTCGAACGGATTGAAGTAATGGATTTGCTTCTGGAAGATATCATGACAGATCAAAAAACGAATCAGATCGTGGAGACACTCGCGACATGGCGCGAGAAGGCCCATCAGAGGGAAGAAATGGAGCTAATGAGCGATGCCGTGGTGGAAGGGAAATTCTTGGAACAGTGGAGGGTTCGATCGACATATCATCAAGAGTTGGAAGTCGAAGCCAAGGAACACTGGAAAGAGAAGACAATGTCACGGACGTTAAAAAACTGGAACCTCACTTCCCTCCAAGTTCCGAATCGACCACTGATAGTGGCGAATGCGCTGGAAAAGAAAGACAGGAGATTGTTACGAAACGGGTTTGAGAATTGGTATAGTCGAACGGCAGACAAGCTTGTTCCTATCGAGCTCTCAGATGGGAGCTATAAGAGCGTGGAACAAGTGGTGGAAGATGCGCAACATGAGGCATCGCTAAGCCACGCTCGGGGTTTGCTAAATAACTGGAAAGCCGCCGCGAAGAGCAGGAATGATAATATCCAGCAAGAAACGTACACTCCTACCCCAGGAAGACCACGTCTCTTTCTTGGAGGCCTGAGTATGCGTGAGACGACAACACCATTAGCGCCTGTTCCGAGTCGAAATTGGCGAGCCAGCGAAACGGCCGTGAGGGGTTCCGCAATCGGGGGCAAAGCTAGTCGATCCGGTCGGGCCGCGAGGAATCTTAGGGTTTCATGGGCGCAATAATTAGGTTATTCTAGTTGACGGTGACGGTGCCGTTAGCGCTACTGGGTTTGTCTTGTTATTTTTTATGAGTACGGTGGAGTGTGTGGAATCTTGCATGGAATAGGCGCGGATGGCATTTTTACTTTTACATAGTGATACCCCTGGATCTGTTAGTTTCAAAGATTCAAAGATATTTATAATAGAATATACGGACTCGTGAGCCGTGTTATTATTGTATTCGTAAAATGCATTTTCCCCTTTATGTGGATCGTAATCGTAATAAGCTTCCATTATGCAATATCGATGCTCATAATAAATGCCCAGGCGCTCATAATAATGGTTAGGCAGGGATTCACGGCTGTCCCACGTCATATTGCAGCCGCAAAGCAACGCGATTTACAGTTGTGCTGCAGCGACGGCATCTGACAACAACAGTAAAGCACCTGAGCACCTGACGTTTTTAATAACCACCTTAAAACTGCATCAAGCACAAAATACATGCGCATTATCCCCAAGCTATTACATACCTTACCTAGTATTTAAGATCCTTACCAAATCAAGCAATGATCCATGTGTAGATCTACTTCACTACTTCAATAGTATACCGAAACTAAAATATTGTTGCGCCGCACCGACTACCGAAAGATTAATTCCCCGTGAACGAGAACGATTCCAGATTTCCGAAAGAGTAAAACGGAACGCTTCTTATACTTTAGGTACCTGCCTAAGGTACTTACAATACTACCCGTCGCTTCACCACTCCGAATCAATAGACATGTTCATATCGAGCCATTCGCGACGATAGTATGAAGGCAGTCCTTCCAGGCCAGCCCGAAGCCAGTCTTCAAGCTGTGTCGACAGGTTATTGGGATGGCAAACGCGTCATCGTTTACATCACCGGCAATGCCCTCGCGATTCTATCGGATCCCGAAACTATCCTCCAGACTATATATGACAATGACGAGCGCAGTTTGGAAGCTGTATCCTTTGACGAACGCTCGGGGAAGATAGCTGCGTGTACGGATGCGACCGTGAGGATATACCGGCCATTGAGTCACGGCGAGGACGGTGGTTCGCCCAAGGTTATTTTCCCCATATCCGCCAGCATAGCTATTTTATAAACTTAGCTGATTGTTTATAGTGGGCTTTACAAACGTCGTTCGAAGTCGATGGAGGTTCAACGCCTGTGACTCTATCTTGGGGAGGCTCCGAGGAGCTCCTCGTAGCGCGATCATCCCTATGGCTCTACGACACAACCTCGACGCCACCTTCTTGTCGTTGGAAACAGGAGCTAGCCAACCCCGTGAGAGCTGCGAATCTATCTTACGACTCGTCTTACATAGCGTCCGTCGGTTATCATGATCGCCTAGTAAAAGTGTGGCGACGGATGAACTTCAGTTCGGATGAAGTGCAGTTTGATTTCGGCTATCTTTCTCACCCGCGAGCAGTAACCAGCATACAATGGCGCAAACCCTTCCACGTCGACCAGACGATCGAGAACGTGCTCTACACATTTTGCGCCGATAATATCATGCGCGTGTGGACGGGTGCAGACCCTTCTAGCCGCCAGTCGCTACTGCATCACTGGGGACAGGTGGATCTAGCCGCGGCGGTGCGGGATGGGCGCGAGACAAATAAACAGAAGCCGATCTGGGCTTTCATCCTGAGCCAGCGAGATCTCGCTAATGCCACAGAAAGAGCCGTCCAGGAGAGGGGGGATGGGCAAGAGAGGGAAGACGTCGCCCTTCAGTATCTACTTTCCATCGCCAATAGAGACACTGAAATATGCGTCGTTTTTGATGGGCGCGGAAGTATGTCGTCTTGGGCGTTAGAGAGCGTAAGCAGTAAGCTCAGGGGTAATAATAATGTGGATAATGTTGCGTATGTTAAATCGAAAGACTTTGATTTCCTGGGCTCGGCAGCAAAGGAATCCCACCACGTTGAGATTCTCAACTATTGTAACAAAAACTCGGGAAACTTACACATGCTATTTCACCACTTTGATGGAAGGATTGAAGTATTCGAAAGCAGCATCGCGGATTTCCTCGACCCGACCTCCAAAGCTAAAAATCGACTAGTCCACCGCGCAACCTGGTCCGGACATTCCGCTCCGGTTAAGAAGATTGTACGAAATTTCAGCGGTCATGCGATTGTGTCCAGGACGGAGCTGGGCGAAAGCATTGTCTGGAGACATACTCCTGGCCCGCTGCGAACAAAGTTGTTACGGCATAATGTCATCCCAGAAAAACGGCATATACATCGAATATGTTTGATCAGGGGAGGTCGTTTTGTTGTATTCTTGCATCACGAAAGTATCTCGGTTTGGGACTGCACTTCATCAACACATACGCTTCTCGCCGATCTCAAATATCACGTCCGCGGCAAGCCCCTTTGTATTATTGTGCTTCCTCGCGAGCGGGTAGATGACGATTCCGTTGCGCATATTGCGACGATTACTTCGGAGCAGGAGGGGATCGTCTGGGAGCTCCATTTGCCTCTGAAGGATAACACTAACAAAGCGCAGGTTAACGGCCACGAAAAAGGTCTCCGGGAGTTTTGCACGTTCAAGTTAGAGGATCCTGGCGACCTTGCCTATGTCTTACCCGTTGATCCCGCTGGGGTTTCACACGTCATATCTGGATTCTTAGACGTGTTTGCTCGAGATGTCGCTGTGTCGTACACTCACAGCGGCCGTGTCGAATTTTGGACCGCTAGAGTTTCGCAGGAACGCGGCCAGGTCGAATGGCTTTCGACATGTTCGATGGAGACAGGTGTCCAAGAACCCGCATTGGTCAGCGGTAGCATTCTGAAGAAAGCCGCTCTCGTGAATGCGCATCGTTCGGAATTGACGATATGGGATATCCGAGGAGCCCGGTTGGAATACAAGGAGGACTTCGAGAGCCATAACCCGGTGCAAGACCTTGACTGGACTTCAACACCAGACTCGCAGTCAATCCTTGCCGTTGGCTTCCCATATCGTATTATCCTCCTCGCGCAGATGCGCTTCGACTACTTAAACAAAGGCCCTGCCTGGGCGCCTATCCGCGAGATCAACATCCGAGATTTCACTCCCCATCCCATCGGGGATTCAACCTGGCTTAGCGATGGCAATCTGGTCATTGGCGCTGGTAACCAGCTATTTTCGTATGACAGGACTTTCGAGATAACCGACCGACTCATCTCGAGCGCCCGCGTACCTCATCGTCAAGACGGTACTAGAGACCTATATGACATAATTCAAAGACTAAACGGACCGTTACCAATCTTCCACCCTCAGTTCCTCAGCCAGTGCATCCTGGCGGGGAAGCACAGCGTGGTCCGGCGCGTACTTCTAGCTCTAAATCATACGTTAAAATATCATGTGGAGGGCGATTTGATCGACGACTATCTGGGTCTGGATCTTGCAGATTTTTACATACGCAAAGTGAGTAGTAATATCATTACACTTTAGTGATGCTTGTCTAATATTTTAGGGGTCTACGTCTATTGGTAGCAACGGCTCGTCCTATCTCATGTCCCAGGTGTCGTCTGACGACACTAACCAAGTTTTCACGGAAGAAATCGCCGCATCTATTTGTGAGAAACTGCAACAAGTTACCATACCGCGACTTTCGGGCCATGAGCAGATTCAACTGGCCGACATGGTTGAGTGCGTCGGAATTGTTGAAAAGCAGCGTCGCTCGATGGACGAGAACGGGGCTCGGTTTATGTTATTCTTCCGGCAGCACGCGTTAAGGAAGGGCAGAACCAACGAAATTCACATGTCGTGGAGAGAAATCAACTGGGCTTATCATTCTACCAGTCAGGATATACTAACTGATTTCGTGTCCCGCCAATATCACGGCACCATGCTGTGGGAGAACGCCAGGGAAAGCGGCATGTTCATGTGGCTTACAGACGAAGCCGCTGTGGTAAGTTTGAGTACGCGAAGATTTCTAATTCTTATCTAGGTAACTGACATATCCGATATATAGAAAACCCAATTTGAAATTGTGGCCCGGAACGAGTACACGAAAAGCGAGATGAAAAATCCGGTGGACTGCAGTCTCTTCTATCTCGCTTTGAAGAAGAAGGCCGTTCTTCAGGGCCTGTGGCGTATGGCAAGCTGGAATCGGGAGCAAGGAGCAACGCAACGACTTCTAGCGAATAACTTCGACGACCCCAAATGGAAGACGACAGCTCTGAAGAACGCATACGCTCTTTTGAGCAAGCGCCGTTTTGGTATGTGCCTTCATCGTATAGTATAAAATCCAAGTCAAGTAAGTACTAATACTGGATTTAGCATACGCGGCAGCCTTTTTCCTCCTTGCAGGTCACTTGCAAGATGCGATGAATGTTTGCATCAAGCAGGTCAAAGACATCCAGCTCGCCATCGCCATCGCGAGGGTATATGAAGGTGATAATGGACCCGTATTGAGAAAGCTGCTGGAGAACGAGGTCCTCGCTCTGGCTGCTCAAGAGGGTAATCGTTGGCTTGCGTCATGGGCGTTCTGGATGTTAAAGAGGAAAGATATGGCGGTTCGCGCTCTCATTGTGAGTTTATGTCGAGATATATTTTTTAATCGACAGGCTAACCGTTCGAAGACACCTGTCTACACTTTATTAGAAACCCCAGCTTCGTCAGACAATTTAAAGGCGAAGCTCTTCCTAACAGATGATCCGGCTCTTGTTGTGTTATACTCCCAGCTTCGACAGAAAACATTACAAACGCTCCGCGGGGCGTCTAAGGTAATGCCGAGGACGGAATGGGAATTCGTAATACATAACGCCAGACTCTACGACCGAATGGGTTGCGACCTCCTCGGTCTTGACCTGGGTAAGTTCTCATATTTTATCCTCACCCCCTTTTCATACAAGTAACAGGTAACTAATACCTACGCGCGTGTAGTTCGCAATTGGGAATTCCTCCGGCATAGTACATCGACGGCCCCGGACCTTGGCGGTGAGATCGATCCCAGAGTGCTTCTAAAACGCCGCAGCTCCCTAGTCATCCAGGACATGCCAATGTCACCTGTCGCCCCGACCGACATGAAGACAGGGAGTCACAACGTCAAGCCACCGCCTAGAGTATTCGAGGAGCCAGATGCCAATTCACTTCTGGATAGTTTTGGTTTCTGATCCTCGATAGGCTACTTGGCATGAAAATACCTATAGTATGGATTAAATCCTTGAGACAGCGTTTCTTTCTGGAGCATTGTAGGTACCTGGTAGATAAATCACCAAGGCCCGGAAAGGTGCTAGTAGAAAAATGGGCATGCTTGGAGGGAATGTTGATAGGAGTTGAAGAGACGAGTTCGGAGTGAGCTTTGTATTATAATAAATTACTTTAATATGTAGCGTGCTAGTTGCCGAATGTTAGAAATCCGAGCCTCTCTGGTTTGGATTGTTTGTTTATCTTGCTCAATTTGGTGTTTTATGGACCTTTCGAGTCGATAGCAACATGCAAGAGTGCCAGCCTCTCTCCCGCCTCCCACTGCATGGATGGCCCCAACGACCCCGACTCGTACAAGCGGCCCGAAAGCGATTCGCCCGTTCAGACAAGGCTCTTTTACAAGTTTTAAACCAGATTAACTACCGCTAGTCTGGCCTCGAAATGTGAAAGGTATTCATGAAGGGGTTCTCCGGCGGTGGTTAGCTTGTAACTAAAGATGCGAAGATTGTAATCGATAGGATAGTGCAGCCAGATGGTATCAGAAAGCTTCCTATCTAGCTTGTGATTGGCAGCAACGATATTGAGTTCCACGGTGACCAAGCCTTCCGATGGTGAGAGAAGGAACTTCGCAGTAGCAGAAGACTGTCCCTATGAGCGAGGCCAGCATGGGGTTGACGTAGGATCACGGGAGAAGCCCGGTATCAAGACCCAGTTCGACGTTGTCAACAGCGTAGCTCACAAGAAGAAAGGTATTCGGATGGCCGTTTTGGGAATTCTTGGACCCCAGATCAAGCAAAGCGGTTAGGACTTCTCGGAACGGTCAACTGTCTCCAAGCGCCCATGTGGCGTTTAGTTAAAAGTATAAGCGGGAAGATTGATAGAGCTGGTAGAGAGGATGCATCTGCGGAACCATTCGTCAGACAGGTAGTCTATTTCCAGGCACTCAACCCTCAACGTTCATATTTCATACCTAGGACGTTTCACAACTTCCTTTTTACTATATTACAAGATTCACCTAATCATATTGGAGGCTCTGTTGATAATGCTGTTTTGATGCCACAGCACTTCAGTTGGGGTGATACTAACACATGCGAGTATGCCACAGAGTTATCCCTTTTTTGATGGAGACGCTGAGGAGCCTGTTTCCTCGGCCAAGATTAGTGTATTAGGTATCCTCTACGAAGTTATCTTTATTTGGTTTCCTCGTCCTTTTTCTCTCCCTTTCTTCTTTTTCTTTTTCTTTATATATGGTCATATATATATAGCTTAGTTGTAATGAATAACCGTAGCTTCTAATACTAATTTTATTCTAGGCTAAAATCAACTCCTATGAACCAAATTGCCTTAGGTACCAAAGGTAAGTAGGTACACGTAGAGTGTCTAGGCGATTTACCCAGCACCATTTATAGACAATATTTTTATAGGTACGGCGGCTGCGTAGAAGAGTGCTTTCTGTTGGCGCATCGACTTCGGTTCAAAGTGTACCTCTTCCACGGCAAAATGACGATAAGCTGTGAATACCAAAGCGGACGTTTATTAGCATTCGCGAACACAGGAGATAGAAAAATACGTACTACAGTCGTCTCTGAATTTCTGAAATGTGGCAGCGTTTCGAACTACGCCGGCTATGATAACTCTAAGCTTTGATCTTCGTTCGATGAGCTTATGCAGTGTCGACACTAGAGCAGATATTGCCGTCGTGTTATATGTCTGTACGATATATTAGCGTCCTGCATATATCTTAGAAGGCAAGTGAACCAAGCCTTACGATGTCCGCGCCAATGACTACGTCATACGGATTAACATCACAATCGTCTTTAATCCACGTCTCCCAAGGGTCATGTCCCCATGTCAGAGTCCCTGCTTTGACTTTCCCTTGGGTATTAAGGCCATTCAGTGAGAGATTCTCTCTTATTGATTCAACGACCCCTTCGTCACCATCTGTGGTAGTTACATGCTTTGCATGTAGGTGCTTAGCCAGGAGGATGCTCAGAAACCCAGCGCCAGCGCCCAGTTCCAGAATATTCTTCCCACGGACAATTTGCGACCCAGCGTCAGTTAGCAAGTATGAGCCCAGATGAAGAGATGCTTCCCAGGTTCGGAAACCTGTTATTTGCGAGCCCAATACCAACTGCCGCCGTTCGAGTAATGTTATGGTGGGCTCTGAGTCGCAGTCACTGCTATTTTCTGGGTTATAATTCTCTGTTAAACAGGTAAATGTCACGTATGTCTCCTCTTGGGCCGCGCGAAATTCTGACGAAACCCCTATAGCTATGAAGGACTTAAAGCGTGCCGTAAGTTCGCCCAAAACGCCCTAATGAAGTTAAGCCTATGACCGTTGATTTTCACGGAGAAAAAGTGGCTGGAATAGTTGACTTACATCTTCTTCTCCATTTTCTGTTTCCTTCTCAAGCTTTGTCACAAGTTTCTTCAAAACTCGAAGTTGATATCCTTCAGGTGGCAATATTTGGTTTCTACTTGGATCGAAGAGATGCTTATATAGCCATTTCTGGACATCTGCATCCTTAAGAAATTTGGCTGGTGGCCAGGCGAGGAAGTCGGGTTCAAATAGTTGGATATATTGCCGACGCAGCAAAAGTAACTGAGGATCTACGTCATGAAACGACATTCTAACTGCTTTAATACGGTTAAGGGTGAACGATCTCAATATGAAGAAATTGACAACTCACGTGTGCTGAGATCTTAATAGAATTCCCAGAATACGTCGTTATAGTATTCGATCTGTTGTGGAGTCGTATCTGGTAGGACGAGTCTTGTTCGTTTTGAGCGCAGAGAAATATAAGCTATAACCGCCCCTATAATTCGAAAGTTATGCCCCTTTTCTCCAATACTGATATATAGGTGCATAAGTCAAGCAACAGCTGAACTACCTACCTAAGGTATAGGGGTGCACTTTGAGTTTACATCACTCTTACCTATTCCTAAATCAACCCATGCTTCTATCCAATACCTCGAAATGAGCTCCAACATATTATCCACACTTGTGCCAGGAGTTTGATTTAATGAACAATTATCCACTACGTTGCTCCAACTTGACTTGGAAAAGTTATGTCCGGACTTGCAACAAGTCTACGAATGCCTACCTTAGATACTTCTTACCTATAATTATACCTGTGCATGAAATTCTCATGGCGCATTTCATTAGGCATCGAAGTTAGAGCAATGTGCCATGGCCCACACAGCTTCAAAAATTGAAGCTTTATAAACCAAGAAGCAGAACTACTCTAACATCTCCACTTAGAGCTAACTAGCGTCGTCAACCTATGCGATAGCTTGAAAATTCTCGATTCGTCTAGTGGTTAGGATACCTGCTTGTCACTCCGTTAATTCGTATGATAAAATCGCAGGTGGCCGGGGTTCAATTCCCCGATCGAGAGAGATTAATCTTTTGTCTAATTGTCTTTTCTTTTTCCTTTTAAGTTGAATTGCATGCATCCTTGGTCAAGTCTTGCTCATTATTGTTCCTCAAATATAATCAGTTAAACTTAACTAGCGGCTCTTGAGTTGTTTTATAACTTCGCTCTACGGGATGTGTGACGTGTAGGTAGATTTTAACTTACGAGCTTTGGATAACTGATTATTTCATAAGAACAGTCTTTTGCTAGAATCTCCAATTAGGAAGGAAAGAATTTATAAAATTCCCGGAATCATCTTAACTAACTCGATCATGGATTATAGGTGTAGGGTGTTACACATGGTCAGCACACCCTTGATAATCGCTGTCAATGATTAATACACATAGGAAGGCCAACGCTCGTGAGTGTTTCATTCCGACATGGGCATGGGTTAATATGTCACATTGGGTAACCAATTTCGTACCTAGTCCTCCAATGGATCGCGTTCCTCCATTTCGAAGAATCCAGGCTCTTCAGCCTGCATGTAGTGTCACCACTCATGCCACCGGCAATGGTTAGCTTCAACAACTGTGTAGAGGATTAGGTCGGAACAAGTCGCTCCGAGTACGTCGAGGGGATCATATGTTGTAGTAAACGTACTTGGAGTGACTCGGAGGGTTATTAGATACCTATCTATTCCTGGTTTACGCTCGACTATAATTCTCAACGGCCGAACCAAAGTATGTTCGACAAGCTGCGCCGACGCAGGTTACCCTTTCGTTGTATCGGCGAGTCAAAAATATACCTTTTTTCGGTTGTAAGTTTGGTATCATGGCTCTAGCATCTCGACCTTCGGGCATTATGGCGTTGATTATCGCTATTGCTGCTTTGTTAGCTCCAGTCATTTATCGAATTGCATCGCCATCTATCACTAAATTGTCTCCATATCTCGTTACACTCGCTTCCTTAACTTTTAAGACGTCTAGTCAAAGTACTGAAACCGTGGCATCGTCCTTTAGTTGCCTTCATCACCCTTATACCACTGAAATCGTTTCTGTAGATCCCCTTGTCATATACATTGAATCCTTTCTCACGTCGAGCGAGATAAAAGCTCTTCTCGAAGCCGGGGAACCTGCCTTCGGCCCGTCTCGAGTCTATAAGAGTGGCCATAACCAAGACACGCAGGACCGTACCTCATCATCCGCTGGGCTGCCGCGAGATAATCCCGCAGTAGAATGCGTATTGGCTCGCGCTGAAGCCTTCCTCGGTACAATGCTAGATCCATCTCGAGACGACATAGGCCCGCCACAACTCGTACGCTACACCGCAGGTCAGCGGTTCAACAGACACCACGACTGGTACGATCGGCCGCAGCCAACACGACGTGGTATGCCAGGGCGAGGAAGAAGCTGGAACCGCATTGCCAGCTTCTTCGCTATCTTGGAGGATCATTGTAAAGGCGGTGAGACGTGGTTCCCTTTTGTGAATACAACAGCTTTCTCAAAGACAGATGAGGAGGGACGGCAGATTTGGAGGAATCATGAGGACGGCGGTCTAGCATTCAGACCTGTAGCCGGAAACGCGCTATTCTGGGTCAACCTCTTTCAGAATAACACAGGAGATCGACGGACCATCCACGCGGGACTACCGGTGACAGAGGGTTTGAAGATTGCAATGAACATCTGGCCAAGGAAATTTTATACCTGAGTCCCGGGTCGATATGGTGTATGATTAAAGTAATTGTCTATGGGGAAACCTTGAGCGTATTGACCGACGTTTGGTGATATCAGCTGTCAGTCAGCCTTAGGAGTTAACAAGATACGAATAAAGACCGCTTCGGTACTCATGACTACCACGCTTCGTCCACTTGCGATAAATCCGTAAACTGTGTTTTCCTGGCAGGTTCAAACGCTCATAGATCTGGCTAACAGGTCTGCCTAAATGGGTTTAGGGATCGACAATAGTTCAGGTTGTACATACAACCCCTTGCGCAAGTTCAAAGGTATCATTCCGCCCACGTAACGCTGGCTAGCAGTCAATTTATTGGTTGTTACGAGTTTTGACATATCATGTAGTAATGGAGTGCATTGTGCTCGGGAATAAAGGGACAAAAATGGCATTCCAGCCATCATATCCTCAAATCAAATCCTACGAAAGGGCAGAGGTTACATATTACAAATTAGAAAAACCCTGATTTGATGCCTTAAGATTGTAACCCTCCCTAAGTCCCTAAGGCTTGAGCGAGCCTACCTTCTACAGACATATGACGAGTAGATGGGACGCCGAGCTATCGTAAAAGACGACCACGACGCCAAGCTAACCAGTAAATGATTACAAAGGAGATGTTGACGATGCAGGTAAGTTGACTCCTAGAAAACCACCCCGTTCAGGACCAGCCATACAAGAGATAGCGCCTTATACCTATGCCAATTCATCGCTAGTCACTGCTACATATCCACCATGAAGACCAAAATAAAGCCAAAGCTTCATAATAGAATCTGAAAAGCGCTTCATCCACCTCCGCGCTACAAAGAGCCCCCTTAACCCCTTATCGTACCTAATTCTGGTCGGACGATATCATGGCGGAGGCGTAGGTCTGCTGCAAGGCCCGCATTTTCTATAAACAATCTGCACGTTTGCTCCGTCGGTATATACTGCGTGGTAAGCATCAATGCAGGGGGCGATGCATTTGTCTTGAATGACGCGGTTGCAGTTGGGGCAGAGTGTTCGTTCCCAATCGCACATGATGATGTCTGACTGATGAAAGATGTCAGGACAAGGCTCGGTTATAAATAGCAAATCATCGTACATACCTTGGAAAACGTGTCTAAAAGTAAAATTCGGATTGCTTCAGATAATCCTTCGTGGACCTGGAAGATTTATCCACATTATAATTGACTACTTCCCGCCTTTATACCTCCGAACAATAGTCAGTTACCACTTATAGATGATATCACGCATTATTATCATAACCACTGAGACGCCGTCCCATCACCTGGCTAGAGCCGAGCAGTAGAGGTTACATGGAAATTTCTCTAAGTTACGAGGGCAACGCTCTTGTTCCTCATATCTGATAGGCCCCTTGCAGGTGGGTGGAAAAGATACGAGAGTGGTTGACCAAGGTGCAAAGATGAATAATTCTGGGTACATGCCGCGTGCGGTTATCTCTATCTCTGCCTATTGACGTAGCGTAGCGCTCGTGCATATGACAATTGTGAAATTAGGCTCTTACGCCTACCAAGGGACGCGAAGCCATGCCGAAATGCTGTAATACAGTATTGGATGCCTCCGATGCCTCGGGCGTATTAGTCCTTGTCGAAAGCAATCATGTATGGCCATCCACGAAACCATAAGCCTGGATCCACGAATAAGAACAAGGCGCCAGGAGAAAAGCTGCCATCCCACCCTGAACGCCGCTATGGAAACAGCCCACTTCGATGGATTGGATCCGGTTGCTTGTCTGGTAGACGTCCATCGTTAGACATGCATCTTGTGCTCAGCATGTGATAATATAAGGGTATTGGCAGAAAAGTTCATAGAGATGCAGTTTTGAAGTTTTACGATAAGAGCAACTGAAATAAAAGGGGTCACGATAGATCACCTAAAAGCAGGGGAAAATAATAGAAAATAGATATCCGCTACTTTTATATTAAAACTGGTAGTATTTTTTCATATTTCCTTTTTGGGACTCATCTTCATGTCTCATTTGAGACATAACCTTAGTTTTCGCACTATTAGCAGTCCGTCGTTACTCTATGCAGGCTGTGATGAAACCTCAGCGATGCTACCCTATCCTATCACGCCCCCGGTTTCAGCATCTGTCGACGGTAGGATTCCTTGAAAAGTCCTACGGGCTTGTCAATATTCTTTGCGTGATGTTGTAATCATGGATCGCCTGAGTCCTTAACCGGAATTCTTTACGTTACTGAGCTAAATTCGCAAATTTCACATGGTGATTTGCTAAACCGCATTTTTCTCAGCCATGGACTCGATAATTAGTAGTCTTCACTAACGGGACGCTGCCGTGCTAATAACATTCAAGATATTTCGCCCCCAACTTCATACCACTACTTTCTAATCCAAATCGTCGTCCTATCGTATCGCCTAGGAATCCTAGGCCTGCACAACGACCTGAACGTCTGACACCGTTGCCCGTGCCATCTTCTTAAGAAGAGTCCGCTCATCAGCTTCACGATACCTCTCCCAGCCGTCAAGACCCTCCCTTGCCTGGATGCTCAACGTCTCGTAGCCCTGCTTGATTACCTCCGCCACTTCAGTACTAGTAAGGTTCTTTTTGGAACTATCCGTGTCCAACATGGTTTTGTAATGCGTACTCACGCTGATGAGCGTGCCTATCGAATTTGACGGTCGGCTTGATAGGCGGTAAGTGTCGCGGAATTTTACGAGGACCTCGCCGCTCTCTACAACTTTGTAGAATAGGTCATCATAGGCGGCAGGCGTAGGGAGAAAAGCCTCTCCTGCCGAGAGGGAAAGAGCTAATAGGTTTACGATTAGGTCCAGGAGAGATTCGAAGTGGGACAACCCCTTGAGGTCGGAGGCGTAGGAGGTGAGGAAGCGGATAAGGGACAGCAGCGAACGAAACAGCTCAGACCAATGGTATTGTAACCGCGTCCGCGATCGCGAGAGGTACGAGATGATACGGAGCATGATACCAACGCACAAAGTATAGAGGCTGACATCGAGCCTGCGACGCAGATTATGGTTGATGCCGTCTATCATGGTGTCTAAGACGCTCGTTGCAAGGATGCGCTCTCCGCGGACAACCGGCAGGAATGGCTGCCGTTGACGGCAAAGTCTAACGGCGACCTTGCTCTCGTCGCTACATATTCGCTTACATAGCAGCTGGTCCTCGATGAGCAGCCGGAAAACCATTAGACTGAGATGGGCATAGTTAGTGGCTCTGGCAGAGAGGAAAGCATGCTGGAGTAGATAAGAAGTCAGCGATAAGAAACTGGAGATAGGTTGTTCTTCACCCTTTTCGGCGGGGAGAGTGACGAGACTGAAGCAGAACAGTTTATTCGCGTGGCTGAAGTCATACGCCCCTAGCAACACGGCGGCGTGTTCACCGGGTCTAGCTAAGTTAGCCCAACGTCTAAAGAGTTAATTAAATAAGACAACATCTCACAATTTTGCAAACATCTGCTTCGCGACCTCCGGGTCGTATGCTGGCTTTTGATTCGCCTTGGCGCCAGGTGTGATAGCACCAAGCCCGATCATGGTTAGAGTATTAGCGATGGACCATCCTTCAGGTAGGTCCTGTAGGATATCGACGTATTGACTTCTCAAAACTCGGCACGTGTGCCCGACGCTTCGGACGATCTTCCGTATGGTGGCCTCATTGACAAAGTCGTTGAGCCGGAGCTGATAGGGATTCTGAAACTCAAATTTATTATAGTTTGCCAACAAGCCCAACAAGGTAAAAGGTTCCAGGATATCCTGGGGAGATTCGGAGTCTTGAATGAGCTTGGCCAAGTTAGTGACGGGGTCCGTTTCGCGATAGAAAGGAAGCTGACCTTCATTATGGCGGGGAAAAGATCCCGCTGTATAAAATACGTGAGGATGCTCGTCTGGTATGCACCAGAGGTGATGGACAAGACCACGTTCACGGCCTTTTGCCGAACTTCCACTACAATCCAGTCGCTATCAGCATATTACTCGCCTGGGTAGTTTACGAAACAGGACATCAGCCTACTCGATTTTCCATTACGAATTACCCCGTCCAGAGCCCCCACGAAATCCGTGAAGACGGCATCGACCTGATCTAGACCAGCTAAGACGGCTATGATATCTGAACTCGGGTTCGTATATTTCTTGGGAAGAATTGCAGAGAAGAAGGTCGTCAACGTCTGTGTAGAGGATCAATTAGACATGTTCATTGGCACACTCGTTTCAGGGGTTCCGTTCGATCATTTATATTTACCTCGAGAGCATGCAAGTCGGCAACGCCGCTACCTTTCTTCAAACATTCCACGGCCCGGAAGAAGAGCTGTCGAGTTTGCGACTGAAGGCTCATAAGGTCTTCTGGTCTTAGGGCAACTAGAATTTGTTGCAAGAAGGGTCGGTCGGGTTTTAGGAGGAAAAACTCTCGCCAGAAGCCTTCGGCTTTCTCTCCGTCCGCATCGATATCATCCTATACAAGCGACGTATGGTCAGCGACTGAGCGGGGAGGATGATATCTAGTATAGATCGACATACCTTGAATTCCCATTGTCAGCTTTATTTTAACCCAATCCTAGAAAATAGGGGGAAATCCGAAGTTCCCTAACCTTGAATAACGCCTCGTATAGCTGGTCTATCTTCGGTTGGAAGGTTTCAGGTCGCGCCTGTTGAGTTAAAGGCGAGGCTTCCATGACCGATGACCACGAGGATGCATGAACGGGAGACTCATAAACGCAGTATCTTTATATTATATCCTAGTCGTAGGCGGAATCATCGCAGTAAAAGAAGCAATATATGTCGAGAGCTGTATTTTGAGTTATTTTCGCAAATCAGGGATCGTATGAGTATTTCTTGAAAATCTTCTTCTTTGTGCCAATTATTGCGACTCTGATATCGCAGCTCTTGAGTCGAGTCGTCGCAATCACTAAGAATAGCAATTGACACATTCGCCTGTGTTGTAATGATACCGTGTTAAGTTACGGGGTCAAATGAGCGTCTTACACTGTACGCACAGTCTCTAACAGTACTAGTCACTTTCTTAGCTAAGCTACCTCAAGTACTAGCGCAGGCGAAAGGCCCATTTTGCTGGGTATTCCATCGGACCGGTGAACTTAGTACAGTTGACCAATAGAAGATCCTTGATTGGTCCGGTCAGAACCGGGTCGCGAACCTTATCGACCGATGTCATCAGACCGTCCGGGTTGTAAAAGCTGCTTTCAAAGCAATTACCTACCTCCTACCTACCTACCTAGGTACAATCCACCTTCTTCGACTCATCCGTACCTAATAATTTAATGCCGGGCTGCATGCAATAAAATTCGTATTTTATTTTCCATTAAACGACCTCTGCGTTCTATTCTTTATACATAACACCACTGTCATCTGCGCCGCAATGAATTCCCCTCGCATAGCGTTATCGCGAAGTTGGACAGCCTTGTCCGGCCGGCTCATTGCCACCTCGGCCCCGAAGTCACTCCCTTGCGAAAGCCTCCTGCGGCAGTTCTCGAATTATCAGCCGTGGTACGCGCCGTCAGAAAAACTGCACGAAAAGCCATCATACCAGCCCTACCCTCTAAACCCAAACCCAAGCAGATCGCCACAACCGCGCAACGAACCCGTACCAGAAACCTCCATCGCCAACCCTATACCGAACATCCACGAGACACGACCACCGTCTCAACCAGAAGCAGTGGCAAACCCGGATGTAGCCATCACCGAACAAGAGGCGCAAACCCCCAAACCAGCCCCGCCGAAGCGCAAATTCAGACCCCGCAAAGCCGCGTTGAAGCTCACCCCTTCTGCAGTAGAGCATCTTCGCAGCCTGCTAGACCAACCGGAGCCGAAGCTGATCAAGGTTGGGGTGCGCAATAGGGGATGCAGCGGCCTAGCCTATCACCTGGACTACGTGGACAAGCCCGGATCTTTCGACGAGGAGGTCGAACAGGATGGAGTGAAGGTTTTGATCGATAGCAAGGCGCTATTCAGCATAATAGGGAGCGAGATGGACTGGGTCGAAGACAAGCTGAGCCAGCGGTTCATATTCCGGAACCCAAATATAAGTAAGTAGATCCCGCCTATCGTGGCGCATGCGGTCGGATGCTAACCCAATTATAGAGGAGGAATGCGGCTGCGGAGAGTCATTCATGGTGTAGTAGCGCGAACAGGGAGCGATAACGAGTTCGGATACCATTTATCTGCATTGGGCGGCGTTATCCTTATTATTGTTAGACTGTACAAACATAAACATGTGGTTGGAGCATGGCACGGTCCATTCAACTACGACTCTAACTGTCGGTTGCATGGCGGAAGACTGAGTGTTAATAGATCATGCACGAACATAACTACTTTCTCGGATATCATCCGCAAATAATCAGCTATGCTGTCACACCTATAAGGCGCGTTTAGGAGACAAGTTGTTGTGGTTGAGGTGGTGTTTCGTCGAAGGGTTTGGCCAGGAGGAGCAGAATCGAAGACCATCTATTCCAACAAGCAGCATATGAAGATGTTTTAACCCTATTCTAACGTTGAACTAAACCCATGATAAATCAACCTAGCCATGAAAGTACCTAATTGTTTAATGATAGCCATATAGAATTTTGCTGAAATATGGAATCGGCGTTCGATACGCTTCTCTGTTCAAAGAGTTTAGGTACATATCTGCCAGAAGTCAAGCCTATAGCAAATTCAGAACTAGCTAACCCATATATAAAGTATATTATATCTATGTCGAGTAGGATGGTGGAATTCTTCTCAGCTCAAAGTCCATGGAATCGCCAACGCCCTTCTTGGCTAATTGGACGTCTTCATTTATATTCAGGATCCTGTCGTCAGGGCCAACAATACCAAGCGCGGCCCTCTCGTCGTCTACGAAGTTATCAGGCCACTTCACCGTTTTGGAGCGCCTCGGTGCGGATAATGATAAATGATTGCCGCGTGCCCTGCTTGCTATCTCGTGGGCTCGATCCCTAACGAATGTGACAGGGTGACCTGGGCGCATAGAACTTGCCTCGTGCATCAACGCGCAACGAAGAACGGGAATCGACGCCGCCATTATCGTAGTGGCGATTTCCGCTACGGACCATATTGCAAGTTCAAAGACGTCATCTAAAAACAACGCCTGTTAGGACTACTCTTGTACTAGCATAGTTCCTGTACTATCGTTGAACGATTTTGCCTACCACTAAAACTATTATTGCGGAGAACGCTGAACTTGGTGCATTTAACGATCGAAGTTATACCCGCGCTGTACTGCCATGTCAGAGGATGCTCTTGCTAGGGACACCTAACTCACCAAATGCCCATGCTCATAGCTACGGAGATTCCGACCTTCTCGCTAGTCCGTATCTGCAATTTTATTATAATAGGCCATGGAAGGGCCGCTAGGACAAAGTCCATGAATGTTGAATATGCTAAAACCAATCAGCAATCATCCGCCGCGACGGTTGTGCCACCTTTACCTGCAGCAAATATGGTGAAGGCGAGGATAAGATTTCTATTCCAACAGACTCCGGCGGCGTGGGAGTCCCATATCATACTCGCCGGCCGGCACTGTACCCATCGGAGTATCAAGCTGACGCAGGTAATGATGTTCATCGAGATTATAATCACTCGAAGCGCAATCTTTAGTCGAGGGCCCGAGATTCTAAAGAGCGTTATAGCAAATGATGTCTTGCTCCACATTGCCGAGATGAAAAACAAACTTCCCGCCTGCAAACCTTTCCGTCAACATGCGGCAACAAGGTAACAATGGGGTATGGCGACGGGATTCCCAGCGCGAGGGCGGAAGAGCTAGATGGCAGATAACAGCGGAAGTAAGTCGCTTACAATTGTACTTAGCATGCCGACATCGTGAACGCCCGTTCGGTTATCTTGATCGTGTCTAATGAAAACTGCTGATACGCAGAGACTGATAAGCACCCCCGAAGCTATGAGAACGAGCTAGAATGATCGCGATGGTCAGTGAGCAGGAAGATACTCTGGGTGTCAAGGATCCCGACCCATGATACTATCAAAACCCAATCATCCCACCACAGTCCTCGGCTCGTCTTGAGCTTGTAAAATACTCGAAGTCCCAGAAAGACAGTTGAAAGGCTGACAAGAACCCATATCACGGCATCTACCCAGTGTCCGGCACCGGGCGTGAGTGTGTACCTCGGTGGTTTGAGTGTAGTCTCTGCCATATACTCAATATCGTAAGGATATCACTTTTTATATAAAAGGGTACCAGCGTTATATTGACAGAGGCGGATATTAGAAACCACCCTTCAGGTTGTGTGGATGTACGGCGAGGACGTCGTACAAGGTAAGGATGAGGATTCTATCCAGTAAGATAATAAAGCTTACCACCGAGTATTCATTGTTCATTGTTCTTTGTTCCCAATAAAAAGAGGTAGTTTATCAGGTATCGTAGGTTACGCGTTTTCCTCACACCAAGTATAATTACATTAGGTGGGTAGAATAATACATAGCGACAGAACACTGACCCGACCGGCCCTTAAAAGGATCGTAGAACATCAAACATGATTCTGTGCCGAGGATGTTCTTACCCCTTTTCATCATGCCTATTCCATGCTTGTATGCTCTTGTAATATGATTGACCTTACTAACCCTCGAGATAAACATTACATTACTCCTATGAGGTACCGTACTGCTATAAGCAGTTCTTGCTACAATTCAGGGTTAGGGTTAGGGTTAGGGTTAGGGTTAGGGTTAGGGTTAGGGTTAGGGTTAGGGTTAGGGTTAGGGTTAGGGTTAGGGTTAGGGTTAGGGT